CACACAAATTTCCATTAAAATAGCAATGTTGTTATGTTGACCACTCAATCATATGACATGAATTCTTATTCATAGATGAACATTTGAGCTATTGGGAATTGTAAAAATCCTTAACCTATTTTTCAACTGTGATATCTACAACATCCATAGTCAGTTCTGTACATTTCAATTCATTGCTGAAGTAACAATACTTACCTGTAGAAAATCGTCCGCAAACATGGGAATTGATACCAAGAAACTCAGTACAACAAGGAGTAGCACAAATAGCTTTGAACACATTGCAATTACCACCTTCATAAATGCAATAGCCTTTCATTTTATCAATCAAAGGCCCCTTGACTGCATCATATTCTGGCAATTCCATTTCAATAGAAGCACAAACATTGGGATTTATTAAAATATTTTTACCAGTATAGGCTGAATTGTAATCCAAACAACTTTCGTTGAATGTAATAAATTAAGTTGAGCACCTGCTTTCCCTAAACAACCAAGTGCACTTCTGTCCAACTTTAGTGATTGATCTACAAACATCAGGAGTAGGTGAACTGTTTATACAATCAGAAGTCAATAATAATTGTTCTGTCAACTTTCTGGTAAGATAATTAGCAGATATCACTTAAATTTACTTACATTACCATTGCACTTTATCATAATAGCAACTTTTAAGTTAAATTTAAGCACAAGCATAAGCATTCAGTCCTGGGTATGTGCAAGTCATGGTTTCAGTATCCAAACTATTCACACAGCCCTTCGCTACTTGTTCATATCTACAGACCTCTTTGCCGGCATCAACTAAAGCACAAGCAGCAGGATTAACGTATTGCATTTGTAAACAGAATACTTATGAAACGTCCTATTTAGTTTTTATTTGTTGACATGAATTATTATACCATCTACAGATCTGACCTACAGTTATTACTTGAGCACATGCAATTCTGCTTAATCCCATACCTGTACATTCAATCTGTTTGAGCAATTGATCATTGACTAATCTACATTATTAGGCATTAATGTCAAAATAACATCCATCCTCATCTGATTTAATTACTTAAGAACACGCCACTTTATTTGCAAATCCTAAATCTAAACAACTTGTAATTTCTTAAGTAATCTATGCCACAGTGCACCCACTATCAGTCCATTTACAGGCCATTCCCAATATGGCAGTGCATCCATTTAAATTCAAATATGAAGTAGTGCAATCATCACTATCTATACTCTTTTCACATAAAGACTTTTTTGAGTTGTATTTGCATTTAACTCCAGGCTTTGAGATAGCTCTACACACATTTCCATTAAATTTAACATTCTTATCTACATCTAATATTGGACAATCTAATTCTTGATTTATAAAAATAGAAACACATTCTGATCCTGTCCATTTACAAAACTAAAACTAAGTTGTTACATTCACACATGAATCCTAATTTAAATTAGTGCAAAGAATGTGATTTAGTTCGTCATTTTCCAATCTCTTACATTAATTATTAATGAACTAACAATAATCATCTTTAACTTGTAAACAAGTTTCTTTGCTCAATCCTAAATCTGAACAACTTTGATCTGAGTTTTTCGGAACTATGCATCTACCTTACTGATATTGACATTAACCCTTCTATTTTGCACAGACAGTAGGATTTACTTCAGTATAATCCTAACATTTCATTGTTTCTTTCAAGATTGCTTGTTGACATCTGTTTTTATACCATTAACATGTCAGATTTGGATCCTCTACAGATAAACACAATTCCTTATTTACAGAATCATTACATCCAGACATTTCATTCGACTCCTAACACATCATGTTTTTAAAAATGCCTAGCTTACTCATATCAGTTACATTTTTATCCTGTAATCCTAACACAAGCATCTTCATTCAAACCAGGAGTACTGCATTTTAAATATTAAATCTATTCATCCTTTACATTAATGCAAGCATAATCCCCTTCAAATTAGCTGCTCTTACAATTGATTCCCTTTATCTTCGAACAAAGACTTGCTGTAACTGGAGCCTTATAAACTTCAGAACAATATGCAATCTGCAATGCCCTTTCTGAAGTCTCCATGCATTCATTCCCATTCCAAAGACAATCCTTGCCTATCACATTTGTGCAAGAATTTCGAGAAAGCTATTTTGAACATCCCAAATTCATCAAATGGGTTTACTGTGCATCCATACATCGTTACCCAAAGTAACCTTAAATAACTTCAAACATCATACATCTTGCTTCATTGCCATCACTATTTGTCAGTTAATTTAAGCATGCCATTTTGTTTAATTAAGGAATACATCCAACATTCGTGCTGCGAATTGGTAAGCAAGCATTGTCAAAAACACTAAATTGACCTAAGTGATTAAATGAGGAATTTACACATCACGCCTTCGGTTTTGCTTATACATGCTATGGGATCCATGGGGAAGTAATTGCAAACCATGCACGACGAATTAGAAACAACTATCAAGTATAATACTACTTTTATAAGCATTTTTAATATTGAAATCACTGTATATAATCTAGAAGATTTAAACTTATATTTTACTTTAATTATCTCAAGATAAGAATATTAAAATTTTGAAAAATTAAATTATATTCCAATTTTCTCATAAGATATAATAAAAATTCATTTTAATCTTAACTACTCAATATTGAATAACACATCGTTTCAATTATTATAATAATTCCCATCTATCAATTTTGTTTTTACCTAAGGAATTCACCACCATTTAATTAACTTTGGTGATAGTTTTAGTATGAGAATAATGTAAATTTATTTTTATTTTATCAAGCCTTAAAATAACCTCATGAAACAGATGGTATATATCACAAACTTTTCTATTCCATTGTCTTTTTAATTGTCTTTTCTATCTTACATAATATCTTTATCTCTTAAAGTCCATATGCTTCGTTGTTACTTTATTCCAAATTGTAATTATATATAATAGATTTGTCTTTTGTTATTTTTATGAATCGACCTATTTTATCAACCCTAAATCAAGTTGTAAGTCAACGAATTAGTAATAATCGTATTTTCGGAGGATTGCATTTATCGATATTAATTTTCAAATTAACTAATAAAATTATATAAAATTTTAATAATTATTCCTATTTTATGATATTTAATTATGTGAGGAGTAGGTAATATTTATCTAAGTCTGCTAAAATTTTTATACATAATTAAAAACACTTAAATATAAAAATAACTATATCTTTGATTAGAAAGCTATTAAGAAATAACATAAATTTATAAATTTATCAACTTAGAGCTAGTTTACTTCATTTTTTCTAATTATTCTTCTTCATTACATAGAAAACTATGTAGTTCCACTATCTGAATATTGGAAGTAAAAGAAACGAAGGCAAAGATTGAATAATAGATAAATAAACGATTTTTTTTTGTAAAATGATATTATTTTTATTATGCACAACGAGTTTTAATCTCATAAAGGCAAAAAATAGTTAAAAATTGAGTCATTTTTGTAAGGAAAAATAATAAAAGCCAAAAAAATGAATAATAGTTTTCTATATCACAATTCAAGAATGATTTCACTCTAAAATAATGGAATGCTTGTCTATTATAGTAAATGTTTCAATTGGCCTTCTAAAGAATTTGATTAACATAAAAAAAAACCAAAATGTGGGATATATTTTAATAATGTCTATCATTCATGTGTTCAAAATTCAGAGAGAGAAATTGAACTGATCGTCAAATTTCCGAAATTCCAGCTTTATTATTTTGAAAATGTCTTCGAAAGCTATGTTAAAGAGCCAAGATGTTCAGATATAGTGCTCTGGATTTTCAATATACCAAAAAATAACCTAGAGCTTAATCAAAAGTTTCTTTCAGTTAGAGACATAGACAATTTTCATTCATTCTACACAATTAAAGTAGCGAATTAAGATGAAAAGACTTAGAAAAGTATATCGTAATAAGTTAGGACTGAAAAAACTACCATTGAATAAAGAATAAATAACAAAGATTTCAAAAATAAAAAATAAGTATAATGGTTGGATTTACAACCAGAAAAACTCAATCATTTAGACAATTAATTCCCTGATCTTGTAACAAAAAGTAAATAATTCAGTTATGATGATGCATGGTTAATAAATGAAGAATGTGGCGATCTGTAAATGAAAAGTATGTAAATTTAAAGATCTTCCCTTCCATGCCTCATCTACTCCAAAAAACGAAATTGATTAATTTTTATTGTGTGTATTTCTAATTATACATAGATTTTACAATCTAAAATGAAACTTTGATTTCTCACAATAACAATTGAATTGAATATTTAATATTTTTTTTAGTATAAGAATTAGATATACTAACATTATTATTAAAATTTACAAGGATCCATTATTATTAAGTTATTTTTGTTATCTGAAATCATTAATATTGTTTTTACCTTAATAGGATTTCGATTAATATTAAAAAATCAGCTAAGCTGTTATAATCTGATTATAAATGCTACATAAAAACTTGAGTTTGAATCTTGAAAATTTATAAACGAATTAACTTCTTCTTTAAAATATTGTTGATCTAAAGATAATTACTTTTGGAAAATTCCAGATTGTGTTACATGTCAATTTCCCTTTTTTATAGATTTATATTTAATTATGGATGCTTCATTAATACAATTTAATGATAAATAACACTAAATTTTATATTATTCAATTGAATCAGTAATTCTAAAAATGAAAGAAAATTTAAAAGGATTTGTTATCTTAAAAGGATTGCAAATAGAATATATTTTGTTATCTGTTTATTTCATAATAAAATAAAAAGAGTTTAGCTGCCATAATGTGTTTTTAAATATTCTATTCAATTTCTTTAAAGGAATTTATGTTCATTGATAGAATATATGATTCGGTTTCTTTTTTTGTATTGAAAAATTATTAAGAAAGAATTAATAATTGTTGAATGAAGTGGATTTTACTGAGATCTCATGAAATTTATTTGAGTTCTACTTTTTAAATGAGATTGAATAATAAACTATAATTAAAATGGGATAATAGCAATCACAATAAAACAATTTTTTTTGGCCTGCCAAGGGAGAAGTGTAATTATGGACTCACTCATAAATAAAAGTTTATTTGTCATTTTATCCAAGATCATATCAGAAGGGGAATCTAAGTTTTCTGAACAAAATAATGAATCTGTAATTACCTGTCCTATTGAGTACTCATTAAGTTGGGTAACTAAGTCAAATCAGATTCATTTTACTTCAACGAAAATATCTAATGGAACTAAAGTGAAATTTGTAGTTGATCAAAGCAATGGTAAACTTATAAGTAATTTATTCCTTAAAAATTAGAAACGGAATATACAATAGTTGAGAAATTAGAAAAATAAGTAGATGAGGAACTACAGCCTTAAATAATGTGGAAATGCTGGGTCGAGATTTGGCTTAGCTAAACTAAAAAGAATGATATTGTGCTTAGTAAGTAAGACAGTTTAGAAAACGTGTAATTGGAAAGTGGGCTAGGGTCTATTAGCAATCCATTAGTCAAAGTCTATAGGGAAAGGAGAGGATAACTACAACTACTGACAAGACATTTGTGTTATTCAAATTAGAATGATAATAAGAAATCAACCAAATACTAGATAAATATGTAATTTTGTAAGTCTTAATTTTGGATATTCAATTGGGATCTTAAATAGAAAATAGTTCCTGATAGTTATTTTTTGGAATTGTAAAATAAATCATCAACAGAATCTCTTTCTTTTTATCAATTAACACTAAATTGAAAATGTTTTAATATTTTTATTAACAGAAATGATTAGATATCAAATAATGTATGCAGTTTTATTTTAATATAACATTTAATATCTTGTTTATATAATTATTCCAATTGTCTTATTCAGATAATATATATTTCCTAAAAAGCATATTTATATTATTGAAGGTGTTGGAATTTCAATTAAATTTTTCTTCAAAATAAGACTTATGGAAATAAACGCAAAAAAAATTTCTAATAATATTTTTAGATTAATGAAAATAATTTCTTATTTAAATTCATAAATATTATATTATTTAACTTGCAAAAGTAAGGAATTATAATATAAATACAAAGAATATTATAAATGAATCATTTTTTCACTCTTTTTCTATTTTTATTTTTATCCAATAATCTTTGTATTTACTTTTAATCAACTTCTAAGATCCTCATCACAAGTTTATAATCATTATTATATGCTAATAATAAAGCCTCATATTAATAATCAGTAATTGTTGAGAAATACTTTTACAATTCTAAAAATGTATTGTAATGTTGATTATTTTTAATTGGTGGAGTTTTAGATTCTAAACTACTTAAGCTCCATTCATCAAAGTTTCTTTGGAAATCATATTCATCATTCATGAACTGAAAAACTAAACTCGCTGATAATGGTTAACTAAGATTTATTGAAGAAGAACTGGATTTCTCTGGCTCATATTATAAATATCTAGGTATTTGAGGAGGTTGTCTGGCTCTTTAATAGATTTGTGGTTAAGCTTAAGTCTTAGATTACTAGTCATCATGACATGATAAATAATCATCTAAAAGTTGATCTTCAACATCATTTAGACATATTACGGATTCATCAGAACTAATCACAATAACCGCATTGTTGTTGCTAACTTCTATGGCGATTGGCTCATTTACTTGTGATATTTTCTCAATTTCGATTTATTGATTATTAATAGGTTCACTAATTTTTTGAGGTATATCTTTTGTTCTACAATCAATTAATGGAGCATTATTATTTCTTTTCTTTACACATCTGACTTTTGAGTTTCTTTTTTATATATCCATCAATTCATTCACAAATATTTGTTTATTTTGTGGATATTATTGATTCATGAGGTTCAACCCATCTAAAAAGTTAAGATCTAGTTTTTAGGCCTTCCAAAAATTTTCAATTTGTTCTTCTTGCTTCTTTAGTGAATCTTTTTATTTTTTTCCTTTTTTCATAAGAAAAAATGAAATATTTATATTAAAAGATCATATTTTATTTGATAATTTCTTTAATACTCATTATATATTATATCATTACTACTATGCTTATTTTTATTATTGGTATTGTTGTAAATCATGTCTAATCTTCTATCCTAATAAGTCTAATTCTCTTAAAAATAGTGATTTAGATTCTCTGGCTCTTCTTGCCTATAAGAAATTCACAATGACTCTCTTTTATTTTGGACCCAACATGAACCAATTTTTGACATGTGATCTCAAAATCTCATCTTAAGGTATTGGTTTAGCAGTCTCTATTTATTCTTATACTGAAGACTTAAATTATCTAATGACTTAATCCTCATTATTAATAAAAGAGTGTATACCTCTGTCTTTCCCTCTGGGAGACTCTCTCCCAACCTAACAATTGGCTTATTTTTATAATCATATTTCTCTCTTAAATACTATTTATAATCTTCTTTCTTATGTTTAATTCTTAATGCCTGTTCAATATAGGAGACATCATCTTTTCCCAATTTAAGATCTCTGACTTTGGCTCTTAAAAGATTAGGGGTTATTTCTGGAACTTCAATTTCTGACTTACTGATTTCTTATTGCTGCAAATATATCAATAACTTACCTAAGCCAAATATTATTCTGTCTTTTATTTCACGTACTCATCTTCTAATTATTTTCTATATTTTTATCTGATTCTATCCCTCTCCTATACAACAGTCTTTAATCTGGCCATTGATATTTTGAGTTGCACAAGTTTTCCCATCCTACCTTTGACACCTACCACTTTTTTGAAAAATATGCCATCTGATAATAATAAATTCTTTTCCTTCAACATTACATACCTCAATCATTAATTTGAAAAAGTACCACAATTTTGTTAAATCTTCTGTTGATTTCAATCGCAATTCCTCTACCTTCCAAGATCTTCCCTATGAGACCTATTATTTAGTATCTTTCAATTATTATTTAGTCAATGCATCAGTGAATTACAACAATTTTTCACTCTAAGTTGCTGGTGCCTAAACATTGAAGTATCTTGTCTGAAATGCCAATTTGCTCCATGTTTATAATAATATACGATTTATCATATATTGAAAATAAATAAAAAATATTATTTCAATTATTAAAAAAATTTGTTTTTGATATTTTACATATTCAAAATTATTCAGAATAGTTAAAATGAATTATTAAATATGCTATGTTAATTATAAATGCCCAAAACAAAATCAAATTTTTATTTTTTTAAGGAAAGCCTATCCAAAATACTCAAGTAAAGGTAGATTAGTAGCATCAATAGAATCGCAAATCTCAGGGCAACTGTTTACTTCCAAAACCTATAACCCAAATCTCTTAGAATCCAATATATCCACTCCCCCAACTGTTAAATTATCATCAATAGCTAGACACGCTTTTTCAGCCAGATCACAATATATATTCTTCTTTTCCGAATTCATTAATGACTCCACTGAAGCCTCTTCACTTAAACCAACTGACCTAAAATTCTATTTTAAACTCCAAATGATATTTTACTTTACTAAACTTAAATTCAGCAACTGATGCTGCTTTACCTCCTATTACAAGGACTCTCACTGATTTTCCAGGACAATCATCAACATACACTTAAGATATTTGTTGTTCTTATTTCCACAAAGCACGTGAGTACATTTCTACACTATTGTTTCTACAATGAGTTAGATGCACTCCTATTCCTGAATATCCATGAACATCTTTCATGATTGCTTCTTCATCAAATTATTATATAACTGATTTAAATGAGTTTATTGAAAATGCCGCTCCAATTTTTGGAAAAGGTATTTTGTACTTAGAAAAGTTGATGTATTAAAGTAATTTATTGTAGAGGATGTGTTCTGTCTCAGGTTTATGTAAAGTAATTCGACCTGATGCATGAACTGCCTAGTTAATATACAAATAGTCAAGAAAATGCTTAGGATTCATGTATCCATACGCTAAGAATGCATCAAAATCTATTAGCTCGTTATTTATATAAAATTTAAATTCCTTTGAAAATAACATGATTTTACATTTCCAACTGTGAAACTTATGTCCTTTAGATTTACTCTTTAAACCTAAGCATTTTGCTAAGTTAATTAATTAATTATTAGATCATCCATTTCTGCATAAAATATTGGGTCAGGATTGATCATATATAAAACTTTGGGTTATCTTACTATTATTTAACATTACCATAGTACTTTAAAAAATGCATTTTATAACACTCCTTATCATATTATTTAATAAATTATAATCTCAAAATTAGGAAATTGGAAGGTTTTCAGTTCATATTAATTTCAAAAATTCAATTGATGATATTTCAACTAAATACTGAAAATTTTAAAGTTTCCACAAAAATATTAATTCATAGATCACATTAAAATTATTAAAAATGAAGATAGAGAAAATTTGAACAATAATCTAATTATCTTTAAATGTTTTATATATGGTTAACTAAACCTAATAATATATTCTGAAAATGTTATTTGTGTATCAATAATTTCTAATTTAAAATATACCCTACTAAGAGACTTTTATCATATCGCTATCAAATCTGAATCAAAAAGATAATTTCGATCTGTAAATTCAATAACATATAAATACTAAAACTCTCTTTATTTTTATAATGGCTACTATTACTTAATTGAGTAGGAATTAATTTGAAATAATTAAAAATACTATTAACTATTATTAATTAATTCTTAATTTCATAAGTAAACCCCTTAATTGTAATAATATCCAACATAAAGTTCAATAGAAATAAAATTGTTCACCTAACTGAATAATTCTACTTTGGAAATATACTGTAGATTTTTGATAATCCATCCATAATAATACTACTAATCAACCTATTTAAGAAAGCATAATTAACTTTATTTGCGAAATATACAGTAATTCTAAAAAACCTATTATATCTTACGATATAAATTTAGGAGTTACACAATTTCTGTAAACAAATAGTTACTTTTGAATAATATCCTTAATTAGGATTTACTGTAAAAATAACTTTGAATATAATCTAATCTGCAAATCCCACCTTAGGTTGTATTTTTGGTTGGATGCCACTTAAACTCAACCCTTCAGCTTGTACCTGTAATACAAAAGTTATGGTCCTAACAAATATGTGGACTGATCTTGAGATATCAATCAGGTTGTTATTGTGGAATAGAAAGAAGAGGTTGAAAGTAATTCATGTTATAATTAGCCTCTTAATTGATGAATGCAAAAATACGAAGAAGGCAAATGGTATGGGTAGACAAAAAAACGAAGGAATGTAATCATGGTGTTTAAGTAATGGGAAGCAGCTAAATAAGTAAATTTAATTGAAAAACAGAAAATTTTGAAATAATATATTGTAAAGCTATTTCATAACAGAGAGTCAATTCATGAGCATCACTAAATAATTTAGTAATTTAAACTATTAATAAATGAATAAAAGTAAATCATTAATTTCTTTAATAAAGATTTTTTTTAATTTAATCCAATAAATGTGTTGTTTTTCAAAATTTTAATATTGTTTCTGAAGGTATATATTTGTTACATAAATCCAAAATATTATATTTGATCACATTGCTTATACAAAATATCATAAAGACTATATAAATCAACTAATGAGTACATAATCAAATGAAATCATTTAATTAAATTTATAACAATTTAGTTAATTATTGATTCTTATTATTCAATTCCAAAGTCATTTTAATTATTTCTCTAAATTTTTCTTCTTTTTTTTGCTGAAATTTTATATTTAATTTTAGTAATAAAATCTGATTTAATTATGAATACCTCTTCAAATGATTATGCAACTTACCACCATTAATAAAAAAATTGTAAAATAATAATTAATGAATTGTTGGTTTTTCCCTTCTTAAACTATTTTTCATTTATAATTGAATGAAATAAGAATTATACACTTCTTGGCATGATACAAAGATCAGGTGGTTATTGTTAGCATTGCTATGCTTATTTTAGGCCGGCTGCTCTTTATGCATTGATTTTCCTTTTGTTTTAGCAACAGAAATCTAGAATTATTATAATGTACATCAACAAGACATTAATTATCTTTATGCAATTTATTCTATGCCCAACATTATTCTTCCTTTTTTTGGAGGAATTATTATAGATAAAATCGGTATTAGAAGTGCATTACTTATTTTTTGTGCGTTTTTGATTATTGGATAAAGTAAGCTTTTTTTTGTTGAATTTAGGTTCTTGTGTATATAGTGCATAGGTTAAGGATTTTAACTTGCTCAAAGTAGGCATGTTTTTACTTGGTCTAGGTGCTGAGGTTAGTTTGTTAGTCACTTAAGGTGCTTTGTTAACCAAATGGTTTTTTGGAAAAGAAATATCGTTAGCCTTTGGGTATTATAATAAATTATCTTAGAATTTAACTTACTTTTATCAGAGTCGGATCAATTATTGCTGTTAATTAACTTCCTCAAATATATGTTAATTATGGTAATAGCTTTGTAGCTTGTATGACCTATTGCTTGGCTACTATTTTGATCATCACATTATCTTGTATCATTGAAACAGTAATTGATTATGTAAGTGACAGAAGAGACTCTAATCATTATTAATCATAAGCACAATTATAATTAGAGTAACAAAAACCAGTGAGTTGCAAAGATTTAAAAGAGTTTAATTATGGGTTCTATTTAATTTCCATAAGTTGTATGTGTGGATATTGCATCTTTTTTATATTGTAGTTAAACGCTCTACGCATGTTTTAAATAAGGTTAATTGTAATTTTATTCTTAGATATAATCTAACATTCTTTTATTAAACATTACTTTATAGTCTACCCTACATTATTTGTATAATTTTAACACCAATTATTGGTCATATCGTAGATAAAGTGGGAAAGAGACCATATTTTTTAATTCTTTCTGGGTTTTTGACAACATTATCAATGTTAGTTTATTCATTAAATAATGATTGTTCAGTTTAGAATGAATGTTTTAATTATGCACTAATAGGACAAATTTTAAACGGAATGTTTTTTTCTTTATTTGCACCTTTGATTTGGCCTTGTATTCCAATTTGTGTCAGCACAAATACCCAAGGAACTGGATTTGGTGTAGTTTGTTCTATGTAAAATTTTGGTTTGACTGTATTTCCAATTATCGTAGGTAAAATTTTGATTGAAGAAACTGCTATTGGCTATTTACATATGATATACTTTCTTGGGTTTATCGCCCTTATAGCTAATATCAGCAATATCAATATTTATTTTTATGATAGATACAATGGTAATAAATTAATGTCGCCTACCGTTAAATTACCTGATTATCAAATTATTCTTGAACAAGAAGATGAATAAAATTGAAATATAATATATAAAATAATAACAATCTAACGAATATTTTCTTTAAATTTTCGTAGTTTATGAATAAATAGAATTAGGAAATATTTTCAAAAGGATCGAAATAATAACTTAATTATTATCACCTCATTCTAAAAGTCAAACTCCAATTAGATTTTATTTAGTATGATAGTTTATGGGTAAAATTAAAAAGAAGTATAAATTTTTAATTATTTTTTTGCCTCATCAAACAAAACAATGATAATATTATTTAATATATTATAAATTAGATATATAATTAAATAGAAAAAAGAAAATAATTTATTTTTTGAATTTGAATTTGTTATTAAATATTTTTCCATAAGATATTCATTTTAGTTTCGATTTATAATTGTAGTACTACAAAATTTATTTGTCAAAATATTAGTTCAAGTTGAAAAGAAAGAAAATATAATAAGAATATAAATTTCAATGAAAAAACAGAAATAAATTTCATGGCATCGCACCAATGTTAGATGGGTATTTCTGGGCTTAACTTGCTTATTTTAAGTTGGATGCTGCATTTGCATAGATTTCCCTTCGGTATTAGCAAGTTAAATCTAATCTACTTTTAATGTTGGTCAAAAGGATATCAATTACCTATTCTCTATTTATTCGATGCCCAATATAGTTTTACCCTTTTTCGGTGGAATTATAATTGATAAAATCGGAGTTAGAAGTGCTTTGATAATTTTTTGTTCGTTTTTGGTAATTGGATAAGGTTATTATTATTTTTATGGCAAGGATTGTGTGTTTAAGGAGCTCAAGAGAAAGATTTTAATTTAATAAAATTGGGAATGCTCTTTTTAGGATTAGGAGGAGAAGTTTGCTTATCAGTAGCTTAAAGTGCTGTGCTTACAAAATGGTTTTTAGGATAAGAGATGTCATTAGCTTTTGGGTATAAATAATAGATAGATAGTTAGTGTATAAATTACATTCATTCGGGTTGGCTCAGTTATTGGTGCCAATTGGCTACCAAAGGTGTATATTTAGTATGGAAATAGCTTTACTGCTTGTATGGTTTTTTGTTTCGTTTTCATTTTGATTACAATGCTTACTAGTTTCGTTCAATGTACATTAGATAAAAGAAGTGATACAAGAGATAAAGAGTAGATGAGTTAACAAGAATTATCTGAATTAGAATAACAACCACCAGTGAATTGTAGTGATGTCAAAGATTTTAGATTCGATTTCTACTTATTGTCTATCAGTTGCGTATGCAGTTATAGTGCATTTCTTATCTTATAGTCGAATGCAATACGCATGTTCCAAATCAGGTGAGATTTATCTCTAATTTATAGATATAATCTAACTTTAACTTAATAAACTTTTCTTTACACTTTACCATACTTTATTAGTGCATCAATAACTCCAATAATCGGGTTTTTTATAGATAAAATTGGGAAGAGACCAATATTTTTAATAATTTCTGGTAATTTATTATTATTGTCCACAATAATATTTTCTAAGAATGTAGATTGTTCAATTGAAGATCAATGTTTTAGTTTAGTTCTTTTGGCTTAATTGATTAATGGAATCTTTTTTGCTTTGTATGCACCTGTGATTTGGCCATGTATACCATTATGTGTGAATGGCAATTCGCAAGGAACTGGATTTGGAATTATTGGTTCCATTTAAAATGCTGGTTTGACTGCATTTCCAATTATTGTGGGTAGAATTCTGTTTGTTGAAAGTGCTGAAAGCTATTAGTATATGATATATTTCCTTGGATTTGTCACAATCCTAGCTAATATTAGCAATATTAATATCTATTTTTATGATATCTATCATGGCAACAAATTGATGTCACCTACAATTAAATTACCAGAATACGAAGTTGTTGCAGAATAAGAAGAATAAAGCATTAATACTCGAATTGAATGATTAAGTGTAATTTATTTAGATGCTTATTGTTTATTATAATTAAATATATTAATCAATCCAATTCATAGATATTAAAATAATTAATGATCTCTTCTCTCTTAAATAATCTTATAACAATAATTTTTCAATTTATTTTGAGTGTTGTAGTTTCAAGTAAGAAATCTTCTTTCTATTTTAACTTAAAAAATATAATAATTTTATAATGAGTTATTAAAAATATTGTTTTAATTTCAACACTATTCAAGAAACGGGTTTATTCTTTGAAAAATTAACTTTCGTTCTTAAAGTTAAATTGTTATTTATAATAATTATTATTGATGATTTATTTATAATAATAAATAGTATCAAGTATTCTGATTGTGACCTACTATTGATTGTTTATATCGTTTTCAGAAACTCTATGAAAACATAGTTTCAATATAATATATGACTGAATAGTTGGAGAACCTCAGAAATTTCAATCATTACGAGTTTAATTCAAATGTCAAAGTTACTTTGGCTGAGTACATTTGGATTGACGGAACTGGGTTAAGCTTAAGATCAAAAACCAAGGTATGCATAAAGAGTTAATGAATAGGTCTTTCATCATGAGATCAAATAACTTTCCGATCTTGAATGGTGGACTTATGATGGCTCATCAACAGAATAAGCCAACACAAAATGGTCAGAGATCTATCTGAAGCCTGTTGTTTTTGTTCGGGATCCTTTCCGAGGTGCTCCACACTTATTAGTATTATGTGAAACTTATCTTCCTGATAAGAAAACTCCGGCAAGATATAATTTCAGGTAAGAGACATGTGAATCTATGTAGATGGTTAGCATAGGAAATAATGGAAAAGGCAAAAGAATATAATCCTTGGTTTGGAATCGAATAGGAGTATTATCTACTAAAGAGAACAGGTACGACTCATACCTGGCCTCTTGGTTGGCCCAATGGTGGATTTCCACATCCTTAAGGAAGATACTATTGCTCAATAGGAGAGAGAAACAATTTTGGTCGTGCTTTAGCCGAAGCACATCAAAGAGCTTGTTTGAATGCTGGTTTGAAGATAGCTGGAATAAATGCTGAAGCTGCTCCTTCCCAATTTGAATTTCAGATAGGTATAGCACAAGGCATCGAAGCCGCAGATCATTTGTGGTTAGCAAGATATATTCTAGAGAGAATAGGTGAGGAATTCGGAATTGATATCAATTATGATCCAAAACCGATCAAAGGAAATTGGAGTGGATCTGGTGCTCACTTCAACTACTCTGATTCCAAGACTAGAAGTGAAGGTGGGTATGAATATATACTGAAAACACTAATTCCTGACCTTGAAAAATATCATGAATAATCGTTATTTCTTTATGGATCAAATAACATAGATAGACTAACAGGTGCTCACGAAACAAGTGAATATGGAAAATTCACCTGGGGAGACGGTTCTAGAGGTGGTTCAGTTAGAGTTCCAATCATAACCAAAGAATTGGGCAAAGGGTATACTTGGTGTGTTCATTATTTATAGATATTTTGAAGATCGAAGACCTGCTGCTAATATTGACCCATATTTAGTAGGATCAACGATTGTTGATATAACTTTGCTTGGAGGAACCTATTTGGACAAATTGAAGTAAGAGCTACACAAATCAGCACAACCATTATAATGATCAAATATAAAAATATTAAATATATTTTTAAATGTTCAAACCAATAATTAATTATGCAACCAAATGATTAGGAACTTCTGATATGAGAATAGATAGTTAAGGGATAATTTGCATGAGAAGGACTAGGAAAATTTATTTAAGAAATGAGAATAAAACTTATAAAATCATTTAGTATTATATGTGGTATCTATAAATGTATTCTAAAATTCTGAAGTTAACATTCTATGACAATTAAAAAGAGGAAATCTATTGGATAAATTAATTAAAATAATCTAAAGATATATAAAACACAAAATATCAATGCTTATTGAAAAAATTTAAATATAATTATAATAAATTCACTACTTATTAATTTCTAAAGATATCTGAATAATAATAGAATGAAATTATAAAAATAATGTTTTATTTTTATGCGTTTATTTTATTTGATAAATAACTAGATTAAATTATATAAAAAATAATGTTATTTACTTTTTTTCAGAATCAAATCTACTTCCTTTGGAATTATATATATATTTTAACTCAATTAGTTATTCGGAGAAAAAATGAGTAATTTTTAATTTTTTTCCATAAATTAATTATTAAATGCTATAAGAATATTATAATAAAAAGGTGTTGTTTATAACCGGATGCACAGGTAAGCATTATAATGATGAATATATAGGATTTGTGGGCAAGGTATTGTTGGAAAAGACTTTGCGTTGCTTATCGAATGTTGGATATATTTATGTTCTGATCAGGCAAAAGAAGGGTAGCAGTTTAATGGAGAGGTTTAAACGAGAGATCTTGGATTCATAAGTAAGGGTCTATTAATAAGTTAGTCTTTTGATCGATTGAGATAGATCTATGGGGGAGGTTTTGAAAAATTCATAAATGAGAAGATTATTCCAATTGAAGGTGATATGTTAAAGGAAGGGTTTGGGAATGGCAGAGAATGATAAAAATGTTATAATTGATAATGTGAATGTAAGCAAACTAATAATAATTAGATTATAATTAACTGTGCTGCAAGTGTAGATTTTAATGCAAGATTGGATGATGCAATATAAATTAATGTAAGAGGCCCTCAAAGATTTATAGCACTAGCACAGTAAATTAAAAATCTAGAAAACTTCATCCATATTTCAACAGCATACGTCAATTCAGATAAGGCAGGTTATATAGAAGAGAAAATATATGATGCAAATTAAGAGAACTTGGAACAATTAGTTTCTTAATTGTTGAAGACTCCTGTGAATATATTGGAGAAGAATGTAAAAGATATTATAGGAGATTTTCCAAACACATACACTTTTACAAAGTGCATTGCTGAAAAACTATTGGTATAAAACAGAGCTCCTAACTTTCCACTGACCTTTGTTCGACCATCAATAGTAGGTGCATCATGGAAAGACCCAACACCTGGTTGGATTGATAGTTTGGTGGCAAGCAGTGCCATTTTCTTCTTTGTTGGTTTAGGATTAATTAAAACTTTAAATGGAGATGCATGTCTGATTGGAGATTAAGTGCCTGTAGATTATGTAGCTGATTTTATTTTGGCTGCTGGAGCATATTAAAATGGAAGGAAAGAAGTAAGTGTTTATCATTGCTGTTCTTCTGCAAAAAATCCAATGACATGGCAGTTAGCTAAAGAAGTAAATGCCTTATTTTGGACACGATCTCCTAGTTCTTAATAATTTTCCAAACCCAATTTAACATTCTATAAAAATGAAAAAATTTATAAGATAATGTCCAAAGTTAAAAATGCTCCTGCATTAATATATTATTAGTTTGCGAACAAGATTGGAAATAAGGAAATGAAGATTTAGGCTAAAAGATTAAAAAAGATTATTGATAGGGCTGAATCAATTAATGACACCTTCAGACCTTTTGTTCTTAATGAATGGATCTTTGACAGTTCCAATAGTAATGTACTAATCAAATTCTTAAGTGAATCTGATAAGCAACACTTTAACATTGACATTGAAAAACTGAATTGGAGGTAATATTTAGAAAGGTTTAATTGGGGAATACAAAAATACATCTTGAAAGATTAAACAAGAGAATTGAATGAGCAGAGCACTGATGTTCTCAGCTAAAGAAATCAATAGTCTTACTTTAGTGATATTGAATGGTGTCTTAGTCACGGATAAGACTTCAAAACAAAAACCACAAAAGAACAAATTAGTTTGGTGTTGAATTCTCAAAGAGTGTAATCAGTTATCAAATAATTAGTTGAAGAAAAATCTAAAAAATATCAATAAACTACACTTAATCTTGAGAAGTTGCATCAGAACATAGAAAAATAAGGTATTGATATATGTGAAGGGATGTTTGCAAATTATAATATGGGAGTCATTAGGATGTTTGCATGGTTCATCACTAAGGTTTTTAGATAGATATACGAGAAAGTTTAAATAAATGAGCCAGCTTTGTTAGAACTTCAAAATTATGATTAGAAAACAAGAGGACCCTTAATTTTCATGCCTACCCACAGATCTTACATCGACTTCATTATGGTATTAAACTTGTATATGGTAGTGTTCTTATGTGTTTTTCTCGTACAAGATTAAATGTCCGCACATAGCAGCTGCAGAGGATTTCTTGTCCATGGCTTTGGTTCCAACAGTCTTAAGAGCTTCTGGGGCTTTCTTTTTGAAGAGGAAATAATTGGAAGATAATATATTATACAAAGCCATCTTTTACGAATATGTTTAGAGAATCTTGATTGAAGAGTGCTATTTAGAATTCTTCATTGAAGGTACTAGATCTAGAACAGGAAAAACATTAAATCCAAAGTTTGGATTGTTAAGTATCGTTTGTGATGCTGTTTTCGATAAAAAGATACCTGATGCTACAATATTACCAATTACAATAAATTATGAGAAAGTTTTAGAGGCTGACACTTATCCCTATGAATTATTAGGGGAAGAGAAGGTTAAGGAATCTCTTATTAGAGTTATTAAGGCTATTAAAATATTATCATCGAATTTCGGTAGAATTCATGTTGGATTTGGGAAAATGATATCAGTTAAAGAATGGTCAAAAATAATAGGGTTTAGATTCCTTTGAGAATATTAGAGATCGTAAGAGGGGAGTGGAGACTTTGGGTTACGAAGTAGCTTACTAATTAATTGAAGAGATGGTTGTAATGCCTACAGGAATAGTCTCGACTCTGTTATTGATGAATAGAAGAGGAATTACAGAAGATTAATTGATAAAGAGATTTGAATGGGTGTTGAGACAAATCACTAAAAGAGGAGCGAAGGCTTCAATTACCAATAATGGTTAAAGTGATGTAGCTGTGAGAAATTCAATTGGATTCTTATAGGATTTGGTTGATAAGAAGAAGAAAAATGTATTTGAGTTGACTTTGATACCAAAACAAGAATATAAGAGCATCTTGTTGTTAAGTCATTATAGGAATCAATTAGCTCATATATTCTTTAGTGAGGGTATAGTTTGTTGTGCTTTGAATGGATTTGGACATTTGTTATCCCATAAGGAAGGAGTGAGCATAGAGAGATTATGGGAAGAGAGTGATTTCTTGTTGAAATTATTAAAAAGAGAATATGTGATAAGAAACAGAATTACAACCAAAGAATAGATGATAAATTTCACTTAATCCATGATAGAAAAGAATGTTTTAGAGAAGGTCTAAGAAAAGATCAGAGTTAACCAATAATTTGGTGAATAGGCATCGTAATTTACATGTTCACTCATTTGGCCTTTAGTGGAGTGCTATTGGGCTACTATAGTCTATTTATATTAATTAAAAAGAGCAAGTGATACAAACACTACGTTTGAATTGTCTGAATTGATTACTTAAATTTAAGGATTCGCAGAGTAGATGTATGGAGAACATATTATGGAACACTATGAAAGTTGCTCGATTGAAACCATTAAGAATGCTATCAACACTTATCAAACCATGAGATGTATCGATATTAGCAAGAATGATGACTCTGATTAAGTAAGTATTGTATTTACTGATCAAGAGGTAATTATATTACTATAATTTAGTTATTGGAAGTTGAAGCTTAAGTTAAAAAATATTTAAAGAATAATTATTCTAAATCAATATCCAACCCTATAGATATTGCTAGATCTTTGTTAGATTATACCATTATACCCAAATTATGAGTATTGTAAATTAGACTCATATATTAATTATTATAATATTTATGATTGATGCTCAATGGTGGTGTGATCCATGGCCCTTCTTGACATATTATAAACCACAGTATTTGCATGTTTAAGGTGTGCCTTCTGTTCTTGTATCCAATTTGATATAGACTTAAGGATGGCCTGCATTGATGTGTGTGCCTCCCTTATTATTAATCACATTTTTACCATTACATTGCCAAACATCTAACAACATCAGTATCCACTTCTATTACAGGTATCTTGTGAATAAATTCTTCAGCTCTGCTTTTATGAGTTTAGAGAGATCTCTAATAATTTGATCTTTAATTACCTTATGGGTTTCATCATAATCTAACCATTTATGTTAGGCTAAACTTGTGTAGGACTTCACCAATTGTGAAAATTAAGCTGTCTTAGCTAATTGAATGCATTTTTACAACATTGTTGTATATTTTATGATAATTAAATTATTAATAATAATAATTCTAAACTTATATCTTTCGAGTCATTTTTATTGCTTGTAATCACTCGATTTACCTATTATTATTTGAGCATTCTTAAGATTATCCAACTCAGCTTATAGAATCATCAACTCCTCCTACTTCTGATGGAACTCTCTATCATTAATTCAATACATACTTATTTTATTCTATAAACTTCTTTTTCCACGTGTTTACCTCATCGAACAAATATTTGTGCTTCTCTTCAACATTTGTCGTTTACTCTTCCAGTTGCCCATGTAATTCTTAAATGTATTGATTTGCCTCTTCAATTTCTTTATCCTTATCCTGTATCTGTCTATCGTATCCATCTATGACATTTTATTTCTGTTCAAGTTTCTCCTACAATTATTAAATCTCATCCTATAAAATTTTTATTGTGTTAACTAACTATTAAATTTAACTATATGCTTAAGATAATTCACTTTCCTCATCCTCATTATCTTATTTATTTTATTACTAAGCTTCTAATTCCTTTATTCTATTCTACAATTCTTGCACCTTTACCCTCCAAGGTTCTTCCACTTACTACAAATCCACCACTTACAATGGACTCTAAACAGGCCCATTACCCTGACTTGTCTGAAATCTTTGAGCTGCTCCTTATTACTCCCAAGTTCCTCTATTCACATTTGCATTCCCATTTATTGGATATATTTATCTATTGAATTGCTACGGGTATCCTTATTATTGTTATTGAAATTATTATTAAGCCATAGGTTAAACCTAATTTTAAAACGAGGGTTGAGAGATCACTTTAACTGCTCCTTGCTAAGTCAGGGAGAATGGAGTCTTGTATCCCACTCCGTAGGCGGGCGTAGAAATTTGCTATCTCATATTACAAATAATAACTATTTAATTAAAATTAATTTAAACGATAATCATAAATTATTAACTTTATTCTTCATCCTAATGAAATAACATGCCATATTTGCTTCTATGTAAAACACTTAAAAAAAGATTCGCAGAAGAGTGCCAACAGTATAAAACATTTGCGCCATAAATAGTGGAAGTAACTCTTTAACTAGTCCACTTGCTAATTAAATTATAAATAATTTAAAAAATGTATGGTATTATTAATAAAAATTACGGGCTTACTTCAGATAAAATATTTTAATGATAATAATATTTTGATATAAATTATAACCTTTCAATTGAATTCAACTAATAAAGTAGCGTTAATAGTGTTTTTTAAATACTTTAATTACACCTCTTATTGAAACTATTTTTCAACATTTTGTATATTTATTGTTTATTATAATACATTTTACTATCCTATCTTTCCTTATTATTATTACACAATAATGATATATAAATTTTAATCTTCTGTAATTTCAAATTTCACTTGACAATCCCATTAAATTTTTTTAGTATTATCCATTGATTTCTATTCAAGTTAATTACTTGCATCTTCATATTTTATAATGGCTAAATATTCTGCTTTGCTATCTTGTTTGAATTATAACATAATTTTATTTATTTACTTAAGAGGCTTCTTCCATATGGATGAGTCACTTGGCTATTTTGAGAGCCTCTGTTTAACCAGTATTTTCCTTCTTGTTGACTATGAAGATTGTTAAATTTATGATTCTTCATTTTTCGAACTCTCAATAAATGATATTGCATTAGTTGTATCTATCAGTTACTATTAATCTTATTATTATCCTAGTTACTATTGCTATTATTAGCTTTATTGATTTGACATTGCATCCTTAATAGATGGTTACCAAAACTGTGTTTATCTAAACTTAAAATCTAATTTATGTTATTTTGCATATTCTTTTGGGTTTTCTCTCGCACTTAGCAGATCTTTTGCAACATTAATTGGAGATGGTTAAAGGTTCATTTTTTTTAACTGCTCCAATTTTTTGTATGATTGCGTGTCATAGAGCTAATTGTATATGTCCTTGTTAACTAGGACAATCTCCTTTGATAATTAATCCATATATTATAAATATTATTGAAAACATAATAATGAAATTTCTGATAATAATATTTAAGGACTTTAAAAGGATTTTCTAAAAGTGATATTATAATTTAGAAATAAGATCTAATTCTTAATATCTACTTGTATTCACTAATGCCTGTGACTTTAATAGTTATTATTAATCAAATGCATTATTATTAAAAATATTAAAACTAATGAGTTTTTAGGTAAATTTTAATTTGCTATAGCATAGACAACAGATTCCAAAAAAGAAGAATTTAGAAAGTATTTGGAGAAGGCTGGAGTGATTGATCAGCTTACAAGAGTATTGGTTGGGTTATATGAAGAACCAGAGAAGCCAAACAATGCAATTGAGTAATTTGAGTATTTTACTTAGTTATGTGAAAAAATATTTGGGATCTCCTGTGGACATTGATGTAGATAAGCTAAAATTAGAGTATGAAAAACTTAAGGATGAAAACATCAAATTAAAGAGAGAAGTTGCAGAATTAAAAAAAGAAGTTAGTAATTTATTTTATAGCTCTTTAGTTATAGGCAGCCTAGTAGGAGCAAAATTGAGATGTAAATTTATATTTGAAATAATAATAAGTTCTACTTATATATGCTTTTTAGAATCATGTCAATTAAATAAAGCATGTCATTCAAAAACAATATCTTCAATTTCGATTGCATCTGATTTAGAATGCAAGTAATTTGTGCCTTAAGTTGGTTTTACCACTAAATTATGCTAAGATACATTCATGGTATTCAAAGGGGCCTTTTTACTTGTTTTGACATGAGCATCTTCTTCTTATTTCATTTTGTTATAGTCTTCTGCTATTTAATAAGATTATTGGAACACTTTCTGGACAGTTGGCCCCAGTTACTAGATAAGACGAGAATTTATTTCTTTTTCATTTTCTTCTATTTTCACTTCTTGATAGGCTCTAAATAGTTTTAGCATTTTGTTTCGAGTATCATATCTAGCGACTTTGCCAATTGCATTTGCTTTTTCTATAGAGTCCTTTGATAATTATGGGTCTTTTACTTAAAGTCCATGCCATGTGATTACTGGTTATGGGATATAATTAAAAAGCTGTAATTGATGCTAATCTAGCAATAAGCTCTTTAGTTTATTGATTTCTTAGAGTTTCTGCAAAATTAGAACAATATCCAGATCATTGTTTATATTGATTGTTGACTTTTGAAGTACTATATAAATTCGTTTATATTTTTCAAAATGCCTGAAACAAGAAAGATAATAAATTACAAAATTCAACCCTAATTTAATTTTCTCATTAGCAATAAGCAAGTGTTCAACCATATTTTAGATAAAAGTATCTTTGAGATGGTCAATAGATCCATGTTCATGACTAGTTGGTTCTAGTTTTACTGAATCTATTTCTTTAACATTCGAGGACTACTGAACATCTTTGAGTAAATCTGTATCTGATTTATAAACTTAAGTAAATCTTTAAGATTTGAAAATTCCTGTAACCTTATTAAATTATAGCAATTTTTTTGTTGATCCTCTAAATCTTTGTAACATAGCTTCTGCTTTTTCTTTTTCTTTCTAAATAAATTTGAAAATATCATTATGCTCTTCCCTTTTTTTGGTTTTAGAAAGATCATCAATATGACAGGAGTAAAGAGAATTGGCAAGCATTAATTTAAATCCAACTGTATTGTAATTAATGACTATGATACCGATTAAACTAGAGATAACTTTCAAGGTTCCTCCAATGAATGAGATGAAATCACCAAATTTGTTATAAGATATAAAGGAAGAATAATATTCAGAGGAAATTCTGAGATTGACAGTAAAATAACTAGTAGGTTCGGCATAATCATTCTAATATGAATATATATTAATTAATTACAACAAAGTTCCGTATGTTTCCTAGACGAAATGACCAGAATTCTCCAAAGAAGGAATCATCTTCAAAAGGAAATACTGAATTATCGATCTCGAGAGTATTAGGCTCTAAAAATATATCCGATACTTATTCTTAGAGTTTTTTGGTTTGTTGATAAAAGTCCTAAAATAGTTACTGGGATATAATTTCATCGTTAGAAAATGGATTTATGATGGTTGTGAACATCAAGGTCGATAATTTGAATGATTGTCTTTCAGATAATAAGTTCAATTAGTCTGTTGTAAAGCAATTTGAAGAATCTTTGCAAGGAGCAACTTTAATTGAAGTGTATTGAAAACTTTGAGAATTGAATGAACCTTCCAAAACAAATGAGTAATCTAAAGGCAAACAAAGATATGAAGTAAAGGACTCCAACTCATCAGTCTCAGATATCAAGTTCAAAGAGGAAAAATGTTGACTTGTGCATTATTCAAGAGTTAGACTTGCATTTACAGTTTTAATTCTGGTTTTATTAGGGTAAGTAATATAGTGATTCTGATTAATGGTTATGTTAAACATTGTTTAATTTGTGGTGTTCATTAGAGCTTATAAAGGATCATCGAGCTTAATACCAATCATAAAATTAGAGATATTGAGAACTCTAGCATTTGGACTGATGTCATTTATTGTTCTAGTGACAGCCTTATTCTTAATCACAGTATTACTTATTGATCTACTCTATTTACTAAATCTACTCCTTATGAAATAAACACATAAATCATGGCAATCCAAACAACCAAACTCATGAAACCTCCAAAAAATGAAGTAAACTTTCCTTTGTTTTGAATATTCAGTGTTATATCAGCTCCGAACATGTCAGCATCTTGTATTAATCCTACAATTTTTTAATACATTTTTATTAAATATTGTTTTTTATAGTGAATATTAAAAGACCAATTCGGAATATTGATATTAATTGATTTTTAAGGAAATAATTAATTATTTTATTTCAATTTATGTCTTATTCTTAGCCAGAATCCAATGATATTTGATAGATATAATGCACTGTTTCATTTAATTTTATTATATAAAATTTAATTAAAAATGGGCAATTATTTTAGAACTGTCCCCAAAGGACCACTAGAAGAGACTTTGATCAATTTCCTTAAAACAAGAAAACTATAACACATTAATGATGTAAAATATACATAGAAACCTTTAGTGCATAGAGATGATCAATGATTCTTATCCGACTAAAAGCACCCTAATATTGGATGAGTATTTGGATGTATTTGGGGGAATACTAGAAGAATGGACTGAATAGGTGTTTCTATTATTGGAAAACAATAATTCATCTGCTGGATAAGTGGATATCTATGAAAGTTTGGCTGTCATTGTATAAAATTTACATTATCTACTAGATTGTCTTCTGTGGAGAAGAATTCAATACTAAATTGGAGTTCATCTATAAAATGTTTGATTTCGATCAATCAGGTGAGATCGAGAAAAAAGAACTCATTATGACCTTATAAACAAGTATTAGAGCATTGTGCAAAATTGCAAAACTGTAACCTCCAGAACTTAAGGATCTAGAATATTTTGCAGAAAAAATGTTTATTCAATTAGATTCAGATAGGAGTGCATCAATATCATTCCATGAATTTGGCCTATGGCTTTTGAATTCATGGGAATTATAAGATTTTATGCTATAATATGCCTTAATCCAAACCTATGAAAATGCTGATAGAAGAGCAAAGGAAAGAAGAATCTTCTTTCAAAAATTCTATGAGGCTGCAGCAGGAGGAGCAGATCAATAATATTGTGATGCTGATTCCATAAAAACCTTGTTTTTTGCAGAACTTAAAGAGCAAAAGAAAGAGACTATCGAATTGCTAATTGATATTTTGATCTAATCTACTAAAATACATCAAAAGCATGATGAATAAAACCAGCAATATCCAAATGGAATTTTAAAAGAAGCTTATGAGGATATTATGGCTGCATGGAGTGCTTTTGATTCATCAGATATCAATTCCGACAATTAGACATCAATCTCGGAATTGAAGTTCTTATTGTATGCCTATGAAGGAGATAAGCCAGATTTGTTTAGAATTAAGGAGGAGATGAAAATATTGGATAAAGACAATTCAGGATATGTTTCAAGGGAAGAATGGATACAATACCTATGTGTGGAAGACAAGGGTAAATTCTAGTTTAGAGGAAATCTCAAATAGCTTTTCAATAAATATGACAAAGATAACAGTGGAGCACTTAGTATTCTAGAAATTAAATAATTATTAACAGATAACATGAAGGATATGCAAACTAAATTTAAAGTATCAATAAATTGATTTATTTTCATAGTTGAAAGGATAAAATGAAAATTTTGAAGAAATGGTTAATTAACTTGCTCAAGAAGTGGTTGATGACTTAAATTCAGAGGGTGATAAATAATCTAATGATCGAACTGTATCTATTAAAAACATATTAATAGTTGACTTGGGTTGAATTCAAAAATTATATGGATCAAGCAGTTCTTAAATTAAACAAGTTAAAGGAATTTTTAAAGTCAATTTGATAAATTAGAACAACATATATATAAAATATTATACATATAAAGAGAATATAAATCAAGAATTGGCTTTAAAGTGTCATTCTCCTTAAAACTCTATATTCCCATCATCACTTATATCTTTTTGTGTTATTTTAATATTCAATTTGGTATCTTATTTAGAATCATAAGTATGCAGATTTCCACTTCTTACAGATGATATTTAAGGCATGGGAAGGGTTAGAGCCAGATCTTCTTTCTATTTCGCTATTTCTTAGAGTTCATGATATTTTTAAAATATGAGTTCCATAGTTGGACCTAGTAATTAAATTAACCGATTATTAATATCGTTTTTTGATTCCTTCAATTTTAAATAGGCTTTGTAAATCTTTGCAAATTTTTTTTAAGAATTATATTTCATTCTCTTTTTGATAACCCTAGCTCTTTTTTATGAATTAATTTTTTAAATAAGTTAATTTTATTATAATTATTCATCTGTTGATATTTGATAATGCTGATCAACAAATATAACAGGTTTTGGAATGTAATTGAAAACATAAATTTAATCTTAATCCAAAATTGTTGCCTTCAATTTTTCAATCTGTTAGATCTTACTCAATATTGTTACAATATCTAAATCTCTTCTAATCATTAAATCACATTAATTAATTAATTTCCGAGTCACCTAAACCCTTTGGAAACATTAGCAACAATAAAAAACAAGAGTGAAAAAGTTAATTCCTAACCTCAACTATTTCTTAGTATCTAAAATCTTTTAAATTAAACTATATAGAAAATTTTCCTTCATTTCTTTTAATTTTTCAGCATACTCATTAATTTCCTATTTTGAATACTAATGCTCGCCTACGTCATGTTATCCTTATTTCATTAATCGTGTATGCGAAGAAAATGATGTCCACGCTCTTGTTATATTGCTGAGTTTAACTACTTAATGAGCATAATTTTTAAGTTTTCCAATCAATTCATCAACCCTATTTACTTTCAATTAAATAAAGTTTAATAGCCGATCATATGAGAAAGTCACTCTCCCTTGTTCTTTTATTGGAAGGTTAAATTCATACAGTACATTAGCCAATGAGATTCTCATTGCTAAGAAATTATATTAAATGGCAACAAAACCAAATAAGGCTGAGAAAAACTTTAACATCCCCCCTAAATATGACAAAAATTAATCAAATCTCTATGCTGTTTTTGTTGTTACCTATTATTCAGCATCTAATCTAAGATTTATTTCAAACAATACATCAATATCTGTTACTTCTTTCTATCACTTATTTTTATATATACTTAAAATTATCTGTAATTAGTTAAGGAGAATGACCAATAATCTAGTTCTTCTGTAGAGGTTGTCACCATGCTCAATAGGCTATCATCAATCTTTATTTTGTTGAATTAAAAGAAGATGTCTGATGTGGAGTAGTGAGTAAAATCTGATTAAAGGTAAAAGTCAGAGTCAATATAATGGTATAATGTATTTTTTGTCTCATTTGATAAAAATAAACTTGATTTAATTAAAGTTGAAAGTGTAATTGTGGAAGATCTATTTTGATTAAATTCGACTATTTCTTATTTAGAATAACAGTGGTCTGATTCATTCTTGCAAGTTTCTATGATTAATTTAGGAAAAAAAAAAATCTCAGAATTATAACCTCCTTGTAGATAAAGTTCATAATCTAATGGTAAACACAGGTACGAACTTAACTACTTAAAAATATATGAATAATCAACGAAGTTAACTGCTTCAAAATGATCAGCTGTACATCTTTCTAATTTGTAAAATTTTAATAGTTCTTTCGTTTTTGTTCCATTTTAATAGCTTTTTTATAAAAATTGTTGAATTGTAATGTTGTATGACGTTCTAGTTTCATTTTAATAGTAACTTTACAAAGGATCATTCACTTTAATCGCGAACATGAAATTTTAACTATTCATGATATTATAATTTGGATTAGCGCTTTTGAGGTTTTAAACTTTAATCTATAGATAAACTACAGCATTTACTGTGTAATCTTCCTTGTTGATGATACTAATGAAGCGATTAGTAAAAATGTAGCCCAACAAGAAAATCATAATTAATGATGCTATCCCTCCGCAGGCACTTCGATATTTCTCCTACTGATTAATATTCAGGTTTAATTCGACTCCGAAGAGATCGAATTATTTAATGGCTTTCTTGATTTTTGAAAGGGCGACAGACTTCATTTATTTGTTTAATAATAATATACTTTGCTAGTAAAAGAGGTTTTTATTTATTAACTTGATCTAACTTATAGAAACAAATTTGTTTAGATTTAGAATCATTTAAGAAGTTAATTTAGGGAAAATCACTTTTGAGAAGCAAGTATTAATAGATATTTATTCCTAAAATTGGAATGCTATAATTTTTATATGAGTTTGACTTTAACTTTATAAAAATATATAGGAGGGTAGGAATTGGAATATTTCGAAAATGTAGTTAGAGAGTCAACGAAAGGAAGAAACGATATCACTAAAATGATTGATTCCTTGTAGAATCGCGTGAATGCTGAATATGAGTACTCAAAGAATTTGGAAGATGGGATATCTGAATTATTGGTCAATAGGAATTCAGCCGATTCTGCAGTCAATTTAGAAAAAATAATAGCTCTGTATTGTAATGAAATAAGGCAAAAGATTAAAGAGTCGAGGGCCTATGCGTAATTTATCAAAGATTATATCATCAATTAATTGAATTTATTAGTGAAAGATTAAAACATAAAGGTAAGAAGTTTGATCTCCGACGGTCGAAAGCTGTCTGCCCAATTAAAACAAGAGAAGACCGACGTTGAAAAGGTATGAAAATTATATAGAATAATTAGCTGATAAGCTAATTAAACTAAAAAAACAATGATTATTTTCAGCATTAAATATAGAAGTTTTCTCAAGAGAATCTGAGCCAGTTGTAGCCGTAGAAGAAAAACGAAAATACATTAAAATCGGATAAGCTGTTTAGAAATCTCAAAGAGCTCAGAGAAAAACTAAACAGCTAACAATCCTCATATGAACAGTTCTTACAGGGATATGAACTGAGAATTTCCAAGATAATTGAGGAGTTCTAAACATAAGATGAGGATAGAGTAAACTAATTGAAGACTGTAACCAATTTACTCTTTTAGAATGATAGAATATTTGAAGTAATAGCTTCTAAATTATATGTAGAATTTGAACCAGATTTAGGGTGAATATAGTCTTTATCGTTTCAAGGAATAATATTTAAAATCCTTACTGATTAAGTTCAAAGAATAGAAGAGCTTTGTTTAAAGTTCAGTTCTTAAGATTGAAGATAATTGGGTAGATCGTATTACTCATTTTATAAATACAAAATGTTAAAATGTTTAGTACAATCGGTAATTGATCACACTGAATATGGACATTCTGAAGAATGACTATGAGAAAATTAATTATTTGGTTTAATCATAGAATTAGGATTTGGTTACAAATATATCATTATGTTAAGAGAGAATCCATAATTAGATGTAAGAATTATGGTCATCTCAATAAGTGAATTTAAAATCTCTAATAAACTTACTAAGTAATAACTTGATTGGCAGATAGATTTGGGTTTATGAGTTTTAATAATTCAGACTGGATAAAAAATTTGAAATCTGCTAAATTTCATATTAGAATATAGTGGATTTGTTGAATCAATTATTGGATTTGGTATAAAATCAATGTAATTAGATAGTGTATGGAAGAGTTGGATGCATTTACAGTGAGGAAATTGATGTTGATGACTTTTACGTTTTATAGGATTGAGAAGGCGGAGAAGATATTTTTGTATGATGGAATTCAACATCACTCAATTTTTGATAAGATTGATTTGTGGGATGCCATATTTTTTGAAAGTCTACACGATGAGATGAAAAAGCAATAAGATATGAGAATGAATGAGAATATCAATGATTCTATAGAGAGGTCTTAATTTTAATGTATTTTAGAGAGAAAAATACCATTTTTGGATTCTTGGGTTCATTAATAGAAAATATGTTAAGTTTTAGTCCATCAAAGTAGAATGTAAGAATTTTAACATCAAAGTATTGTAAATTGTATATGCTGAATGATGTTTAAATCAAATAGCTTTTAAATATCATTGACAACTCTAAGTAATAATAAAATTGAGTTGATTCTTTAATTATACATCTAATGAGAAAATTAAATAAAATATAAATTCAAATAATTAAATTATATGATGATAAGTCCAGAAGAAAAATAAAGATTATTGCAAGATAAAAGACAAAGGATATAGGCGTATTAATTATTAAAATTATTTAAGTATTAAATAACAGCAACTTCAATAATCCACTACGATTGCTCCCGTCACCTAACCTTAATAGTAGGTGACTTAAGCTTAAGCAAACGTTGATAGCAATTAATCTTTCCAGTAAGACCAGCCTGCTTAAAATCAATCTGTCATTGCCCCTCCCCAATAGCCAGACCTAATAAATTTATATTTACAAACAAAGCGAAAAAAATTAGGCTTTTAGACAATAGATATGTATTCAAACAACCCTGCTCCTCCTCAGGCAGAAGTAATGACAATAGAATTTGGTGTATAATGTGATTTTGAGGTGCCTTAATAAAAGCAGGAAAACGAGGATCAAGTAATACCATCGATGGAGAATGTCAGAAGAGATTCCAGAAAAAAAAGAGAAGTTTTGCAAAGTGCTGAAAAACCAGTTGAAAAAGTAGAAAAGAATATCTCCATGGAAGAGATCAATTCCATCGTTCAATCCCAATCATTCTAGAGATTTTTTTCAAGAAGCTCCAAAACCATAGAGAAAGCCATTCATGGAGCAGAAGTCGATGTCCTTGAGGATTTGATGAACACATAATAAGTGACTTAAGAGATAGGTAAGGACAATCTAACCAAACTGCTGTCATTCAGTGACAAATTGTATACAGATAATCGAGTTGTTACATCCATCTAATGGTCACCCAATTTGCCAAATACATTCCTAGCTGCATATTCCTAAAACGAAGAAGGATCTATAACAGATTAAGTCGGAGTAGTACTCCTCTGGTCTTTGCAATTAAAATCCAGACCTGAATTCTATTGTTTTGCAAGCAGTCCAATAACATCGGCCTGTTTTCATCCCTTTAGTCCTAACATAGTTCTAGGAGGATTGTATAATGGTTAAGTGGTTGTGTGGGATTTAAGAGCTAAACATACACCTGAGAAGAGATCGACCTTGAATAGTGGTGGACATAGTTACCCTATTTATGGACTAAGTATTGTGGGGTCATAAAATGCAAACAATATAATATCCGCATCGAATGATGGAAGAATTTGCATATGGAATTTAGCTTAATTCAATCAACCACAAAAGATCATTGATTTGAAAACCAAAAACAAATAGTAATCAACAAACCCTTAAGTAGAAGTTAATGCCACTTGCATGGTATTCCCTTAAGGGGATGCCAATAATTTCTATGTTGGAGCTGAAGATGGATCCGTTTACAAATCTAAATTACATCAAAATACAAATGAAAATATTGTCATTCCATTTGAAGAACATTTGGCTCCAGTTAGTGGAATTTCATTGAACTCATCACCATAAGCCTCCCCACTCATATCTAATTTGCTTCTAAGCAGTTCTTTTGATTGGACTTGCAAGTTATGGAATACAAGAACACAATTAGAATCCAAATGTTTATCCACTTTTGAATGTTCAGAAGACTATGTGTATGATGTTTAATGGAATGGATAGCATCCTACATTATTTTCAACTGTAGATGGAGAAGGTTATGTCGATTTATGGGATTTGTCATATGACTTAGAAGCACCTATCACAAGATATAAATCTGGGAATAATTCCATCAACAAATCCTAATGGTCCAAAGATGGGACTAAAATAGCTATTGGAGATTCCTTCGGAGAAATTTAAATTTTGTAATTATCTTAAAAGGTTTATTATCATTTCTTATTTATTTTAGGCCCAAAAAGTTGACCATGAGAGATTAGCAAAATTAGAGTAATGGATTAAAAGTGATAAATGAAATATTATAATTATATAATTATAATAAGTAATTATTATATATTTTACAAAATGAAGAAGAGAAATTAGAAACTATGTATGTAAATCAAATAATAAATTAAGCTGATTTATGTGTCACATCAAAAGTGCTTTGCGCAAGATTCGGAACTTACACTAAGCAATTAATAGCTGCCGGAGATGAGAAGAATAGCGTTCAAATCTGGTAAATTGGAAATCAAAAACCCATTGCAGTACTTCTATAATACATTCCTAGACATTAAGTTCATTAAACACTTCAAATGCGTAAGTTGAAGTTGCAAGCGTGAGTTTTAGCTTTTGTGAAACTGAACTATTTTCAGGATCCAATAGAGGAATCATCAATCTCTGGGATGTTGAAAATTAAAAATGTATGTTATATACCATTCATCTCACCTAGAAATTTAAACACTCAAAGGTCACACTACTTGTGTTAACTCTCTTTGCATTTATCCCACTGAAGAGAATAAGAATCTTCTCCTAAGTGGTGCTTATGACACTTCAATTAAATTATGGGATTTAAGGTCGAAAACTGTAGTGAATCAATTCAAAGGTCACAGCATGTAAATAAATGCTTTATCGGTTTCTCCTAATTGTAAGTTATTGGCCTCAGGTTCAAATGATGGATAAGTTAAAATTTGGGATATCACTTAAGCTAAATTATTAGCATCTTTTACATAGCATGACAATTAAATCACTTGTCTAAGTTTTAATCCTGTTGACAAGGCATTAGCTTCAGGAGGAGGAGATCGATGCGTCAGGTATTGGGACTTAGATAGATTAACTTAAGTACCTTAATCTTTTTGTAAATTAGCTTTCGTCTACAAGAACAGATACAACTCCGATTTAATGTATCTTATTTGAATAAAATGGAAAAGTCTTATATTCTGCTGCCAATGATTCTCTAAAAGTTTGGGATGTTGAACATGATTGTTAACTTTTAGATAATGTGGAAAGTAGTTGGAGGGGAGTTATGGATTTGATTGTAGTCTAAGAAAGAGATCAATTGTTGGGACTATCCTCAAATGTGCAAAATGGATTTAGTCTTCATGGAGTTAATCTTAAATCTATTTGCCAGGAGACCAAAAATTTAGATGTGAGATCTAGTGGAGGTGCTTCTATCAAAAGAGGGAGAACACCAGATAAAAGATCAGATATCTAAACAGCAAATTCAAAACCTTCAGATTCAGAAGCTAAACTTAAAAGCAAACCATCATTATAAATGCAGGCATAAAACATACTGAATTAAGATTATCAATATGATCGTTAAAAATCTAATGAACAATTGAAAGAGATTTAGTAATAACAATAATAACCTTATTATTAATAATAGTAAATTGTGGGATAACCATATCTTAATAATAATGGATATCAATAATAATAACAATATCCCTAGTAATAAATACCATATTAATACTAAATTCAACAACCTTAGTAGTTTTAAAACTAAAATCCTTTGCTATATTAATAATAACCTAATTAACTTTATTAATAATAGCCTAATTAACTTTATTAACAATAATAACAAAATCAGTTATATCTACAACAAAATCTACTGGCATAATAACCGTAATAATTATACTAAAATTACGATCCCAATTAATATTTTTCGAATTAAGTACACACTCCTTAGCACAATCCATAAAAACCCATTTAACAGGTTAATGTTCCTTAAGTCATACTTCCGAATATGGAGGAGGAAGAATATCCTAACAATGAATCAGAGATTCTAGTTTCAAGTGATTTAACTCTTTCTTAATTTATGATGGGGGATTAAAATAAAGAGAAGTTTAAATAAGTTGATCTCATCCATGAGATTGTCAAGGATCACAATAAAGTTTAATCAGTCTTGACTTAAAGAATGAATTATATGAAACCCATCCTTCATTGGTGGAGTAACAATAATCTTAAATCTGCTATGAATGCTATCAATCAGTATAAATTTTATTTTATATTAGAGTCCAAGAACCTTCAATATTGCAAGATGCTTTGTCTCTGTATTCCCAATCTCCTAAGTTTGGTTAAGTGCCTATTGATTCTCTCCCTATGCTTTTAGAGAAAGCTAGAATTCTAATCGAATCAAAGTATACTTCTCATATTAGAGGAGGACTCGATTTTGCTTGGACTACTCTAAATTAATTTCGAGATGTAATTTATTTGATTTTATACAAGGAAATCCTTAACATTAAGCTTTTCAATTAATTATCAAAGGCAGATTTAACTAGAGAAGAAAGAATCTAAAAATATGATAGAGTGATTGAACAATTTAAAATCATTGCCTAAACTCCAAAATTACAAAAAATAATCGATAGAAACAAAGAAGATCTCTCAGACTTGGCTAAGAAATTTTAAATTGAAGTTATTGGATTTCTCAAAAAGGTGAATTAGAATTAAATGCAAAATTGAATAATAAATTATTGTTAATATATAATATTTTAGTCGTTAATGAATATCTCAAAATCAAAAAATTCAGTCCCTTATGACAAGCCTATTAAAAGTCCTTAGCCAGACATATTATCCATGCCAATGTAACCTTTAAGAATCGACATGCTTCTGAACTCAAAAAATAAATTGGAAACTCAACAATCAACTAAAGCATTAGACATAATAAAATAAATGCATCAAAGTAGCACAGGGAATTTAAGACTTGACACATCTATAAACAAATCTAAAGAACATATCTTAAAAAAAACTCCAACCAAAACTACGGCTAGTTTTCATTATGATAAAACTCCTGATAATTCTTAAAACAATTTATCATATAGTCCCCATACTCATGCTTGTTTAAAACCTCAGCTCAAATAATCAGAAGATTAATTAAATGTCAAAAATGTCCCTTTACAACAACCCATTGCCATAAAAGAACAATGCGAAAAAATTGACTAACTTAACATATTATTGAAGGAATTAAAATAATAATTAACATAAAAAGAACAAGAAAATTAAAAATTATAAGAAGTTAACATTCGCTTAAATTAAGATAATCAAAAATTGTATTCTTAAACTGAAGAAATGTTAAAGGATCTTGAATTTATGAGAACTAATATCGAACAATCCAATAAAGAGTTCAACAATCTAAAGTAGTAAAATCATTAATTGTTAGATGATATGAAACTCTTAAGAAGTGAAAGAAATAAAGTGAATAATAATGAATAAATTATCAATTAAAAAAATAAAGAAATATCTTAATTATAAAATGAATTAACTGAGCATAAATAACTTTTATAAGCTAAAGACTCATCTATTCAACATTTAAAATAATAATTTGAAAATTTAGAATAATAATAATATGATATAATGAATAAGTTAGAATAGAAATAAGAGGAGTTGTCAATTATAAAGTAGTAATAATAATTAAACATCTAAAATCAAAGAAAAAGTAATTAATTTGAATCATTATCAAGAAGATCTTCAGTGCAAAATGAAGTCTTATTTTATCAAGCTCAATAAGAGCAACTTCAAAAAGAGAAAGAAATATGTGAATAAAAATTAGTTGAAATGTAAACAGTTATTAATTAGTTTTTATTAAAAGAAAAGAAAGTAAATTAACCATCCAGTAATTCAGCTATGTAATAAAAAGAATTTAACAAAATGAAATAAATTATTTAAATCTAAAAGAGATAAATTGAGTCCTAATAGAAAACCATCATGAATCAACATTATGAAATCTAAAATTTGTAAACTTTATTGTATTGTTCTACTGAGTAGGACAGTTAATTTAATAAGAAGACTTTTGATTCAAATGATCCGGATAAATTTTCCCTCTAATCTGCAGACATGTAAATAAAATCATAATATAATTAGATATCATATATAAGACAAAGAGAATGACAGAAAATGTTTTGGTGATCATTAAGGAGTACATCATATTACCTTTTAATAATAACAAGGATCAAAATTTATTATGGAGGATACTTTTAGAAATTTGGATAATGAATTAAATTCACACAATACTTTAACAGATTGATTATTATTTTTGTAAAAAATTTTGATAATTTTAATAACTTTTTATTTTAGTTAAATTAAAAATTATAAGACAAAAGTAGTTGTATCAAAGCATTTTCCAACTATTTTTTCCTTGTAAAGTTTATTATATGTTTTAAAATGAATTTGAGCAATCCTAATCTTTTGATATTCCTTCAGATATATTAAAATGTATTATACCTGGTGAAGAATTTCTAATTTTGTGTCTAACGCTAGTAACATTAGTTGTCTTATTCTTTGGTTCATCTTAGATTAAATTTAATGAAATACTTTTAATAACAGGTGAAAATGTTCTTGTATTTACTGTTGAGGGTTTATGAACTATTGTAAAACTAGTTGATGATACATTATCTTTGGCTTTCCTATGAAATATTTAAACAATCATACACTTATTTTTGGGAATGAGTCTTATCTGTCAATTCTTATAAAACTCTAATGGGTTAATTCTTCACAAATTATGCCTAACTTTTAGTCAAATTTTAAGGAGATATTAATTTCTTAAATTAATTAAGATCTGTAACTATGCCCTTAGCTTATTATTTTTAATCTGCTTCAATAGCAGAATTACTATTATTATTAAAGCTGTTGTTTTATGCTTAATTAGCGCTTTAATTTAAGTACTTATCCTAAAATGAGTTGTTTGGCTTTTATTAGTTCCTCAAAGTAGATGCTGCTTGCCTTCTACATTAAACATTTCTTAAATATATTTGAGAACTAGATTATGGTAAAGGGGGTCCTTGTTAAGACTACTTTTTTTAAGGATCTTTTGAAAAGGGAGACAAGGTTTCCTTTTTTTATACGCAATTAGATTTTTATGTATCCTTTATTTCAGGCCTAAGTTTGGATTCTAATGTTTCCTAATTTTTGTTTAAAGAAGAGCTTCTATCCTGTAAATGCGACTAATTTAACATAGCAGGTTAATTAATCATACATAATTCAGTGTTTTAAATATTTTACTTTTAAATACAAGATTAAGATTAAGATTGATTTATTTAGGATTTTTGCTAAAGTTGCTGAAATTTTTAATAACTAGACTATAATTAGGAAATGGATTAAGTGAGAGTTTTTTGAATTTCTGAATGCTTAGTGGAATTCATTGTTTACATTTGTGTTGGACTAATTAATTAATCTAATTTACTTTTTTATTAGATTGTATTATTTGATTAATTTGTTAATTACGTTGCTTACGATTATTAGGATTATTTGTCAAAATTTAAAAGTGTTTCGGTTTGTTTATTGAAATAATTCAATGATTATTACACTTAATTTTTAAATTCCTAGAAGTTAGTTAGGATTGAATTCTAGTTATCTTTTTATTTTAAAGAGTTTGGTCTATTTTAATTGGAAGAATCTGACGTTAATTTCTTTTCATCATTTTGTTACAAAGAATTGCTTCTAATTGCATTAGAACTGTTTTATATGACTTAATTATTACTATTTAATATAGTTCCAAATAAAGGTTTCTTCTCTTATATTTGATTATCAGAAGTCTTAACAAAATTATTAATCAATTAGGTTTTTTTATTATTTTGCTCAAAAGTAGTCTATTATTATTATTATTATTATTATTATTATTATTATTATTATTATTATTATTATTATGATTATTACTATTAAAATTGTTGTTATTATTATAATTATTGTTATTGTTATGGTGTTCTACTTTTTACTGTGCATTGCATCAATAAGTTTTAAAATGAAGGGTTGCTAGTCAAATTAGCAGAAGTTATATTAGATTTATTTGTAATATCAGATTAATCTTGTTATTATGATTTACTACCTTCAGTTCTACCTTGAGTTGGGTTTTAATTACTTTTTGGAAAGCTTGTTTAGATTTAGGGTTATTTAGGCAATTAGATTACAGATTAGTTTTTTTATGCTCCCTAATTAAATTCTAATTTTACTTTTAAAATTGAAGTTTCAGAATCACGTTTTAAGTTGACTTCAGAAACAGGCACAAAATCAGGAGATCCAGAGTAAACAAGAGTTGCTAATTGAATATTTTCTTTGTTCATTTGATCTCTCCATTTTAACTTTTAATTAGTTGGCTTTCCTAAAACTCCCTTAGTGTATTAATTAGATTAAGTACCTATTTAGCTTATAAATTCGTATATATTTCATCAACAGGACCATTATGAGAATTCAAAAAAGTATTTCTAATGATCAATTCCTCCTAAACATGCTAAGGATTTTATTCATCTGATGTGAGTTCATTCCATGAAGCAGTTCTTTTTGGTCCTAATTTATTCATTCTGTTTTCCAATGCATTTAATTAATAGAAAAAGGATGCTCTAATTTCTAGATCTGGACGCCTGGAATTCAAAAATTCTAATGTTTTATATAATGTCCACGAATATCTAAAAAATTTAAATTATTTAACGAACTTTTTCATAAAATAAGCAGCAAGCACACAACATGCTCTACTCTAACCTCTAACTGAATGTACCAAGCAACTCTCTCCTTATTGAAAACATTCTTCAATGAATGCAAATATTTTATTTACATTTTCACCTCGTTCATCAAATAACACCTAAAAATCAAAATTGTAATTGATACTTCGTTATCTTACTCCAACCAATTAAAAGTTAAATACTTTGCACCCATCAAAGTCCATTTATTTTGAACTTCTGTGCCAGCACAATTAATAATATGAGTTACTTTATTTGTATTTATAAATTCTCGATCCTTTTTTAGATTCAATATTAAACCTATGATGCATATTCATCCCCAATAAATAATCCATCCTTTATTTTAATTGCTCCTACTATTTGGTTCTAAGCCATAATAAAAAATTTAAATTATTATTATTTATGTTAACTCTTCTTAAACGATCGATATATTTTGTTCCTCGCTTTTCCTATCATCCCAATGTTATAGATCACTATGAACACCCAAGAAATGTAGGATCATTAGACAAAAGCAATCCAAAAGTAGGAACAGGATTGGTTGGAGCCCCAGCATGCGGAGATGTTATGAAACTACAAATCCAAGTTGGAGAAGATGGTAAAACCATTGAACAAGCTGTCTTTAAAGTAATTTAATAGATTATATTAATTTTAAGACATTTGGTTGTGGTTCAGCCATAGCTTCTAGTTCTTATGCTACAGAAATTCTTAAGGGGATGACCTTGGAAGATGCTTACAACATCAAGAATTCTGACATAGCAAGTTACTTAAAGTTACCTCCTGTCAAATTGCATTGCAGTATGCTAGCAGAAGATGCAATTAAGAAAGCAATAGAAGATCTTCAATCCAAGAATAATTAGTCAAAAGATAAGTAAGAAAAATGATACATATTGTGATAAGATTTTTATAAAGTGATTCATTAATAGCTATTCCTATCAAATCTCAATTATTATTGTTCTATTGTTCTTTTTCTTAAAATAAAATAAGGACTGATTCTTCATTTAATTGCCTTTGTAATTCCCCATTTCTTTATTATTATTCTTTCAGTTTCTAAAATGAGATTGTATTCTTTGACCATTAGAGAATGAATCACGTTTTCTTAAGAAACTTAGTGAGATTATTTAAAAAAAATTATTGTTTATGTTATTAAGCCTCTCTCATTGATTTAAATACTTTTATTTTTAAAATATTCAACTCTATACCAAGCTTCATAATTGGCTTTATTTAAGAATTAATATGATTAATTAAATAAATAATCTTTATATTATAAGTTTAAAATTTATTATATTAATGAATCGTGATGGCATAACAAGCAAGCATAGTATAAGAATACTAACGTGCACCCAATACTATTAATAATAATTTTCAAAAACTTTATGAGATTATAAGATATTGAACCTCAAATTTTAGTATTTATTTTTCTCGAAAATGAAATTAAAAATCTCAAAAAATGTAGACAATCATTTCCCCGTTTGAGAAAGAAAGCATACGTTGAATGTGAAACGAAAAAAAACAATAATATGTTTTCTTAATATTAAAATTTTAAAGAGTATTGGTAAATAATTAAAAATAAATGATTGTAAAATTTCATAAGAAAACAGAGAGAATAAAAGGATTGTCGTTTCACCCATAGCAACCTTGGCTACTCGTTGGATTGCATTCTGGAACAATCCAAATGATTGACTATAGATTGGGAAGAGTAAAATATGCTTAATATTTACAAAAAGACAATAGAAGAATTTTTCGAACATGAAGGTCCTGTGAGATCAGTTTAGTTTCACCAATCTTTGAGTCTGTTTGTATCAGGCTCAGATGATTTTACTGTAAGAGTTTGGAATTACAAAACTAAAAAATGTTAATTTGTATTGCGTGGCCATCTAGATTTTGTAAGATGCGTACATTTTCATCCAGAATTGCCGTGGTGTGTCTCAGCTTCAGATGATTAGACGTCTAGAATTTGGAATTATTAATCAAGACAAATGATAGCAATAGTAACAGGACACAGTCATTATGTGATGCATTGCGAATTTCATCCAACAAAAGACTTTCTAATTACTTGTTCTTTGGATTAGACTATTAGATTATGGGTCAATTGCATAATTAAAGAAAAGATTTACTTAGAAGAATGTAAAATATTCAAATAAATTTATAGGTCCAAAATGATCAACAAAATGAATTAGAATTAATATCAATTTTAGAAGGACACAATCAAGGAGTGAATTGGTGTACATTCAGTCCTACTGAAAATTTAATATTGTCAGCATCAGATGATAAGAAAGTCAAAGTTTGGAAATTTTATGAATCAAGAGGCTTTGAAGTTGATTCCTATTAGGGTCATAATGTAATTTAATACATATTATCAGTATAGAATAATGTAAGCAGCGCTATGTTTCATCCATTTGGAGATTACTGTATATCTAATTCAGAAGATAACACAATCAGACTTTGGGATATGAAAAAGAAATGTGAAATAGACTGTTTTACAAATTATGAATTGGATAGATTTTGGGTTAGTGCTGTTCATTAGAATAATAATTATTTTGCAGGAGGAAGTGATTCTGCTTTATACATATTTACATTATTTAGGAACAGACCTGCTATTTATTTGACAGAAAATAAGAATTTATATGTTGGATCTAAAAAACAAATCAAATTAATAGATCTATAGACTAGTTAAGAGAAAATCATAAAGAACTTCCAAGAAATTACATCTTTAATATCAGATAATCTATTATAAGATAATATTGAGTTTATCTAATAAAATATTTATGAGACTAGTAAAAACTAACTCTTAGTTAGGTTGAAGTAGAGCTCTCATAATAAATAGAGAGGAATATGCAAATATGTGATTTTTGAATGTTAAACCAATATAAGTCAAATCTTTCTGGGTAAGTCTGCGATTTTCATTGGAAAATCTAAGATCTTGAAGTCTAAAGAAAATTCTGAATTAGCAATCTATAATTTTGAAGTTGATTGTCATACAGCTTTGGGCTTAAAAGCAGAGAAGGTCTTTCCTTATTTAGGAGGTAAGGCCATTTTTTATACTGATTAAATAATAAATGTATTTGATCCTGTAGCTAATTAAGTCATCCATCAAATACCTTGCTCAATAGAATTTAATAATATCAAACAAGTATTAAGCAACGACACATATGTGATGATTTAAACTAAAAAATCTATTTATCTGTTTACAAAATCATTCCAAAGGGTTACTTAGATTTAAGAGTCGATCAATATTAAATCTGTATTATTTTTAAGTAGAACGTAAAACAGCTTAATATATTCAACCAAGGTTCACATAAAGTATTTATTAATAAATGGAGATTCTGGTATTTTTGGAACTGTGGAGACTGTTCCTTATCTTATACAATTACAATAACCAATAGATAAATAGAGTGAAAAATACAAATTATTTTACATGAATAATGTTGGTAAATTATTAAATATGAGTCTTGATTGCTCTGAAATGCTATTTAAGTAGGCATTGATGGATAAAAATGTTAATTATATACAGAATTTCTTAAAGACACGCAAGAAAATGGGTGATTTGATTACATCGTATCTATATTAAAAGGGATTTTCAATGTTGGCTTATCAATTAGTTGATGACAAAAGAGCTAAATTTTAACTAGCATTGTCTTCTAATAATTTAGAACTCTCCTATAGAACATGTGATGACTTAAAGAACCCAATTTGCTATCAATAACTATCCGAAGAAGCCATGAGATAGGGTAATCATAATATAGTTGAAGTTTGCAAGTAGAAATTGAGAGCTTCTGACGAATTGTCTTTTCTCTATACTATCACAGGTTAAAATGAGAAGTTGAATGTTTTAAGTACAATAGCCAAAGAATAAAATGAATATAATACTAGATTCTAAACATTATTACATCTTGGAAATATTAATTAAAGGATTCAATTTTTATAGGATTGTAAATTGAGTCATCTTGCAAATCTTAGCAAATTAGTACATGGGTTGCAATATGATTAAAAATCGGTAATTGCTGAAGATTTAGAATGGGTATAATCTTTGCAGCCATAAACATTATAACCTCCTATTTCAATCATAAAATCTAAATAACATCCTTTATTTTCTATGAATTGGCCTCATAATTTTGTAGACCAAGATTAATAATACAATCTGTTAATAGAAGAAGATTAAGATACAAAAGAAAAAAATCAAAAATAGCAAGAAAAATCATCAGGGAATCAAGATAAATAGAATATGAATAATTGTAAAAATAGATAGAATGAATAGAAAGTGGATGACTAATAGTAATAAGAGAAGGAAGAAATATTTGAAGACTGTTAATGGGAAATAAATGAATAAGAACTTTTAGAAATGTAATTAAACTAAACAAATTTGGATTTTAAGAGCTTACAATATGGATATCCTGATTATAAAAAAGGTACTATCTAATTATAACAAAATAGCTTTATCACCTGTCGAATAAGTAATTACTGAATAATTTTAATAATGCTAATAAACATTAAAGTCAACAAAAAATGTGACCAATCTTAATCTATGTAAAGACTATATGAAATAATTGTGTTTGAGTTCAATTATGGAGATAACTCAAATACCTTTCCTATAGGCTGCTCCATAAATGCTATCAACTTTATAAGATAAATAAAATTTCAATAGAAATTCTTAAAATCTGCTAAAATTAGGTTATAAGCAAACTACTGATGGGAAATTTCAAGATGCTTTGAATACGTTTAAAACTTTATTAAGACAAGCATTATTTTATGAGAAAAACACAGATATTGTACCGATATGTTTCAATTATATTATGGCTATGAATTGCGAATTAAATAAAAAAGATTAAAGTGTTTCTAGACAAATTGAATTAGCTTGCTATATGGCCATGTGTGATTTATAACCAATACATCGCTCTTTGACTTTAAGAGCAGCCATGAGTTTGGCTTATAAACATAAGAACCATTTGACTGGAGCTTAAGTAGCTAGATATTTGTTAAAATTATTGGAAAAGGCTCCATAAGGATCAGCTTATGCTAAACCTGAAGTTATAGATAACGTTAAGAAAGTAATGAATTTTAATATTCTAGATTTTAAAAAATTGTGAACAACAATTAAGAAATGAATATCAAATTGATTTCGAAGAAGATTATTTAATCTAAGGTTGTAAGATTATATTTGCAGATACTTTGACAATCAATTAGGAATAAAGCAATCATTAATGTTTGTTTGATAAAGCAATACATTCTTAAAAAGGAAAACTTTGTAAAATTTGTGATTTGTGTTATATTAATTGAATATTATTATTTTGGTTTAAGAATTGAGTTTCTTTTGGAAATTATTATTAGAAAATATCAACTTACTAATAAAAGAATTAACATTTTTAGGATTTAATTAAAGGCTTTTATTGAAATGTCTTTATTTAAAATTAATGAAAAATTTTTGTCGTCTCTTGAATGAACTTGATCTTTTTGGTTGTGAAATTAAGTGGAGAATTGATGGAGATCAAAAGTTTAAAAGCAAGTTCGGATCTTTTATATCTCTTTGCTTATTTGCTTTCTTAACTTATTCATTTTATCTATTTATCTTAGAAATGAATGAGGGAAAGAATGCCTCTTTGAATTCAAAAGATGCTCTGTTATAGGAGAATTAAGTAAATATTTTACATAATTCCAGGGTTTAACATTTGGCCCAACGGATTTCTTATTTTCTGTTGGGATTGTAGACACTTATGGTAACTATATATAAAATGACATGAATAAGATATTTAGCGTCATTTTCTATTATTGCGAATAGGTGGAATTAAAGACTAATTGTGATTTCATTCCTAGTGTGCCTTGTGACACCATAGGACAAAGCTTCAGTGATGTAAAATCAAATTATTACTAAAGGAAGTAACTCAAAGAAATTCTTATTGTTTGAGTCCTGAATATATGGAGAAAAGGCAAAATATTACTCTTTAAGGGTCTATGAGAATGAGAAACTTTTCCATTCTTGGATCATTAATTAAGTTTTGTGAAAATACAACCGATTTTTTATGTATTCATTTATTTAAATGAAGATTGTGCGCCAAAAGAAGAAATTAATTAATAATTAGCTAGCTCAAATTTATTTTACACTTACACATCTTATTCTTTTAATAAAGAGCTGGAAGGGAATCCCTATTCTAAATTCTAAAACACAGAAACTGCCATATTATATTCTCAAACAACCAAACATGTTAAAGTTTAATAGAAGTTTTCACAAGCAACTGCAAATATAAATCCGTTTTACTTTTTCCCTTCAGAATAATAATATAGTGCGATAGAATATGATAAATCAATATATGACACCCAATATAATAATGGGAATTCAAATTTATTAGCTGAAATCATGATATAACTAACACATAAACGATAAATATATTATATTTAGTATTAAACATTGATGGACGTCTTAGCTAAAGTAGGAGGTCTTTATACAATTTTAAAAATGATACTTGATTTTATAGTTTTACCTATTTAATAATTACTTCTAAATTTCTATTTGATAAAGACATTGGAATAATTTAAATGTAGTATGAATGATAATACTAAAAAAAGGTAATCTAATTCTATCTCAGTCATCAATTTGATTAAGGATAAAAAAATTCGATAATAGTATTAAGATGAAAGGTAATAAATACAAAAGACCTTGAGTATTGATGAAATACTACATATGCAGTTAAAATTAGAGAAGTTGTAAAAATTAATTAAATATAAATCAAACTGTCCAACTGATTAAATAAAAGAATTAATGGAAGAAAGTCCCAGTCCTCATTCTTAGACACCTATTCTAAGCATTTAAGTATAAAAAATGGAAAATTTGCCATTAAATAGTTCACCTAAATGAATTATTTTTACAGATGCTTTGAAAAATTATCAATTTTAGCATAATTTTATATTAATTAATTCAATCCGAAAAGGAACTGCTACTATCTGAACGCTCTAATTTTGCCATCTTCTTTCTAAAATCAGAATCTTGTATTCTAACTTTAGTAGTTTTTTGTTGTTTGATTTAAGCTAATTAATTGATCCTTGCATCCAAATCATCATGTTGTTAAACCAGTATTTTATTTTTTCCTTTTAAATCCCTAACTTATTTTTATAATTAATCAATGGTATCAATATATTAAGCGTGTTCCTTTTTTTGATTTGACAATTGTGATTTTAAAATACTATTTTCTTCTCTTAATTTGATCATTTCTTTGCTAATTTTTTCAATTTTAGCTTCCAAAACATCCATATCTTTATGTTAAGCATCAGTTAATTATTAAGATTATCTTTATAATCTTTCTAATTAGTCTTTATATTTTTCCATTTCTTCTTTTAAGAAAGTGTTTTATCTCTATTCAGCATGTAATAGCCTAATTTATTCATTAATTTGTTATTCTAAATTATCAATCTATACATTCTTCTTTTTAAGTTCTTCATTGTGAGATTGACCATATTGTTTTTCATTTGCATATTAATTATTAAGATCTCTCATCTATTTACTCATTTTTTCAAATTATTACTCATAATCATTTATTTCTAATTCTAAACGTTTGCTAAAAAAGATTAAAAAAAACTTACTTTTAGTCTTCTAATTATGGTATTAATCTACTTGATTTTTCATATTAAATTCTTAATTAATCATTTTCTTATTATAGAAACTTATTATCTTTTTTAATTCTTTCACTTTCTAAGCTTAAATTCTTTAATTTCAATTCTAATTCTGAAACTCTCTCTTTAATTTCTCCACTCCTTTTTTTTTATTTATCAACATCAACCATTTTCTCTTCTAATTGAACCTATAATTATTGATCCATTTTCTTTTTTAATTTTTAAATTCTAATTTATTACTCTGAAATAGTCTCTTCTTTAGTCAATAACTTATTTTCTAATAAAGTAATTTAAGTTCTTAGTGTTCCTATTTCTTTCTATAATACATCAATCTCTTAGTTTAATTATCCACTCACTTTTTCTAAGGTAGTATTTGTATCAAAATGCTATTTGATTTTGGATTAATCAGTCAACATGTGTGTTAGTTTATCAATCTGAATCTATAATTTTTGGTTATTAAGTCTTTCAGCATGTCTAATGATAATGATAAATTCATACACATTCTCTTTATAAAAGTCTGCTTGTCTTTCAAGTGCACATTTTTCATTCTGCCAATTTCTTTTCTCTTCCTGCCATTGTACTTATAATTCAATGATTTCCTCTTTCATCTTAGCCAAATGATCATTCTTTTTCAAAATCCTGAATTATAATTTACTGACAACATCACGTAATTCTTCATCACTCTTATGATTATAAGAGGAGTCATTGTGAACACTCCTTTTTCTTTCGTTTCCAGACTCTCTACGTTTATTAGATGAAAAACTCTCTTTTGTTGGCTATCGTTACATATTAATTTTAATGTCTAAATAAATTGTACATCATTAGTCATAAAGTCTTTGGAATTATACATTATCACCAGGTACTTGCACATCTTAAACATTCAAGGTTGGACAATGAAAGAAGTGGAGATTCTGAACTTGGCGCTTATGAAGTTCGGCATTGGAAAATGGCGGAAAATCATAAACTCTGAGTGTTTACCAGGTAAGAGCATAGGATAGATATACATGCAAACTTAAAGATTATTGGGATAATAGAGTTTGGGTGAATTCATGGGTTTGTAGGTTGACCTCAAAAAAGTGTATTTACATAATATGCAGAAAAAGAATGTATTCAGAAAAAACAACTCAATCATTAACACAGGAGATAATATGACATAGGAGGAAAGGAAGAAGAGAATAGCTGAAAACAAAAAGAATGTATTCTCTATTTATTTTCTAGTTTGGCATAAGTATTGCTGACATTGCTTTAATTAAATTACCTAGATATCATGTTAATTCATAAACTTCCTTTCTTTCACACGACGAAATTATGGAAGGCAATTTTACTACAGTTGAAAAGATAAACAATCTATGTGCTTTGAAAAAAGACATATTGAGGAAATTAAGCAAAATTGAGAATGGAGAACTCGAAGAGGCTTTTGATGATGAGATTGAATAAAAAAGGAGATATAAAAAGGTTATGACAGATTCAGATTCTTCATCTGCGTGATCTATATCATCTAATATATTTTTATTTGTTTTCATTTGTATTCTCTTTTAGGATGATAATTAATCCTTAAAAATGATCATAACTAAGATAAACTGATTCTCAAAGAGACTTATAGGAAGAATTATCAACAATTCTCTTATTTTATATTATATTTTGATATGTTTGATCATTAACTTGTTTTCTTAAGTTCTTCCAATTCAAATGCCTTCTTTATGGCTTCTTATTGATGTCTTGATTTAATTCCTACTTAACCACCTCCGATAGTTCTTAACAATTCATGATTTTCATTGTAGTGTTATCTCAAATCACGAGCCTAGAATATTTTAGTTGATTACTAAGTTGTCGAATTCTGCTTAGTCTTCTTTTCTGACGTCGGTCAAAGCTACGCAAGTTGCAGTCTTTTAGTGAACCAATGCTCCCAATCTGGCCTTGTCTTTTATAATTGTATATTTATGTACTTTTAACAAAGGCAAATGGGACTTCTTAACGTCTACATAATTGTGGAAGCCAAACAACTAATTCGATTGGATCGACATCATAAGCAATCAAAACTAATTTGGCTTTCTTAGTTTCAACCAAAGTAGTAACATGATTCAATCCGAATTTAAGAACAGTCACTTTCTTGCTATCTGTCTTCTAGTTTTATGCCTTGGATTCAGCAGCCTTGACTAATCTTTATTTCTTTTCAGTTTTGGTTTCTGGGGCATATTTCTTCAAAAGGGCATAGACCTTTGAACCTAACATTAATATATACACATTACTTTGATTTTTGTCGAGTGTTTTGCTGAATTAATGAATGGCTGCTGGCACTTTAATTCTTTGCAATAAAATCTTTTTTTGTCTATGTAAAAGAATGTAACGAGGCCATCTGACATATCTTGATAAATCTCTCTTTGGTTGGACATCATTTCCAATTCTGAAGTTTTTTGGCGTCTTTAACAAAGAGGGGATTCTTCTTTCTGTCTGCATACTTTCTTTTAAACCTTCTTAGCCTTGGATGTCTTTGGAGCTATTTGGCTAAAAGAATTATCACAATCAAATTTACCATTGTTAATGAAAATCTTTTAATATATTTTTTGAAAATAAAAGAAAAAACAAGCCTTAATATTTAATTAATTCATATACTTTACACGCCCAAATAAATTGACAAAAATGTCATCATAACATAAATCAAAGTATCTCAACTTCTCAATAATTGAATTGATCAATGAACGAAGTCTTTCTAATTTTGCAGATAATTCTTAGTAATGAATGTTCAATAGCGGTTAATCTCTGAATACAAATTATCATATATATAAATCATGTATAACATAATCATTGTCCATCTAAATCAATTCCTTATGCTTGAAGAGCTTTTAATATTAAAACTTCAAATTCATGGATACTAACCTTTTTATCCTTATTTAAATCGGTCATATTAATCCAGCAATCTATTTCCTCTTTTGTAGGCACATACTTCTCATCTGTAATCAACTTGTTTGTTTCAATTAACAATTTTGGAACCTTTATGAGACATCAAAATAATACTTCATCAAAAGTGATGAAACCATCCTTATTAACATCAGCTAATTCAAAAATAGATCTAGCAGCCTTTAATCTTGCTTTGGCCTAATGAGTCTATGGTTTTGGTTCACTATTCATTCTTATTATATAACTTTATATAAATTATAAAAACAGATTCATAAAACTTCATTTTTTCTTTATTTAATTATATTTCGTTTTTACTAATTTTTCTTCAACCTTAACCTTTTGAAACTAAACCTAGGCCTATTTCAGTTAGAGTTCTAAAGTGTTAAATCTTTCTTATAATTTAATTCTTTAATTGAACACTTTATTTAAGTTAGCGTTTTCAACTATCAAGGTATGGACTCTTTCTTCCAGATCAAGAATCAATTGAGTTATGTAGTCAGTTGTAGAGTTCTTTCCTAGATCTAGTTAGGAGGTTTCGTACTTTTGTAAGTTCTCCTTAATTTCACTCAATTTTTTCTCATTCTCTTTTATTAATTATAATTATGATTCAATAGTTTTCTTTAGATGACTTTTATCTCCTCTTTATTACAATTCCTTATTCTCCTAAGTTAATTTCTCATTCATCTACGTCAATAATTGGATTTTCTATTGTAACTCTTTAATTAGAGTATTAGATTAACCACGCTAGATTTCAGATGTCAAATTAAGGATTTGTTTCTGAAGATTACTATTCTTTTATTTAAAATAGTCAAGTTCTTGTTTTATTTTATGAGCAGTACTATTTCCTATTTTAACCGGTGATTAAGCTGAATGAATCGATAAATTGTAAGGAGACTGAATGGGTTTTATTTCTTTCCTGGTTGTTAAGGGGGATCTGCAATTAGGTGAGAGAATAGTTTAGGTTTTGAGTTTTGTATTTCTGGGACTCATATAAATAGCATTATTTTCTTAGCGAGAATCTGGCACAGTCGAAAGTTTCTATTTGGATATTTGGAATTGAATCTAATAGTTTATATCTTAGGTTTTTGATGCTTGAGATCTATAAGTATTTTGATTCGAGTCAATTGGTGACAAAGGCGATCGAGTTTGTTGCATACCCAATAAATATTATTTTAAAATATTAACGATAAATTTAATAACAAATAATAATACAGAATATGAGTACCCATTGAAATTGGAACATAATATAATTTTGTATATTCCATCATTTATTCACTTCTATTAATATATTAGTGGGAGGTTATTGAGCATATCAATTTTTAAATTTTAAACTAATTTTTTAAATGAAATGTTCATTAAGCATTATGTTGATAAATTTAGCCTATTTGAAAAATATTTTCTTACCCATTTACTCTTATATTTTAGTTAAGTAAGATTAAATAACATATAAAATATTAACAATATGAAGATAGAGCTTATGATAAGATACAACACTGTAATTGACTTATTATATTATATTAGAGTTAAATTGTGGTATTACATTATTTTTGTTGAATAGTCTATTTATATAAATTCATTAATCAAGAAACTAGTTATCGTTTTCATTCAATGTTTTAGGTTTGAGTTGAAGATGTATTTTTCCTTTGGACTAATTATTCTTTTTGTCATTGTCTTCAGTTTAAGGTAGAGGAGAGGCATTATCACTTATTAGTTTCTCTGTCATTTGGGGATATTATTCAACCTAATTCTATGCTTCTTGATGAATTTTATGATGCTCATAATAAGTTTACACCTCATAATATTTGTTAAATATTTGTTCCATTGCTGGACCCATTAAATAAATAATTCTAGAATTCACTACTTCTGAACTGTCTTTCAATTTTGAGTAGGAATTGTAGATTTTAACCATTTTTTTAGGATTATGATAATTTTTGCTTCTAATCAACCTATTATGTTTATGTTTATTAGCCTAGGAAAACAGGAAATTTGGATCACCTTCTTGATTATGATTGAATTTGTAATTGGGTTCTACATTTATAATTGGTTTAGGAGTATAATTGAAAACTTTGATTTAATCCTTTTCTAGAAGTGCTTATTTCAATTTTTCAATTTGTTGTAATTTCTACAATATATTCACAATATCCAAATCTTACAGTATTACATTCTCACATTATTGAAGCATCTTACGAGTCACTCTTATTTTCTCAACACAAGTGCAACAGAGTAGTTGATAAAAGAAAAAGTTGATTCCTAATTTTAACTTATTTCTTTATTCAAAAATTTCATTGAATAAATCTTTTAAAAAAGACTCTTTAACTTCTAAAAGACTACTAGCTTATCTTTGAATATCATCATGATGAAGCGGTTAATCAATTAAAATGGAACTCTTCTTTTCACTTTATTACGTAGGATTGGATTAATGTTTTAAAGTTATAGCTCTAGTTATTTTATTCATTTTAACAAGATTTATAGTATGATTTTTGAGTTTATTTATTGTTTCATCAACTTTGTTAAGTTGTCTTTAGATATAACTTAACAGTTTATCATATGAAAACTCTATTCTGCCATCCTTTTTTTATGGTACATTAAACTAATAAAGAGAATTGGCCAAAGACAATCTCAGGCCCATTTAATTATATTAAAGTGCTACAATTCCGAAAATAGATGAGATTATTTTAAGCATACCTCCAAAATATGATAGGAACTAATCGATTGTATTAACTTTCTTAGTTGTCTATTGAAATTCTTAACTCAATCTAAAATTAACTGAAAATAACGAACTAGGAACATTATTGAATGTCTTTTATACAATAAATAATTACTTTGATTTCTCTGTAACTGTAAATTGGGAAAACCCAATAGTCGATTGTTTCATCATCTACATAGAAACTGAAAATGCTATTTTAATTCACTATTCTATTGGATTCAAAGAAAATGTCAGCAGTTGATTCTGCATCAAAATTGGTTGCCAAAAAGAAATCTGAATTCAAATATTGATATAATGGATAATCGGTTTAATTGGCCATGAAAATTGCAGATTAAATGATCGTTGAAAGAGAAACCATAACCGATGCGTTCTTAGATAACTCCATTATTTCAGAATCTGAATAGCAATTCTCTGATTTGCATAACGAGACCGATAATTTAGGGAATTACATAATATTTGAGCTATAAGTTCCTTATAACCATAGTTAATAATCTTTTGGGAGACATAAATAATGGCTTAACTAATTCTCCACTTAATGAAATTCTTCAAAATTTATTGAAGGAAAATGATTAGTTGTACAACTCTCCAACATATAAGACTTCGTGATTCTTTTGGTTCTTTTTCCATTCGAAGTTGTCTCTATATAAACTTGATTCATAGAGATGTTAAATGCTGTCTTATTTAAATTCGGAAAATAATCGGTAAACGGATTATCAAGTTTAATTGCAAACATAAAGTTATTGCTATTCATTTCCTTTAAGTCTGGATCCATGTCCTGAAGCTATTAGACTTCAATCTATTATAGTTTTTGTTATTATTACTGTGTAGGTATCTCTATTAAATACACCAATCAAGCCAGAAACAAGAATGTAGATCAGAACAACTGTCATCATAACTGACAATACTCCTCCACAAACACTCTTATACTCCTATTGTTTGTTGATATTAAGGCTTAAAGGTACGCCAAAGTTATCATATCCTCTCAAGGTTTGGTTAAGTGATTTCAACATACAAATTTTAAAAATTACTTAAATTTAAATTTGAAATATGTTATGATTCTCTTTTTATAGCAAAATTAAATAATTATTATCAATCTTTAAACCACCTGTTTAGTTGCAGATCCAATAATAAGATATATTTATTTCAACCTTTAAAAATAAAAGAAATATTTTGAATATTTATCTTAATCTGTTTCTATTTGATTCAAGAATGTGGAACCTTTGATGTTGCAAATGCAGAATTACATTTTGTTAAAAGATAACCATCCTATTGGTTCGTTTCAATATAAATTTATAAATCATATAAAAATAAAAGCATAAATCTAATTAGAGGTAATGACCCACTAAAATATCTTATAAATTTGTCTTAAACCCTATTTAATAAAATTAATCAAATTTATTTCAATTTAGATAGTCTTAACAACATTAAATATTAAAAAGATGTAATATAAGCATAGATTAGTAAGTATTTTAGTAGAGTTTCCTCTATGATATTTTCATATCCAAGTGCTAAATTGATTTCAAACTCTAAATTCTATTTTGAGATAGTAGAAAATGCATAATTAGATAAAAAAATAATCAAAATGAATTCTTTAATTTGTATAAAATGAAAGAAAATGCCCTTTATAATTTGCAAGTCTAATATATTTTAATGTACTATTGTAAATTTATCTCAATCAAACAAACCTCCCATATCGACATCTTCTTCAGGTTCTGGGTCCTTTGGTTTTTCAGCTGCTTTAGGTGCTTCTGTTGGTTTGGCAGCAGCTTAAGCTGGTTAAGCAGCTGGTGCTGAGCCTTAACCTCCTCCGACTGAAAGAAGGCTAATGATGTCTTTTCCTTCAAAAGCTTTGACGAATTAGGTTGCCAATTATGATGAAACATTCACACCAGCCTGTAAAAATATTTCAATTAATGAATACTTTCTTGGTGAGTTTTTCAACATTTTCAACTGTGAATGGAGTTTTGGATCCAGCCAATAAAAGAGCTGCATATGCTACTGCTGTTGCCTAATTTGCCATAATAATAATTATATTTTTAAATAAAAAGATTTCTTTAATTAATTAAATGTGAATAGTTCTGAAACAAATAATATAAATTCTGTGAGTATTTCAGATAACAATAAGGGATTGAATAGTCTATGTAAGGAATGGTCATATCCTTAATACTAAAATTTTGTTTTGATATTATTAATATTAGCACAATTATGCAAATACAAAAAGATAAATTAATTTCATAAAGGAGTCCTAATTATATTAATTAATAACAACGAGATTAATATAAATTTTAGATTATAAATTATTTATGTTAAAAAAGCTATCACAATAATTTTAGAAGATATCCACAAAATCATTTAAATAAGGAGTATTCTTAAGTTGTTCAACCAATAAAATTACTTATGGTTTTAGATCAAATAGATTTATTGCAAAAAATTAAGAATCAAATGAATCATCTAAAATGATAATTACTCATGAGGAAATCATATCGTTTCTCAAAAACAATAAAATTACATATCGTGTTTAGAGATCATATGCTCAATTATAGTTTTGCCCATTCTGCAGTAAAAGAAATTTTGATGAGCTTTCCAATCAATACACAATGGGCATAAATTTAAAAAAGTAAATACTTTGATGAAATGAATTAGTGGAATGTATAATTGTTTTAGATCCAGTTGTTAATCAAAAGGATAATGGAAAGACTTTTTGCAATAAATGACTCATAATGATCCTAAAATGATTGTTGATGGCCCAATTCATGCTATACCTAAGTAGAATAATTAAGAAGATGTTGGAACCTTTGACTAAAAATATGAACTATTTCAATTTCATTTGCATTATTAAAGAATGAAACTGCAGTAGCCAAAATTTATATATGAGTATTTAGTTGGAAATAATTGGGAATAGGTTTATGATGTATATTTATATCTAGAATCAAAGAGGTATCAAAGATGAAGTCTTGAATAAATATTTAGTAGGCATTGGTTAAGATGAAGTATTTGATCCTCAATTTAAAAAAATAGTTATGGCCCCTCTTATTTATTTTCCTATGTTCAGATTGCTCCCTTTACAACAGCAAAATGATAGTCATATATAAAATTAGTATATACAATCCAAATACAATTCTTAACTTTATGAATTAGTGAGTTGTAAATTAAGAGGAATGGGAAAAGAAAATAAATACATCTAAAAAATAGAGCCTAAAAATGCTATGAAGGGAATTTTTGGGTTAAATTTGTTAACTAAAGATGTCAAATAAATTATTTTAACAGAAGGAGAATTTGATGCCATGGCTGCTTATCAAATGACAGGAATCCCATCTATTTCCTTACCTTACGGTATAGCTCACTTCCCTAACTTTCTATTGGAATGGTTACAATTTTTTTATAATTTAGGATAAATGAATACAAAGAATTGAATAATATCTTAGTTTGGGTTGATGATGACGATTTTGGAAGAGTTAATTCTCATAAAATAGCAACTAAGATTGGACATTGGAAAACTAGAATAATATAGCCATCCTCAGTGAATGCTGATTAATATCCTAAAGATGCAAATGATTGTTTAAGATATTATCCAGATAGAGTTCAAGAATATATAAGTAAATCAATTACTCTCAAATGAGAAAGTTAGTGATAATTAAGAATTACTAAATTATTAAATTTAATTAAATTAAATTGAACCATTTTATTTTTAAATAAGTCTATGAAATCCAAAGAGGTTCTTGGATCTTAATTAAATAAATATTTTTCTCATTTGAAATAGTTTAGCTTACCTTATTTTTATTATTTATTATATATGTAGATACAATTTGTAATAGATGCCTTTAAAATTTATGGCTCCTAAAGTCAAAATTATTAAATCATTATTTATAACCTCAAAATATATTCCAATAAATGTAATTTCTGATAAACATATTTTTAATCTCTTAATTAGAATGCTATTTACCTTGTTGATGCCTAAATCAAAAATTATTATATACCTATAGCATGCAAATTGATATTCAATTCCTTTCCAAATTAAATTACACTAGAATAAAACTAGCTATTTATAAAAATAATCTATTTTATTTATAAATCGTATCAAATAATTGATAGACAATAATCTAAATTAATCTATAGTTCTGTGAGATTGATCATACAAATTGTAAACTACTAATTAGATATATCAGATTATCCAAAAGGAATTAACAAAATATTGATCGAAACCTTCTGGACAATTATCATTTTAATCCTATTGACAATAAAAATTAATGATTAGCCATCAACTAAGGCTTAACAGTTGTTTCAAATTAAATCTAATTTACTTTATACCTTTTAAAATCATAAAATTAATCATCAGATATAAGAATATGCTGCAATTAAATTTTCAGATGGATAATTTATATAAACTTATACTAGTGTATAAATTTAAGTAAATTATCTAAAAAGACTTTATATTAAAATAAAATAGCGTAATTTGATTAAACTACAATTAGCTTTGTGTGTAATAAATAATACGCTATTTTTTTGATTAAATATATCACTCAACTGATATTAAAACAGAATAATGTAAATTTTGTTTTTAAATATACTTTAATCTATTTGATGATTTGCTCAGAAAATTGCCAATATCCATGGTAATGCATGATTTGCGATAGGGTTAGCGATTATTTCATAAAATAATGCCCAGGCTGTCAAACCCCTAAAGAATAGTTTTGTAGATCGATGAATACCAATTGTATTATTTTATGTATCAATTAAGATGAGTTAAACTATTAAGAACAATTTTAGACAATTGGAATAATCGAAATGGAATGCAATTAGGATAGACACAAACAGGAAATCATCAAATTGAAAATCTCTAAAATTTCGACAAAAGAGATTGATGATAATGAGTACTTTAAGAAAGAATTCATAATCAGACCTCTGACTGTTCCTCAAATTCAAAGTCCATAATTTTAGTCTGTAACATAAGAATAAGCTAATGACGGAGTTTTATTTGAAAGTACCTTTCAATACTTGAACGATATGGATTTAGTCATTTTTGAAAATAGAGCCAAAGCCCAAATGTTTTTGAATGCTTCGAAATAAAACAATCTTTAATGTCCAATCAAACAATACATTGAATTAAAAAGTGTTTTCCCATTTCAAAAACCATAGTTAACTATGAATGATATGTTGAGATGGCTTAAAATTCCATTTTCATGTAAATAATACATCTAATTCATAGCTTAATAATTTGCATTGACATCAGTAGTTATAGAATTGTTGAAAAGGTCATATACATTCTAAACTTAGATGTTATAACAATTGTAATTTCCAATTCCTGAAGAATAGTATAGATTGTAAGGGTTTACAAATTTAATTCTATTTGATATTTAAGTGTCTTGTATTGAAGATAATAGATAAAATTACAATCAAGAAATTATTGAGATATCAGCTAAAGTTTATGATATTGATTAGAGAAAAATAGTTCGAAACTTCTAAAAGTATATAAAACCTGTTGACAATCCTATCATTAGTGAATTTTGTACTAAACAAACAGGAATTAAACAGTTTTAAATTAACAATGGAATTTCTCTTTAATAAGCTATAAATTAATTGACTGATATCTTTAAGGAGTTAGGAAGATTTTGTATAATCACAAAAGGGGACTTTGATTTACTGATTTTGAAGAAGGAAGCATAAAGAAAAAATATCAAACTTGTTAGAAATTTTACTTACTATATCAATATTAAGAAAGGTATCAAAAATATTAAATTCAGTATTTCCAAAATCTTTAAGATCTAAGACTTCTTTAAAAGATCCCAGTATGACTGAGATGCTAGAATGTTGTGGATTACTGCAGTATGACAATCATGAAAGCGAGACTGCTAAAGTAGATGACCTTGCTAATTTGGTTGACTATCTGATATTTAATGAAAACGTAAGATTTGATGAAAAAATGTTATAATATACATGTAAAATTTGATATTATCTATGTGATTAAATCTTTTTTTATAAAAAATAAAGGCGGGATAGTTTAGAACCAAAATTCAGAAATTAAACTAATAATAGTAAAATAATATGGCGGAAAAAGTTACCCATTTGACACACGGAGCATTAAAAAGCATAGTAGAAACCCAAAATGGTACATTACAATATTGTGTTTAAATTTTACATGCAGAAGAAAAGAGTGACTTGGTAACAAAGGCTGGAAGTTTATCACTATGCACATGCAGCGATGGATTTGCTAAAATGACTATGCATTTTCTCAATTTAAGCCCATCCATTTTAACTAATATCTCAAAAACTAAACCAATTATTAGGATCTCAGAATTGAAGATGAATTCATCATTTTATATTGTTACCAAACATGAAATCATTTATTAAGATAAGGGTCAAGTCGGATAGCCCTTAGATTATGAAGAATTCAAGAGATTGGTATTAATTTAATTTGCATTCTTAGAATTACACAAATCCAAATGGAAACACAGAAATTCAATTTGCAAAAGCGCCTCATACTCTCCAATTAAATTCTAATAAAAAATAATCCATTTTACAATAACAATAAAAGTAGACCAACGAAAATGTTAATGCCGATCAATAGCAAGGTAAATCTGCAGTTAAACTCTCAATTTAATAAAAGCAATAATAATCTAGACCGGCAATTTAAAAAATTGAACATAAAACTGAATATGCACCTTCTGATTAAAATCTATTGAAAATAACAGAGCTTTATCCTGGAATGAGAGGATTCAAAATCAAAGGAAGAATTACCTCCAAATCAGATAAAACCTAATTTAAAAGTGGAAAGGGATAATTATTTTCCATTGAAATTATCGACTCAGAAAAATCAACTATTTAGGGAGTATTCTTTAATAATTAGTGTGATAAGTTTTATGATTTAATAGATTTGGGAAAGGTTTATTATTTTGAAAATGGGTAAGTCAAAACAAATAGATATTCAAGCAAAAATTAAAATTAGAGCGAATATTAAATTCATTTTGAGGAAGCTTCCAAAATATCTGAAGCCTTAGAAGATAAAGAAATAGATGCTTTTCCATTCTAAATTAAATAAATAGGAGATATTGATAATTTGTCTTAAGATGATAAATGCGATATTCTTGGAGTAATTACAGAAGTTAAACCTTTAACACAAGTTACAACTAAATCAAATGAAAATAAGGCTAAGAAAAATATAACCTTATTTGATCAAACTTAAAGAGGAATTGATATTGTTCTTTGGGGAGCATAAGCTGAGAAATGGCAATTTTAAAAAGATGAAATCGTTGCATTTAGAGGACTTAAGGTGACTGATTACTAAACGATCAGAAGTTTAACAGTCACAAATTCAACTACTTATGAAAAGGATTTAACTAAATTATAGAAAATAAATGGATTCCAAGATTTTTATGATTTTTATAGTCAAAATAAGGATTTTATAGAATCTAAACCAAAGGAATCAAAAAAGAAGTTTGCCTTATCATACATTGAATAAATTAAAAAGGATTTTGAAGGATAAAGAAACAATAAGCTAACCAAATTTTATGAAGTCAGGGCCTATATTACCACAATATTTACCAAACTTCTTTATTATGAAGGATGTGATATCTGTAAAAGAAAAGTCGTTTTGGTATAATCAACAAAACAATTCTTTTGCTAAAATTGCAATCAAAACTTCAATAAACCTAGTTACAAGTATATCTTTAATGCTAAAATTGCTGATACTACTGGAAATCTGCCTGTTAGCGTGTCTAATGATTAAGGATAATCAATTTTAAGTATTTCATTCATTTATATTTTAGAACTGTCCTGTGATGAATTTAAAGCCAAGGAGAAAAATTAATAAGATGAAATAATCAAAAGGGCAAGTTTTTAATAATATAGATTCCTAATTATTGGCAAGATGGAAACATATAATGATGAAAGCAGACCTAGATTCTAGATTTCATCCATTATTTAGGATGATGTGGTTAGTGATAACGAAGAACTTTATAATTAGATCAAATAAATGCTAAACCAAAATGAATGATTTAAAGTTTGTTTACAATTTATGCATTCATCAATTATTAATTCTTCTAATTATTTGATTTCATGGATCAAGACTTATATATATATCCAGGTATTACTAAAAATCTAACCAAAACTATGTGTGGAAAACTAAAGAGATTCATTAGTAATGTAATATAATTATTATAGAAAAACAATTTAAAGATCAATCCTTTTTATAAGACGATCCAAAAGTCAAGGAATTTTTAGATACTTCTCAATATGATTATAAAGTGCTCAATTTAACCTCATTGAAATAAAGTACAATTGGAAAAGAAATTGTTAACTTTTTTTTTGGCAATCTCATTTGGTGTTAGGACATTAATGAACTCAATAAATTAGACATCAACTACTATTTTCAATTCAATCATGTTTGGTATGATTAAACAGAAGAGGACTCAAAAGAAAAAAAAGATAAATAAGACTTCTTAGAGAAGTAGGAGAAACAAGAGAAATATGAAAAATAAGAAAAATTAGAAAAGCTAGAAAAACTAGAGAATGCTTCTGATCAAGATGTTAAGGTAAAGAAAGTTAAAATTGATTGAAATTATGTGACTTTTTTATTGTTTTGTTTTATTCAAAATATAGTATATAATTATTACTTAATTTCACATATTTTAATAAATAGAAATGCTTTAGGATCCTCAAAACAATGAAGAGATTATATAGCTTTAGACCATAGAAAAGGAATTATCTACCGACTAATTATTATAACAAGCCTGCAAACAAATTGTATAATAAAATCAAAGTAAAGTCTCATTAATAAAAGATCCGAGATTGTCCTTTTTTTTACAAGAGTTATTCAAAGTACTCGTTAATTCATATATACAAAAAGATGCTCTCCAGAAAGCAACCAAAATATTGAACACCATTTTAAATAAATCAAAATTCAAGAATAAACCTATATAAAATTCAGATTTAAGTCATTATATAAACCAGAAATATAATGAAGTCTTGGGTATACACATTAATAATTGATAGCTCATTTTTATGAAAAAGCCTTTTTAAAAGGTCCCGATGATGCATTCAAGCATATGAATTATATTTATTACAAAAAGATTGCATGGGATTACTTGCAGTCTCCTAGTTGTGTAAATTAGGTATTGTCAAAGAACATCTTAACAAAAATTGATTAATCCTATTAAACCTTCACTGGTATCACTTGTTAAGAATTTGAAATGGCTGTATTTGATAGTTTCAATTAGCAGGAATAGGAATTATTTACATAAATTGTTTCTGACGATTAAAGTAAAGCTCCTAAATAGACAAATAGCTTATAAGAAAAATTCTTGCAAAATCTTCCTCCAGATCTGTAGGATAAATTTAAAAGCTTAAATTTTTCAAATATTTAAGCCTTTAAAGATCACCTCATATAAGAAAAGTAGAATAAAGGTATAGAAAAAATATTAGGATACATATTTGTAGACAAATTAAACTTTTATTTAAATTCTTATTATTTTGTGAATTCAGCAAAAAAGATCAAGGAGAATAAATCAGATTTGTAAAAACAATTACATGAGCTTGAAAAAGATATTATGGATTCTCAGAAGGATTATTATTCTTTTATTGATATTCCATCTGTCAAATACTTTTATAAAAGTTTAAAGTCAAAACGTGTTCGAAATTTGAAAGGATAATGCTTTTCATTTAAAAAACGATTGATTGAATTTATAAAATAAGAAATCAATTCTTTTGAAGTTCCAAGAAAATTCAATTTATCATAATCTGAAAAGTGGAATGACATTTACTTTAGTTTATACACAGAATTACAAAGAGCTACTACAATTGAAGAGTCAAATCTTGTTTTTAAATTAATCTAAAATGTGTAACAATTAATCCTATCTTTCCTTAAATTTAGATGGAACTACCTTTATTTATTTTGTGCATTGATTGTCGAAGCTAGATTGGAATAAGAAGAATTGGAATAGATTTTAGACATAGCCTACAATATGATGCAAAATACATCAAAAGTCAATCTAAATAAGACATTTGATTAGATTTTAGCATAATTAAATGAAAAAGCAAATACCTAAATAGTATCTGAGTATTTTAATAAAAATGAACATAATTTGGGTTACAATTCTGTATCACTTTTGGAGTCTCTCCTTCCTTACATCAATAATAAATTAATTAAAGTTATGCTTCAAGTTAATTTGCAAATTGCTTAAAAAATAAGATTGATAAATGAGTTGAAAGCTTGTGAAGTCCACTTAATACATGACAGCAGTCAATATTTAAAAAACTTTGGAAAAGTTTTTGAGAAACTTTCTGATACCCTTCTAGAAGGAGAAAAGGATGAAAAGGATTCAAAAATGCAATTTTTCAAAGTTTATCCATTTTTATATTAGCAAAAATTAAAAAACTTAATTAATGAAAGGTCAAATAAATAATTAGCTTCTTAGGTTTTCAAACAGTATATATTTAATGTTTCAAAATTGAAATCCGATTTTTTGAAAAAAGAATTAGGTCAATATTAAGAAATATTTTAAAGGGAAGATAAAATTAGTTAGATTTGTGAACAATATATTTAAAAAGAAGCAGAAAAGCTAAATTAATAATAATAAAATGATGTTTAAAAAGAACTGTTATCAGTATATATAGAAACATTTTTTAAGGATAATCCTTTTATTACTTTTTTGCCAGCTCTATATAAAGGGTTGGCATTTTTCAGATGGTAAAAGTTATAGTATTTTGAGAAAGTTGAAAGAGTAAGAATTGCAGCTGTGGCATTCAAGGATAAAGATTAAAATGAAATAAATAAATTTTTGGATTATATGAGTCTGTAAAAAGAATTATTTACTTTTGAATAGCAATTTCAAATAGCAAAGAATATCTATAATTTTTATATCACATTGCCTTAATATGGTACAGATTGTAAACCAATAGCAGAACCCTTTCCCCTTTTTAGTTAAATGAAAAGCATCACTGATTATAATTCTACTTCTTATAATGCCATTTGTTTTTTTACAACTAAGTTTTTTTCTTAAGACTAAAAGAATGTTATTAAAAGTGAAGAACAATTAAAAGGTGAATTTTTCAAGAAAATTTCAAATTTAATGAGTGATAAAACCTACTTTGAAACTACATAATAAGATATTTTGGCAGTATATTATGAATTAAAAAATTACAAAGCTTAATTAATAAAAGAAGTGCAGTAAACTAATGACTAAAATTTTTAAAATAAATGTATAGATGTATTTCAAAAATATGCTAGTAGATAGTATATTCTCAATGAGATTATCGAATTTAAGAAATAAAATAAATTACCTCAAAATGAAATAGAACAGTATTCTTATGTTAAGACTTTTTGGGTGCAAGTTGCAAACATGGAATTAAGATAGATTAATGATAATACAATTAAAAAAAAAATTGAAGACTATTTTAGATAAATACTTACTTTTCCTACATGTGCTTAAATCAATGAAAAAATATAAAAGGATATGAATACATTTCCAGATGCTGTTATTAAAGACCTGATAAAGAAACACTACTCCAAATACAAAGATGATATTGAAAATAATCCTAAAAAACCTATTTTACCACCTACTGAAAATAAATAGTCCATACTATAGATGCTAGTGATATAGAAGAAGTTAACTTCATTAAGAAGAGATACAAAATATAAAGAGTTTTTGGTAGAAGACTAGGTTTTGACATTTATTAATGAATAATTTAGTTTATATATGAAATAACTTTTAGGAAAAGTATTTTAGGTAGCTTTAGCATAGAAACCAGGGTATGAATTAAAAGTATTTTAAAATAAAACTATTTCATAAAATGATGCTTAAATGTTAAAATATAGACAAAATTTAGAATTGTAAGGAAGATTTGGACCCCAAAAAAATTCATATCTTGACATCTCATTACTTACGAGCAACGAGAATAAGAATTAATTATATTACGAACTATGTGATTATACACCAACCCAAAGACAAATAGAATTCAGGAATTTCTTAATAGAAATAGAACCTCTTTAAGAGGATAAGTTGAAGAACAAAATAAGAAAAAGTAAGTGGAAAGAAGAACATCCTGAATTAGAGGAGGTTCTTAAAAAGAGAATCAAAAGAGGGGCAGAATTATGGAATTCAGTTTAAGACTTCCTTTGTAAAAGAGAGAGTAATGAAAATATGATGGATTCTGATGAGGAATCAGATAAATATAAGGGTTAATAACAATAAGTTGTTGATATTGTGGAAGATGATCAATTAGACTAAAAACTTCAGGATGTCCAAAGAAATTTCGAAAGACAATTGTTGACTGGAAAAAATTACATAAAGACTAGGTATTATAGTAAAATGATATTTAGATTAAATAATATGGATAATGATAATCCATTATTAACTCAAAAGGAAATAAATGTAAAAACAGTTCAGTTTGTATTGGAGTAACATCCCTTCTTCAAAAAGAGTAAGATTTTGTACAAATCTTATATTTTGTGAGAGTATCAATTTTAATATATTATTATAATTATGTAGAAACTAACTTTAATTATTTATATATTCAAAAATAAAGCTATATTCTTAACCTCAATTTACACACGATGAATAAATCAACTAGGATTCATAATCATTATTGACTCATCTTTCTAAAGTAAGTGATGATTAATGATTTGTTGGCCTATTCATTAATTGAATTATTTAAAAATTTGATTCAGATTGTGATGAACTAATTTGATTGCATAGCTGAAGCTTTAAATGAATGGGTTTGAGTTTTAATTAATTAAACTGTGTATAATCAAATTATGAACGGATTATTAATGGTATTTGAAATTGAGGAGTATGTTCATTTTTTATTAAATATTATTAATAAAATAAAATGCAATAGTATAATAATGAAGAAGTAATAGAGAAATTGTTATGTAGTAATTTAATAAAATAATGGATAGTAAATTTTACATCGAGGAGGTCTGTGTTGAAACATAAAATGAAAAACTTGAAATTCCGAATGCAGATAAAAATAAAATCATGCATACACTTGTAATTGTATTTTCTATACACAAAAAGGAAGAAAATTTAAAATAGAAGAATGATTTTTTAAATTCAGAAGATTATTATAATTTCTAACAACTACTTGTTATTTCATTAATTACAATCAACTTTTCTAATGATGATCCCTTTTTTAGACATATAACAATGGTTGTCAAGGCTATAAAGAAGGCAATCAAAAAAAGACTTACTCAAGAGACTAATTAGTTTTCATCTAAATAGGAATTTAAAGTATGATAATATTTGTAAGAGTAGATTTAATAATCTTCTCTCTTCAGAATCTATTATTAGGATATAAATATAGGATTTATAACGTCTACGCAGCAAATCAAATCGACAGCTTTCATTTTTGTCAATAAAAACATATGTAATGAATTTATGAACAAGAAAATGTCAATTGAACAAAAAGACTAATAAGTGCGGCTAACGCTATATTTTTTTGATATCAACATTTAGAAAGAAAAACAAATTTAGTAAGAGTTTAAAAATTAATTTTTGCGAATTAATAAATTCAAAAATGAGTTCATCGCATTGAATGAGGAAATAGATCAATAGAAATAAACCACAACATATCATGTGTATAAGCCTATGGATGATTAAATTTATTTTGTTAAAAGAGTAAAAAACAACCTAATTATAGATTTAATTGTTAAATATACCTTTGGATGTTGCATTTCAAGATATATTTAACACAAAAAGTTCAACTTAAGATTACTACAAAATTTAAGAAGCACGTACTCTTCAACATGTTTCACATCCAAACATAATCAGACTTTATGAATGGTGGTTGGAAATAAAAAACTACTAATTATTTTTGTATACTCAGTAAGAATACTGTATTTATCCTGGATACATTTCACAATCTAAAAATCTATTGAGTTATTCCTATTTTTATATGAACCCCATGCCTTAAGAATAGAAGAGCAAACTAATCAATGAAATTCTATGTTAGATAATAAGTGGTTTGGAGTACTTGTAAAAAAAGCAGATAGTCCATGGAGACTTGAAACCTGAAAGCATTATGGTGACTAAAAGTATTACTGGAGACATATAGGTAATCGATTCATGTAACAAAGGTTATGTTAGCAGATTTGAATCATTCATATTCTTGTTATCAAGATTTGCAAAAGATCTAGACAAAAGATTATATTGATTACAAATAACAATGCTTGTATGCTTTAGGTGTACTGTTGATGCATCTGATCCTCACATTCCCTGGAGAACCAACGCTCAGAAATAATTATGTTACAAAATTTTAGAATTATGACATAGATGATTCGCTAAGTGAGTTTGATAAATGGGCGTAAAAATCTGTTAAGAATAAGCATAAGGAGTTTTCATTTTTCTTATATAAAAATTAAATGGAATTAGCGAAATCTCTATTAAAGAAATAACAATTTCATGAATTACATGAAGTAAGAACTTTTATTTAAAATAATAAATAATTTGATCATCTATTAGTTTGATTAATTTTATAGTTTTTTTTATAAAAATCAATCAATTATCATGTAAAAGAGAAAGTCTCATAATAAACTTCCAACTGAGATCATCCACCCTAATAACTGCTTTATTATGCCTAAATCGATTAGGTACTCCCCTATATTCTTCATATTATAGGACTACCTAGACTTCATCCCAAAATATTTAAGTTTAAAAGTTTCCTTCTTCTAATAATATCGATGATTCAGATTAAATATATCGTTCAGAAATCATAATGAACCATCGTTAATCACTTAACTTATATAAATCTAATTTGGAATCTGCACTTCACTATTCTGACATCAATTAAGCTCAGCTTTAGAGAATCAACTAATAGTTATTATAAAATAACATTGATCTCCAGGTACTCTACAATAAATCGGAATAAGAAAATAAATAATTATAGAATGAGCTCACCAATTTTAAAAATCGAATATCATTAAAAGAAATCGAATTTAAGCAAACTGTTGAAAATAATGCACAATATATGAAGGAGATAGCTTAATTGAAAATTTAAATGCAAAAGGTACGACCAATTTTTAATTTAAGTTAAATTAAACTTTAAATAAACTATCTGAGGAGAATAATTAGTTAAAAGAGAAATTCGAAATGAATTAAAACTTTAGTAACTCTCTGTCTTAGATATAAGGTCTATCAAGTAGAAGAGAGGGTAACTAATAAAATGATTGCAATTTAAGTGGATCAATAATATCCCAAAACTCAAGAATCAAAACTAATAGCTTTTCAAACACAAAACACAATATCTCCGATTATCAGACTTAGATAATTTCCTACTAAAATTAAGTGGCTGAAAAGAACTAATTAATTTTGGGTTTATAATCGTAAGTCCGAAATTTGACTGAAGTTTAGAGATAATTGATGTCTCCAAAGAAAAAATATATAAATGATTCCTAGGATTTCAACTTAAATAATCCTACACAAACACCAATAGAAAACTCTAACACTTAAAATGAAAGTAATATTGGTAGCAATATCAAATTATTAAATTTGATTAATGATCCGAAAAATTAAGACTCAACAATTCACAGAACTATATAATCGGATGAAATTGATGTAATGTTTATAATAAAGCTAGGGTGGACCAAGCATAAAGTCATCAATAACAAATTTAAAATCGAAATAGGAATTATCGAAAATTTATAAGAAAATTAATTAATCAACTATTTATACAGCAGGTCTTTACTCTAGTTTATTAGATTATCAATATTTATCAAATGTATTAAAATTTATAAATTTAGAACAAATTACTCAGTGCATCAAGTTCAAAGGAATTTATTTTACACTGAAGAACACTATTGATTTATTAATTGAGTAGATAAATAAAATAAAGTTTAAAACAAACTTTAGATATATAAAAATTATCATCTTTTTTTTGATTTGCCTTTTTTTTTAGTTTATTTTTTCTTTTTAGGGTGATTTTTAGTTTAATGATGTTTTTTATCACCTGAAGAGTCGTGTTCTTAATCTGATTCATTAATGACTTTTAGATCACTTTTGTGATTACTTGAAATCAATTTTTCAAGGTTTCTCTATTATTATTTTTTGGCAGAATCTTCTAAATTAATTAATTCCTCTTGATTTTCCTTTTCAATTAAATTTTACAAATCGTCATCGTTAAATAACTTCTTCATTACTTCTTACTTAAATTTATCCTTCTCCTCTTAACTACATAAATTAAATATATAGATACTGTTTTTATAATTCTTATTCAAAAAGTTAGCCAAAAAGCTTCTTTTTCAGTTCATCATAAGGAGTTGTATTGGTTGCTTAATCAAAATGATTTTTGTCCAATTTTTAATTCGAATGTTTAAGTAAATCCTCTTATTTAAATTAATTAAAACATTGATTAGAAATATTAATGTCATTTTCTTGATTGTGATTCTGTTTGATCTAGTGACATTTCGATTATTATTTACTATCATCAGTTTATTCATCAATTTGTTCTAAATCAAGTTGTCTAAATCCAGCCATTAAGTCATCATGTTCATCATAACAATTGAAGTGCTATTCTATAATAGAATTAATATTTTGTTTCTCTTCTTATATTCCTGATGACCGTGATTTATTTACTACTTAAGGTCTTTCATCAACAATGGCATCTTTATTCTAGACAACTGGTTCTTCAAATATATATGATTTTCTAATTGGAATTTCTTCTGAGAAAGTACTGACAACTGGTTGTTGGCCTAATTCTCTATTCTCTAAAAGATCTAAAGATGCTTGTCGTGATTTATCAGACTATATTTTATCTAAGGATTTTTATAATCGTTAGTCACTCTAAAAAATTGGAGGATAAAAAAATTCATCTTCTAATCCACTAAATTATTTCAATCTTGCTTGTTATTATTTAACAGTTGAGATTAGATCTTTTACAAATGAATCTTGAATAGTTTATTAAAATAACATGTGTTGAGTTGTATTTTGAACAAGCATCTTTGCCCTTCTGATTATTTCTTTAGCATTTCTCTTGGGTATTTTCTTTTATTTTGAATCATTATTCACTTGTTATAACTAATTAACTTATAGTCTTTGATTGTAAGAGATGGTGGAATCATAGATTTTAGATTTAAGTAGATTTACATTTACACTTAAAGCTCCATAATGTAAAACTTTAAGTGTTTCTTCAATATCATCACCAGTTAATCGAACATTAACAATCATTAAGATTTTGTTTTCTTCTGTAAAGTATTCACACAGTAATCTAGTTAGTTTACACTCTCGAAATGGAATACGACTATTTTAATCTGATTCATTTTGGCATCTCATTTATTTTAGACACTTTCCTAGAACTAGCAAGGATTTATTTATATTGCATGCTTCTGTTAGTTACGAGCCTTAAGTTTCAGCCTTTTTTGCTCTTTCTGACCCAGCCAAGTCAACTATACATATTGTTTGCTTCTTTTAAATTGTAAATTGTTCCTATTAATAGAGAAATGAGATTTGTATTTTAAAGACAGTGTGTGATCTACTTGATTGATTATTTAATGTTGTTTCACCCATCTATCTATTTGTTAAGGCTTTATTGAGCAATTCTTTAAATTCTTAGTTATTAGTAATTTCCTTTTCAACAGCATCTTTCACATAGCACTTTTTATCATAGATTTCTTTTAATTGCAGTTTAGTCTTATTGCTAGCTAATAAGTCATAAATTTCTTCATTGTAGATTTCCAATGATTAAAATGTGTAATTCATTTCCTTCAAGACATAGTCATCATAAGGAGATTCCCCTATTTTTATGACTTATCCATCAATTTCAATGGTAGTTTTATTTAATAGAAACGCGGTTTTTATTTTATCTAGAGTTTGTAATGTGAGCGGTAAAATGCCAGGTGCTTCTTATGTACCAATTATAGTATAAGTTTTACCAGAATTTGTAACTCCATAAGTAAAAACAAGTACTCCTTTCTCTAATAGGTAAGGTTTAATTTGTACATTTTTCAAAAATGTCTTTAATCATTGGAATAACATATTCTTGATGCAAGTTTCTCTATGTTGAATTCTAATCATAGATTTAAGAGAATGTAAAAGTTTTTTAATTGGAGATTTCATTGTCATTGTTTGTTTCGTAGATGTCTAGTCTTTTATCCGTAATCATATAGTTTACTATATTGAACTCACAATTAGTACCATAATTTTCACCAACAAATTTGGGACGAATTCTACAAATCACTTCTATACCATTCTGAGGTTCATTCTGGTCTAACACACTCAGATTTTCAGATGTTGACAAATCTATAGCTGGTTTTTTCTTGACTTCCATTTATTGAATTCAAATTATAAAAATTAAATGGATAATAGGAGTTATGATTAAGAAGAAGAGATAATCGAATAGAAGCCTTCCCAGTCTCCACAAATGATAGACGAATTGAATTTCAATAAGAGAGAGACCGTAACGATGAAGTAGATTAAGTAACTCTTCGAGGAAACAGAACCTGATTGGGAAAGAGTATGGCTTAAGATTAATTATAAAGATCAAAAACGTCTAAGGGACGTACATCATTATGTTAGCCTTACAAAACCTTTTCTCCCTTTGGATTCTATTGCTTCTTTATCTGATGAATTTAGGGAATGTTATAGCAAATTATATCAAATATCCAGTCGATCTTGTGTTCATTTTCATTTATCTGTATTGTCTAATACAAATACAATTCAAATAACACGATTGGGGATCTCCACCATTCAACTATTTGTTATACGTAAAGATGAATAATAATTCAAGTTTTTAGATGGCCCATGCAGTCTCAAGGACATTGTTATCCATATTTGTTATATTTAGATTTACATTTATACACTTAGAAATAGTGTACATAATGATTTCACTTGATTTTGTCATTATATTTCTATGCTTTCAGATCGATAGGAGAAGCAAGGATCAATGCTTCTTAGCCAAGGATTATTGGTGGAGGTAAATACGCGATTGCTTATTAATTTTTAGGGCTCTGTTGATATTTATGCTCTAAGAAATTCTAGTGAATCTAGTTTATGCAGTGTATACTTGGGTGGAAGTCTTTGCTTGGTTCTTTGCTTATTTCTTAATTCTATGTTACGTGCTTTGGGAGTGTTAGATGATCAGGTACAGACCACATATGAATTTTTACTTCAATGCGTTTTATTTGGGTCAAATCTATTTCGATAGCGATATCATGTTTCCCTGTTCCTTAATAAAGTTGTTTAGGCATTGAAAATTATATAGAAATATATTTATATATGTTAGATTATCCACAATTTAAATTGCCCGAATTCGTATGCTAATCATTTCATTATTAGTTATTAGATAGGACCTATTTAGAAGATGTTATTTGCACTGCACTTAATTTTATATTTTTTCATCGGGCACTCGGCCCTATAGAATTGAATCACATGAGATGTGAACGTTTACCAAAAATTACTTAAGTATTTCTCTTACTATCCTTAGTTAAGATGTGGGGAACCTCAAGTTGACTAGGACATCAAGAAATTAATTGATAATATCAATAATGATCCTAACATGATTAAATGCTAATCTCTTTAAATTTCTTTAAAATTTATGGAAGAACAACCGAAATCACTCCTATAATTTTTTAAGCCTAAACTAAAAGTATTTGAAGAGTGGTTACTTTCGTTTTAATTTGGTCTCTCTTCCCTTGATAAAACCTAAGATGATTTCACACTCATGATGAACAATATTATTGATGTTGCCAATGCCAATTACGACCATTTTGATGAACAATTCGATTAATCCCAATAAAAACCATTAAAATACCAATATGAAGTATAATCTAAGAATTATCATTCTAGTTAACTTTTAATTTACAGTGATTACATATATATACATTTTTCAATTATTGTTAACTATCTTTTATTATATATTTAATTTATCTACTTTTTAATTGCTAAATTTTGCATCTTCCAACAATTTTATATAAAGAAATAAAACATTTTTAACCTCAATCTACAAATTTAATCCATCTATTATTATTCTTAAAAATCCTTACTTAAAAGAAGATCCAATAGATATTTTAAGTTACTTTTATCCTTCAAAAGAAATAATTATTCAAAAATTAAAATTATCAATAGACTCAAATAGAATCATTATTCAAATGAATCATTATCTAAGATTGATGATGTTATTAAAGTGATAAACTTTAGGTTTATTGATTCAGAACACTCGAATTGGTCACTTTCTAAAGGTTATATAAATTATAAGTAAATGTATATACCGTTTTTGTGTGATAATTAAATAAATGAAGGTTTTTGCTATAATGGCATTATTGCTGGCAGCAGCATACTGTCAATCAAATGAGATTGATGTCGTATTAAAGATGCTAGGCGATTTAAAAAATGAGACAAGCAAACAATTATAATAATTGGAGAGCGATTGGGAAACAACCAGATATGTAATTGATTATATATGACATTTGAACAGCAAAAACAAGACATCGTAAATGATTTAATGAGATCTGCATCAACATAAAGAGGTGAATGTAATAGAAGAGATCAAGAGTGGGCAAACAAAGAAAGAGACATTAGAATTACACTCAGCTATATCAATTGGTTAGAGAAAAGAATCAAAGAGAATAATGAAAGACTCTCAAGATTAGATGTCAACAGATGTGAATCCAATGCTAATTTCATTAATGATATCAAAAATTCTAAGAAAACTCTAAATTTGATTGCCTTCCTCAGAAGAGCTGTAAAGAATGCAAAAGAAGTAATTAATAAAGCAATAACTAGACTGATTTACCAACCCTTTTGTAATCTGCTCAATTCATTTAACTCAAATCCTTTTTGGCTGATGATGGTGAAGAACCAGAAGTGACATCCGAAGATAATGAGCCCCCTCATGTATATGATGAACCAGAAGCTGTTGATAGCACAGAAACCGTTTCTGAAAATTAAGTAGATGCTGCTCCAGATGTTGAAACAACTGAAGAATCAGCTACTGAAGCAGAAGCTCCCACAGAGGAAGTAGAATAACAAAGTTTAGGTGATGCTCATGAGGAACCTGATGCCCCTGTTCCTGAACATCCATTAGAAGCTGAAGAAAAAGCTACCAATGAATAATTAGCAAAAGAAGCTGCTGCATTCAACAAAATTATTGAAAAGGGATAAAAGGCTCCTGCTGAAGCCGGATCTGGCAAAGATTATTCATAATTCACAGTTGCTTAATAAGAATTGCTAAATTTCTTGGACATTTTAGAAGATTAAGTAAGAGGTTCATTTGGAAAGAAACAAGATAACCAAGTTAATTCAGCTATGGGTTACAGTGATTTCAAGGGATTGATTCAAAGGGAAAATGAAACATTCAAAGGACATTTAGTAGCTGAAGATGTTAATCTAGTAACACTTTTAATATATTTAATTATAGGAAAAATTACAAAATTAATTGATAACCATCCTTTAAGCTACTGCTGCTTGCAAAGACAGATTAAAGAAAATCCAAAACTCTATTGATCTAGCTAATGAAGTATATTCTCTTACATTATTCTTAGGATTTAGCTTCTTCAGAGGCCCACTTTAAGTCTGTAACTGAAACTCTCTAAGAAGAGCAAAATACCTTTGATGATGTTTACAGAATTTATTCAAGTTAAGTTGGCTCTCAAAATACAACATACAAAAGAGATGTTTAAGCCAAAATTACCAACTGATTATGTAGAATCATCCAAAGGTTATGATTATTATGTGGGTCTTAATGGATTGTATCCTCCTTAGGTTGTATGTATTTATTTATAAGAGTGTTATTTATATACTCTCCTTTTTTAATTATTGTATCTAATATTGAATATTAAAAACACTACAAATATTTACAAATTGATTCAATCTTACATGTAAAATCAAGATTCTACCAATTTATACACTAAAAAACTATACAATAAACAAAAGATTGTTAAGTGTGATAAGTTTCAAAAGAAGAATAATAAAACATAAAGAATTTAAATATATTCAAATAAATATAAAAAACATATTCTCATTAAAATAAAAATACAATTGTCTATAATTTAAGCTATCAACACAAATGAAAACCTCAATAAATAAACCCAATTCGAAAGAATAAATTGAAGTTATTTTTCATTTAACCAACGATTGAATAATTAAAGAGGGAAAAAGCTCATATAATTTGATTAAATAATTAATGATTTTATTACTTCTAACATAGATTCAACTTTCTTTTGGAGTTAGCACTTCCAGAGTACGATCATAATAATCACATACGCTATAAGCAATGCTTCCTGATATCTCCTTATAAACAATCCATAATAAATAAAATATTTTTGCTTTAAAGTATTTTGTGGAATTTAATTCTTAGCATCTCTGAAGCATATGATATAGATTTAATTGATGAGGATGGGAAAATAATTGAGACACCTTACGTATCCTTAGATAATCTTGATCTAGATCATTTTATTGTTGAAAATTGTATTAATTTAAGATTTAATAATAGAATGTGTGGCATTTCCAAAGTATCCCTAATTGACAGAATTAATGGATTACCACATCTGGAATTCAAGCAATGATACATTCTATTCTGAAATTATTACAGCAACAGATTATTCAAACATGTACGTAGTAACTTAGGATTTGGTGCTATTGTAATTCAAACTTAGTACAAAATATTGGGTAGTCTCCTAATAACTGAAATAAATAGACTTGAAATAATATATTAATCTTGAGGACTAATCAATCAGGACTAATGCATACTTTAGTTGTCCAAAGGTTTACATGAATATAAATTTAGGGTCATTTAAATTGTTTGGTAATATCTCAATATGGTGCCTTTTGGATTCCTAAATTCGTTGACTTTGATGATCCGAAAACAGAAATTTTGCCAGAATAAGACAAGAATTTCATTATAAGGAAGGAGATTATAAAGATATTTACTTTTGAGAGTATTGTGGCTATTGCAGCAGGCGAGGATGGTGTTGATATATACAGATGCGGATATAAGATTAGCAGTAATTTTGAGAAGAAAATTTATTATTTGACCACAATTGGTAATGTATAAATGGAGATGAATTCAAATCAATAAATTTACATTATTGGAGTGAAAATAAATGACACCTTATTATATGTATTAGATGAAGATCTGGGATTATTTATCTTTGACATCTAAAATATATCAAAAAGTGTTTTGAAAATGAGGATACCAATTCCAAGAACAATAGCATTTGATTTTTATGGAAATACATTGATGGTGGTTGCAGAAACTGTCAATCACATTCAATATATTTTGGAAATATTCTTGGACTTCAATGCTAACACCTATTATGTCAATAGAGTTTATGTTGACGACTTTACCTTTGTTGATATCTAAATGACAGATGAATATGCCTTCTTTATTGCTGAAGATACTCACATGATCATAAAGCATTCGATATTTAATGGGTTTGTCAAGAACAATAAGGAACTCGTTCGAACCTTCTTTGAAGATTAATTAATTAAGTTTTAGCATTTTACTTAAGTGGTTGAATAATCTTAGAGATATTCAAAGACCATTTATTATGTTGGGCTATCTAAGAAATCCATTCATGCTTGGAAATTTAGAAATTACAATTCCTTTATAGCATGCAGTTTTGATTCAAGAGTTGAAAAGTAGTACACATTAAAATCGAATGCATCTTATTGTTATCAAGATTAAGAAAAATCTCCTTACATTTAATGCTAAATGATCTAAAAGATATCAGTAACATCTGATGGCACTCTATTGGAATCGGATAGTCTTACTCTAATTATTACTGTTTCTTGTATTTCATCGGTATATTATAATTTTAATCTAGGCAATTTTTATCCTATTAATAGTTTTGTTGTGTACTAAATGGAGAAAATTTGTGAAGTCTATTAAAGAGAAAACTGATAAATTGAGAAACAAATAAGACTATAACAGAATTGAATAGGAGAAGAATCCATGATAGTAATATATACATTATAAATTATTTTATGATATCTTTTTCATTTTAGTTATCTTTAGATTATTTAATAATTGGCAATCTTAATCTACTCTCAAATTTACTACATCTTTAATATATTATTGGTAATCCTATCATGTATTATTTTTCAATTCAATCTATTTTTACTTTCTATACCATATTAAAAACTCACAATTCTTAATATAATCTTTAACTCCATTCATGAAAAATTTATATATTTTGATTTTTCCATATAAATTCTTTATTTAGTTTATTTTGAATTTCACAAAGTTTAACTTGCCTATGGATTAACTATATAATATCTGCCTTTCTTGAAGAATTAAAAAATTTATTGATGAAATCTAAAAACTAAAAGTCTAATTTTAATCCAAATATTTCAAAATTAATATGAAATAAGCCTTTTTTAATATAATTTTTCTAGTGTGTAAGTGATTCTTTCCTAAAAACCTTTCTCAAGCTCTATAATACAAAATGATCTTAGAAAGAAGTAATTAGATGATTTATTTATTTATTTAATAATCCGTTTATGCAAAAAGAATCAGAAGAAGAGCATTAGTTATAAAATTAAAATCCTATTGAAGAAGCACCATAATCAAATTCAAAGACTAAATTTAATGTAACTTGCACTATATTAATAATATTTAACCTTATCATAGGACTCTACTTTGTTAAATATTCAAGGAATGGTATATATATTTGTTTTTGATGATAGAATACAATGATGTTTGCTTTTATTTAGGAGGGTTTTCATACTATCATGGAATAGTATTAATTCTGTTAGGACTCTTTATTTTATTGGTGGTATGTCCCTGTGGATGTTATCCTTGCATAAATAAAGAGTATTCTAGCAATATGTTTGGGGTTATTGTAAGTGTTGAATTCACATAATAAGCAATATTTCTAACTGCTCTGACAGTAATTCAAATTATTTAATTTTAAGATTGTTTATTTTTACTAAGAACCTTGTGGGAATCTTGTTAAATTTGTATTGATATATTTAATAATAAATTTATCATTAGTATTCTTTAGTATAAGTCTCATATTGTGGATAGCTTTTCATTCTGATGAATTTAATATTATTAAGACATTAACTGAGTGATTCAATTGAGACTATATATATAAATTCAAAAACTTCATATAATTAATTTTATAATTAGTTTCTTTTTATTTTTGGCTGAAAATTTAGAAGTTATTCTATACAAGTCAATATTACTAATTTGTGTAATACTTTCGAGAGTAATATTATTCTGGTTGTTTCCGACTTCCTAAATTTCAAACTTTTAATTTGCAATTTAATATATGCATTGATTCTTGTGCTTGGAATTTATGAATTATAAACTGTGTGAGAAATAAAAATTAAAATTATCCTTATATATATATATATAGATACTCTAAATGCAATGAAATACATATAAATATTGAGTCTTATGATTGAGCAAATCACTATTCATTTACAAGAGCTCGTTTCAATTTGTTACAATTTATTCTGATTTAGAGATTATAGAATAAGAAGAGTTTATTTAGGGTCTTTCTTCGTTTAATAAGAATGATAACATACTCCCAGGTTCTTTCACTTCTGTTTCTGGACTTGTTTCTAAACTTGGATGCTTTGTTAGGAGATATTGATTTGTGTTGTGAGGGGAACTAAGATTTTTCTCATATAATATGATCATGTGTATAATGTGTTTTCTTATCTTTTTCTTAATGCTTCTTTAAATTTGGGGCTTCATGGTATTTGTGCAATGATAATTGTGTAAGGGGGTTTTGAGGAGCTTATTGAATTATTTCTTTTATTTGAAGAATTCCAAAACAAAAAATTCCTTAAAAATGACCATTTTAGAGGGGGTCCTGTACTGCTTAAACAATGAAGTATAGAAATTTGTTAATTTTTCCGCAGCCACATAAAATAAACCAAGACCAAGACCATTCAGATAAAATAATTTAATATTGAACTCTTCAATAATTGAAATCACTATATAATTCTCGTTTTTTATTTAATTTGAAAAATATTTTTATGTGTGAACCTTAATTCACTAATTTCTCTATACAATATATATCTAAATTAAAATATTTTAGATTATAATAATTTAATGTTATTTGATAATAAAAAAATCTATGATAATGATCTATATCAAGTTTTATATTTGATTTTTTAATCTATAAGATAGAAATAACATCAAGAAATCTCTTCATATTGCTCTGCAATTATAAATGTAAAATTTTAAGGCGTAATTATCATATGTTAGCTTAGATCTATGAAATTTTATTCTCATGCTAAAAGAAAATATTTATTTTTGTTTTATTTTTTGGCTATAAAGTTAAATTATCTAAACTGCAAAGCATCAAATCATAATTAGATAATTTAATGTATATTTTGATAATTGAGGAATTTGTTCTCATCATTTGAATTTAGTAATCAAGTAATGCTCCCCATGTCTATTAGCCTTAATTTTATAGAAAATAACAACAAAACCCATAAAATAGTTATTCAAATCTATTGGAAAAAGAGAATGAAATAATATGAAATTTAATTAAATTTTTAGTAGGTATTAAGAAAAAAAATCATATAATCTTAATTAGTAATTAGTGTATGCACTTAACTTATAGACTTTAATGAAGAAGCTAATCATTTATGATTAAATATATTTAGACATTTCAATATTGTGATTTAGCAAATTAATTTAGATTATCATTTGTGTACTATTCAAATAAGGAATCTAAAAATAGAATTGAAGTATATTAGTTTATTGCAAATTGAATATATATGGTTGTCAAATGAGATGGTGATTAAATTTATAATTTTGGTAGAGAATAAATGATCTTGAATAATATTATTTAAGAAATATAGTTTAGGAAAATTCCATATGAAAAATGAGAATTTTAATTACATAATAAGATATGCAAGAAATAGGAAGATCAGAATGAGTGTTGTGGATATAATACAAATGAAATTTAAAATAAGCGATAGGAGGATAATTTAAATGGGATGGGATTTTGTAATTTTGGCATTAAATAACAGAATAATGGTGTAGGCAAAACAACAATGTAATTACAAATACCATATCATTTAATTTCTTCATTAGTGCAAATAATTGCAATTTTAATTAGAAATTTATATAAATCTTTGTTAATGAAGTTTAAATCATTATTATTTTTTTTATGGTGAAATATTCAAGAAAGATCAGATAGAGAAGTAGAAAATATGATAAGATTACATAAGAAGAAAGAGAATAAATAGTAAAAATGAAAGTAAATGGTTCAACTTGTAGAGAAATAAGTGAACTGATGAAAAAAAATATTAAAACTATATAATCAATAAAATCGATTGAGAAGAAATCTGAATATGCTGATTTGAAGAAAGCTTTGATCGATTACGGATTCTAACAAATAATGGAAATGTAAAGTTTGGATGTATATTTTATGATTAATTTTAGAAAACGAATTTGAAAATCATAGGGAAGTAGGCAAATAAGCTTATCAAAGAGTAGTTGGAAGAGCAGACATCAAAGTTTTGGAATCTAATTCCAGAATAAAAAAAGTTCTCCAATAAGAGAAGAATTATATAATAAATAATATTAAACATAGTTGAGAAGGTTCAAAATACAAATTAAAAAATGAATGACAGTCAATAAACAACCATAATCACAAAGGAAGAGTTCGAAGAGAAAAAGGCTGAGGTTCCCAGTAATATATATGAATAACCAATCCCACTCCATTTAACAAAGGCATATTATTATCTGATGTCTTTGTTAATATCACACAAAAATAACTATGCATTTCTATAATGATTTATATGTAAAATTAACTTCAAAATTATTGAATGTTATGTTTAAGGAGAGTAATTTATGTAGCTTGATCACGCAATCAAACTATATATTTTGAAATCTGGATTTCAGGCTATTATTAGTTAATAATGCAAATATTAAGATGTCCTTTTATTTATAATATTATCAATTTATTTAATAAAATATGGATTTATACCACTACCTATTTAAATTCATTATAGTGGGAGATGCTAGTGTAGGAAAGTCTTGCATACTTCTTAGATATACTGAGAAATAGTTTAGAGATGAACATGACACGACAATAGGAGTGGAATTTGGATCATAAGTCCTAAAGAAGAATGACAAAACATTGAAAATACAAATCTGGGATACTGCTGGTTAAGAATCCTTTAAATCAATAACAAGATCATATTATAAAGGGTTGATTATAGTCTCTATATTTAAGTTCCATTGGAGTGCTCTTGGTCTTTGATATTACCAATCCAGATTCTTTTCATAATGTCTAAAAGTGGTATAACGATGTAAATGAACAGGCAGCGTCCAATTGCACAATTGTATTGGTTGGCAATAAAACAGATCTTGAATCATAGTAAGCTAATGCTTTAAACTTAGACGTATGATTACAACAAACGAGGGAAAGGCCTTGGCAGATTAATATAAGATGTAATATATTGAAACTTCTGCTAAAACCAATTAAAATATTGATTTGCTCTTTGAAACCACAGCTTAGTAAATCTTAGATAAAATTGATAAGCATTTAATTGATTTTGCAAATGAAGTATCCAATCAGTCTATATTTTTAGGATAGTGGCATTAAATTGGGAACATTTTATAAACAAGCCAAACAAGGGGGTAAGGACAAGGACGATGATTGTAAGTGTTGAGCGTCCTTTTAAATTTATATCAACTATAATAAAACTTTAAATCTTGGTATTTCTTAATTTGAATTAATAATAAAAGGAAAATTTCATTTTATTTATTTTTCCAAATTACACATAATTTTTGAAAAAAAACATTAATTAAATTGTTAAATAAATACTAACGGAACCCTCAGTTATTATTTTTCATACTAAACCTGAGCAAAATACCATTTTTTTATTAATATTTTTTATTATGAATTAAGATTAAAGCTCTTCCAGAAGAAGGAAGACGTATGATAAATTAAGTGATGATGAGCGCTGCATCACCATGGATTTAAAGTCATAAGGCGTGAGTTGCTAAGAGATCGCCAGAAGATTAAATAAAAATTTAAAGACCATCCAATCTGTCCATGGCTACGAGAGAAAATCAGAGTACAAGGGCCTTAAAGAGGCTGTCACACGATATGGAATTGACCAATTACTTTAGAACACTTCAATCTAGGTATCATTATTTTTCTAATCTTAGTCTATGAATGAGAAAAAATTAAGAAAGTTAATCATTTCAATTGTTAAGGAGGTTATTCCTCCTTAAAATAACTCTATGTTTGCCCACTTGATCCCTACCCAAAAGATAGACTCTAACAAAAGAAGGATCATAGACTAAATAGTCAATAATATCTTAGATATTATTCAAAATTATTTAAAAACAGGAGAACTTATGAATGTATCTGACACTAGAAGTGACTCAAAAAGTGACTCACTTTGTTTTGAATCCTCAGACCACTCTTATTCCACCAACAACATCATCCAAGACAATTCAGATGCCTTCCATAGTCACAACACTAGTGATAATTGTAATCAAGAGGTCTTCTCTTATTAATACAATTACGAAGGTGAGGCTGAAATGAATGTTGAATTTGAAATCTCATCGATAATTTTTTCGAACCACGACATGTTTGAAAAATCTATCGAAGAGCTTTCAGCTTCTTATTTCAGCTTTTGAGATGTCAATTTTACGAGGAATTGATATCAATATATATATATATATTATCAATTTATAAACATATATACATATCCTTTATAGAGTAACAGAGCACCCTAGAGCCTTATTATACAAATAAGAAGGGCTCTTGTCTCAATAAATCGAGATGTATCTTGTAAAATAAATAAAAATTACATTTTATTTTTAAATCGCGTCTATGAGAAATAGTACTATTATAAGTAATATAAGGGTATATTTCCTTAGAGGTCCACCTTACTTTAAAGTTGTATTAATTACCATAAGAAAAAATAGATATTACCTTATATGATGTTTTATCATTTATATTTAATCGTTAATTAATAATTATTAGTGCTATTATTTTCAATCTACTAATAAAATAACATTACTCTAAAATATATTCTCTGTCTCATACAATTTCACTAAAAATGCTTATGATGATGACTGTTACTAGATCATTCAAAATGTTGTGATTTCATAATATTTTGGAAACATCTTTATTCCAAATATCATTATTAAAGAACTTGTTTACTTTAATAATTGCTTATTGTTACACTTTTAGATATCAGAAAACTACTTTAATAATAGGTAATTTTTTGTAAAGAAATACTATAAAATTAACTTTTTAGAAAAGCATTCTGAAATAGCTAATTAATCATAATAAAATGATATTTATCATCTTCAATGAATTTCAAATTTAATTCTTATGTATAAAATAAGTTTTGATATGTTAAATTTTTCAAATTTAGTTTTGAATAGGATGCTTATATTTGTTTGAAATTGTATAAAATAATAGATATTAATATTCGATAAACAATTTATCAGAATCCTTGATAATATTATCTTAAAATAATCAATGAGAAAATTTTAGCAGGGACTTTATGAAAAAAAATTCTTAGATCTATTTTGCTTTACAAGTTTTACAAAGGAACTAATTTGTTGTAGAATTTAATTTCAAAATATTATTTGTAAAAGGTTTTCTTTCCATCATAAAAATAATTCTTATGAATTAATATAATATATATCATTCCTTTGGAAGACCTCCCTCTGGTGTTTATTTGCCTATCAATGCTTTATGAATGTGGGGGATCACTCCACCACCAGCAATAGTGGCTCTAATGAGAATGTCGAGTTCTTCATCACCTCTAATAGCTAATTAAAGATGTCTTGGTGTGATTCTTCTCACTAAGAAGAAATTTAATATTTAGAATTACCTTTAAAGTCTTTAGAAGCATTTCCTGCTAATTCAAGAACCTCAGCTGTTAAATATTCTAATATTGCTGATGTATAAACAGCAGATGTTGTTCCTACTCTGTTTTTGGCAGAGACTCTTTGCTTCAAATATCTGTGAATACGACCAACAGGGAACTTATAATTGATTAACTTTCTACTTAAAGTCCAGCCTTCAAAGACCTAGATTAAGGGGCCTTCTTATTCTTGCCTTATCCAAATTTTCCTCCTTTTCCACCTTTTCCACCTTTTCCGCCTTTTGCACTCTTAGCTATGCCACTCTAACAAATATATTTGATACTTTACCATTTTGATGCTAATTTATTTTTAAGCATTAAAACTATTATATACTTAGTTTAAGAATAGATAAACTCAAATTTTGATTGGCTCTGCCTTTAAAATTTGGATAAACAAGTTACAATAGCATGTCCTCTTAACAGCTTTTCAAATCTGAAGTCTATTTTGACTTTTACATAAAATTGTTTCAACCTTATCAAATTATTATGCAATTATATAATGGAAATAATAATTTCCCTAATAATTTATATATAAACTAAATGCCATTTAAGGCAATGATCAAACCAATAGTTTAAAATTAACTGAGTTAAACTAACTTTGTAAAATTATTGTTCTTCTTATTTTTTTCTATTTGAAATTACTATTCCTATAATTGATATTATAAATTATAAGAAGAAATAAGAGTTTCAATGGTTTTTTTTCAATTTTTAATGAATACTTAAAAATTTGAAATTTTATATTAAGTGAGAATGAAACATAGAAATAATAATAATATAATAAAATGTAATTTTATCCAAATATGTAAGATCATCTAAATATCTTTCTCATGTAATTTTGAGTTTCTAGAATGTTTCTAAATGCATTTAAGATCTCGTAATAATATATCGGCTAGTGTATTGTTTTACCAAATAAAAAAATCATATAACAATAATTTAAACAGAGACTATCAATCTTTGTTCGTTAAAATGAAATGGATAGAAAGCTGAGGAATACGTTAAAGATAAACAATAATTCATATTATTATGAAAATAAAGTACTATCATAGTTTTCTTTTAGTATGATCTTTGTCTAAAAGATGTAATAACTGATATTGAAATTCTTTACTAATTTTTTTAGGAAGTGAGAATTTTGGAAGTTAAGCCAACATAATTTCTTCATCATTTTTACCTGGAAAGGGTACTTTTCCACAAAGTATTTAATACAACAGGACTCCAAGAGCCCAAATGTCAGCCTTTCTGCCATCATAGGGTTTTTTTTGAAATATTTCTGGTGCCATATATGCAGGTGTACCACAAAAATCTGAGCAGAGTTAATTTTCTGATGCAAGTCCGAAATCTATTAGCTTAACTTATTAATTGATTATCATAATATTGTCTGCTTTTAAATCTCTATGAAAGATATTTTTTGAGTGCAAATATTTAATTCCATCTCGAATTTAAGAATATATTTGCTTGGCTTCTTTTTCTTATAATCGCCTATTTGGTTAATCTTGGTAAATAGATTCTAAACTTACTTTTCAAATAATTCGTCAGAGTGTGTCCATCAATAAATTCTAAGACTATTGTATTCTTGTAAGTCCCAAGAAATTTAACTATGTTTTCGTGGTCTAACTTTTTCAGTATCTCTGTCTCTTTAGACAACAGTTTTTTTTATTCTGATTTTAATAGATTAGAATTATACTTTTTGATAGCTACCTAAACTATTGTATTTGTTATTTTTACTTAAGAATCAGTCATTCTGTCATAAGCTTTAAACACAGTTGCAAATGCTCCAACAGCCAATTTGGATAAAATTTGATATCTTTCAAATTTAACAGGTTTATTTGATTCTTCAGTTTTGCAAACAGTATAGCTTCTTTAGAGTTTCATTGATTGAATGCTATTGAGCAAAGCCTGTTTCCTCTCGACAATTTGAGTTGCTTATTATAAAATTTATTATGGATTTTAAGGTTTTCTTCTGAAGGCTGAATATGCCCTCTATGGTTTAATAGGTGTTGGACAAGGAATCGGTTTTTAGAAGGTGAACTTATTGAAGAGATCCTCAACAATTTAATCAAGAGTTTACATAATTGTATTATATTGATAATTTAATAAATCAAGATAAGAGTCTCTTGTCTGAAGTAAAGAGATTTTATTTCAATATTCCGATCTAGAATTCCAACTACCATGCTTTGAACTTCAAGACTTAATTTGTTTAAGCAGCCTTATAATAGTGGAATATTATATAGCACAGGGCAGTCTACAAGTGATTAAGATAGCTTTTTACCTTTAAAATCATGTTGAATATGCAAAACACTATAGTTATTCTGACAATTGGATCTCCAGCTTCTCCCCAAGTGGGTAGAGTTTTGTCTGTGCCACTCCACCAATTCTAAAATATTACTAATGCGAAGTTACTTTGTAAATTGCTATCCAAAATATATCTAAAACTATGGTAAAGACTGTTATTGCCCCCACTATTTTCAAGTACTCTGGAGTAAAGCAATCTCTGCAGATAATCAACAAGTACAAAGTGCCTAATAAAATCTATAAGACTATAATCTGAAGTTTACATCCACATAGGCTGGTCTTGCAAAACATTGGAACATGGATAAGACAATCATCAGAAGATACAAGATGAATCCATAATATATTTCATCACTAAGTTCTTCTGAGGCCTCTCCTTGAAATTGTGGTTGAATATTATCTTAGTTCTATCTTTAAGATTATTGAGGTGTTGTAGGCTTGTATATTTGCGGTTAGTTTTATTGTTGCTAATAAAGCAGGGCAGAGTTAGTTTGCACCTTTGAGTTTGTTTGTGGTTTCAAGGAGGATTAAAGATTCTGCCTTTAACTTTTATCCATGAAAGGCTATTAAACTACAAATAGATCTCTTTTGTAATCTTCGATATCATTGTAGTGTTGTTGGATATCAGCTTCGAATTTAGAGATCATTTCTTGGTAATATTTTAACTAAATAATGGATGGGGATTACTTTATTATAAATCCACTGGACATCGAATTATATGGTTGGAGAAGCATATTATTGTTTATCATTTTACAATTGGAGTTGGAGAGAATGGACTTATTAATCTTATAATTAAGACAAATCTATCCTAGCTTGTCCAACCAAAGATTTCTTTTGGTTTCGATCTTAGATCAATAAGCTCAGGGTAACATTCTCTCTTCCTGTTTTGATTTGGCTAGACATTAATAACATGTAATAGTACAATCCCAATTGCTCATTAAATATTGGATGGAACTTATCTCCTCCACTCTGCTAAGCAATTTATTCATTATTATCAACTGATATTGATACATAACTTTAAATGAAATCTTGAGTTGTGATTCCTGAGGCTGACTTTATGATTAAATTGAGAGATGAATCAATGTCTATACCATATTAATTTTATTATTGAGTGTCTTCTATATAAAATATTAGTACATTGTATTTCCTATACTTGTCTTTGACAATCCTTTGATTCCTCAACCAACTACTAAATTTATTTTTCGGTATCATTAATCTTTTTCTTTAACATCGCATCAGCAGATATCAAAATCTGTGAAAATTCTTCAATTTAAACTTATCCTCTTTGATTTGGAGTGCATTGTTCATAAATTTAAGTGGCCACATCCCTATCATACGCTTAGCCTGTCTATGTTGATTATTCTTAAATTTTAATATACTAATTGATCCAAGGCTTAATATATCTGATCAGGTTAGTAAGCTTGCCCTTGATTTAATCCGACTCTTTAAAATGCTCCTAATACTGAGTTAGCATTAGGTTAGAATTGCAACGACATATTTTAAATTAATTATATAATTTTTATAATTTGTATCACTGAGTTTGAGCTGATGCTGTAACTCAAATATTTAACTATATGTTTAGTCATGCACTCGAGAAACAATATAATTCTTAATTTTATAAATTTAATCAAACTAAATTTAACAATAAATCTAAAGGCACATCTCCTCATCTTTGTTTGGAAAATAATCATAAAATATGATATTTTCTTCCTTAACTTAGATTTATGATATTTGATGTATTTATTTATGAAAAATGTTACAAATCTTGATTCATTAATCATTAAAAGATTAATAGCATAATATAAATTGGTTTTTATTTAGCATTCTATTGTATATCACCTATAACACATTATCTTCTTGTTGATTTTAAAATAAATGAAAAATATGTTTGGTAATTTTACAAAATTTTTAATTTTTTAATTGGAAATGAAAGCAAGAAAGACAAGTGAATAGTAGCCCAATACTTAATGTATACTAAAAACTAATTTTATTCACATATATAATATAATTTATATATAATTATAAATAAGGGGGTGTGAAATTCACTAATATAAATTGTGGTAATTCATGAATCACCTTTTAATTTAAAAATAATATCCAAGTTGGCACATGAATCACACCACTAAAATTAAGAAATTGCCTGTTACAGTACTTTGTGGTTTTTTAGGGTCAGGAAAGACAACCCTTATGAACTATATTCTTAAATAGCGCCATGATTGCAGAATAGCTGTCATCGTTAATGACATGGGGGAGATCAATGTCGATTCAAACTTGATAAAGGAAGGAAAGTTTAGTGTGAAGAAGACTAAGGAAAAACTTGTTGAAATGTCAAATGGATGCATTTGCTGTACCTTGAGGTAATTATTAGACATATAGTATTAGAGAGGATTTAATCAAACACATATCGAAGATAGCCAAGTCTGGGTAGTTTGATTATATGTTGATTGAGAGTACAGGAATAGCTGAGCCTTTGCCAATAGCTTAAGCTTTTTATTTTGAAAATGAGGAGATGAGAAAGAAGGGATAGATGTTGAAGAAGTTCGCTAGACTTGACACTATGGTCACTATGGTATCTTTGATAATCTATTATTTAGATTGACGCCTTGAATTTCTTGGATCAATTGTAATCGGATAAATTAGGAGAGGAAATGAATGTAGATAACAAATAGATGGATCAGATTCCATTGTCATAATTGTTGTTGGATCAAGTTGAATTTGCTAATGTTATAATATTGAACAAAACAGATCTTGTGAATTAGGAAAGAAAAGAGTTTATATTGAATCTCCTTAAGAAATTGAATCCCAATGCTAAGATTATTGACTCTGTGTAAGGGTAGATAGATTTAAAGGAAATCATCAACACAAAATTATTCAACTTTGAAGAAGCCTCTACAACGGGAAAGTGGATTACTGAACTATAGAAGCCAATCCATAAAAGTGAGATTGAGGAATACGGTATCTAATCTTGTGCATTCAAATCAAGAAGAGCATTCCATCCTGACAGACTATTTCAACTTATCGAGAGAAATAACACAGAAGAACTATCTTTTTGGAATAATATCATAAGATGTAAAGGATATATGTGGATAGCAAGTTGGGAAAGATTAAACATTCACATACACAAGGCAGGAACCTAGTTGACTTACCATCCTGGTTCCTTTTGGTGGATATCCATACCCAAGAAGGTTTGGGCTGATACCAAAGAAGAAGTTGATGTATGCTATATAGTTATATCAATAGGCTATTTGGGATGGACTTAAACAGAACTGGCTACCTGAACCTATAGGGGATAGAAGATAAGAGCTTGTGTTCATAGGATAGAATTTACCAAAATAAGAAATTCTAGATGCTTTCGAGAGTTGTTTATTAAGTGAAGAAGAGATGGTACAATTCTTATAGAATGGGTGGGATAATACTAATGATCCATTCCCAAAAGATTGGGGGAAATTGGTGAAAGAATTTGAGGATCTGGGAGAATTAAGGGGAAATGAAGGAGAATGGGAAGATGTGTGGGATGAAGAGGGAGAAATGTAAGAAGAACATTAAGAGGATGATGTATCCATGTAAATAGAAGTTTAATAATAATAATTGGTAGATTGATTAAATTAGAATGTCTTAATACATTATGATCATTAAATAATATTTATTTAAAGACTATATTAGTTTCATTTATACGTAAAGTTTTATATGTTTGTTAAAATTTTAATTAATGAATAATCCAGAAGTAATTTATGCAAACCTTACAGGAGATTCAGAGCGTACTAATTTATCATTATGAAATAGCTTTCGTTACTGATAGCTTATGCGTAAATTGTGAATAACAAGGCAAAACTACAATTTTATTGACTAAAATACCCATGTTCTCAAATATTATCATTGTCTCTTTTGATTGTGAACATTGTGGATATAAAAATAATGAAGTGTAATTTGGTGGAGAAATCAAAGAAAAGGGAATTAAACTGCATTTAAAAGTCAATGAACCCAAAGTACAGATTATTTTAGATAATTTTAGGATCTCCAAAGACAAATCATCCGATCGGAGTTCTGTAAAGCTTTGATTCCAGAACTAGAGTTTGAAATGCCATCCAATAAGAAGAGCAGCATCAATACTTTAGAAGGATTCCTTTAAAATATTATTGATGACTTATCACATGATCAACCTATAAGAAAATTTACATAAGTGGAAGTCCATAATCGAATTGAATACATCCTTGGAAAATTAAAGGAATTCAAAGATGGTTAAGGATTACCCTTTCATTGGATATTGGAGGACCCCTCTGGAAATAGTTTCATCTAAAATTTAAATGAACTCTAAGAAGATCCCTCGCTTAAAATTCAACATTACATAAGAACAATCGAGGAGTTGGAAGCTATGGGATATAGTGCTGAGAATTAAAAATAAGAGGTTCAGCAATAATAATAAGTCATTGCTGACCCAATTCACTAAGGGACTGAATAAATCTAAGCAGGCGGATAAAACTTTTGTTAATCTATTGATGATTCTATTAAAAATGAATCTATCAATATTCCAACACCTTGTAATGTCTGTAAGGAAATGGGAGAAAACAAAATGTGCACTGTCACTATTCCTCATTTTAAGGAGATTCTAATTATGAGTTTCAATTGTGGATTTTGTGGATACAAGGATACAGAGGTTAAAGCAACTGGTGAGATCAGTAAATAAGGTAAAATAATAGAATTGAAATTTGAAAATGAAAATGACTTATGCAGAGATGTATTTAAATCAGATACTGCTAAATTGATTATTCCTGATATTGAATTGGAACTTGGAACTGGTACTTTGGGTGGAGTATATTCAAATGTCGAAGGATTATTAGAATAAATTCTGACACGATTTAAGGGATAATGTAATTATTATAATTTAATAGTAGAATCCATTTGTTGGAGATAGCGCTGATGAGGATTATAAGAAGAAGATGGAATAAATATTTTAGAAATTGGAAGAATTCAAGTCAGGGAAATCCAAGTTTACTTTAATCATAAGGGATTTAGTTGAAAACAGCTTCATCCAAAATCCCTTCTATCCAAATGAGGACAATTAAGTTAAAATCACTCTCTTTAACAGAACTCCAGAAGACAATGATGAATTAGGAATAGATACAATGAAGACCGAAAATTATCAGAATTGATCAAAAATTTATTATTTATTTTAATGACTATTTCATAAGAAAAAACAATCATTTAAAAATTAACTAATGAATTCCGATGACTATTCCACAGCACTTTATAGGATATCTAAAATGAACTCATAAATTAATTTATTCATACCAACAAATCAAAGATTAAATGGATAAGAAAAATGATGATGTTACTAAGGAAATCCTATAATAAATAAACTTAAATAATCAAGATCTCAATTCCGCCGTCAAAGAATAATTTGATAATGATGGCGTGGAATTCTCCAACCATTGCAACCAGTGTGGCTAATTAGGAATAAATAAGATGTGTAAAATCACAATTCCTTACGTCAGAGATCTTATCATTATGTCATTCACATGTAATGAATGCGGATACAGGGATACAGAAATTAAAGGAGCGAATGGTATTACTCCATAAGGAAAACTCTTTAGATTGTATGTTAATAGTCAACAAGATTTGAAGAGAAATGTATTTAAATCTGAAACAGCCAGTTTACAAATTCCTGAAATTGAATTGGAAATGTGCACTGGTACTTTGGGAGCTGTGTTCACCACAACCTAAGGTATTGTCTCTAAGGTGTTGGATCATTTAAGAGATAAAACACCCATCTATAATTGTGATGATCCATATCGTGATAACAAATTACAAAAGGTTTTTGATTAATTGTAGGCTTTTCATGATGGAACTCAAAGCTTTACTCTAATCATTAGAGATTTGATTGATAGCAGCTTTGTCTCCAATGTTGGAGAACCTGATACAGATTATAATTTATAAGTTATTGCTTTTGATAGATCAGAGGAGGACGATGATGAATTAGGAATAGATACTATGAACACTGAAAATTACTTTTGATTAAATACAATATTTCATTTCCACCTATACATATTTAAATGCGCTTAATCCATTCAAAAATGCTTCCCTAAGTATTGACTGAAGAGTTCATAAACAAGAAATGTTATACTATTTGTAGGTAACACTCTTATTAAATCTGGTATTAAGCCTTTATAGAATCCTCCAATAGAATCTTATTCATATATAACCCTACAAATATCAATAATTCTGACTCTTGATCTGAGGCCACTTTTATATACAGTTTTATTATCATGTAATCTAGTTCGTATAACCACATGAGGATAGGTTACCAAAACAGCCATTGCTATACATAAATGTATTTATTACACTTTGATAATATTGAGGCTTTAAGAATATCAGTTGGCAAAAGCTAACCATTCTTATCAGTATAATTTTGTTTTAATCTCTCGTATATTGGGAACTATACTGCCACGTGGGATAGACCCAACACAGTAGCTCCAAGTCCTTTGTACAAAGCAAGGAAACCTTCCTAAAACCCTTATTTCATTCATTACTTCTTTTTATAAAGTGATCAATCCTCTAAAAACAGATGTATATTTTGCATTATTTTGATCATGTAAGTATTGCGTTTACATTCTAGTTCTGATTAACTTTTAATAAGACTTAATTGCATTAATATACCCATAAAGGATTTGTAATTAAATCGCAAACCAACCCTGTGATGATGGTTGCCAAAAGGTGATTCTAGAAACCACTTATTCCATACGAGATTTCTAAAGTTTTCTTATTCCATTTATAAAGGGGAAAGAAAAGTGAATGAAAAATCGGATTAGCAATTGCTGTTGCTCGATACCCTTCAAAATGAAGATGCATTTCTACCTTTGTAGTAACCTGCAAAACCCTCCTCTTTATAGATAACGTAAAGTGAGTTAATGAAACCTTGATATTTGTTTACAGATTTAGTAGCATTCTTAAAATGGTTAATTCATTACTTGAAGGTTTAATCTGCTTCTTGCTACTTCTAAAGGATGGCATACAGTTACACTAATGAATCCTCCAACCAAACCAGCAATAAAATGATGCCAATATATTTTTGATTGTGATTCTTTATTCATTTTATTTTAATATTATTTGAATCAAAGAGACAAATATGAATGGTAGTTTCTTTCAAAACACACTTTATATGATTGGAATGTAAATAACTAAAATAGATCAAAAACAAGATTTAATTAATTGAATTCATAGTAAATTGACTAAGATTGGAAAACCTTTTTGATTTTATAAGATTTTAGAATAACTTTCAATCATTTATTATGTATTTAAGAATACTATTTATTGATGGCATTACATAAAAAGTATAGGCTATTATTATTAAATAAGTAATAATAAATAACCTAATTCTTCGAATTATATGAATTTTACCATCAACTAATAATACTTAAATCAATAATCTTTAATTTTTTATTGTAAAATCATTATGATTTATTTATTATTGAACATTTGAAAATTGGATGAAAATTTATTAAAAATAATGGCTTAGTTAAATCAAATTAACGTTATATTTATATATGTATGATTTAGATATGATAGAAGATAAACAATACATATAAGAATCTATAGCCAATCTAAAGATATTTCAAATTAGACAAATACGTAAATAGATGTTATATAAAAAGTAGAATTATTAAAACTTCCTTAAATCAAAGATTGATGAATCTAAAATTAGATTGGCTTCCATACTTAGATAATAAGCTATCATATCGAAAGATAAGTTCATTTATTATTCATAAAAACCATTTCATAATATTATTCTATCTATTTGCTGAAATTTATGAAGAAGTACTTAGCAAAGCCAAATATATCATAAATGTTTGAATCTTTAAATATATATATCTCTTTTCAATATATGAAAAATTCAAAAAATTTCACAACAACTCTTTTTATTCATATCCTTAGATTATTTATAGAACATTTTAGCACCAGCGGATAAATCATTACTCTTAGCAACTAATTAATCTAAATCACCCTATCTTTCCAATAGTTTTTTTATGTTCTCATGTAAAATGATATTGGTTTCATCCACTTTGGTTTATGCAAGTAGCACTTTATCAACATTCTTTGGATCTTAATACTCTTAGAATAACTTATTGTTAACATCAAATGAGTACTTGCTTAATTTCTGGAACTTCTATGCTTTCATCTTCTTTGTACTTTTTCCAATCATCTCCTACTTTCTTCTAAAATGCTTGTAAAACAGCATTTAAAAATGCAAATGCTATTCTTTTTGGATAATCTTGATCACAAAATGCATATGCTCCTACTTTATCGCTTCCGTAACCCATCTATATGTGGCAATATTTATCCTCATGCATCACTGAATGTCTTAAAATCATTTTATTAATTACCTGGTTCCTTTGTCTAATCCAATCACTGATTCTCTACACACAAACTTCATGGAATCCTTCACAGTATTTCTATAGAATATTCCTACTGAATTCAATTCATAATATCGAGTTAGTATAATAACTTTCTTTTCAACAGGGTTGTATGCAGCAATTAACACAGCTATTAATTACATATTTATTTTAATAATTATAATATATAAGTTAAGTAATTTAAAATAATAAATCATTAAATTTAGGACACTAAAGAAAAATTAAAAGTAATCTGATTATTAGTTTGTATAATATCTAAATGATTGTAAACTCCAAATTCGGAGAGAATCAGTTAAGTGATGCTTATGTTTAATAGTAAATTTATGGGTATCTAAAATTATTGTGTCAAATAGCTAATTCTCTCTAGGAGTGATTGGTGAATAGTATTTTTATGAAAAAATCCTTTAGGAGACTTGACCCAATTAGTTTGTAGTATCTCTAAGATCTTAGTTTGAATAGCTTTATCATTCTCCTTTATTTTAATAGAGAAGAATATTTCTGTATTTTGATTCTCAATTAGTATTTGTAGAATTTTCACATCTCTAAAGATATGCTAAATTATGTAAAAGCAAGAGATTAGCAATTGCTAAATGATTGCAATATCATGAGTAAATGACTTTGCAAGTACTACCTTTTAGGAATCTAGTCCAATTAATGGATCAAGGAGAGTTTATAATGAAGTTTGAGTGATATCTTAGAGTTTGAGACGATTTGATTTGTTTTGAAATATGATTTAGATGTTTTGTATGAAATTATGATTAAAATAGAATTTCTAATCTGGGAATTTCTATTTAATGGAAATTTGATTAAATTTGGTTAGCATTTTAATTAGAAAACGGGATTGTTCATTTGCTGTTTCAGTTATATTTTAAAGGATGCTCCACAAGACTTAGGTCTGATTGTAAAAGTACTTTTTTTTTGGATCAATGATCAATAAACATTGTAGTTTATTGTTAAACACACATCTGAGTAATTTGACATTATAAAATTTCTAAGTTTATTGGTGGTGAACAGTATATTTATAAGTTTTAAAAGAGTCGGAAAATTCTTGAGTGTGAATTAGAAATCTCCTCAAAGTTGCTTCCATGCTAATGTGAACTAAATTTGAGACACTATCATAAGGATCACTACTTGAGGATATTATCAACTAAAATATATGGGGATTCAAATACTTGTCTCAATAATTATCTCAGATTTTCACTATCTTACAGCCTAAATAAAATGGATGAAAATTTGTTTTCCTTCTCTAATTACAATTAATCCTATTTCTTATCATAGGATATAAGTAGTATTGAACTTGATAACACTTTGGATAGTAATTATTCCCACTTTTCTTACTGACAACTTTATAGATATTGTTGTTTTTTGGTTTTTTCATAATTATACTTGATGGCAATCATGTTCATGGCCAAAAACACAAAGAGAAATATATTAATAATTCCATCCTTAATGTCGATGTTCTCCTAATAGAGGTGGATTCCAATCGTTAAAATCAGCAGAAAGGTTTAATAAATGAAATTTGCACTTAAAAGGTAAACATTAAAATGTAAGTAACCGCATTAAAAACCATAATACCAAGATTAATCTAAGGTTGGATTGGTTGCCCCTTCAAATAATTAAGGTATTTTAAAGGCACAAAGCAAAAATATTTGATAAATGGTTACAATCACATTGATCAAGTGTGGCTTTCTTTAAAGTATCTTCCATAGGATCAAAATAAGAAGAATAGCTCCTCCACTAAGTATTGAATAAGGAATAGAATCCCGTAAAATAAATTTAGTGGTATTGATAATGGAAAATGACTATGAATTAGATATGGATTATATTACAACTGAATAGATTGTGAAGTTAGTAACTTCCCTTAGTTTGGAGGACTTGGAATAATTCTCATATTGTTCTGCTTGATCCTTGAATAGAAATTCAAGAGTGTACTTATTGAGCATTATTAATTATCAATATTATAATGGCATTAATCAGTAATCTAAAATTTTAGATTGTTTAAAATATCTTCTTATGGTTAATTTCAATTGAAATACACAGAAGAACGAAGGATAAACATGAAATATGGCTAAATCATACCAATAATAATGTTATATTAATAATTGAATAATACTTCACAATTTTGTATTCTTGGTCACATCATGGAATGCTTCAGCAACATACTTAACATTTCCTTCATTCAATCCTGCAATTGAAATTCTTCCACTGCTCAATAAATAGATATGATATTTGGCGATCAATTCTTTAACGTGATCTGGACCGACACCCTGAAAATATTACTTAATATATTACAGTGAAGGCAAACATACCAATTTATTTGGAAATGTGAGACCAATCATGAGGAGAACCTAGATTCTTCAAATTGTTGGCCAAACTAACTCTCATCAATTGAATTCTATTGGCCATCATTTTAACTTCCTATAACCACAATTAGTTGAGTTCTGGAGTGTTGAGAATGATGTCAGCCACTCTAGCTCCATGGAGAGGAGGACTTGACCATAATGGTCTGGCTAACAATTTCAATTATGAGACCACCTTCTCTCTTTCCTATTGATTAGCACATACAAAACTAAGGCATCCTGTTCTTTAACCATACAATCCCATGTTTTTGGCAAAGGATTATCCTAAAACTATAGGAACACCTTGGGCTGTAAATAATCTGACTGCTTCGGCATCTTTATTTACGTCTCCACTTGTGAAACCTTGATAAGCCATATCAAAGAATGGAAGGAAGTTCTTCTTTTTTGTCAAATCTAATAATTATGTCCATTAGGCTGTAGTCAAATCACAACCAGTTGGATTGTGAGCACAAGCATGGAACAAGATGACTGATCCATTTTGAGCCTTATTCAAATCTTCTACCAATCCAGAGAAATCAACTCCACGTGTTTTTGGATCAAAATAACGATACTCTAAAATTTCTAATCCTGCCATTTTAGCAATGTTATGATGGTTTGGCCATGTTGGATTTGGCATATACACTTTTGTTCCTTAAGGCAAGAATTTCTTAGCGAATTCGAATCCAAGTCTAACTGCACCTGTTCCACTCAATACTTAGCATCCTGCAATACTTTTTCCGTTTTAGGCATAGTAAGCATCTCCATAACCTAATTTAATAGAAGCATCAATAAATGATTGGAGTCCTTCAACTGGAAGATATTCATTGTCCAATTTCTTTTCCTTTATTATTTGTTCAGCCTTGCTATAAATAAGTTAGATACTCTCTTCACTGAATCGAGTACAACTGGCTTTCCATCATTATCACGATAGGCTCCAATACTTAGATTTACTTTTGTAGTGCTTGGATCAGCCTTGAATTGGGCAGCCACTCCCAAAATAGGATCGGCTGGTCCCATGGGCACTTAAGACCATACAGAAAAGTATCTCAAAGCTCTAAAACACTGCATGTTGAATATCGTTGACTATTTTAATTAATTCTTATAAAAAGTGTGTCATATTTATATATATTACGGATCTTTTTTATTTTAATCACATAATATACATTAATAGTATACTATAATAACCCAATTATTGTTTAATAATAACAAACAAAATAAAATTGCAAATATTCACAAAAAGTTTTAAAATGATTTTTTGCATTCAGAAATTAAGAATCAATTAATTCTAATAAACCAATATCATATTCAGAATCATGATTGCTTTGCTCTCCATGTATCGAATGATTGGCTTCCCTTCTCGATTTATGCATCTAAATGGTAAAATAATCCAGGAAAAGCAGAATAAGCTTGGGCCTTGGCATATAACTTCTCTGCCTCATCAACTGAAGATGCTTGATCCTCCAACATTGAACCTATGAATTTGTGTGTCAATATCTCTTCGGTCTATTATGCCTATTTTCCAATCTAATCAAGCAAAGAATAATTCAAATGCTCTCTTGCTAAGTAGGCTTCAAAATATTCTCCGGGTTTTTCAAAATGAGTCTTCAGATTTGAGAAAGCTGCTTATTATGGATCGATTGCCACTTGAACACCTCTTACATTCAAGTAATCAAATATCTAAACGCTGTGTTTTCTCTCTTCTTCACTTTCCGCTTTGAAAAATTTGCCAATTCCTTCAAAATTGTTATTGTCAAACCAATAGGCATATTACAAATACAAGAAGCTCGATTACAACTCTACATGTGCTTGTCTTGACAGCAAATTGATTATTTCCTTATTAGTCAACTCAGCTAGCTTTTTCATTCACTTTAATTAATTATTGATGATTTGATTTTTAGTTTATTCATTTAAATTGCAATTAAAATAATATTCAAATAGGAATTAGCCAACATCCTGGTCCCAACAACTCCTTGCAATTAGCTATTACTCCTTTATCGTGGTGTTCTTGCTTCTTTTCAAAGAACTCAACCGATGTTTGATTATATAATATTAATCTTTATTTAAATACAAGCATACCGAATATGAATTGCTAAGGTTGGGATTAGTAGTAGATTTAATGAGATGCTCAAAGGAACTGTGAATATTATAAAGTAAGTATCAATTGCCCCATTCGGAGGAGATTCAATAATTTTAATTAAATAGATGCATATGTAAAACTCCAAAGTTACAGCTCCAAATAATCATATTAAATTACTCATATAAAAGATCAAGCAAAAAAAATATTTGTAATTGTTCTGCCCTATACAATTATTTAACCAATACTCATGATGATCCATTCTTAAAATACATTTACCACAACTATCGCAATGATGACATCGCAGTGGTTTCTTTAAGAAACAATGTTTACAAATTGGCCGCAAATCAACCAAAGGGTCATCCTCGGTATAGAAATAAGTAGGTGTTCCTGGCTTAGTAGTGCTTGTTTTAAAAATTAAGTAAATGACAACCAACATTAATAAATGATGCACAATCAACCATACCTTTTCTGTCGTATCTGGATCTCTAAAAATCTATATTAATATGTCGAATTTACATAAATTAACATTATATCAAAGTAAGTAATGAGCAAAATCATTACATACAACGGGCTCCAAACCCAGAATTTAATGAAATTCATAAGAAATAAGATGAATATAAATTAAATTCCTAGCTTTTTTCTAAATAAGATTAATTTAGTCAAAAAACTCAAGTACTCAAGAATAAACCTCATAATCCAAATACTCAAGAAGTTTTCATGTCAACTCATTTTATTAAAACTCATTCCAATAACAAGTAAAATTAATAAATTTTAATAGGTTTAATCAATTAAATGTAGAGATTATCTGTATTATTAATTCTCTTTTTATCAGAATATTCGCAGAAGTAAAAACATATTATTTTTTATGGTTATTATCTTAATATCTATAAGTGTAATTAGTTGTTATGGTTTTCTATATTATATATTGATCATTATTATATAAGTTTAGAATCTTTAAGAATATATTGATAATATTATTTAAACATTGTGACAATTAAGATTTAAGATACTTATTATTCATACATTTATATATTATTGTAACGAATACAATCATTGACTCAACAATTTTTCGATATCTTGCTTCATTTCTTTTGGTTTCTAATCTGGATTAAAAAATCTCACGACTTGACCCTATGAATTCAATAAGAATTTTCCAAAATTCCATGGTACTTCTTTTGCTTCATTGGCACTAGTTTTTAAGGAACTGTTCAATCTCAAATATCTATAAATTTCATGAGTGTTTTATCCATTAACCTCAATTTTTCTTTAATATTTTTAAATCATTACTAAAACAATGGGAAGGATACACCATACTTAGAGAGAACAAACTCTTTGATTTCAGGTTCAGGTTTGGATTCCTAACCCATAAATTGATTACATGGAAATCCTAAGATTTCTAAACCTTGAGCACTAACATAATATTGATTGATACCTATAGGTTTTATAAAGTTCCACAAGTTCGCTGTAGTTTGAAGATGTTAATCCACAAGAACAAGCAACATTCACACAAATGTAAGCTTTTTTGCCTTTGAATTAAGATAGTTAAGTTTTCTATCCATCAATATTATTGAGTTCAAAATCGAAGAATGATTTTGTTGGTGGTTGAAGTTTATCTACTCCTTTTTTAAAAAATATTGATCCCATTGAATAATCTGTGTTCTTAAAATTAAATTAATAAATTTTAGAGAAATTATACTTGTATTTAAAGCTTTAATTAATGATGCAAAATTTATTGTCATGACGACTAACCATTAACGTACTATATTATATAAATACAATAAATAGTGTTGATTTTTACTAAAACTTTTAATTCAATTAAATCAATCAAAAAGAACTAAATTGGATACAAATATTTCTATAATTCCAAATAGAGATTTGTTCATTACAATTTGTCTTAAGGATTCTCTGAACATTCCACTTGTATTTATTGTTTATAGGAATATCATCTTATTATTTCATTCTAAATGAGGTTTGACTATATGATAATATTATTAAGAATAATGTAAATAAACATAATAAATATTAATATCCAAAATAATAGAATTTTTGAACCCTAATCTGTAAGAATCAAAATATTAGTTCATATTTATTCTTTCTTTTAAAATGAATTGGCTTAACATAGTAGATCTAAATAATACGGATAAAATATAAAGAAATAAGAATATATTATGAATAAACCAATTGATTTATTAAATTACATTATTGAGATTCCCACTTTATTCTCTTGAATAAGAAAACAAATTCAAATTTTACCTATATTTAATATCAAAGATAGATTATTTCTTACATTTTCTTCTAAATTGTTATGATTGAAAAATTTATGAGTAATAAATAATAGATTGCAAAGAATTTAAAATTATTTTTCTATCTTATTTGGCAAGTTCTTTATTATGAAATCCATTTAAGTTTAGAATTGGGAGTCAAAATAGGCTGGTTTTCTATTAGTAGAATTCTAAAAATAAATCAACACGTAGATATATTGGTTTAAGCCATCATAGTTAGTTGCATAATGAAATGCAAAACAAATTTATCCTTCAGATTCAGTGCAAAATAAAACTCTAATTCCTTGGATCAGTTGACTATGGGTGATATTCGCATTGATGAATAATGTTGTAAATGATTAAGTTATTGAAATATATTATGATGACATCGTTCTTGTTTCTTACCTTCCTATATTATTTAATATTGATTGGAATATAGGGTGGATTATCCACATGCATATTTGAACTTATGGAGTGTATAGAAATTTAATAAATTAAATTTTATGGATCTTTGTGTTTTTGGGGTTGATGATGGTTATGCTGAAGCCATAATCAGAGGGTTGAGAGCAAGTTTCTTGACTGAAGCTCAATACTAATAGATGAAGAATTGTGCCTCAATTCCAGAATTAAAGTCTTTCTTGGAAGAAACAGATTATTAAGTAAATATGACAATTATTAATATAGAATTGCTTATAAGCTGACAATCCTCAAATACCTACATCAATTCTGAGATAGAGACTCAAAAAGAAATTGGCTGATGAATTTGAGTACATCGAGGCTCAATCCACTGGAACACTTACAAAATACTTATTTCATTTGAGGTATGATTGATTGATTAATTATGAAAGATGTCGTTTTATGATTGACAATGTAGTCAACATGATAGAGGGATTGAAGAATAAAATTGATATTGAAATACTTTTGAGTAATATTGATCCACTAGGTTGGTTCCCTGAAATCAAAAATATCAAAGTCCTTGAAGGAGATGATTATAGCAGTTTATATAGAGATGTCCTTATCGATACACCTATTGGCGTCTATTTTATGAAATTCTTGGAAGAGTCCATTGAGAATTTACATGAAAAACAGAACTTTGAATGACATTCAAAACTTATTCAGAGAAATGAAACCAGAGTACATCAGAACATCACTTAAGAAGATGTGGTTGGAAGATTTCTATTTGTTTTGCGAATAAGAAGTACAGCATACAATTTAGTTAGTTAATGCCAACATCTTAGGAAGCACTCTTGGAATTATTAAAATTTGAGGCTGACTTTAAAACAGTCTAAGTTATTTACAATTCAATTGGAAACAGAGATCTTAATACAGCAGCTAAAATTATCACAACAAGAAAACAATTGTGTCCAACAATTGGAAACTTATATCCCGATTGCGAAAAGTTGTATTTATAAGCCATGACTTTGGATGCACTTAGAGAGGCTGTCAAAGGTTGTGACAATTATAGGGATTTACTCAAAGATGCCCCAGATCCTTTAAAGAGAGAAGAATTCAATGTGTAAACAAAGTAATTGCTCAAATCTACTAATTTATAGAACTCTTGATGATATTATGTATGATGATGAATGCAGAAGATATGCTCTTGCATTTGACGGATAAGGCTCATATGGAGTAATCTATACTATTCATATTAGGTCTTCTATTCTTATTTGAAACTTAAAGAATAAGAAATTAGAAACATTATCTGGTTGGCAGAAATGATTTCAAGAAAGCTAGCTAAAAACCACCCAGGATGGAAAAAAATTATAATTCCCTTCAGTCACCTTGGAAAATGAGCATTTAATGCATAATATAATATATGGTTATATCAAACATCATCATTTTAAATCTGCTGATTCTTAAATTCCTAAGTTTACAAAGAAATGAAGTAATGATTACAAATTATAATATAATACTGTTGTATGATATATGTAAATAATTATATCATTCCTCCTTTGGAACTGCATTGTCTTACATTACTTTAGCATATGAACATTTTTCAAATGCATATCCATCGGCTTTAAAGAATTTGCTCTGAAATTCAACCCAATGAAGACGCAAGGCATGAAGAAAACATTCCATCACATCCATCATCATCAAAACTCCGAAAGTAGCCATAGAGAAAATGGAATAACCAATTAAGAGCTATAAATAAATAGATGGAATAAAATACCCTTATTGCACCAACAAAACCTCCACTGCTTATACCTCCATTCAAACACATTTAGAAGAACACTTCTGCTAATTATCCGTGAGCCAAAGATAAAGCCCACAGTCTTAAATAAGATGCTGTATTTGAAATAGATCCCAACACAAACTCAATAGTTTCAATTACTTGATGTACAAAAATATCACCAAATTCTTCGTGATGTCCACCACCACCAGATTATTCAGTATGAACTTCTGAAATCTCCTGAGTGCCTTCAGAATCCTATAATATGGTATTATATCAAATATTACTTCATTGATTTTTTAGTAAAGATCCTTGTTCATACTTTCTGTTAGATTGCTTGCACTTTGAGCATGATGTTTTTTATTTTGAGAATTAATTATGAGTGGTTTTGGAAGTAGGATAATTGGAATGCAAAATAGTGCAATCAATAACAATGCAGTTTAAGTTGATGCTTCTGATTAACCATCTCCCCATAAGGGTGGATCAACTGGTTTACCAGGTGCAAGAATCATATTAATCATCAAAGTAATAATACTTGGGGCTTAATCAGTTTTTCCTGTCCAGTTCACAAACCATTTATAAATAATTAAGAAGTCCATCCAACCAAAACTGCAAATGAAGAATGTTAATTGAGGAATGAATTCAAAAATAAAGTCTATCCAATTCTTGAAGTATATTGCATTGATTCCTTTCAAAATAATACCGAATGACATCTGAATGACACCAATAATAACTGCCAATTTCATCTTGTATGAATTCATGAATGTTAATTCATTAGGTACACACATCCAGACTGGATCTATACCAAATGGATATACACAGGATTAATCTTTTTAAACCCATACTTATTCATCTTTGTGGATTGGATCATCAACTGTACCTGGTTCATAACATGATCCAAATAAGTTGATTGGAACAGACATGAAATCGTTATAGATCCATCCATTGTAAAATGCCCAGAATCCCATCATTAATAACCATATGTCTGACAATTAGAGCATGCTTCATTAAAGAATCTGACTCCTTGATTTCTTTATTATAGACACATAGATATATTCCTAATAATAATAGACAAAATCTAAATGATATGATATTAAAGTATACCCATGTCCAATATCAGCAAACATAACACCAAACAAGAATGGGAAAGTCATGACTGTGAATAATCCTGGGTTGATTTCCTTATATCTTGGCATACCATAAGTATTAACTATTTCTTAGAATCCCCAAGTAACTTCATTAGTCTCAAAAAATGTTGGAGGTGGCCTTGTACCTTCAGGTGGTGATATTTGTAATTGTCCTGTTGGCAAACCCTCATAAATTGGTTTGCACTTCTCTTAATGCCTAATCAACTTTGATATCTGCTCCTTGAGGTAACCAAATTGATCCATAGAGTACACTTCCTTGTACCCTCAAATAATTCAATTGAGTATAAAGATATTTTTCCTTAACCAAAAACAATTTTAATTCTTCTATTTATGAACAATTGGAGTTTTAATAAATTCTTTAGAAATCATCAAGGTAGGCTTCAACTTGATTCTTTGTCATTTCTAATAACTATAAAATGTAATATGAGAATATGTACATTTCTAGTTTCAACTAATTCTGTTTCAATTTATCTTAATTTCTCTTGGAAAACCATGTTATTTTCTGGGAATGTGTATTTAGCAACCTAAAAGGATTCACAGATTTTATTGAGTTTGTTTGTGATAACATTGGAACCTCCTCCACCTGGATAGACTACTACGAAAACACTTTTAATAATTTTTGCGTCATCCTTTATTTTATTATGATTAATTTTTACATTTTTGGTGTCAACGATTTAATCACTTTCAATATCCATGGTATTCATCCAAGCATTTCCTTTGGTAATACGAAATATGATTCTCTTGAATCGTATTTGGTCTTCCTTATTGATGACTCCGACCAAATAATTAAATTTAACAGATCCTTATAAGATTTTGATGTCATCTAATTCTTTTCCTTACAAATTGACAAATCCTTCGGCTACATAATTAGCACTAAGATATAGAAATTTCATACGGTTAGAAAAATGATTGTCCTAAGAGTGCTTCTCCCTTTAACAGGACTGATTTGTGTTCAATTAGTTTATTTCTGCGTTCGTGAAGATTTTCCATATTAGTACTTTATTCAATGAGTTGCTGATGTTTCTTGTCAATGTCATTTTCAATCTCATCCAAATAGGTGTGACTGGCTTTGGACCTTGAGAATTCAAAGGATTGAATACCTTTCTTTGATCAATTACTTGAAGTTTTTGATTAAAAAATTGACATCCTTGCAGTAAGTAATCCTCTTTTGATATTTCTTCATTTCATGCTCGATGAGGGATAATTTAACTAGCAAGTCATCGCATCTCTTGATGTAATTCGCAAATGGCCTATTGATCATAGGCAATGTTGGATCATAATCAACAAAATGAATGCAATCTAACTCTGCCAATTCATTCATGACATTCCAAGCACTCTCTCTTGGGATAATCAATTTGTAATAGCCCATTGTTTGGGACCTAAAGAAGTTCATTATTAATAATTAATATCTTTATTTTGTATTCCACAAATTAATTAAACAAGTAGCCAATGATCGTTTCGCATTTTCTTAAAACAAGAGGCGCCTTTCTTTCTATAACTGTGTGTGTCTCCTTCCGTGTTTCGAAGTTAAATGCAAAATTACGCAATCATTTATCAAATAAATATTGTAATTTCATGTTCGAACCCTCCTCTAAAATAAGAGAAGCCTCCCATGCAGGGAGTTGGTACATTGGAGACGGTAAGATTATGACTATCCATTCAAGGCAAGCAATTGGATGCCCAATTGAACGACTTCTTATCAAAAGCCAAAGGAGAAACCATCCCAAACATAAAAGCCATCATCGGGCCGTAACTAATTTATTAAACCATATAGACACGCTGGGTTTTCATATTCAGGTCCAACAGCTGCCTTTGCATATTAGCACTTAGTTTAAAAAGAAAGGTAATAGACTTCCCTATTTAAATTATTCTAGAATGAGAGTCTTTCTACTTGGACCTTGCCATCATACTTACATCAAAGGAATTGGGTTATCTGAGTTAGAACAGTACGAGACTCCACTTGGCAACATTGAGTTAGATTAACCAAGTAATTGCATTTGATGAGATTTAAGCAATAAAGCAATTAAGTGCAGAATTGAAAAAAAACTATGTGTTTACCAATAAGGACATTGAGGAACAGGAGCACAGTTTAGAGATGCATCTGCCTTTCATTTACAAGATATTTCCAAAATGCAAACTTATCCCCATTATGGTTGGTGCAACTAGCGAGGAACAAGATGCTTAAGTGGCAAGTGTACTTGTCAAATACTTCGTTGATCCGAACACGGTGTTTGTCATATCATCTGATTTCTGTCATTGGGGAAAGAGGTAGATATATTATATTTATGTAATCAATTTAGATTTCAATACACTCCTTATAATAAAGAACATGGAGAAATTCATTAATCTATAGCATAATTAGATGGATAAGCCATCAAATTGATTGAGTCTCATAATATTAAAGAATTTTATAAGTATCTTGATGAAACAGAGAATACCATTTGTGGTAGACATCCGATTTGTGTTTTACTAAATGTAAACTTGTTTTGAAGTTTAGATAATTAACCTAAGCAAATTGCAATTAAAAACATAATTAGCCAGGTATGCTCAATCGAGTCAAGTGACAAAACCAAATGATTCCTCTGTGAGTTATGCAGCATTGGTGACTAGTTTAATTTGAATTTATATTTACACATATTAATTAATAATAATCAATTCAAAAAAGTTACTTATTTTTATTATAAGAAGGATTAGGTTTCTTATTTTTTAATTTCTGCTCTTCAAGCTTCCTTGTGCTTTTTCGCCTGACTTATTGGTTATTGATTTATTCATTTTATTCTGTATAGAGTCTCTCAATTTTTTTAACAGGGTTTTAAGGGATTTGTGGTTTCTCTCTTTGAGTTGGTTGGTTATTGTAATAGTCATAGTATTTGCTTATTATTGTATAAAAAGAAGTAGTATTAGTATTATCAATTTGATTGTCAGCTTCAGTTGATTGAGTTAATTTCTAATTGACCTTTTTTAAGTAAGACGAGCTCGATGATGAACTAGTCATTGACTGTTATCTATCTGTGATATCGTCGTAAACAATCAAAGGTTTTAACTTACGATGATTTTTCTCATCATCTCCAAACATATAATTTCTTCTGTATGCAATGGGAGATTGACTAAAGAACTTGCCTTGGAGGAGTTTTGTGATGTTTATTCTGAAATTTAAGTTATTGGAGTTAGAGGAGACACTATTATCATTCATAAATAGATTATTAATAATTAAGTTCATTTAATTTTATCAAGTTATTTTTTCCAAACTGATTGCGTAATCGATCTCAATTTTATTTAGCCCATGAGATAATTGGTTTTATCAAATTTGCCATTCGCATGTATTCTGTATTTGCCCTCATTTACAATCTCATCTATGTGAGTAGGAGTGTTGGCAAATTTGACTTTAGGAGATTGACTATTATACACTTTCTGCACTTATAATGACTCGTCCGAATGTCTATAATTCCTCCTTAGCAAATCATGAACCTACTGAGTAGATGAAATAGTTTAATGCGTTCTGCTCTTTTCTTTTTTCTTATTCATTACCTTTTACCAGACTTTTGCAGGCGAATTGAATTATTTCAATGATTCAGATCTATAGACTCGTAATTCTTCATTTTGAGCTTAATACAGAGAGAATTTGTTTTGTGTTTGGTTGTTGGAGAGAAATGGACGATTTAAAACTGATGATTAGGTTGCAAAGCTTTGGTGATTTGAAAGATTGTTCCCTTCGCAATGAATAGGAATGTGATCTAAAAATTTATTTCTAAATATTTTATAGAGTCGAACACAGTTTATAGATTTAGCACTATGACTTCTAAATTAGCTTAGGATTTCATCATCCCCAAAACACTCCTTGCAGCCTAGAATAGAGATCGGATGAATATTCTTATTGTACTATCTGAACAACTGCACTTCTCCATCCACAATGATATAGACTGCATCAACTGGATCCCCCTATTGATATATCAATTAATTTGGGATGAAGTTTATTTCACTGATATCGCATAGCAATTGTCTCAATGTCTTAGCTGACCATTTGCTAAACATAGGAACTGTTGATAACAATGCAAATTTCTCTGCATCTTACTTTCGAGATTAGATATCTACAATCTATACTACCAATTACCTTTAATTCTTCTATAAACATCCCTCTTTATCACTATCAGATGAGACTTCTCCAGAGGCAGTATTGTTTGAGTGTGAGATTGATCGAACATCATCACTTATTCTCCAAAATGCTACCCTGGGTACAGGTAACCTTAAGGAGTCAAATCCGAGAATCTCTGAGTCAGCACCTTTTACCTACCATATAGTTATATGCATCCCTTACAGTTCTGAATTCATTATAATATCCTGATAAGTTATATAACTTCTAGTCAACACCAAAAATTTCCCACTCAAAATAAAGTAAAACTTTGTGCTCATATCTCCTATATTAACCTAAGGTTCGTATGGTACATGGCATTCATATTAAAGTTCTCTCAATATTTATTAATATTGTGTTTCTCCTACTTATTTTCGTAAATCATGAAAAAATGGCACATCCTTAAGGCATACATCAATAAACTCAAGATCAAACTTTGTTTTAAACATCGATCTCTTGTTTATTGATTGTATCAATTGATAAAGATCACTCTCTCCAATAATCATAATAATTAATTCATTTATTCATATAACAATATAATATTTCTTCAACTCTTTTCTTTATGCTTTTCATCTCAAGTAAGTTCATTACTTCTCTACATTCATGTTTATTCCTCTCCTTCATTTCAGACACTATTATCAAATCAAAATCGTAAAGATATTATAGGATATCTATCAAATCTAATTTGAATTATTATTGATTTATAGATTTAATAAAAGAGAAATGAAGAATCTTTTTAATTTTTGCATTAACGTAATAAAAATGTATAATTTTTAGCAATAAAACTTTTCAGTTGATTAAAGACAATTTCTAAATCCCAAATTTTTTTGTCCTTTATTATTTTTATAACAAACTTTTTAATATAGACTACCTGAAAAGTACAATTGTCAAAATTTTGCTAATAGATATACTGAATCAAATAATAATTATAGAATTGAAATGGCATACTTTCAAATAATTTAATTAAAAAATGTTTGGAATTATTAGGAACTCTAATCTCAATTGCTCAGAAACAAAGGTTATCATAATGGATGACAATTTCTGAATTGTCATTATGAAGTGACAATTTTAAATATATTTTAGAGTTTTATGTTGAATGCTAGAAGAGATGTATATCTAGATTAAAACAATTACATTTATTCCAATATAAAATATTTTATAATTATTGCATTCGAATACTGTAAATAAATAGGATGAATTTCTCTATTTGATCAATTTAAGTTTATATATTAAACCCTAAATGACATGATAGATAACTCTGATTGAATATATATCATCTTATTCGCAAATTATATTTAGACAATAATAATTGATATTAATATAATTGAAAATAGTAAAGAATAACTAAAATGCTTTTGATACTCTTTTATAATATTAGAATAAGGAATAAACAAATAGTATCCATTAAATGAGTATGAGAAGAGTATTATGAATCATTTGACTAAAGCAATCAATTTTTCTTCATCTTTATTTAATATTCTTTCTAATAGTCAAGTATCTTTAATAAAAAATGAAGTGCCTTTGGCTTGTCCTTAGATTGGGATAAGGGCTTGATGATTCTAAAACCCTGATTCTCAAAAACATGAAATAATTAAGTAATTTTAGCGCAGATTGGTTTAAAAATATTTAAAAAAATAAATTTTTAAAATTTAGTTCGTGAATGCAAACATAAGACTTAGGATAGTTGATAAATGCGTTATAATTAACTTATGGTGCCTCATAAGAAAGTGTGAACAGTGGAGAAGCATTATTAAAGTAGGCTTCCATGCAACCATTGTAATAAATATCCTCTAGATAATTAGATATGCAATTTCTTTACTTAAGATAGTAGATGACTAGACTCAACAAGATTTGGTTAGACAAAGTGCCGTAGTGAATTTGAAGACATTTTTGGAGAAGCATTGGGGAGAAAAGAAAGAGCCAGGTCATTATGTCGTGAATCCAGAGGAAAAGGCTCTGATCAGGGCAACAATAATAGATGCTTTAGCAAGGTTAGTCATAAATTACAATTGTATATAGATGCATTTAAGTTAAGAAGTTAAGGTCACAATATGAAGACTTGATTTACAAATTAGTAGCCATCGACTTTCCTAAGGATTGGCCATAACTAGTCTAATAATTGGTTATCAAATTATAAAACTACACATCATATGAAGATTTATGGAGTGCTCTATTGACCTTACGTAGAACATGTGAGGTTCACTAATTTTTATTGGACAATGATCGTAAACCTTTGGAACCATTGGTGGCATCAACCTTCCCACTTTTGGAGGCCTTGATTCAAAAATTCCTTGAGAACTATAACGAATAAAGTGGATAATTGGTTAAAGTCATATTGAAGATCTTCCACCATGCCACTCATTTATTGATGCCAATCTACATGAGAGACTTTAATGCTGTTGCAAAATGGATGCTCTTTTTCAAGACTATCATCTCTGCACCAACACCTCCAGAATTGGCTTCCTTTACTTAGGATTCCGAAGAGGAAACCAGAAGAGAGAAGACATACATCTGGACCAATAAAAAATGGGCTAGTAGAATTGTATTAAGATTCATCCAGAAATTCGCAAACAAAAAGATGGTTGATTCCTGATATGGCTGATTTTGCAGAACATATTAAGAGCACCTATGCAATTGGATTTATGGAGCTGTTTTATAAAATTCTTACTGACAATACCCAATTCCAAGGACCTCGAACATGTTTGTTTGCACTCAAATATTTATATTACTCTCTCAAATTAGACAATACCAAAGAGTTATTAAAAGCTCATTATGATAAATTGATTTATCATGTTGCCATTCCCAAAATGTAATTGACTCCAAGAGATGATGAATTATGGAAGAATGATCCTGAAGAATACATCAAGAGATTGGATGATTTCTCTCTTTCAACATACAATATGAAAAATCCAGCAAATGATCTTTTATAAGAAATTTGTCAATAAACTGATGCAAATGGTAATTTGATGCTTATATAATTCCTTACTTATTGTCAAAATGCTTTCAATTCTAATTTGGATCCATTGACTAATCAACCATTGAATTTACTCAAAAAAGAGGCTTTACTCTGGGGAATTGAATGTTTAGTTCATTAAATTTAAAAAATTGATGTAATAAAGGAAGGATTGGAATAAATTTTAGAGAAACATATTTTGCCTGAGTTTTAGAATCCAGTTGGATTTTTAAGAGCACGTGCTTGTCATGTTTTTAATGAATATGGAACAATTGAATTCAAAAATAAATAGAATATTCAATTAGCAGTACAAGGAATATCTAAATGCATTTTGGATAAAGAATTACCAGTGAGAGTATAGCTGCAGCAATGTTACCTTCAGTTCAATATTACAACACAAAGAAGCTTAGGATTTGATTAGACCATAATTGAGTTAAGTGTTGGAAATCTACATCAAATTGATGGATTTAATTGACAATGAAAGAATAGTCAGATCATTGGAAGAAATAGTCAAAAACTTTACTAATGAAATTACACCATATGCACATTAATTGGCTGCACATATTGCTACAATATTTTAGAAATATTGCAATAAATAGAATTAAGGTGATGGTGATTCAGATGATGACGGTGAAGCTGAGTTGGCTGCTTCTGGATGTCTTGAAGCAATAAAGAGAATCTTAAATGCTCCACTTCAATAGGAATCCTATGTGCAATTAGAACCAGTCATATTTCCAATTATCAACTTTGCTTTGACAGAGTCAGGATGTGATTTCATCAATGAAGCATTGGAAATATTAAACTTAATGCTCTACAAGAAAAAACAATTAACCCCAGGATTATGGTTCTATTATCCAGTGTTATGTTATATTATCATTGGATTACCATAAGAAACTAATGTATATGCTCTTTAAGGATTGACAGAAGAACAATATATTTTATTGGAAGGATGCAAGAAGGATTGGGGTAGTGAATTTGTTACTCAAATGTTGGGATCATTTAGAAATTACATCCAAAAAGGAGGAAGCACTTTCTTGACTTAAAATGATTTCTTTGGAAACTCATTTATTTCTTTGATTTTCAGATTTATCCAGAAGATCTATACAATTGCTGAGAATGGTTCAGATGAAACAGACCAAAATCAAGTTACTACTATATTGATTGCCTTAATTGAGAACTTCCCAGGATAAATAGATAATTTAATTCCACAAATTGTAGACTTCACATTATTAAATTTATCAGTATTTATATTTTTAAATTATATTTTTAGAAAGAGAAGAAGACTAACAAATTCAAGATGGTTAATATTGGAGTCCTCAATATGTGCATATGGTACAATCCACAACTTGTTCAAAACTACTTGAACAGTAAGGCAATAACTGATTAAATATTGTAAACCTTGTTGTCAATGGAAAAACACTATAAATATGAATGGGATATCAGTAGATTAATCTTTGCTCTCTGTCAATTATATTCACTTCCTTAAATTCCTAATTATTTGTTGACAGCATCTTCAGAAATAGGAAAGTTGTTTGTGAGATTGTCTACTAAGATTTTAGAATTGAGAGAGGAGGAAGAATCCTGCGAATAAGAAGATTAAGCAGAAGAGGAAGAGGATGATTAAAAGAAATTAGCAGATAAGATCTAAGATTTGGAATAGGATGAAGAAGATGATGAAGATGATGATTATGATGATGAGGAGGATGACTATGCTGAATTATATGATAGTCCTTTGGAAGATTATGATGCTATTTTATTGATGGAGAAATTGATATTGACTTTACAATAAAGCAATCCTCAATTGTACACTGGACTATTTTCATAATTAACATAATAAGAACAAGAATAAATGACTAAGAACATTAAGGAAGCCAAAGAATAATATGACGAATGGATGAAATAGAAGTAGCAATAATAGCTGAATAAATGATTGCTTGTTTATAACATATATAAATCATATATCAGGTTGATGATTATCTTTATGAACAATCATTTCCTCTGTATCCAATATTCCTACCTATTTCTAAATTCGTATTTTATCACATCCCTTTTTCTTTATTATATATGCAATCATGGTTTGAGACTATCGTTTCTGTTCTATCTGCTTAAATACTCTTAATAACAGTTAGTCAAATGCAGACTTTGGGCTAACCAAAATAATATTTAAAAGTTGTTTAAATAGTATTTAAATATAAATGGAATTCTTAGAATAAATCTTAAATTTTGGGATTACTCACAATTATAAATAAATATCATAAATTGTTAAAACTAGATAGAACGATAAAACCCACTCCAATAATAATGGAGTTTATAAATTGTTATCATTTTTACTTGTTACCTTAACTAAGGCTTTATCCAACAAATTACATCAAACAACTACATTTATTAAGTTATTATCATAAACAATTTAAGTATTTTAAAAATCATATCTCGTACTCCAAATTTCATATTAATACTTTGTCTTAATTTGATTTCTTGATGTTCTATGCAAAAGTTTCCATCGTGTATTCATTAGTTTGTGTTTCCTCACAGTATGTCAAAATTTTAAATTTCTTCCAGTCATATTTGTCATTCACTTTAACTTATCTTGGTTCCAAATTGTATTTCTGTTTTCCACCACCAATAGATTTTCTATAATTTGATATTATTGCTTTTGCAGATGAATAATTTATACATAAGTCTTTTGATGCCTAAATTATAATAATATCGTACCTATCTAATAGTTTATCCCCCTTGCATAACCTTTATAATGAACTCCTATTTTAGTTTATCTGTTAGTTTTGCATATCTCTTTTCAATGCATTTCCCAATCATCTTTTTCATTTCCTGCTCCACTTGATTTTTTATTTCTTCTATAATCTTCATAACTAATCGGAATCACTGTAGGCAGCTAATTAAATTTAGAATATTAATATTTATGATATACAATAACATTACGCATCATTATTTTATATTAATATATTCATTATTATACTTAATTTATCATCATTTTGAATACTTAAAACAGACATATAGCCCTAATAATTTCTTAATATCAAACACTGTTCTCATTATCACATACAAGCACACTAACTTTAAATATAATTAACTTAATATTTATACCTTAATTTTTTAATTTATAATAACGTTATGAACTCCAAAAATACTCTCGTCAGAAACTACAGCCAAATTCCAACGTTTATTAAAACACTCAACAACTTTAAAACAGTTAGAATAAGATCTCTCAAAAATTTGTCCATTTAACCTGTGGCTAAAAAATCTCCATTCGTCAACTTTTCCAAACCAAACACAAAATTTAACTCTCCTCAAAAAAATAAGGAAAACCTTATGGCCAAACAGAATGAATTAATTATAAATGGAATTGATTCTGATTCTCTGCATTTTTCCTATTCGCCCTCATCTTGCAAGAAAATTCAATGCTAAAAGCAAGTCTTCAATAGAAAACTCAAATAGAACACCTCTAAACTCGACAAAAAAACTTAACAATTATGCAGTATATATTTAGAAAGACCAAAAAGTAAAATTAACAATCTATTCCAAAACCAAGCAAATTAACCAATTATAAGAATAAGATGAATTTTAGATTTATATGTAATTGCTAAGTATTATAAATATCGCTTATAAATGCTTCTAAACATAAAGTATGACCTCATAAATAAAGCTTTTATATTTACTTGATTCTAAAATGTAAATTTATAAACTTAAGTCTCTTTTATTTAATTATGTATTGTTATTACTTTTATAATTACACTATTTTCTTAGGCTAATATAAAATAAACAAGCAATTAATGCATGTATTATTAAAGAGTCCTTTTAATTTTAATGTTTAATGCTTTCTTAAAAGGAAGCATTCTAATTTTTATATTTTTTTCAGCATATGCATAGACTAATATTTCTTTATTTGACTTTCTATAAAAGATATCCCCTTTCATAAAGAATTCCCTTTTGAGTTTATTATAATTAATCATTATTTATATTAGTTAAAAAGAAATTTGAGAAAATCTTTCTTTGACAAAATGCAAGACAAAATATTTAATGTGAGTTAAGAAATTATTATATGAATGATTAACAAGATTGTTCAAAATCCTTTATTTAAATTAGAGCATTTAGGATTTTTTATATGGCTCTACCAAAATACGAGTAGCTGTAGTTCTATCATCTTTATTAATCAAAATTTGAAAGCAATAATTAAAAAATAATACTAATTTTAATTAAATTAATATAATTTTTAATATTTATTTTTGAAATAAATTAAAATTCTTAGAGTGATAAATATATAAAAAAATTACACTTAAATCAAAGAGTCATTTTAACATTCAGTCAAACTTTGTTAAAGGCTTATATGTTATTTTTAACAAATTCTATAATTATAGACAATTATCCAAAGTAATTGTTATGGAATTCCATAAATAATTATGAATGTTTATAAAAGAGAGCCTGTCTTTATATCATAAAATAATAAATAAATTATTTGGTTAGAAGAAGGTTGAGAATACTCCTGAAATTTCTTAGACAATCTAATTCAAAAAGTTTGGAAAAGTGGCAAAGTCATAAATAGAATTTTAAATATAAAATTATAATTTAATTATAATTTACTAATTTACCATAATCAAAAGAATAATTTTTTGTATTTATATATTATTTTAAAAATAATTAAAATGTAAATTTTATTTTAATTGCAAATATATTATAATTCAAAAAAATTATTCTTTGAACATTATTTCACTTATTTTTTTTTAATAGGAAATTCTCCTCACCATTTTAAATAAAAGTTTGTTCTCTACAGCTTGTAAATTAATTAGCCAAAAAAAGGCATAGAAAGCAATGAGATTTCTAAATAATTGTAAAATATTTTTTGGATTTTCACCACTTAAACAGTAATTTCATTTCAAACATTAAAAATAGAAATTCTACAATTAAGTTATTAAGAATGAGTCAAACAATGATAATAGCAATATTTTCAAGAGAAAAAGGTAGTTGATCACCAAATATAAGTGAAATATCGAATTAATATATTTTAATTCTTATATCATAAAAAGTACTCTGGTACTCTTCGTGTAGTTTAAGGTTCATTTTCCCTTGGAGCAGGTTCATATTTGGAACTATACAATTATATTCTCATATATTTACAAGCTCATTTTGAGTTGATCATCAACTTCTAAAATTCAAGCTTAGTTGCCGCATCGATAGCAATAGTTGGGAGCTGAAAATATAGTGACAGTCTTTCTTTGATGCACATGTTAAAATCCCTCCATCACCAATTGATGAGCACCAACAACCATTTTTAGTTTATTTTAATGCAGAAATTTGTCCGTTATATCTTGACCCCAAGTCCATCCTGCTCCCCTTGGCGAAACCCCCCATCCCATCTTTGTTTCTTCAGGATCACTCCATAATAAATCACAGATGGCTCCTTCATGAGGAATATCCTAAACTCTATTTAATTATTTAATTTGTTCGACCGATTCAATTGCAGGAGAAAGTCCACCATGAGTGCAAAACAACTAAGTATAATATTGAATAACTAACGCTGTTTTCAACAATTGCTGCCAAGGGAAGATATCCAAACACATCAGTAATATGTTTCCATACAATTTCAGTACCATACTTACGTTAGCATTCATCATAAAAACCCATATATTTTGTTGATTTCTCTATTTCATGATTGCCTTTCTTATAATTAAACATGTATACCCCTCAAAACTGTCAATCTGTCTTTATATCGAACCTTAAGACAAAGAATGAGACTAAAAGTTTCAACACTTTGAGATCCTCAATCAACATAATCACCTAGAAAGAGATAATTTGTGTCCTAAAATAATATAATTAAATTACTGGCAATCTACCTCCAATGTGAAACAACTTGATTAAATCATGAAATTAACCATGCACATCTCCACATATGGTTAATGGTGCTCTCACTGAAACGATGTTTGGTTCTTCAACCAAAATTTCCTTTGCCTGATCAATAATGGAAATATAAACACTTTTTAACACAAGTGTCTAAAATAAAAAATAATCAGTAGGTTGAATAGGCAAAAAACACAAAGCAACTAAAATTATTTTAAATTTCAATTACAAATTAGAGCTTATTAGAATTAAAGAATTAACAAACGATCTACTTATAAATCATAATTGTTTTAATGTAAAATCAATTATAATCTTATTTTATCATAGAATCTAAACGGAATACACAAAACGATGAAATTTTATAGTCAAATAGAAAGAATGGAGTATGTGGATCAAAACTATTTCACATACTTAATTATCTTTTTTTCTTTTTCTTTTTATTAACGTAAATCAATTATGATTTACTAGAATTATTACAGAACAACTTAACTAGTGATTTATAAATACGATTTGATTAATAAGTAACAGAGTTCATTGAGCCAAATACATCTATTTGTATTCTTTTTGATATATTTAACAAATAAGTATAATATGAAGAGGTTCATCGTCTGTTATTGTTTTCTAAGAATAGTTCTAAGTTTCATTAGCTATTATTAATTTTCAACTCTAAAATTTATAGAAGCATATGATATATTCTACTTATGATATATTATAAGCAACATCAATATAATCTGAATTGATTAATAAATATTCCTTTAACAGAAAATAATCTTTTTTAATTCCTATTTCTAATTAATAGTAAAGGTTTGTTTTTCAAACAACAATTTTAATGATAAATTAAAGAGATCCTTTTTCTTAAGAGAATATAATAAATTTTGAATAGGAATGGGTTTCGGTTCATAAATAAAGTTATTTCTAGAAATCTTTTTATTATAATATTTTTTTATACTTGTTTAACGAAATATGTTACAACCATATAGAGGAAGTAGTCAACCACCTCGATCAAATCAGATCTAAAATTATGTATTCTGTCATTTATAAATAAAGTCTCGCTAGAACAATTAGTAATTGGCTCCTTTTAATATGTTTTAAGAGTTTGATTCGATGTCGAACAAGATGATGCAACATATGGATCGTTAATTAGCCAACCTAGGATTTGGATCTGTTTTTAAAGGCTTTGATGACATAGAAAATGAAATGATGGAATTCTCGAATATTCATCGACATATGGCAGGTTTGAACTAAAGAGATGTTAACTAACATTCAAAGGATGGAGTATTTTAGGTATACTCATCTAGTTATGTTTAATCATAAAAAATGGGACCAGATGGACGAGTAGTATAAGAAAAATATTTTGATAACAATGCAGTGGCTAGAGGTGTTAATGGTCATACTGTAATTTGATATCATTTGAATTAGATAAGTGAAAGATAACAAGGATATAAGAATAGTGATGGAATAGATAGATTTGGACATGAAAGAATGATGAATGATAAAGGCAGAAAGCATGTGAGAGAAAGAGATAGAACAGGTTAAGTAACTACTACAAACCATTATATGAATATGGATGAAAATTAAGTTGAATAATTTGAAAATGAATGGCTAGGAATGGGTAGAAATTTAGGAATCTAAGGACCATAAGGAGGACTCAGAGCCTTGTAGGGATAGTAAAATATGAGAGATCTTAACAATCATCCTTTTCCAAAAGAACAAATTGCTTATGGCACTCCCAGTTACCCAAGAAACAGTAATTTATATTAATAGAATAAAATTAGATGATATCTAACCAATTATGTTGGGAAATAATAGTAATAGTTATAATAACAACCCAGGTCGATTGGCTCTACCATAATAGTAATAATAAATAACCAGATCAGCCGTTCAACAACCTGGAATACAAAGTAGAGTTCCACCTTAATAACAACCTGTTAGGGCTCTACCTGCAAGAAAACAAGAGTTTACTGGAGTATATCAAAATAAGGGTGCTAGAAATCAACATCCTCAGGCTGGATGAAATAACAATTTTATTCAAAACAATAATACCAATTTTTATTAATTTTGTTCATTATAAACTTATCTTACATTTTATTGGAGTTAGTTTTTACATCTCTCATAGTTATTCATCTAGAATAGTTTACTATAAAAGAAGTAACACTATTTTTTGTAAATTAAAAATAAGTTATTATATTTATATTAAAAATATCAAGCAAAGCCAAAACCTTCTTTTCCTTCTAAGATTGCTAGTTCTAATTTATCCTTTAAAATTTGTCTGGTTGGATAACATGGTAAATCCAATTAATTAAAACTATATAAATTATCAAAACTTACCATGTATGTGATGTTGGCAATTCAAAATTTTTGTAATGTTTTTTATGAATTTATATCTTCTATAAACCATTTATACCTTTCAAATCCTTAAATCCTCCAAGAGGTACTTTGGAAGTTCCTTCAAATAGTAAAAATATAATACCTGTTATAAATTATAAGAAGGCTGCTCTCTTACTCTCATCAAAACTCTCCAACAATTCCCAAAGCCATTCTATAACTTTATCTTCTCTATCATATCCATGATATTCTACGTTCTCTTTCATATCCTCAACTTAAATATTAAATATATAATGTACGATCAATATCAGGTAAACCACACAACATAAGTTCCATTTCTTTCCATTCAAATATGCTAATCAAATTTTGAGGAATCAATTCATGAAAACCATTCAAAAATGCTTCTATTTAGTCTTTAATCTCCTTTGCCATTTTTTAATAACAATAGGTTTGGACATACTCAAATTTATTATCTTCAGTCACTTATTTTTATCTACCACCCTCAACAAGTTCTCTCTCTTCCCATTTACCAAAATTATCAACTGAATATGTCCAATAGATTCCCCAATCATTCACATTTTCCTCTAAAATCTTCTTCATAGATTTATACTCATTCAAATCAATATCTTCCATATCATGGATAGTTAACTTCTAACCTAGAATATGCTTATAAAATGAACGAGTAAAATAGGTATCCAATAATTATCCATCATAAAGTGCTTTTCCAACTATTCTCCCAATAAATTTAAAGTACTTAACATGATCAGGATTAACATGAGATTTATTACTAGGTTAAAACATCTGTCCATTTAAAGATGGAGTAAATAAAGCATAATTAGGATTAAATATCTCTTTAGACAGCATCAAAAACCATTCTCTTGTAACTCCTCCTTAATCTACCCCTTCCTCTCCATCAAACTCTATAACTAATTTTCCTTTTAAATCCTCTGGTTTTAATTTACTAAAACGATGATAGGAATCCATAAAGATATCTTTTCTTCTGCATCTTACAGCAATATTTGCATAATGATGCTTATTATTCTGTAATTTCAATTATTTTAATTCTATTTTAAAGTACTTTTGCTTATTCTCAAAATCAACTATTCTAGGATTCTTTTATATGATGATTCCTAAACTATCATTTGTTATTTTTCCCTTCTCTTTATATTCTTAAAATCTTTCCTTTAGCATAATATTTAACAGTGCTTTTCCACTTTCACAAATTTTTTAAAATAATTCATCATGTATTTCCTGCTCTTTTATCTCCTCATATTATTCTTCCATCATAGCTATTTTCTTAGACTCTTTTTGATTCAATCTAATTTTTTTTATTGGGTTCACTATTTGATAAATAATAAAAAAGCATTCCAAGTATGGAGATATTTTTGGTGTCAATTTGATTATCTGTTATTAGGGTATTTATTATAAGAATGTTATCATATTTTTCCATAATTCTATCAGTTCTTTATTATCCAATAATTCTTAAAAATTTAATCTTACATCCTATTGATTATTACCTTCATTTCCTTTTGCATTAATTTCCTTAACAAACTAAAATACATTTATGAGAGCCTTATCTCCATTAAATATCTCATCATATTATTATTGTCTTTTAAACTACTCATTTATTTCTCTAATAGTTTTCTCTATATACTCTTTTATATATTAAACTATTAACAATTGATTTTCTTGGTTGTTGCATAGACTTATAATGATGTTAGAAAAATTCTTAACAATTCCACCCATATTTGATAATAGCGTTTTACAGATGCAATCAACAGACTTTTAGTCTAATTTGACTTTGTCCTATTTAAAATCCTTTTGTTTTGTGCTTATGTTTGTAATTGCTTAAATGAGCATTTCCTAATGATTCCCTTAAAATTCAGGTAGAAGTTAAATCAATTCTAATAAGGGAAAGCTTAAGACATCTTCAGATGAACTTATATGTTATTTTTTGTTTTCAAAAAAGTAGTTGACTGAAAATCCTTTTAATTTTGAAAACATATACAACACTTTTAATGAAACAACACTCTATATTTTGCTGAAATCTCTAACAAGTCCATTTCTTTTTACCAAATAGCATGGTGGGAACAACCTTTCTTGATCTTGCAATTTTTTTGTTTTTAAAATTAAAAACAATGTATCAATTAATTTATGCTCTACATTTTAATTATTGCATAACGAAATAAATAGATTAATAGGAAAATTAATGAAACTATGAGATTCCACGTAAAGTAAACTCAATAATGATTCTGTAAATTCATCTTCTACAGTTCCTAATTTTGAAATGATATGTCTTTAAGTTTAAAATAATCGAGAATTAATTTTATGTTATAAGTTATTTGGATTCTATTGAGGAACATTTATTGGAGGAATAATTTACTAACTTCGAGGTTGTTGCGATGGAATCCTCTAAGAATTGTTATTTATTTATAAATCTTATGATAAATCTACTTCTGTAAATTATTATTGTGGTGTCTAGTTTCTAGGAGCAGAATATTACTGAATTATTTCATTTCTAATTTCTGAAGGAAGAGAGGCCAAAAACTAAGGATCAATTCCATCAATTTCATAAGGGAGAGCTAAAGCAATTTCCATCATCATATCTTCATTGAGATCTTCAAATACTGAAGGATCAATATCATTTTTTATAAGATCTTCAAAAGTTTTGCCAATCCTTTTCAATACATTGTAACTTTTTGGATAAATTTATGAATAATTTTAATTGTTTTATTATTATTATTATTATTATTATTATTATTATTATTATTATTATTATTACTATTAAGATGAATGTTATTCAACCTTCTCCTATTAATCTGTTATGACATTTTGATTATTTTCTTCAAATCTTAATTATTGTTGTTGGATTTCAATTTCTGCATTTATTTAATTGGATTAACTTCCACATGTAAGTTCTTAGAATTGTGAAAGTTGAATGCCATAATCTTCTGGATGATTTTAACAATTTATTAATTATTATTATTGATTCTATTGATTTGGTTGTTAGTATTAGTGTTCCCTAATTTAATCTTCATTTGATGACTGAATTGTCTATACATTTTATTGTTATAAATTAGCTAGCTATTACCCAAATTATTCTTAAAATTGTCTTTATTATGCCAATAATATATCAAATTGTGATTGCCTATCTGGAAATTCTCTTATTATTTATGGTAAATTATTACGAGCTGTTCTGGCATGTGGTTGTTGCTATACTCGAGTTAGGAGTCTATCATCTTAATCAATTCTTAGGAAATCTATTCCTAATCTTTCCCTAAAAATATTAAGTGGCTGAATTCTAACGTCTTATTAAAGAAGCAGTCTTTCTTCAGGGATTGTCTGTTTTGAAGTTAATTCAGTCCACCAATTTATAAGTTATAAGTCACCAACTTATAGCTTTTCAGGTAATAAAAAGTTAAATTTATCCAAGATTTTCAGAAATTATTTCGAAAACTTAATCCCTGTCAATTAGATGATAGATTTAGTCATTTTCATGAAAGTCAAATCTTCCTTGTTGGTAAGATGATGATAATGATTAACAGTTCCCTTATTTTACTCTAAACCTTAATTATATTGTTCATTCTAGGCAAAATTATGCTGTTGGTTCATATTTTAATTTAGATCTTAAACATTGCGTTCCAAAATTTCTTGATCAATCTCCTCTTAATTTAATCCACCTAATTCACTATTTGATGCATTATCATCATCCGAATCATCACTATCTTCAACATCATCATCTTGACCATCCTCTCCAATTTAATCATCATCTTCATCAGTCCAACTTGAATTAGCATTTTAAGGATCTTCAGCTTCAATTTGATTATTTCCACTTTAACTTGTAACCCAACTATTTACTTCTTGATCAAATTCTTCTTCAGCTGATTCTTCAATTATACTTGAATCATATCTGCTCTCAACACTTTAAATATAATTGTCGTCATCATCATCATGTTCAATTTGAAACTCATCATTTTCATCTTGAATATCCTCTAAAATCTCCATATTAAGGAATCTATTTCTTCTACGAAATGGTGACCATATATGTTATAAATTTAACTCATCTTGTCTTGTGGTTTAATTCAATCCTTCATGAAATGAAATAGGTAACAGAGGCCATTTTATGAAATATTTAATAGGGTCCTGATAGATTATACCTTTGTTTGGGATAAGTTGACAATTTATATCTTCTGGTAGTAGTTATCCAACCATTCCTTACAGTTGGAAATGATCGCCTTATTGCTCTTAAATTTATTTTGGTATCACAATAAGAGATGGCTTAAAAAGAAGTAAATAAGCAGCCACATTGAATAAAACTGCCAGTGTTTCATTCAAGAACTGTAATTCATTCTCGTAATTATAATATGACTTCAAATCAAAGTTCTTCATTCCTTCTATATAGAGTTTGACAAAATTAAATGAATTTTAAGGTTCATTTACATTTTTAAAACAAATTTTAGCCACAGATTTTATTTATATTAAGAATACTAATGTGTCTGATAAATGACAAAAATTTGAATCTAAAGATTTGATTCTCTTTTCTATTCCTTCATAGATATCATTCAGTATTTTCCTTCTAATTTCAATTGAAAATGGAGCAGTAGAATTATTAGACATCTAATTCAGAATGACATTATCTAAGCATAATTCAAAAAGCAAGTTCTTTATGGGAGTCATGATCTTGGTTATTAATGAAATAAAAGAGATTTTGCGAGGGAAATCTGTCTCATTATAATCAGGCCCTAATGACTTATGATAAGGTTTAAGAAATTTGCTACAATTTATTCGAACCAATTTCGGAATTAGGATTGGGTATCTTCTTATTAAAACCTAAAGTACTTAGCAAATTATATTCCATTAAAATTGATATGGCTCTGTTTTATCAAAATAAGATATAATCATCTATTAAATTAATAGTTTTATTAAAATTTAGGCTTCTTGAGTATGTTAAAAATTAGATTGTAACTACATTTTATCTTCACTCTTCTTTTTCTTAGTTGAAGTCTTAACGCTTCGTTTTGCACTCTCTGGTTCCTTATATTTTTAGAAACTCACGGGTTCAAGACAATCTAAAGTGAATAGATGAAAACCTTTTTTTAAAACATAGTGATTTGGCTAATCTTCAAATAGTGAATTTATAACGAATTTGATTTATTCACTATAAAAACACTAATTTTATATAGCAGTCAACGCCAAATTATCCTTAGCTAATCTTATTTCATTAGGAATTTGTATGTTATAATGAATAGGCTTAAAACATGAAGGATAAGTATTATGCTATGGAGTATGCAAAGACTATTGCAATTAAACCTATTTATTTGAATTTTCAATTTCTTTATTGTATTCTTAATCATAGATTATTTTTTTTAGCTTAGCCTCAACCTATGCTATAACAATACTGGAATCATGAACAATAGATAATACAAGTTTTGTTAAGCTATAAAGTTGATTCTTTGAATCTCCTTTTACTTTTAAGAGATACTCTAATCCTTTCATTTGATAGACGAATTTATGGACACTCTCTCTATTGACTTAGAATGCTCTCACCAATATTTCTATGCAGATTTTTGATGTTGTATGATTTTATACTTTCCCTTTCAAAATGTTAAGAACTCCTACCAATATTTCATTCAAAATGTCATGATTATATTTTTTCTACTTCTAATCGTCTGTTATGAAGAGAGTTAAGATTGCTAAAACATGATTAACAGCTCTAATTATTTATTCATCCTCATATTTCAATAATTCCTAAATTAATTTCATCATCTCAATCACAATATAATCATATTCTTGCACTAAATTTTATTATTTATATATAAAATGCAAAACTGAGATTATCAATTTTATATCATTATTTAAGGGTTTTTTAAGTTCTAATTCGCAATCTTTAAATCTTAACTACAATTTAAATTATTCTTAAACTGCCTATTTTAAACACATCAATAAAGAAGGCATCATTTATCCATCGAATACTTTAAATAAGGTTTCTTCAAACTTATTAAAGAAAAGTATATTAGTTTTGATATAATTTTTGAGTTCCTATTATTTATGTTGAATGATTTCAGAAATGGATCCAACAGAAAATACATTCCTTTGGTTTTCTTTCATCTGCTATCTTTTTTGTTCAACCTTGTCTTAATTATCAGCTAACCATGCAGCAGCCCTGCCTACATCAGGAAATCTAATATTTTAAAACGCCAATGAAATCGCATCATCTGAAAATCCCATGCCTATTAATTAATCCCTTGCTTAGGTTGAATCATTTTATTATATTATATTGAAGTTCCCAAAATCCTCTCTAAAACTGGAAAATGTAAAAAAATTGAGCCTCTCTCTTTCTTTTATGATTAGATCTTACAAAAAAGTAGGACTTAATATCATCATTACTTTTTCAATTAGAATCCACTATATGTTAGAAATCTCATCTGAATTAGAAAATTGGGTTATTTAAAGCATATTCTATATATCTGAGATTTGTTGCGGTAATAATGAATATCCAAACTCTGAATGTTGTTTTTCAAATTTATTTATATACAAAATCTTAATGATTGAGGAAAAATGTTTAGACAAAATACTGAGTTGATCATTTTGATTTTAGAGTGTCATATTTGTGTATTAATGTATTGCCAATTAAAAACATTTAGTAAATGGTGATTTTAATAACAAATTTATAAAATCTAAATTTAAATATTTATTCTCAGGCACTCTTTTACTTTCAAAAAGGTTGATTAATAATTCATCAATTTATGATATATACAGAATCACTATCTATATATTGTCATTTTGTAATTTTTAACACATTTAATTAAACAAAGCTATTAATGTGTTTAATTCACTATTCTTTCTATTAATTAAATTAAAAGAATTAACAATCACATGCTTTAAACTTTAAATATAAGAATAAAACACAGATTTTTTTAATGTTTGATCATTTTGATTATCATCATTATTAAATATGACTGAACCTAATATGATTGTGAATAAACCACAGCACTTATGGTGTAAATTAACTAGATCTGTTTTTTCCCAATTAATTTATGGAGAGTTTACTAAGTAAAGTTTTAAAATTTCGAGTAAGCATTCTATTTAAGAATGGAAAGATGCCATTTAAAGATTTTACTATATTGATTGCTAACTAAAACTTTAAAATAACTTTTGAGCATTGTAATACAAAACATTAACAGTATGGGTAGTCTGGTTTATTGAGTTTTCCCATTTATCCATAACTAACAAAGTCTTTTTTAATATTTTATGAGGATTCTCATATTCATCAACTGAAGTTAACCACCTAAATACTTTCAATAAGTCATTTTTAAAATCAAATGTTGGAAATTCAAAGAACATCAATAAGGAATCAAAAAATCCTTTTGAATTCATTTCAGCCAAGTAGGTATAATGAGGATAATGGAACATCTTAAAGCTTAGAATGGACAAGTTTTATATTTGAGTAATAATCTCAAAATATTATGTATAAATATTAGAAATTGTTAATTAATTTTTCTTTTCGTTTAAGCACATCCATAATTTCTTTACTGATTGATTGAGTATTTCGCAAACCTAAGGTCCAACTTTATCGATTTTTTGTGTATATTTAGTTATACATTAGGCTAAGCCACTTAATTGTTCTCTTGGACTGTTCAAATTATCAATCAATGAATAGTGTACTATATTTTCCAAGAAACACATTCCAGATTTATTGAATTTTTCATAGCCTTCTTCTTTTAATGAAATGTTAAAGTAAAATTAGAATATTGCTGTCATAATCTTATAGTTGATCTTATCGATACTCATTTTTTATATGATCTCATTTAGTGTTTATGGTAAATTGGAATCAATTAACCTACCAATTAAAGTTGGAACTTCATTAGCTAAATGGGAGATTAGAATTAAGGTTTATTAGATTGAACCTATAAATTGAGGAAAATTTTCAAATAATTTTTATAGTTATTTAATGATAATTGATTCTGAGATTTATCTAGCAAAAGAAGGAGCATTAACTCTATTTAGTCTTCTGCCAAGATCATCTCTAAAATGTTCATTTATCGATTAAATGCAGACAGCAATAACTGAATCTGCTTCTTCTAAAGTGATATTGGAATATCCATTTTAAGTAGGTTTTTAAATATCAATATTACATTTAATCTAATTTTCTACAATTTTGATGAGATCATTAAAGATTCTGAGATCTCTTTAGATGTCATCCTTTCTAGATAATCTGCTTAGTAGTAGGATTGCGGCTTTAAAAGATTCAGGAGGTAATAGCATTTTATTATCCTATAGATAAAGTGCTTTAATTAGAGCAGAGGAAGATCCAAGAGCAATATTAGTTCTGCTTAATAGGAGTACACCTGGTTCAGATGAAAATATTTGAAAAATACTTGATGCTAATCTCTAATGTTTTGCACATTGTTCACTCAAAAGAGTAGGAAAATATTATAAAGGATAACTTTATTCTGTTTCAATTTAAAGAGGATGCATGGACAAAACATCATAAATAAATTATAGAAATGTTTCATCATAATTTTTGGCTATATTAAAAGCGACTTCATTTTCATTCTGTCTTTCAATTGTTATTATTTCATCTAATGTCAATAGTAAAGTGGACAATAATTGAGGGTCGATTGTTTTCAATTAAAACAATTTCATGTATATTTTAAAGTGATGTTCATATTCTAATTATTCTTCGAAAACCTGATCTAATAGTTCTCCACAATTATTGATATGGCAAAATTAAGTTAGCAACATATACATTAGAAGGGATTGTATGTGCAAAACTACTACGATTGAGATCGTTGGAATTTTATTTTGTTAAAATCCTTTACAGATAAGGATCCTATATTTCATGGCATCAAGTAAAGGACAATAGCTTTAATCTTGCGCATTCAGAAGCGTTTGGGACAATGCTAGGGCCGTAATGGAATTGACATCAGTTATTTCAAAATTCTAATTATATTGTTGACAACTACTCTAATTTAAATCGGTTGATGTAATTCTTTCTTGTGTATACCGTTCTTGCACAAATCTTGATATGATTCATTCATCAATGTTGGTTCCATATACTCTAATACCAGTTTTGGAAATTCTATTGGAGCTTCAGAAAGGGTTTGATAATTAGCATCTTGATTAAAATAATCTAATAAATCTATCTTGGTGAAGGACAAGTTGTTATAATGATCAAGGAGGATTCTCGTAAAATAGATAGCCCTTGGAAGATATTCAATTTGTTATTGATTGCAGACATCTTTTTATTATGGATTGTTTAAATTTGAAGGCTATTTATAGATTTTTATTAAGATAAGCATTATTTGCTCATAGACTAGGAAACTATCTGAATATTCTAACATATTAAATAAATGATCTAATGAATTGAACAATTTTCTATTCTAATTTAATCAAATACCGATAACACTCTAATTCCAAGACACAATTAATAAGGGATAGCAACATATGACATTTGAAACTAGGATTTTTTTAAATTTGTTCAACAGCTATTTGGATATATTAATCAAGCTTATCAATAATTAAACATAATGATCCTTTTGATAATTTGTGGATTGGATGACTTTGATCAGTAACAAGTTTCATCAAATCATCTAGAAAGTTCGAGCTCTATAGAATGAATTCCAGCATCTAGACTTCTATATATTAAATACTCGTAGTTCAATTTCTTTTGGTTGTTCAAGTATATTTATGGGAATTTTCATATTTAAATTAATATAAAATTAATCACTTTTTATCTCCACTTCAATATTCTATATTAATCAAACCAAACTCAACCTGAGTTACAATCAGAGTAAATCTAATAGATTTTCAAGCCTAACTATTTCTGAAATTTGCAATTAAGAATAACAGTATTTAGATTAGAAATCTATCTATAATTGTAAATTCCTAATTTATCAGATCAATCAAATTAAAAATCATATTCCCTATGTCATTATATAATTCTGCCTAAAAGTTGTTTCTGTGAATCTATTTCAAATAAAAAGAATATATAAATAGCTCTATGATTCCAAACTCTAATTATTAAATCTAATTAATAAAAGTGAATAAAAAATAGGTTTACAATGCTTTTAATATTATCCACAATGAGAATGAATAATATTTTAAGGAAATAAAATTGATCATAATTAATAAAAAACTAATTAAAATACCTTCATATTTAAGGTGAATTAATTATATATCCGTTTTAATCTTAGACTTTATTGGTTTAGCTTCCCATTTAGGAATGTTTCTCGATATTTTTAGAAGTTAACTGTTACTTTCTTTTACAATAGTTTAAAAATAATTGTTGAGTACTTTCATTCTAAATTATATAAATATATTTAATATTGTAAATTCTTATTGGAAATGGGAATTTGCACTTCTCAAAATGAAGCTGAGAAAATAGAGAATTCAGAGCAGGATTATTAAAAACTTGATTATAATAGGGTTTCAACTTATTAAAAACTGGAAAATATTGCAAACAATATAGCAGCTTGTAAGTAAAACATAATAAAAAGTAGAATAGCAGATTGACACGATATTTTCATCTTTAATTTAAAGAATGATTGCTTCTCGATAAACTCATATCTTAAAAATGTTGGAGAAGATGGACAGTAAAAAAAAGCAATAGTTTATGACAAAATTAGAACGCATAGATTTTGAATTCATTGACTCTGTATAGAAAAACATTAACGTTATATAGCTCTTTCATCATTGTTATAAAAAAAATTAACCGGATGAGTTTTCATGCAATGTTATACAAAGTATCAATAGTCAAGAGCAGAATCTTGATTTGATAAAGGTATAGAGTGATGAATAACTTTTAAGAAACATAAGGTGGGCATAGTATTTTTATGTGGAGGTCGTAGTTCTCGATTGTATGATAAACTGCTAAGCGATATAGGACTTCCTTCTAAGAAGTGTGTCGTTTAAATAATGATGGAGAGACTGAAGAAGGTTATTATGATAGGTAATTTACATTAATTTAAATGGTTAAGCATCTGAAAACCAAGAGATTGTTGATTATCCTATTGCGATAGTGCTTTCGGATTAAAACTCCGAGAAATTCTAAATGTATCTCAAAGGCAGAAGAGATTTTGGATTTTAGTCCATCACTTTTATATTTGAGAAATCTCTTCCTGTGATTGATATAAAAGGATAGGTAGTGTTTGAATAGGAAAATCAAGCTTTTATGACACCTGAAGGGACTGGTTCAATTTTTTTATAACTCAATTCATTCATAAAGTAAAAGGGTTTTAGATAATTTCAGTAAATTTCCAAACATGGAGTATATTCATTTCTTGGGTTTGGATAATCTAGCTGGATTGCCATTAGACCCCTAAATGTTGCATCTCATTTGTCAATAGAAGGGTGATGCATTATGTAAAGTTATTGAAACTAATTCAATTTTGGATGATAGAATATTTTATTCTGCTAAGTAATTTCAGACATATAAAGAATAAGACAAGGGAGTAGAAGAGAGTTCATAAAACTTGGCTCAAATGTGTTTGAATGATTTATATTTATCTGTTTCTTTTCTCAATACATTGAAGTAGAATCACGAAAAAGCATTGAGACTTAATCAACGATATCATACTATAAAAAGAGGAAATAATATCTAATTTGAAAAGCATATTCAAGATATAATCGAAGTGACTGACCTCACTATCCTACATCAAACTGAAGATTATGCATTGCTCATTGATGATCCAAGAAAGGCTGTAATCTAGTTGTCTAATGCACATAAGAGAATCTTGAAATTGGAAGGAACTTAAGAGAAAGATTTGGTTGAGATCACTCCTCAAATGAGTTATTGCAGAAGGGAAGATCTGAAGAAGATAGAAAATGCCACATATCCATTGATCATATGAGAGGAGAATGTGAGTGTTATTGTTTGATATTGATTTTGTTTTTAAGATATCTAAAATGAAGAGGTCTATTTTTATTGTTGCTTTTAGTGATTAATAATAATTAAATAAATTTTTATAAATGAAAATCAATCAATACGCTTGCATTTCTTTGACATATGATTACCAAAAGAAAGGAGACATTCCAGATTGCAAAGATTAATGGATTATTTTGAATAAGTAAGATACTAATTTTATACTTTAGGGCACAATGCATTAAACACAAACTATAAGAATATGAACCAATTGTGGGTCCAGGGAAATTGGACTCCCAGAACACTGATAATTAATTTACCAATTAGACTCCCAATTCAAGTTCCATATTTACTATAATCAATGATAAATTGTTGATTGCTTTCAAACAAAAGATTTTATAGTATGATCGAATATCAGATCTATTTTCAACTGATAAGTATCAAACTTGTTTGCCATAACAATAACATACAGTGACATCTGGAAATGTGATATCGATGCATCCAAATCAAAACCAATTAATCGTTAGAACAGAAAATGCCATCATATTATATAAGTTTAGTAATTCAAATGTATTTAAACTATTTAAATATTTTTTAGTTTTCACTCCAAAAAACCTACAATTATTCCAATATTAAACAACTAAACATTTAAAATAATGTGCTTTTCCTTTGTTTGTCCGATAGATTAATAGCAATAAACCTGATTAATCAAACAGAGCAAATTCTCAAAGCTGACAACAATATAGTTGCTGGTTATCTCAAAGATTAAGAATATTACTACATATGCGAAAACTCCTATGTTGTTAAGAGTCTTTAAAGAAACTACGAACTAGCTATTCCAATCCCCATAGCAATAAAGGCCCTCTTTTTGATAGATAAATTCATTTGTGTCTGTGGTTATTAAACCAAATACGAACCCTACGACGATGAAGATGAGGAACCAGCTACTTATAGTTCCCACGTCTTTTGGTTCGATATTACTTGCAATCAACCCATTAAAGAGAGTAGTCACAGAGAAGTGGATCTAATTGTAGATACAAATAACAAAGGGGACTTTGGAATCACACAACTAAGTGACCTATACATAGTTTTCGGTAGTAATTTGAGAGTGGCTACCTTTTGGTCCTTGGATAGACTGTGTTAACAAGCTAAGAGATATGAGAATTCAGATGAAATATTGGAATTGCTTCAACATTCAGAAATTAGAGGGTTGGTCACTTATAAATCCAATCCCTTCATTGGATTCGGAATGAACCAAAAGAACTTTCGTTGCATTGAACGAAATCCTAATGTCTGCATCTTCGACAAAAAAGGAGGATTGTAAATGTATGAATTCTTTAATTTCAAAAAAATCGTGGAATATCAGATTAATCAACCACAACCTTAAAATAGCATATTTTAGAATAGTTAAAATCTATTTTAGAATCCTCAATTGGTATCTACAAGATCTCAAAAGTTTTAAAAGGGTTTGGATGATATAAAGTTCACTGTAATTGAATGTGAGAAGAAGGAGATGAACATTATTGCTAATCCACCCTTTAATTTATAATTGATTACACAAAACAAAGATTCTCAAATGGTTTTCGGCAAAGGAAGAATCGATTATTAATTTAGATTACATCAGAATCAGAACCCTTCAGCTAATTTAGTCATTGATTATCAACATTTTCAAATCATAGGACATGAAAGAGAAATAGTAATACTTACACCAATTATTGTATAATAAATATTATCAGAATAATAATAACCTAAGTTGTAAATTCAAAAGGTTACCTCTAATCCAGCAGAACTTATTAATAGTCTATTCCTATTTTAGAATAAGATATTGATACAAACCAACACTTCCTTGTACTTGGTTAACTACTAAGATAATCAATGGAATGTAAAACTACTCTTGAATCACAATAATATAACCAGAGTCTAGGTTTTAGATTAGTATCTCTTATTGACCATTTCTTAGGATGGTGTTTAATAAATATTGTATGAGTATAAAAAGGACAGCTTATAGTAGAAGGTTTCGCATAGAAGCAATGCTGGTTGTCTATTATAATTAGATGGGTAACCACAATTGTTACTAATAATCGATGACTAATTATATATATTGAAGGACTTTGTCACAAAATAATTAGTCTAAATTGACATCGAAATAATATAATCAAAGGAGTATTTTATTGCCTAATTGCATGAGAATCACATTTACTTATCCTTTGCAACCATTGATGAGTATGAATTCAATCATTTTATACTAAATTACGATGCAGAAAGAAATCAAGCAAAATCAGAATTACATTTGAATGATGTACTCTCCAATCTAAACATAAATGACATCTAAACTTAAATCACTAATTTTGATTGGAACATAACTTCAATAAATACACCCATAGCAAAAATCATCATAATATTTCCCAATGGAGTCTAAGAAGGATTTGTTTTCTAGGTTTGTGGAAATGACTTGCGTACTATTGATAATGAAAAAGGGGAACCCATCTAACTTTCATCCTACACTCATTTTGTTAAAGGAATCTCAACTCTTAAGTATGTGTTACCTAATGAGGAGAAATTAGGGGATAAGCCAGGTTTATGTAAAGCAAAATAGGAACAAAAAGAATTTCAATACTAGATGTAGCCATCAATATTAATATACGAATTCGATGAAAAAAGCAATCTGACCATTCATAGACTATTGTTAATAAAATTAGATAAGTTGGATGATTCAACTCCACTCTTGTAGCTTTTTGAAGACAAACCAAATCCCTAAAAGAATTCATAATCGGAATAATTAAAAACACCCGACAGATAATAAAATGAAATCTCAAAATAATTGATCAATCAATAACCTTAACCACCTAAAAGGGTCACCTAAATTACTTACTAATTATCAGAATTTTGTAAGCAATCCATGAAATAATTGAATGGAGAAGAAGAAGAGGATCTGCTTATGAAACCATACTTCTCTATATTCACATCCCAAAAGTTTTTGGATGAATTAAGTGCTCAATACACTTAGATACATAACACTAGAAAATTGATGAAATAAAAGACTCTGGAAAGTTCTTCTGTCTAAGACTTTTGTTTACTTAGAAAGTCATTTGATATTCCAAAATTCAAATTCAGTTATGATGAAATTCAAACGACTTTAGCTTCATTATCAAAAGTAGAAGAACAATTTTCATGGATTTGTAACTTTGTAATTAATACTCTATAAATGAATCCCATTAAGAGGAATAAAATCACATTTGGAGAATTTGAGTTTCCAAGTATTCATCATATTACACCTAAAAAATAACCAAGTAATTCAAAAACTAAAATCGGAAGAAAGATAGTATTCTCAGAATTTTGTGATTAAGAACCAAAGACTGATTTACAAATGGCATTTATTGAAAAATTATGTTAAGCTCACAAATCCAACGTCAAATACTTACAATTAGGGAATGAGTCCAGTAAGGAGATTAATGATCTAAGCCTTCCTTTAAATGCGATGTCCACAACATCTTTTGGAATACCTCTTTCAAGATTTTCTTAAAAACAACAGATATTTGACACTCTATATGAAAGCAATAATTATAATCAAAATCAAGTATCAAATTCGAAAGATTAAGTTAAAACTATTCAAGCTTAAACAGAAAATGGGTCATCTCTTATGGGTACTTTTAAAGGTCAAACGGAAAGGAATTAAAAAATTGAACCTATTTAGTCCCAAAGAAAAGATAAATCAAGTGATACATCAAAGAAAAATAATAAGTTGTTTGATGATAATGATAAGGGTTTAGAAAAGAAAAGCGATGCCAATTCATAATAATAATTATTCGATATCAATAATAAGGGGATGACTAGAACAAAGGGGGGCTTCTTAAGTCAAGAATCAGATTAAGAATCAATAAATCCTTTTAAATCAGACTTCTAAAGTGTGCGGGAAATGAATATGGTAGAATCTCAAATAATTGATCCCTCCAAACAAAAAGATAATCTTAAAGAATCCACTAAACCCTTATTTGGATAACCTCTAAAAACAGAAGCCAATTAAGAAAAAGCCATATTTGGATAACCTTTGAAAACAGAAGGTAATTAAGAAAAAAGCATGTTTGGTTAACAAACTCTAAATAATACTACTGGATTATTTAAAGACCTAAAACTAGATGATAAATCAGGTGCATCTGCTCAGAATTCAAATATTTTAAAGCAACAAACACCCAATGAAAAGGATAAAACCAATTAAGATAAACCCGCTGTAGAATCAAATATTTTTGGATAACTTACTTCCCAACAGACTTAAAATTCAAATAAACTGCTTAACCTAAATTCAAACGAAAACCCTACTGAAAAATAATAATAAAAACCGAGTCAGCCTCCTCTATTTAATACTAATTTTGGAGATGGAAAATTACTTTTCTCCTCGCTTACTCCTAATGTAGAGTCTGCCAGCAGCTTTTTAGGAATAAAAACTGAAACCAAAGATGCTGCACAAAATGAGTAAAGTAAAAAGAAGTAAGAAGATTCTTCGCTTTTAAATTCAAAGAAGGAATCTCAAAGTCTATTATAAAATCTATAAAAACCAGAAAATTAAGAATAAAATCAAATTCCAAAGACATCTACACCTGCACCAGCCCCAGCCCCAGTACCATAGCAAACAACTTTATTTACTTTTGGTTAACCAAGTGAAATTTAAGTAACACCAGCCAATAATGTGACTTAACAGGAACCTTAAATCTAACCATAAGCATAAGCTCCTTTATAACTAGGTTCTTCGATGTTTAACTCATAAAAGTAAGATGTAAATTTTAACACTTACTCTTAAACCCAACCTACTTCTTTATTTTTAAATTGTAGCAATTAACCATTTTAAGGAATGCAAAATTCTATAGGAATTTAGTAATAAAGTCAACCTGGGCCTCTTATAATTAATTCATCCACTTTTGGAAGTACAAGTAGTGTATTCGACTAAAAGAATACAGCTCCACCACCTTAATAAAGTATCAATACCCTATTACTTTAGAAATTAATTTTAGTAATCTACAGAGTCAAGGTTTGCCCAACACCTTAGGCGGATTCTTTGGTCAAACGCCTTAAACAAATTAAGTAGGATTCCTTTAGACCTCATCCATTTAATTTGGATTCGATCGTATTATTTTAATATATTATGTTAGCTAACTAAGAGAAGCCAAGAAAATGAAATCATCAATTTATTAGTATTATTATTATATTTAAGAACATATTATATAATAATTAGAAAAATGAATGTTTCTCATTCTCAATTCTTCTTTAATTCTCCAACTATCCTTTTTGGTTATCAAGAATCAGCGTAAAAAGAAGATCAAATTTCCTTAAAAAATCTAAATATAAATGCATAAAAACCTTTTTAATAGTATTTAATTAGTAAAATATTATTAATATAATTTATTAATCCATTATGGACTTTACAGGGTAATTCAGACTTGATGAGGATTCTTTGAATTTCAATGTATTTCAGACACCTGTAAAGGGCACTATTAAAGGTATAAAATCTTAACACTTATCTCATGAATTGAATCAATTAATCCATATATAAACGCGCACTATTTTTGGCGCTTATACTATAATTTGGTGGCAAATTTATATATTTTAGATTTTGAAGACCCCTGCGATTCTCAAGCTAATACTAATAAGAAATTGTTTGTCTAGAGTGAGCCATTCGAAATTAGTAAATGTTAATTTAATTCTCCAAAATCATTGAAAAAATGGAGTCTGAAATACATAAGCAAGAGAGTGGAAAAGGAACTCCAAAATCATACTGTCGGATACTCAGAAATATGCTAAAAGCTAACGGATGAAATGACAAAGGAAATGGAAGGCCATTAAGATTATGGATTAAAAGATGTCAAAAATTTAAGGAGGAGAGTTTATGATGCTTTAAATGTCATGATTTCCGTTGGAATAGTAGTTAAGGAGAAGAAGTTGATGAGAAAGAATACAAAAAACTAAGTCAACATAACAAAGTAGAATTTGATAATTCGAAAAGTATATTTAATTATTTAATTTAACAGTAAAAATTAAAGGAATTATTATTATAAAAGAAAGAATAGTTAACAAACTCTATAAAAAAGCAGGAGGCACTTCAAAACTTGATTAGGTTTAATAAAGAAAGATAAATCAATGAATAAGAAAAAATTAAGTTTCCCTTTCTTTTGGTTAAGACTCAATTGACAAATTCAGAAGAAGTAAAATTGAATTTTAATTTTAGGAGGAATTAATCTTGGAATCCCATAAATCTATGGATTACTTGAAAGTGTTGAGTAAGAATAAATTATAGATTTTTGGAATCCTGGGTATTGCCTAATAATTGTTTCAAAATTAATAAACTAAAAATTGAATATTTTTATTTTCTTTGATTATTTTAATAATAAATATGCTTAATATTTCTTAACAAACTAATAATAATAACAGTAATTTAATTCAGATATTTTGATGAATCACTCTAACTACTCTGATAAGCACAGAAGGAGCGTGTCCCCCATTTTAAAGACAACAAGTGAAGATAGGAAAATGCTCCATCACAATAAAGAAAATTATATTTAATATCTTGAGCAACAATTGGAAAAAGTATAAGTATTTGTAATTTGTAGGCAGCAACCATGGTTCATAAGAAATATGAATAGAGAATGAGAGGCATAGAATAATTAATTGAAGATCATGATGAAAAGTTGAAGAACTTCATTAAGTTAATTAAACTATTGTAAAATTTTGCAGAGACTTAAGAATAAGAAAACGGTAAGATTACTAGGCACATAAATACAAAAATGGAGGAATTATATCATAATGAATTGAGAAACGTTAATCAACAATTACATGAAACCCAATATCGATTAGAGTTATTGGAAGCTACTTAAATAAAAGATTAATAACCAGCTTTTGAGTAGTTTGAGAAATCCATAAATCGTAAAATCGATGTTATGATGAGTGAAATTCGATAGAGCGCATTAAAAGTAGATTATTAGAAATTAGAGCAACGTATAGCAAAACTTGAATAACAACCAGATCCTTAAATCAAGATTCAAGATACTGAAAGACAGCATCATGATAAGATAGTAGAATAATAGTTAAGCGATTTGAAATTACTTATGGATAATCTATTAAAAGATCAAGATGTCTTAAAGAGTAATGTGCAAAATTTACATTCTGATTTTAATCATTAGAAAGTTTTATCTTAAGTACAACCTTAAAGACAATCAAGAAAATCAGTAGCTTAACAATCAGAAGGAGAATCTATAATGAAACCTAAATTATCAGCCAAAGACAATCTTAAAACAGATAAAAAAAATAACAGCAAAAAATCACTAAGTCGTTCACCATCTAATAAAAAACCAATTGATAAAAAAAATTTGAAGTTGAATTAAACGAAAACAAGTAAGCGTGGACTGCATTAGAAAAGTTGATCATTTTATTTAACTAAATTATATTGGACAATTACTTTAACAAGCTCGAAAGTTTCTTAGTTTTTTTAAAAAAAAGAATGGTTTAAATTAATTCTTATAAAAATATAAATTGCTAGTTTTTATCTAATCTACGTAGACTTTGTGCTTCGAGGGATTTAAAACTTGTCTATTTGCTTTTTAGTTTCGTAAATATGTCTGTAGAAAATTCCATCTAAATACGTAAAGTGTGAGACTATTACATATTTTTTATTGTCATTTCAACAATATATAAGATGGAGTCTAATAATCAATTCACTTTATCAGAATAGATTGCGTCCTCAATTTGAAATGCAATTAATTATATTTATATGAATTAATAGAGACTTTTATATTATCATATCTTTTATAAGCATACATTAAATTTTCAGAATATAAATGCCGATATATCAACATTTTTTTTCAATTATTGTTTTAAATTGATACGTTCAAATTGTATGGCATCAATAGAGCAGCTTTCCAAGGTAGAGGATCCCTAATAAATGCTAAAAGATGATTCTTCAACTTCATCACATGGATCAGATTCTTCTGACTCTTCATATGATTTCGCGCAGGACTTAAACTAAAAGCCCTCGTCCAAGAGAACTCCTGAAGAGGAGAAGGAGCTTCTCTATAAATATAGAGGTAAGTTTAAAAAATAAAGTCATAGGAAAGCATGGCCTAAAATATGCCAAAATATCAAATGAATAGCGACAGAAGTTGATAAAGCAAGTGTCTACAACAGGCTGTACTATAAAAAGCGCAGCTAAGGAATTAAATATTAATTTTTCAACTGCAAAGGCAATTATGCAAATTTATAGAAAGGAGGGTCGCACTTCAAAGAAAATAAAGAGAGAGAACAAGAAAACCTTATAAACCAAGTAAGAAATTCTAAACCAAAGTAATTACAAATTTTAAATTTTTAGCCACTTCAGATAAACCAAATTATGGTGAATCACTACCGAAAAAAGCTGATGTGGTGTAAGATAATTTAGACACAAATCTTTATCTATAAGCAGAAGAGACCAATAGGAGTTAAGCTCTATTTATTTAATAATTAAACACATAGGTAAATAAACTTAAATTAATAAATATTAGAATTTATTATTATAAGGCCGAGTACAGTAATTGCAATAGGAAAAATAATAATTAACTCAGAACTACTCCTAATTAACTTATTAATATAACCAATTATAATAGATGGTATGAATTATCACCTCATTTCTAGATGTCACAAATGATGCCTTCATATTATAGACCTTATCCTTGATTATGATCTTTTCATATTATATCAAAATTGTATTAAATCAAATTTAATTTAAAATATGGACAAATTAACTTCTAATTTTTATTTATTTTTCAAATCGAATTGATAATTAGTTTGTCATTTCCCAACACCTCTCTATCGAGCAATCCCCTTTTTCGCAATTGCACTTAACGAAATACCGAATTCCTAATAATTTTGATTAAATGAATAAATATGACAAAAACTCCTGGAATGAAACTTTAAGGAAAAGTTGAAATTATTATCTTTAAACAATTTTGTTCTAAATATTTGTTTTTCTTAGAAATAATAGTAAAAAAATATCCAATAATTGTTATTGACATCATTTTGATAATTTGGTATAAGAAAAACTAATAGAATAGGCTAAGCTTGAGAAATCTAAATTAAGAAATTACTAATAAAAATGGAAATAAGATTTACATAAAGTTAATTAATTGTATATATCATTTTCAATGAATTAAGCAATCTAAACAATGATCGAATGCATATCTATTTTGTTAATGCAATTTATATTTAAGGAATTTGAGTGGATTATTGAGTACCTTATGTTGTTCTGGCATGTAGGAATCATAAAATTTCAATCTATGATACTCTAACTATTCATATAGGTTTCCAATTGGATTAGCATTAAGAGGAGCTTTATTCCCAGTTGAATTTAGATGCGGGAGATTATAACTAAGACCCCCAGATGATAAAGATGTGTTTGGAGCCTTGAATTAATACGACGTTGAATTTTATTAATCTTAATTTTTCAGTTAATTTTAAGAGTTAATGTTTGTACCGAGTGCTTCTGAAACACACAACCCTTTATTTTGCGAATTGTCTTCTTGATTCTTAAATGAATGTATAGAAATTTCATAAGGATCAGATCGATCAGATCCTAATTCCAGTTGCAGATCCTAAATTTTTTGCTTGAATTAGAATATGTGCTAAGTTAAGTCAACATTGGTAGTTGAATCGCTATTCTTCTTAGAAAAGTGCATAATTGATTTGCTAGGTTCATCATTCTGAGTCACATCAGCTGCTTATATATTGCTAATATCGATTCCCAATCTGTGCAATTGTGATTAATCCAAGTCCATAGCAGAGTCCTCTGATATTGATTGTTAGTCTAGATCAGCAAGAGTCAAAGCTCTGGCATTTTGAGATGGCTTTCTTGAGTGATTGGGATCCATTTGATAAAAATTAGCTGTTGAAATTAATTAAATAGATTAAAATAAACTGGGTTATAAAGTGGTGACAGTTAATTGTATAAAACAATTTATAATAAATTATCATTAACAAAATGGAATTCGATTAAACATGCACTCAACATCCTAAATAAAAAATCAGTTGGGTTTGTTTAGAAAAATAGTGTTAGCAACGAGTAATGTGTTCACCATGTGCAGTCAAGATTCATGAAAAATCACATAAAGTAAATTTGAATTGTAATTTAAAAAGTTAGAAGAACTTTCAAATTTATTAGAAAATGGAGTCTTGTAAACTTATTAAAGTAACAGCAGAAATGTAGGTCTTGGGTTGAAATATTTAATTAAAGGCGAATCTGAGTTAATTCAAGAAGAAAATCGAATTGGAAATGAGAATACTTATTTTTAAAGTGTTGTAGAAAAAAATTTGAAGGTTGTATAAAAAAAGATGGATGTTTTTAAAAAAGAGTTTCTGGAGAAATAAAAGGAGATTAAATTAAGTAACTAGGAAGAGAGGAATAAAGTCATTAATGAATTAGAATAATTAAATCAACAATTGAAAGTTTCGGAAAATATGGGAAATGATATTGAAGAAGCATTCTAAAAGATATAAACCTATGTAAATCATAAAGAATATGAATTTAAAAACAATAAGGAAGCTGAAATTGTAAATAAAAAGTAAATTCGATTAAATAATTTGTAGAATTTATCTATTAAATTTAATGAAAGATAACTACATGAAAATGATAAAAACCTATTTTAGTAATGCTTTTACTATTGAATTTTGTAAACTATTCGATATGCAAATGGAAACATTAAATTCCAAAGAGGTTCAAGATGTGAATGGGTTTTTAGATTATGTGGATAGCAAATGGAAATAAGATTATAAGAACCTTTCGGTATCCATAGAGAAATTTGTTCAAAAACTACATGAGGGACTTAAATATATCATTTAATTGCCATTGCAAGAAGAAAAAGGATAATTAGCATAATTCCCTATTTAACCTATGAAATAATAAGTTATAGTTCCATAATTTGCTTCTCCAGCTAGAAATCCGGTTCAGTATCAATAACAACCTTATTTTATTCCATTAACACCTTTCAATTAAGCGCCATCTTAGTATCAATTCCATTAATAATAAATACCGTAATCCAGCTAAAGAGTGTACTAAAATCAGAACCAATTCCATTCTGCTCCAGCGCCTAAGTGCGAAGTAGAAAACGATTATTTTGCTTAATCACAAATAATCTATGAAGAACCTCATGTGCGGAATAATACTAGACCTGATTTTGTTAATTAGAGTTTATAATAATATTAATGATATAAAATTCGTAAGAAACAGAGACTCCAATCAAAAAGAAAATAAGCATTGAAGATTTTATCAAGATCTAATAGATGGGTGATGGGGCTTATAGTACTGTATACAGTTGCCAAAAGAAGGAGGATGTTTAAAAAGGCAATAGTAATCAATGTCCGGTCTATGCAATAAAAATAATAGATAAAAATTTTATGAAATTGGTATCGATTATATCTAGTAGTTAGAATAAAAAGCAACATCATGCATACATTGAGAAAGAGATGCTTTAATATCTAAAATATGATGGAATAATTAAATTACATTCTACATTTTAAGACAAAAATAATTTGTACTTTTTAGTTGAATTGGCATCGGATTGTTTTGGTGAATTTTTAAAGCTCTATGGCAGTATTAAATCAATCTTAATATAGATTAAAAGTTGACTCATCAAATAATAAAATTTTATACGGCTGAAATTGTATCCATTCTAGAATATATCCATTCAAAAGGAATAGTACATAGAGACATAAAAGTATATTTACAATTTAAGACAAGCCTGAAAATTTATTAATCACTGAGGAGAAGCATCTTAAATTAATAGATTTCGGAACTGCAGTCATCTATGATTAGGAAAAGGTTCCACAAAAAATAGTGTAAGCCATAGAGAATTACAGAAAAGACTTTGTAGATACAGAGAGAAGAAGACAATATAGCTTTGTAGGAACAAATGCGTATTTGACTCCCGAGATGATTTCTGATAAACCAGTAGGTCCAGGGACAGATTTATGGGCATTAGCCATCATGATGTATAAGATGTACACTGGAACCATACCATTCAAAACAGAAAGCAAAGAAGACTCAGAAGACTTATATAAAAAAATTGTGACAGATCAAATTATATTTCCATAAGTATTTAAATTACTCATTTATTGTCAAGAGCGTTCCTTAATAAGCCCAGGATTTGATGAAGCTATTTTTAGAGAAGGATCTAAATGATAGATTGGTCGATTACTCCAAAATCAAGAGTCACCCCTATTTTGCTGATATTGATTTTAATTCCTTATGGCAAATGAATCCACCTTAACCTCTTCAAATCCATAGAGATCAAAGAAAATCAAAAACCTTTGTCCAAGAACCAATATCAAAAATTATCTATTAGGAAATGGTTGAAAAAGATTCCGGATGTAAAATTTAAAATAATCATTTTAAAAATAGTCCTTATATCATACTACTCTCCAAGACTCCTAGTATTATAAATTATCAATGATATTCCTTCAATTCATTATACAAATCCAAAGTTGAATGACAAAAAGACTGTGATTCATGTTACTTAATTTTTGAAATACTAATTGCTTAAACAAGATAAATTTGTCATAATAGATGAAAAATAAAAATATATTTTTAAAGTAAAAATATAAAATTAGTCTATTAGTCTTAAAATGCTAAGAAATGGATTAGTTTAATTGGAGAAACTTTGAATAATGGTCTAAAATGATCTATTACATTTAAATATGACAAATATAATATATGATTAAGACTGTAATAATTAATATTCATATTTATGGGAAATTGCAATGTCCTAGGCCAAAAGGAAGAGTTCTAAGAAGCTAGTAAGGATATTAAATATACTTTCAGTGTAATCTATAAGAAATTACGAAATCCTAGAAGTCTTAGGCAAAGGTGGTTTTGGAAGAGTTCTCAAAGTCAGAAGAAAAAAGAATAATCAGCTGTTTGCCATCAAAAAAATGTCTAAGGCAAAGTATTTATTACAAACGAAGCTAGAATCATTAATCAAAAAAGCATTACAGCAATTTTGAATGAGAAAAACCTTCTAATCTAACTAAGACACCCTTTTATTGTGAATATGCATTCTGCATTCCAAGATAAGGAAAACCTATATCTGGTATTAGATTTGTTAACTGGGGGTGACTTAAGATGCCATATATATAGAAACAAAAGGTTCTCGGAATAAGAAGTGAGTATGAAAATTTGTTCATTTTAGAATTTTTTGCTGCTTGCATAATTACCAGCTTAGACTATTTACATTAGTAAGGAATCATCCATAGAGATCTAAAACCAGAAAATCTCGTGTTTGATGATAAAGGATACTTGAGGCTTACAGATATGGGAATTGCAAGAATTTGGAGACCTGAAAACTCATCAGATATAAGTGGTACCCCAGGTTATATGGCTCCTGAAGTAATTTGTAGATAAAACCATGGGATTTCTGTAGACTTTTTTGCACTTGGGGTTATAGTATATGAATGCATGCTTGGTAAACGACCTTATGTTGGGAAAACAAGATAGGAAATACGAGAGTAAATTCTTGGTCAACAGGTTTAAGTGAAAAGAATGGATTTGCCAGTGGCTTGGTCTCTTGAGGCTGCAGATTTTGTCAATCAAGTAATTCAAATTTATAGTATTAGTTAATTTAAAGAAAACCAATTAATAGATTAGGAACTTAAAATCCTAATGATGTTAAAAACCATCCATGGTTTTCCTAATTTGATTGGAATTTATTATCAAAAAAGATAATGCTTGCCCCTTATAAGCCAAAATCTGTTTCAAAATCTAGTTCTTCATTTGATTCTATTGAAACCCCTCAGGATGATAATTATGCTATTCTCAGAAATAAAACTCTTAATGGTATTATTATTATTAATATTTAAGAATAATTTAACTAATACTGTTATGACCCTGAAAGTTGTATGTAAAAATGACTAAAGTTATGATCTCTTAATTTGTTTACTTAAAATTTTGAATGCCATTAACATTATTATTTACTTAATTAGCAAATATTAGTTTATAAGAATATTAGAACTTATCTTAACTGAGCAGAAAATTTATAAACCCATTTAAAGAAGAGATGGAATCAAAATAGTCGATTCTAAATATTTCAAGAATTATTCTAATATATGATGAGACCAACTGCAAATATTAGAGAATAAACGGATATTTTATTATACTTAATTTTTAAGCTGATTTTCCTTCTATGTCAATTTAAATTTCCAATCCAGGATAAATTAATATCGATCTAGAATAATTATTTTAATTCTCTAGAATGGCACGTTCTATTGTTGATCCTATCTATAGGAGTTTAAACAAAGGTAAAGAGAAATCAGACTTAAGATAAATGAAAATATAATAGAAATGTTGGTACTGTTACTGAATTTTCAATGAATAAATGTAAAAGAAAAATTGAATTAATAAATTTTTCAAATAGAAATAGAAGTGAATTAATTAAATTGATAATTCAACATTTAGAAAAATCTTATACACTAATTAAAATTTTCTTTTTATTTAGAAAACAACCTGAAATTGGGTTAATATATTGTATTAGGTTGTTTTTTAATAATTTCTTAAGGAAGAATTAAAAAAATTATAATCATCTAGCCATTGAACTTAGCAATATTAATTGATACCAATGCAATAAATCTTATAATCAATACAAGATGCTAATACCATTAACTTATACAGATTTTGAATCATTAAATTAATCTAATATTTAAACAATTCAATGAGATAGAGAAAATAATATTAGGCATAAAATCAAGGATTAAACTTAAATTTAATTAAATTGGAAAAGGCATCCAATTAAGACTATAAAAATCAAAGAAGTAGCCTTTAAATAAATATAATTATCATCAAGTTAAAAGAACTTGAGAAAAAAAATCAACAAGTTCAAAATTTAGTATAATAAGTTTAATAGGATTCGAACACAGTAAACTATTTAAAATCCTCCATTTGATTAGGAATAATAAATGAAAGGGTAGCAGAATGCTAATCCTAAGTGATCTTAATTTTCCAAATTTTTGGAATAATAATAATTAATGAATATAATTTATTAACTTATTTCAATTATAAATAAGGTTAGGATTACCTTGAATTAAATAAGAAGAAGAAGTTTTCGAAATTAAATGTATTTTTTTAATAATCACATTATAATATATCCATTTCAAATTTTAATTACAAATGTCTTAATTTGCTATGGAGCAACCTCATCTAATGGTACATAAATAGAATCTTAAACCTCATTTTTTTTCCAAACTAAAATAAATATTTATAGTAATTACCGAATCTTAATTTTTATTATTCTGACCATTATCTAAGACCACTCAAAATTGTTTCTTATGTTGAAATATCATTAGGGAATGAGATTTTGACATTGGATTACTCTTACATATTATGGATTCTAAGTAAATATTCATTATTCTCCTCTCTTGGTATCAAGTAAAGTTTGATAATAGCATCTCCATTTGGATTAACAACTTAAATTTAGTTCAATAGAGATTAGGTTGGTTGTATTTCTAGATTTTCAGTGAATGATTCTTAAGAATCAATTGCAAAAACCTTAATTGGTTGAAAATCTAAATATAATTAAGCTTTTCTTGCTAGATTTGGATTCTTCTCTTGATCAAAGAATAATAATTTATGAATAATGTTTTATCTAAGTCCAACCACTTTGGAACAGTTTTATTACGCTGAATTTTTACATTATGGATTATCTTCTTCTTCATTTAATGCTTCAGCAACTCCCCTTCTGTCATCTGAATACATTCTTCTATGAATCATAATTTCAATTTCTCCATCGTTGAAACTGGATCCACCTTAAGATCTGTCATTAACTACTGCCATAACATTATGACTGGCATGATCCTTAATTTAAATGATACCATTTATGGGATAATAGTTTTCAGCAACAAATTCATTACTTTGAAGACTCCAAGTTTCCCGAAACCCTATTTTTCTTTATTATAAATCCATTCCATTTGAATCAGTGTAGAATACTTTTTGATTTTTAATGTCTTCGCTCTTAAAGATGACGATAACTTCCTTTCCTTTATTTTATTCTTTGGCAATAGAATCTACAAAAGTTTCCACTTCATATTGATTGTCCTATATCTTATATTTCCTTATCCATGTATTAACATTAGATCGTTCAATATTCAACTCAGTCACAACAGTTCCATTAAATACTCTAACTTCTTAGATGGATCCATAAACTTAGGCTCCTCCTGAAGGTCTAAAAATGTAAGCACCACTTGGTTACACATTATCAGTAGAAGCAACATAGTATTTGTATTGCAACTAAAACTCAGGTCCATTATCAAGTGATATTTTAGTATTAGCAGTGATGTTTGTAAAAGTTTCTGAAGCAATTATCTTTGCAGATGATTCTTCATTATTCTTACCTTATTTGATTTTGTAGTATTGAACTCCTTTTTTGATTTTGTAATTGAAATAGAGTGTGCAATCTTACTCATCTTTTGGATTACTACAGATAACATCTCCTTGAATTGGTTTGTTTTGAGTATCAATTATATTAAGTGGTATTTTAGGTACCTTAATTTTGATGATATCTTAATCACCTTCATTCACTTTAGTGTCTACAACTGTCAATAGAATAGTTTTATTGATCTATAGATTATCATAGACTTCAGCACATTCTGATGATGTGGAATTGTATGAATATTAATAGAGTTAATCAATGTTTTTCTCATCCAAATCCTTTTAAATCACAATCTTCAACAATCTATGGAATTCTTTGTTCATTGTGGTCAAATCTCTATGTAGAATCTTAACGTAATCTTTTGTCACGTGATCCTTTGATGTGCCTGTAACAGCATCATGATGTTAAGATACTCCTAACGCATAGCCTAATTCTTTTAATGCTTTTAAGAGTGGTTGTTTGAGATCTAAGATGTCTTAATTTTTTGTAGCAAATTAATATGAAACAAAGGTTTTCAGTTGTTAGAAATATCTTCCAGTGTATCTCACAAAACCTTTAAATGCCACTTTGCTTGTGAAATACCCTGTCCAATAACAGTGTTATTTGTCAGCATAAGGGAAAAAGTCATCATTTTTGGTTGGATAGAAGATTTCATCAGAATATTCATTGATTTCTTTGACATAATCTTATGGAGTTCCAAATTTAATTACAACATTGTACTTTTCTGGATGAGAGTTTATGTAATTAATCACCTTCTCCATATTTTCAAAATAGGATTTCGAATTAGACCATTCATTGTCATCTCCTAGAGTATGAGTTATGATTTAGCCTCTGTAAGATTAACCTTGCCTTACGAAATATTGATTTAGATCATCAGCCTTTGATTAAACATTTTGATCATTCACATAACCTCCTGAATTTCGTAATGGATCGAAATCAAAACGAGGAGGACTTGAGTAATGAAAATAATTGACATGTATTAAGATTGGATAATTTTATTTGCTTGTTGTGTAAGGGACGTGAATCATTTCTAATTCTTTATGTTTCTACCGTTATTCTTTATCTTAATAATCAATTCTCGCATAAAAAGATGCTTCCATACCAAATAGATGCGATAATATGCTCTATGCATTTGAATGTCCAAATGGATCAATTTGCCATCCCACTTTTGGAATAAAATTAAATGTTTTGAATAAAAATTCATGTCCATATGTAATTTAATCTATAATGTCTTCATAATATGGTGTGGCTTCATCATTCATCACCAATCCTCCTGCAGCAAAACTCAATTAACCATTCTCAACTAGGCCTTTTACTTTCTATTACATCAAAACATTTTGCTCATTCCACCATCTCTCAAAGTATACAATTTCCACCTAAACAAATTTCCTATCTTTATTTTCCAGCAATGCATTAATATATGAAGAAATAATGTTTTTAACACCAGGTCCTCTTAAATATATTTCATCAACAGTATCTAACCAACCTACATCATCATGTGAGTGAGGTAATATTATTACTTTTAGTTTTTAACTACTCAATTTATTAGTTAGTCCAAAAAATCTAGAGTAGGATTGCTGAAGCAGAATCAACATTAAAAAACACCAAAAATTCATGGTCACAAGATTTTTATTTAATTTTTATAATATAAAATAACTCAAAGTGATAAGAGTATTTTCTAAATATAAGGAAAGCTTATATCCTTTAGAATTGTTTTAGCATCTTCATTGTAATTTATAACATTTAAAATATTGAATCAAATATTATTTATTCTTAAAATAACTAATCTTAACATGTTGGTATTTTTAAAATTTGAGTTTCTTTCTTTGTCATTCTCATCATGTATTATTATTCAATCTTTTTAATGTTATTTTATAAATCATCTTTTTGTTGAAGAGATTCCTTGATAAATCCTCTCAATAAGTATTCAAATAAATATGGAATGACTCAATAAATGTAAGTTTATGTTGATCGATTTCACCCAAACTTATTTTATAATCTAATTGTTTTTGTTTAAGAAGAATAGATGGCAATTATTCAGAATACAGAAATTGTAATGTAGCATTAACTTATATAAAAAGCAAAAGAAATTCTAAAATTTTTATCAATCTTTGATTCTAATCTCAATTTAATTTGGGTCTTCATCTGTATAAAAAAAAGAGCTTGAATTTGTCTATCCTTACTTTTTATTTAATAATCATGAATTTGACAATTCTCATTAATATTCTTAAATTCTATTTGATTTCCTCCATATTTTTCAAAATAGCTTAAGGTAGAGGAGAGTATTGGAAAGGTTGCTAAATAAACAATGTTTAAATTTCAACTCCTCCTTTATTACAAATTTTTTGAAGACGATCCAATATACAAAGTCTTGTTTAATGAATCTAAAGATAAAATTTCTTGTTTTATGATGTTTTTAAATTATTTTATTAGTGTGTAAAACTGATAAAATAATATCATATGTCAGATTTAAGAGGATAATCATTTAATAAAGAGTAAATTATAGCATCCTTAACTATTATACAAAAATCAACTCTATTTGACATCTTCATTTTTAATTTATCTGCTCTATATATTTATTCTCAACCTTAAAATATGCTTTAATTATCATTTTCTGCTGGTTGATGGTGGAACTTAATGCGAATTCGCTTGCATGTTAAAAATGAATACTTAATTGAAAAAACAATTAATTTTTTCATATTTATATATACGTTAAACATGCTATCATCATCTAAACTATTTAATAGTCAATCTCAATTAGAATGTAATATCCATATAAATTGTTTGCTTAGAGTGCTTGTTGGATATCTCAACGAAGATTTTACATGACTAAGCTATTGAATCGAATAGGGACTCCAAGAGCATAGTGTTTAATAGAATCAAAGAAATCACTCTTGAAGCCTTCTCCAAATAGTTTACAGATGAGATTCATCGTTTATAAGCAGAATTAAGATAAGAATAGGCACTGAATGATTAGATAAAACGAGAATTTTTGGAAAGGGAAGAGACCATAATATAAGAGTTTGATTCTAAGCAAAGAGAATTTCAATTATAACAAATTAGAGAAATTTAGGAACTTTAGGATTTGCTAGAAGCTTCAGAAACATAACTTCAAGTAAATTTAAATTTCAAAATTAGAAATATTAACAATAAAATGATAAGTTCAATAAGCAAATAAAGGAATTACAATCCAAAGAACAATAATTATTGAAAGAGAATTTACTTACCAAAGAAAATTTGTAATAATGTGACTAACGATATAAACAATTAAACTCCGATATAAATGATATGAGATCAAGAAATGACTCTCTTAACCAATAAAATCAATAGTTAGATAGATAAAATAGAGACTTTAAAAATGAATGTGAACGTGCATTAAAAGAATTGACTGAATTGAAAAGAAAGTCATAACAGTAAATGGATCTCAATATTTAATTGGATTAGGAAATAGAATTATATAAGAATGAAATTGAGAAACTTAAGACAAAAAAACATCAAGAATTATCTAAGTAAAAAGAACTACTTGATTAATTAAAAGAAAAAAGTAATAACAAAATTAATGAATTGAAAAATAGATTAAAAGAGGCTTAAAATATTTAGTAATATTAATAAGAATAATTGGATGAATTTTAGGAACTAATCAGAGAATCTGAAAATCAATTAAATTAATTATAAACTAATCATAAATAAAATCTCAAATAGATGGAATAATAATATACAAAATAATTTTAAGATTTGGAACAATAATTCTTAGTTGAAAAGTTAAATCTAGAGGAAAATCTAACCATTTCCTTTGAATAAGTTGTAATAGATAAAGATAAATAAATCTAAGACCTTATTAAGGAAGTCAAAATATTAAAAGATAAATTATATCAATAAAATTTGGAACAGGAGAAAATGTAAAGGTAATAATAAAATCTTGAATAAGAAATTAATTAATTAAATGATGAATTAAATTAGTAAACTTAGGACTAGTAGGAATTAGAGAATAAAAATAGAAATCTAGAATTGGATATCACAAAAAAAGATTAAAAATTAAAAGCCTTATTGGCAGAATTGGATGATATTAAAATATTTTAAGAATAAACATTAAACACGATAAGAGAAAACTAAGATTATATAGCTGAAATTGATAAGGAGAACTAATAATATTAATAATTTTTATAACATGTCTAACATCTATTAGACATTTAAATTTAGGGATCATTCTCATTATAAAGATTAGGATAAGAAATAGAATAAAAATTGAGATAACATAAGGATGATATTAAACGATGTTTGGATGAAATTAAGAAGAAAGAAGAATTACATAATATAGAATTATAAGAAAAAGATTAAAAATTAATGCTATTGCAAAATAATTTTAATGAAGAAAATAACAAAATATAATCTTAATTATAAGAATAATAATCTGAGAATAGAAAATAAAGAAATGAATTTAAATTGAAATTTGAAGAGCAGAATAAAATTATTATTGAATTGTAAAAAGATCAAATTGAAAGTAATAATTAAATAGAGTTCTTACAAATTTAAAATCAATAAATTATTTAAGATTTAGAATCAAATAATGACTAATTAGAATGTGCCAAATAGGAGATTTAAGATATGATCAAGAAAGATAAAATGTAGAGTGATGAAATAGGAAAACAAATCAGTATTTTAAATCATGAAAAAAATCAATTATAAGTTTAGCTTGAAGAATATAAATTTAAATAAAAAACTCTAAAATAGAGAATAATTAGAACTGTAAGTAGATAAAAGGAATTGACAACCATCTAACTAATAGAATTAAAGAATACACTCATAAATAAATATAAGTAATTAGAAAGTGATTGTAAATTAATAATGCAAAATCTTTATAAAAAATAATTGATGATAACAGAAAATAAATTGTAGATGATAGAAAATGATAAATAATTTGAAATTGAGTAATTGAACTTAGAAATGGAAAAAAAATTAGATAATTTAAAGAAACAATTTAAGCAATCAGAATAATTAATTTATGAAGAAGGCTAAATTAAATTAAAATAAAAATAATAGTAAATAGAATAATTGATAATGTCTAAAGCTAATGATAACGAATTTAAAACTCAAATTTCATTACTTAATAAAGAAAATGAAGAGTTCTAAAAACAGTTGTAATTACAAGAATAACTATTCATTGAATAAAAGTAAAATTATGAACTAGAATTGATGAACTTAAATAAACTTATTAAAGAATAATAAGAAGAATTGTATTTTTATCATAATATTTTAGAATATCTTAGTAGCAGTTCTCTGAATATACAATGAATAAGGAGAGATAATATTTTGAATAGAGATACTAAGAGCTCAAACTTAGATAAGAAAAAAAAGTTGATTCAATTTAATAGGATTACTAATTGTAAATCACTCAACTAGAAAATATCATTTAACAGCCTACCAAAATGAAATCTTAATCTCCAAATAGAAATATATAAAAATCACCCATTTAAAATAGATAAACTACATAATTGAGTAATATTTAATATTATTATTGAGGCAATAAATCTTAAAGCTTTGGAAGCCCTAATATTAATACAGGTATAAAAACACCAAATAAAACAGTGATTTAGATTGATAATACGGATAAAACAATAGAAGATTTAAGATTAGAAATATAATAATAAAAGGAAAAGCTAAGCCGAATGAAGTTGACATTTACTGAGAGCCAAAAAAAGCCATTTAAAAGAAACTGATTACTTTACTTTTTTTGTGATTCTATATAGTTTCATGATAAATATTTATAGCCAAACTAAGAACTAAATTCTATGATAAATTATTCAAATTAATTTATATAATGATTGGTATTGGAAATCATCATAAAATTACTTCATCCTATTCTGTCTTTCTTTATTTCATTTAGAGTAAAATGAAATCGGATCTCTTGTATGATGGTGCTGTTTCAATTTCTCTGAGTTTTAAAGGACCTTTTTTGATCAATAACTGGATATAAGAAACAAAATTACTTATTCTTAATCTTCTGTTTCTTCTAATTGAGGAACTTCTACAGGTTCTTAGTATTCAGGAGGCAATGAGCTTGAGTCTCCTCCAACAATGTGTATATCCTCTTCTGATTCTTCTCTATGTTCAGGAGGTAATGAGCTTGAGTCACCACCCACAATAAGAGGTTCTTCTGGCTCATCTCTGTATTAAGGAGGTAGGGAACTCTCGTCTGCACCTAAAATATGGGGTTCCTCTGGTTCGTCTCTATATTAAGGAGGTAATGAATTCTTATCTCCACCAACTATTATGTGATCATTTCTTTCTTGCTAATTGATAATGTTAAATTATTACTGTCAATGCTTCTTTTTCTTCATCGGTTGTTTTGTTGTCAATTTCTTTATCATATAATTCATATAATTATGCGAAGATAGCTAATTGTTTAAGTAATCTTTGATGTTCATCAACATAATCATTATAAGCTAGTACACCATCATTTTTTGCTACTTCAACAGCTCTTTCAATGTCTTTTACTCTTTCTCTGCATTGTTGAGCACTGTATTCTAAAGCGAGCAATTAGTCACGTAAGTTTTCCTAAGAATGTTAGATAAATTTAATATACTAATTGTTTTCCTAATTCAACAATCTTTTATTCAAAGAATTCATTTTCTTTGAGGATTCTTTACTTCCATTCAAGATAAGCTAATCCAACTCTGATCATATCAGCTTGTGCAACTGGAATATGAGAATTGATATGAGCCTCTAATTCATCCAAAACTGCTAAGATTTCGTTTCTAACTTCTTAGAACTTCTTCATTTCAATTGGACCCATATGTGTTTCAATCATATTAGGATTTTCCTCTCTTTCAATTTCCATTGTTCTTGTCAATTCCAAAAATTCATATTTCTACTCCTTTATGTCTTAAAGGAATGAGAGGATATTTTTCATAGCTTATGATTTTTATGCAAATGAGGTGCCTTCAGATACAATTTTTTCAAGTTATTCCTTAACAAATACTGAGACTGTTAATGAAATTTTGTCATCTCTGATAGTGTCAACAAAGTTCAAAGATTGTCTACATTATAGATCTTCAATAGTTTGAATTCTATTGTTATTGACGTGAATTCTGTGTTCAATCCATGCAATTAAATCAGACATTTCTTAGATTTCTGTTTTTTTATTGATTACATTCTCATCTCTTCTATCACAATCAGCCTCTTGATCAGTCTTTGTTTATCTTAATGCCTAAATGCTTGCTTATTTCATCTTTATCATATTTAATAATCAATACTTTCTATTACAACACCCATTCAGCATCTAAAGCTACGATTTGTTCATGAATTTCCTCCTTCAGTTCAAAAAGTAATTCTTGCACATGCTTAATATCATTATGTGTGAGAACAACACATGCCAACAATGCAAAAAGCACTATTTATTTCATCTATTTAATATAATAAAAAACGGGTAATTAATATTTTATATAGATTTTAATTTGATATCTAGAAGTATTTCCATTTTTATTATACTTCTCATTTGCTTTATAGCATTAATGTCCTGTACATCTAAAACCTAGTTTTATATAAATATTTAAATTAATAATCTTGAATGTCATCAAATATTTAAAATAAGATTATCATATACAATATTATAAAATTAAGTTTTAAACCACAATAATTGATTATCCAATAACCATTATTTAATATAATGAACATCATCTTTAAACTAATCAAGTATCTTCTGGAATGTGTCACCATGCTTTTTGAAAAGAATCGTGCAAGATAAAAGTTTTTAAGAATAATCGAAAAAGAAGAGAACTATGAGAAATGGCAGTAATTAGTGAAGGAACACGATTAATAAGATTATATATAGTAGTGGTTATAAAAGGAGGAATCCAATTTATATCAATACAAATACATTAAGAGTTTGAGTCAAAAGTTGAGAATGGCAAAATAGGAAAAGAATATCCCTCTAATTTGCTAGCTGCTTAGATAAAATGCCAATAGAAATATAGGGAATATTCTCAATCCAAAACTCTATTCTCACGCTTTCACAAAAACAAAGAATTTAATAGAAGAATTTTAAGAAGTAAATTATTCTTAAACTATTCTTAGGAATATGAAAAATGTTTAGAATTTCTTTTTAACTCTGAATTTCCAAATAAAACTCAATTTTTCCAAGAATTACAAAAGGCCATTGGTCAAACTGCATTGTTATTTTCAGGTGGAGCAATCATGGGATTGTATAGTTGTGGAATAGCTAATATTTTGGATAAACAGCATATTTTACCTAAAGTTATGACTGGTAGTTCAGCAGGGGCTATATTAGTCAGTTTAGTAGGAACAGCAACAGATATTCAAACAATTTTTTAACCAAAATATTATGATTACTCCATGTTTGAACAAAAAACCTAATTTGACATTCTAGACAAGTTAAGTAGATTGTTAACAAAAGGTTACATGTTAGAGAAGGAACAAATGAAGTAATTTTTACAGAAAGCTTATGGAGATGTCACATTTTTGGAAGCATATAAGAATACAGGAAGAATTATGAACATTATGGTTACTGGAAAGGATTGTTCATCATCTGATTGCTTGCTTAATTATATTAACTCTCCTAATGTAATAGTGTGGTCAGCAGTTTGTTGTTCTTGCTCTCTACCTGGAGTTTATGGAGCCTCTCATTTATACTATAAAAATGAAGAAGGGGAAATCTTTGAAGGTGAAATCAAATATGTAGATGGATCAATAAGTGCAGATCTGCCTATGTAATAATTGGCTGAACAATTTAACATCAATTATACAATTGTATCACAAACTAATCCTTGGGTTTTCCCCTTTCTTACATCTCATCGAAGTGACCATACTATTATTCATAAGATTACTGATAAATTAGTGCAATTTATTTTAGGGGAAATTAAATACCGAATTCAGTAAATTATGAGTATAGGATTTCTGCCTAAAATGGTGTGTAGAATGTCTAATTTATTGATACAAAAGTACGAAGGAAATATTACTATCTGGCCTAAATTCTTATGGTTGGATTATTCAAAACTTCTAGATAATCCCGATGAATATACTGTATAGAGAATGAAAGTAGAAGGTCAAAGGAGAACTTATGAAAGTACTTTTTTAGTTTTATTATAGAATTACACTTTATACATGCAGCTACTCGATTGGAGCGATGCTTATCAAAATACTTAAATTGATTAATTTATTCTTATAATTTGTAATTGTTAATTTTAATAACTTATTTTAATGTCATTAGGAGTTGATTTTGGGTAATACTAATTTGATAGAAGACTTAAAGAATTACAAGATAGAGTCTTTACCTTAAATCATAGAGCACCGCAAGGTTATAATTTTTAAGGTATGCCGCCAAGGGAACCTCAACACTTAAATAATTAAATATTCTATAATCCTTCTGGTTACCCTCTATAATAACCATAAACATTTGTACCTTATATGCAGAACTTTAATCCATACTAGCAATAATACATGCTGGATGAAAAGAGCTTATAAAAGAAAAAGGAAGAAAAAGAAGAAAAAGAAAGAAAAAAAAATGAGTAGAGATAACTAGAATTAAAACAATTAGAAGAGCAATTAATAAAAAAATAAGAGCTAATGATATCGAACATGAAGAAGGATATTTTAGATTATATAGATCCTTATATCTATGGATAGTATCATAATTACTATAATTACTCTCAATAGTAATAAAATTACTTACAGTAATAAAATTAAAACTTGCCCATTCAACATCAGAATCAAGTTCCCATATATTCTCAGAGTCCTCCCCCAATAAATTTTTAAGCGTCTTAATACATGTAATAATATTAAAATCCATACGTTGCGTAAAATTTCAATGGAGTACCTTAGCAAATTAACAACTCTTAGTTCTCCAAAATTGGACAGTAGTCAATGTAGAAGATTGATAATTTATTAACAGAAATCTGAATCATATTGATTTATTTACTGAATTTATAATGTTAGCAATAAAGATTAATATAGATCATTATAAAAAAATAGTACTTTCATTAGGAATAAGTCGCTTATATTCCTTTATTTTCTTGATTTTAATTGATGATGAAGATGTATCCATAATCAATGATTATGTTTTTCCAACTATTGTAGTTTCACTGCTCTTCTTTTTTTTGATCTTTTTATTTATCCTATTCTTGTTCTAACATAAACCTTTTGGAGTAAGTGTCTCTTCATTTTCTGATTGCAATTTTTAAATATTTATGAAATCTAATGGAATATTTTAAATTAGTTTTCTTTTGTTTTCAACTAACATCTCAAAGATTGATTATTAATACATGGTATCTAAGTTACCTCCAATCTCCAAAAAGGTTCTCTTTAATTTGTAAATAGAATCAGTTCTTTAGCATCTAATACATGTGCATAATCCCTTAAATAGCATAAATTGCATACCTTGCATAAAGGACAAATCCAGTTGGGCTCAGAAATATCATATTAATCAAATTCATACTTCAAGCATTTAAAACAAAAATATTTTTAACACTGGATTTAATTATCTTATAATAAATATTTGTATTTACTTTCTATAATATAATTAGCAGAATAAAGATCTATGTAGAATTATTGCATTTATTTTTATGTAATTGCATATCTCTATTAGATCAGTATTTCCTCATTGTATTAATGTAAATTCATATTTACATGATTGTATTTACATTATTATAAATTGGTTATTTCTATCATTTATCTACAACTATGACACATTTCAGTTTGAATCGAAACCATAGTTTATGCCTCTTCTTATATTTCCTATTACTAAACGCTTAACTCTAATTGCACTTCTCGAAGTCTTTAGAAATTTTGAAATTAATCCAGTTTTAAATCTATTGGAGTTCTGCTTAAAAATGAATCGAAAGTAACAGTCACAAGGTTTGCTATTGATTTGTATAAATTTTTACTTTCTGGATTATAAATGGCCTTTCCCATTGACTCAGCTGCTTAATAATCTTAATAATGTATGATCAATTTTTCTAGATTCTCTAATTCATTCTATTGATGTTGAACTCGGTTTCTTGAAATTCTTAATGTAAATTAACTTATTTGTTTAATTGTATATTCATATAGTAGTTATTTATTGATTTCTTCCAAATGTCCTGCAAGACTAAAACTTAAGAAAAAACTTACTTATTAAGTTATTTGATATTCTTGTCTTAAACTCTGATCAAATCATCTTCCAATTCCATTATCACTTATTCCAATTGATCAGGCCAATCTATCTATTGCTGTATACATTATAATATTTGCGCTTCTTATTATAAAATCTCCATTTATTTTTCTAAAGGTAATTAATGCATATTTTTGAGCAACGCCTTATTTGATACCAAGCCGTCTCTTAATTCTTACTCGCAAATCTTATCAATCATATCATCAATTAATTCTTGAATTGGCTCGAATGATTTTTCTCTTTACATTAACATTAAACTTAAATGCATCCTCAAGTTATTGTCATTTAACTTTTGAACCTGGGATCTATTTTTTTTCGAAGGTTTCAATATTTTTTCTATCAATCCTTAAGTTTATATACTTACAAGATGAGAAGCTAAAACTAACATTAACACCTACATTTTTTGTATAATTTTTTTTAAACACTCAACGAGATTGGTGTTTCTACCATAAAATATTATTGATTCACTTATCTCCAAAAATCTGACGTAAAAAGAGATTCAACACTTTTATCCATTTTTAATATTAATTTTTACAATTAATAAAATGCCCTCATAAAATCTGTAAAACCAGCCTAATTTATAATAAAAATTCAATTATTCACAGAATAAACGTATTATAATATGATTAGGCTTCCATTTATTTCCAATCTAATGATATAGAAAAGTAAAAATTATAATTATCAAATTTTCTTATTTACTGTTTAAGAAGTACTGGATGATAAATTAAGAAATCTTTAAATAACGAGTATTCTTTCCCAAATAATATGCTAGATAAAATCTAAAAGCGATTACAAGCAATATCAATAGCAAATGATGGAAAAATGATATTGTATTATTTTTATTGTACAATCCAATATTTTAAGCGATTAATTTAATAGGATGAGATAATTTCTATAACTTTGGCTTCTTTAGTAATATATTTTTAAAAGAATAATCAAAATTAGGTATTTTAGTACAATTTTTCCTTAAAAACATATAAGGTTATGAAAACCTTCGTCAAAATTAAGAATATTAATAGATGAAAAAGAAAAATATGTCTGGTTCAATTTTTCTATATCGTTCTTTTCAAATAAAACTAATCTATTATCTCTACGAATAGTTAGAGCTACATAATTTCAAAATTATTAAATGTTATATTTTAAAATTGTTGGTTTAAATTATTGTTATATCTATACACATTAGTATATGATTTTTATTTATTAAACATTTTCTATTTAATCATTAGTTCAATTGTAATATTTTTATTGTTTTCTATTAAAAATTTATCTGTTAAACATGAATTAATCAGCCCCTAAAAGATCATCAAGTTTTGGCAAATCATTCAACTTTCCGTCAGAAACCTCTTAAAAAGAATCAAATACATCTATCTACTTAACTGAAACAAAGACCAAAAAGGTTGACAGATCAATTAATGTACCTTTAAATAGTTGGAGAGAGATGTCTTTAGTTGAATTGCTTAATGAAGCAATAGAATTGTTATAAGAAAACAAATCTAATATTATTGACTAATAAAAAGTGTAATTAGCATTAATATCTAGTTTAAGAGATTGATTACACAATATGAAAATTTTTAACAAACGAACGAAAAAAAGCAGATTCTCTTCTAAAGAAGGTCAAAAATCATTAAAAGTAACATAGAAAATATCATATCATCATAAAACGACTTTTAAAACTACTTATAAGGAGTAAAGAAATTATGACATAAATAATTATTTTTATGAGCAAACTTTGAATATTTAGTGATAAGAAATTATTTTCATCCCCTAATATATAGAGCATGATTCTTTTTTATACTATCATTTCTTCGAAACTCATTTCATAGATTAATTTAGGATGAGTATAAATTCATCTAAGGAATAATATGATAAAATTAATCATTTATAAGCAAAAAGTATATTTTTTTGTTTCAAAACTCCCCTATATGATAGCTTTTGTTTAATATTTTCATAAATATTATTCAAATCAAACTACAGTTTCATCCTTCTAAAAACTGAAAAGATTTACAACCTAGATCACTTGAACCCTTTTGGCGAAATTTATTGTGTAAAAGTTCTTCCTTTCTCGAGGATGTGTGGAACAAATCTCTTGCAAAGAATCCTCTGATAGAAAATCATAATCGATGTCTTCATCATAACTTTGATCTTTCAATCTTTTTATAGGTTCAAATTATTAGACGATGGAAAAATTGAATTTGATGAATTCCAATATACAAGTTTTAATTGTTTCTTCATTTATTGGTTGATCAAGTGGAAATTCTTCATAAATTGGTTTAAGTTCTTATGCTTTAAGATCATTTTATAATTTTCTCTCTTTAATCTATCTCCCTAACTCTCTTTACTTATTTTTAATCTATTCTTATCTTTGATATTATTCTTTTAATGCTTCTGAATCATAAAATTTAATTATATTTCCATTATTGGTCTTTGGAAATTCAGACACTTTGGATATTTTCAACTTCTTAACTTCATCAACCAAACTTTCTATGCATCTCTGAGTATAATTTTTCTCGTGAATTTCTTTCATTTAATAATAGTTATATTTGGGGATTTCGAATGGCTCCTAAAAGACTAAATATTTGATGAATAATTTACATTTTTTGATTGGTTAATCTAGCAAGAGACCCTTTTTATTGCAATATTTGACATAATCGTAAATATCATTATAATGATGAATCTCTAAGTATTCTAATAATTTTGGATGAGGAACACATTTCCAAAATATAGGATCGTTTTCTATTTATTCTAAATAAACTTCTTTTAATGAGACTTGCTTTCCTCTTGTTTTAAAGCTACTTCTAAATTGAGATATATATTAGAAATCTTCTTCCCAAGAATCTTCATCATTTTGTATAGGGTTTTTTCTAACCTTTTTTGATGTTCGAGGTTCTGATTCTTATTCCATCTCCTAAAAATCCAAAAATGAGTTCGACTCATTAGTTTAAATCATTATTTAATAAGAAAACCTTTTCCCAACTAATCATTTAATGAAAATCCTTATTATTTTTTGTAATAATATTTATTTGATTTAGGAGAGACATTTTAAGAAATAAATGCATAAATAAATACATATCTATTTTATAAGTTTGATTAACATAAATGTAATTAATTTTGAAATGAAATTAAGTTCAAAATTAATAATTTTAAAGATCTAAATGTATCATTTCTTATATCAAAATTCTAAAGATATGACATATTTAATAATAGCTGACCAACTTGTAATCGGATATTGAAGAATAAATTAAAATTTTAAATTCTCATTAATGATCTTTAAAACTTCTATATCTATATTTATCAATTAGGTGAATTCAAATAAAAGAATCCTAATTTCTCTAATATTCAAAATCAATAAGCAATTGTTTAATACATAATTATCTACCATTTGTAAGCATTCATAGAACTACTACTCATAAAAATGAAAATAAAATCTACGCAAGAATTTTTACAATTCAAAGAAATTGAGAATAATTATAATTTGAATATATTTTATTATGAATTATATGTTGTTTCATTATACCATATCAAAATCATCTTCATTATTATTTTGGTGTTTCCATAATTGATCCCAGATATCATCCTGTCTCTGCAACTTAAGATTATTGAATTAATCTATAAGGCAATTATCCTATTGAACTTAATTATTGTTAATTGGCATCTCAATTGCCATGTTATTTGGATTTTTCAATCCCCAGTTAGGATCTCCTTACAGATACTGGATTTCTGTATTGTTCTGCTCTAATTAGATGGGAACATCGGGTTCTTTTTTGTCAGGACAAGTGATTATGTGTTGTTCCATGTCCTAGATTAGATTATTAAATACTTCTCCTCTAAATATATGCAGGAAATTGTAGGGACAGTGTCTATACATGTGCTTGTTCATTTTACGCTATTGGCACTCCCTTGAAATGTGGAAGATGAGCCTGTTGGGAGCCATTTTGTGCAAATTATTGAAGGGACAACAAACTTGTTACTATTATTACATAGAGTAGGCTAAAATATAATCACCCACTTTATAATGAAATATTAATGGGATTTTATAATTAATAATTATTTTTTAAAACGGATAAAATGAGAACAAAACATCTAGTTTTAATAGGTGTTATTATAATGCAAGGTATGAGATCTTTAAAAACTGTTTAGTTTGCTTTGTGTAAGCATTGCACTATGATTTGACAACACTTCTGGATTAACAAAATGAAGTTGACTGCGAGAATACGGATTTAGTATAAATGCTTGAAGACTTTGATTAATGGAGTGAAATCATAGAATTATTATAAGGAGGGCAATTAGATGCAGAAATGAAGTAACTGCAAGAACTTTCTGATTTCACAAATGAAATGATATCAGGTAATTATTTATCTTAAAAAGTTAGCAAATCCAAATGATTTGATGGAAGATCAACAATACGATGAATAATTAGGATAATTGGACGAGTAATTATAAACAATCCAAAATTAATACAATGGTCCTCAAAGAAAATTCTTATTTGAATAAAGCAGACAAATTTCAGACTAAATCAGAAGAGTTATTGAATCAAGTATTATATCATATTAATGATCGAATAGGATCCTTCGAATAAAAGAGATCATAATTGGCTATGTTATATGGATTGATTGAATATCTCCTTAAACAAATTTCTAGAGTCCAAAACCAATATTAATAAACCACATAACCTCAACCAAGAGCCCAACCCTAATAAGTTCAAGCATAACCACAATAGAGAATAAAAGAGTAGAAAGAAAGATTTATTATCTAAAAAGATAAATGTGGTGACAGATATCAATAAAGAAAAGTGTCTAAACAAAGAGTAGTCCCAGGAAATTATAGATAAAATGCTCATCCAGTACCTGAAGAAGCAGGTTGTGACATTCCTTTCCCACAATAAAGATAACCAAAATGCGTTGTTGGATCAGATATCATATTAACAAGTTCTATCTCTGCTGATTAACCAACAGTTGAAACAGAAGTTAAAAAATTGAAGGACGTTAATGAATATGGTTTTGGTTTTTGGATGAGATTCTTAACATTGTATCCAGAATAATTGTAAACTGGTTTAACTGACTAATCTTACTTTGTTGCTAAATTGACAAAGAATTAATAGGATGGAGATGATAAGATTGGTGATAGATTGTTGACCATATTCTAAACTCAAGAATAATACATCTTCAGTGCTTAACATGACAAACCTGAAAGAAAAGAAGCCACTGCTGCCATAGTTTTTGGAGATATTGAAGCCGTTTGGACATATGTTTATTACAGTTACTCAGCCTTTGAATAATAAGCTATCGGTTTCTATAAACAATCAAACAGTCAATTAGTTAAATAAGTGACATTACCAGCATCTTAAGGAACTCCTTAATATTTGAGATTTGTTTTGGGAGGTCAATATTTCAATTTCCCAGGATTCAATGGTCAAGTAAGCAGACCAGTCTTAGCAATTGGTTTTGGAACATATTTAATCAATGAATAAGAATTCTTGTAATATGCTATTTCATGCAATCCTCAACCATATGTTGCACCATAAAAATTGATTCCATATTAATTTGTAAGAGATTCCAAATATGTTGATATTGAAGATAATAATGCACCACCTACCTAAGAATTTATTGATTTATTGTTACCAGATGAATATGCAGTTTAAGGTTGGTTCAAATGGGAAGAAACAGATTTGTAAGAGAACTGGCACACTATGTTCAGATTATCAAATACACCCATAAGAAAATAATAAATCTTATTAGGTGAAAGAGTCTTGTCTGCTTGGTTAGGTAAACCAAAAGGAGGTTAAATCCATTTCTCAACATATTCATATGCTAATATGAAAAGGATCTGGTAATCCCAATGCTCATCAATATGTCCAACATTAAGATCAACATTTACACTGGCATTTTGTTTACTTTGGATACAGCAGAGATTAAAGAAAGGCATATGCTTAAGTCTTATTCAAACATGTTCATGCCAAATCTTTGAGTTTCGTCAATGTCAATCACTTTGTGTCACCAAAGCATTATTTCTACTTTGGAAGAGAAAGACAATTCCCAGTCTACAGTGGATTCATGGCCTACCTTGAAGTATTCTTCTGCAAAGGATCTTACTTAACAAATGTCAAGCCAGCTTTGAGACCAGTTCCAACACCACCTCCCCCCAAAAAGAGATGTGTTGAAGGACCAAACAGAATCATCAATGCTAAATATGATAAAGGTCCAGTTGTTCATGTCGAATTACACAAAGATGATTTGAAAGACACTACTTAATATGGTTATGGATTCTGGTTCAGATATACCGGTTTGGCTGGTGGATAATATGAAGGCGGAAGACCAGATTGGTCATTGATTGCCAGACTTACAAACAAGAAGGAAACACCAAAAGATATTAGAGATGGTTTATTAACTATTTTCTAAGGAAAAGTTGGTTTCTTCTACATCACAGCTAATAATAAGGCTAAGAAATTAGTTGAATTAGCTTAACCATTTGGAGATATTGAAGGAGTTTGGATTTACACCTATTTCAGTTACACTAGATATAAGGCTATTGCATTCTATTAAATTGAAAATTAAGCTCCAATCACCTTAGAAGCCAAGGTTACACATCCAAGAATGGAATAATTGTTATTCTAAGTTGGTGGAAAAGATCCATAAAATAGATACTATTCATTCAATGGTTAATTCCATAGACCAGTCTTAAGATTAGGATCAGGATCATTCTTTGATACATTAGAAGAATACAATCCATTCTGTTTAAGTTGCAATCCTCAACCATAAAAGGATTGTTCAAGTAAAGGTTTGATTAGAGCAGTCTCAGCCAAGGCTTCATAATTCAATGGAAATCCAGTTAATTCTGGTGACAGATTTGGAACAACTGAATAATACTCTGTTCAAGGATGGTTCAAATGGAATGGTAAGACATCTGGAAAAGATTAATTATTATTCAGATTGACATCTACTCTTGCTGGTGAAGATGCTCTCAATTTTGATACACTCAGTTGTTACTTCGATACCAGAGATTAGACTCTTAACTTCTACACATATACCTACACTGATTAATTAGGGTACTTAATATATATTAAATATTAGATCTGGAAACCCAGAAGTTAGATAGATTGTTGAAGGAAAGACCTTTGTCAAAGATTGGTTCCATATTTACTTTGCTTATTCTAGAAAGAGTAGATAAGCTGATGTCATTGTTGAACACTCATAAGGAAAGGGAGCTTTATCATTCAAGAATGTCAATCATTATGTTGCTCCATCACTTATTCTTTACTATGGAAAAGATCAATTGACAGATGCTTTCTAAGGATTCATTCAAGGATTGAATTTGTTCGCTGTGTGACATTACTTATTAACCAACTCCTAAACCAGTCGAAGATTGCACACCAATGAAAGAGTATTAAATTCTGTTATTTCAATAGTCCAATCTGTTTAGCTGGCGATTAATATGAAAATGTTTCATTGACTAATATTGACAACGTTGTTCAAGAATTAGAGAAAAGAAAGTAATTGATGTAAGATAAATAATTTGTTTTGCCAACTACTTAATGCTTCTGTTTCCCATAATAAGGAAAGAAAGTCATTCCACAAAGATAAGAAGGTTTCCTTGAAATTTATGATGATGATGAAGAACCTTAATAATAAGATGCAGTTGAAATATGAGTGTGTCATTGATATCATAATAAAATCATTATCAATCAAAAACTATTAATGAAATTTATTCGTTCTTTTATTCTTAATTACAAGCATAATTCTTCTCCTCTTAAATTTATTATTGTAATTAATTTTACGAAGACCTCTCTTCATAAATAATTTACTATAAATTATCATTTTTCTAAACTAACCCAAAATCTTCATTATCTTCCTACTGCTTATTAACATCCACTTCCTAAATGCAATTATTATAAACTTCATCATCTTATTATCTATTTTTTAAAACTTAGCCATTAATTAGTTGTTCTTAAGGAAGATCATTTTAAAATTGATATTATTGTTAAAAATCATTTTCAGCTTCTTTATAAACATCATTTTAGATAAATTAATTCATTAATACATCCTCTTATTCATAATCATTTTATTATAATTAACTAAACTATATTTGTTAATTTTTTTATTTCTTTAATTATCTAAATGACAATTATTATTATTACTATTATTATTATTATTACTAAGATAATTAAGATTTGTTTAATTCTTATGATTATATCTAAGGAAATTCATCCAAATATTTATTTTATTAAATACCAATATTATTTTATTTAATGTTATCATCTTTATCATTATTAATAATCTACTAAAAAAAATCGGAACTTTCCTTAAAATATTCAGGAATAGTAGGAAGTGCTTTATCAGTCCCCTAATTAAATTATTATGGTTGCTTCGAAACAAATTGCCTATCTGTATTTGTTAATTACTACTAAGAATTATAATGAGACTATTCATCATAATTTTAATAATCAAATGAATATTAATACTATTATTATTTTGAGGATGAAATTTATGGAAACTCTTGAGAAACATCGCTATCATCAGATTGTTATTATTATTAGTCGTTTTACTTTTCTTAAGAATGCTAAAAACTACTAATAATCCCTCTTTCCTATTTTAAATCATAACTACTCATTCTTTAATTTGATGAATAGCGCTATTTATCATCCTCACTAAATTGCATAGCCTTTAAGTTATCTTCCTCACTAAATTACTTGATTTTATCATGAAACGAATTTTAATTTTAATTGTTATCACGATCACTTAAATTTTCTTCATTTGAATAGCAGATTTCATTATTATAAAGACCTTCAACAACTTAATTATTTCTTTGAAAATCATCGATGTCATTAAACAATTTTAATTTTTACATTTAATCTTAATGAACCTTAGATTTTAATTATTCCATTATTGTACTTTATTTTATAGCTTACTAGTCCTTTTTCTCCTTAATAGCTTCTAAATATTTCTATTACTCTTCTTAAAATTATCGTAATTATAAATCTTACTTTACTTTATCTTTAATTTCTAATGTTAAATAATTATCAATGTCAATTCTGCACAATGGACATTATTTTACTTTTTAACTCATTAGTATATGATCAGCACATATTGAACAAGTGCACATATGTTTGCATGGTAATAGGACAGTGTTTATGATGTTACAAAAGCATATTACACATTCTTTATCCTCAATAGTATTTGGATTCCATTCTGGATTAAAGGGAGTGTTTTTAACCCCATACAATTCGTGAATTTCATACATACGATTTTTGTAAACGATAATTTGTTTAGTGTTTATTAATTCACATCTAAAAGTCTATTCATTACAATCTATCCTGTAAAAGTATATTATCTAAAAGCTTTTAGATGTAAGACTTTTCTGTCTATATAAATATATTTGTTTACCATCTCAATTATAAGAGTGTGATGTGAAACTTCAGGAGTAGCCTTTATTCTGTTAAATTTTAGCAAATCTGTAATCATAAATTCAACGAATCTAGAAGGAAATTGATGGTTCAAACCTTAGGGACATTTGAACTTCTAAATTATGCTCTCTTACATGGTTCTCTCAAATCTAAATAGTATTATTATTAACTAAACCTCTGTGATTTAGACCCCTTGATCTCTGTTATATAGGTGTAGAAGGATAATGAACAATTTACCTAACTACTATATGTTAAATCCACTTAAATTTTATCGACTGAATCATAGATTAACTCGACTTCGATTATTTACATATTCAATTTTATAATTTCCACATTCCCAATTTTAGATTGCTTAATCAGAATATTTGGAGATTCTTAGACTTAACTCTGTATAACTAGAAATTTTATTATTGTCTTTTACTTTCATCCAAATTTCTCTAAATTACTTCTTAATTCTTGACAAAATTTCCCATAATAAATTTTATGTAATAAACAAATTATACTCTAAATGAATTCATGCTCCAAGGATAATCTATACAGGAATAGGATCCAAATAAATGTATTCTTAAAGAATCTGCTGAATTTTAATAATTCAACCCTTTAGGATTTTCATTATTTTTAGAAGCTAATTGTTAGTAAGAAGTAATTGCCAAATAATTATTTGCTCAAATTTTGAAAATGATCGAAGATAAATTGTTAGAATTAGAATAAAGATTAGACAATAGAGAAGAAATCAAATGGATAAATACTCAATTAATCCAATTCAAACCGCCAGACTAATATTCTACCTAAAAATAAAATGATGATACACAATCCGATTAAATCAAATAAAGTATAAAAGTTGTTTATCTAGGAAAATTCAGTCAATAATCTGACATAGACATTTATTCTCCTGAAGCAGTGCATCAGTAAGATGTATAATTGATAAAATCACAAAAACCTCTAAGATCTCGCTCTTAAGTGGGTAGAGCTAATACTGAATTAATGAGAACTGAATCTAAGACTAAAATGAATGAAGAAGGAATATTGCAGAAAATTGAATAATTTGATAAAAAGATAAAAGTATTAACAGAACAAGTTAACAAAATGTCATAAAAAGAAACTTAGTTTTCCAAAAAAATTGAACAACAAATAAATGTTCAATTAAAAGATTGTCAAGATAGACTTATTTAAAATGAGAAGTTATTTAAATAAGTGTATTCAACTAATTAAGAGATAACTGAAAATTAAAGAGGGTTTTTAACTCATTTATAATAAGTGCGTTAGGAAATTAAGTAAAAGTACTAATTATAGAAAATAGCTGTTTTTCTTAAGACTTAACCAGAATTAGCGATGAGAATAAAATAACAGTTATGCAAATAGAGTAAAATTATTTGGAGCTATAGAAATAATTTGGGGAATAAAAAAATGAATTAATTTTACAAAAATCATTTTTAGAATCTATTGATAATGATTTTTTGATGATCTTAAAGAAATTTAAGGATTTGTAGAATGACCTTGCTAAAAAAAAATTCAATTCTAGTTAGTTTTAATAGAAACTTCTTTAATGATTTAAAAAAAATAAATTATTATAAGAAATTACTTTATTTAAAATGAAATATAGTAATTATCTTTAATTTCTAAATAAATGTTTCTTCTTGTTAATACTACTAATAGTTATATTTTATGTAGATCTTAAAAGTGTTGTTTGATCATGGAATCATGTGATTACTCGAATAAATGGAAACTTGCAATAAGGAAAGATAACTGCAAGAATAATATATTTAGTATAAATTTTATATATCATTTATTAAAAATTGGATTATTTTTACTTTAAAAAACCCAATTATTACATATTTATAAATAATTTGAATTTATTATAAATTTACAGATTCGCTAAAATCAATCAAGAATTATTAAAAAACAAGATAAAATTAATTTTTACTGTCAAAATAAAGTGATCACAATTAAAATATAGTAATTTGATTAAGAGAGATTGAATCATAATATTTTTGAAAAATAAATTTACGAATTCTCATAATCTAAATTAGTTTTTTAGTTGTTATTAATACTCTGTTTAAATTCTCGAGTTAAAAAAGATTAAATTTTAAACCTCATAAATACTAAAAATTTTTAGTCAAGTACTGTCATTTAGTTTGTTGATTATTTCTAAAATTAAAGGATCTAATAGTTTATAAAAATGATTATTGAATGATTTACAAGTATATTCTAGTCTTGAATTGAATTAATTATTAAATAATTTTATGTAAAGGGTGAAAAGAGATGAATAAGCTAAAGAGATAATAAATGTACTCCTAGCCGAAGATGCTCCTATCTAAAGTCTCAATAGAAATCTATTTATTAGGAATAGCTTTAATTGATTTATTGCAATTATGTAATTATCAAGTAGTGGCGTGTGAAACAGGTATTTAAGCAAGGGATGAACTGCTGAAAACAGAAAATGAGTTTGATCTGATTTTGCTTGATTTGGGTTTGCCTGAGATGACGGGCCTGGAACTTTTGTAAATTATAAAAGCGTAAGTCTTTATTTGAGCTTCAAGTATTGATAAATTGAAAGATGTTCCAGTGATAATGATGAGTGGTGATGATGAGACAGAAACAGTTGCTGCTTGTTTAAATGCAGGAGCAGAAGATTATATGGTAAAACCTGTCAATTTTAAAAAACTTCAAGGACTTTAAACATTCGTAAAAAAAAAGCCTAAGCCAAGAAATGTATAAAACTATATCAATTTTAATTAGAGCAACTAAAACGAGAAAGGCTATTACACAATTGTGAGAAATATCGGCAAAGGTGCTTCTGGTTCTGTCGAATTAGTAAGGAAAAGTACTGATTAAGAATTATATGCTATGAAAGTAAGATAATAAATGAACATAGGTAATTCCAACATTTTTCATGAATGAATAAGAAAGGAAAAATGCTGAAAATGAGGTGAGTTTATTAAGAGTACTAACTGCTCCAACAATTATTAAATATTATGAAAGTTTCACTGAAAATGAGTCTTTGAATATAATAATGGAATATGCAGAAGGAGGGTCTTTGACTGAGAAAATATCTGAATACCAAAGATATGGCACTTAGGTTCCAAAGGACTAAATTTTAGCTTGGATGGCTCAATTGGTTATTGCAATTCATTTTATGCATTCTAAAAACATCCTCCACAGAGATATCAAAACTTAAAATATGTTTCTAAATAAAGGTTTAAATTTTATCATATTTTTAAATAGAATCAGTTATCAAATTGGGAGATTTTGGAATTTCAAAAGCATTAGGAACACATGCCAATTTTGCATAAACCTTTTTAGGAACTCCTTATTTCATGTCACCTGAAGTCATCAGAGGCTAACCTTATGGCAAAAAATCTGATATTTGGGCATTAGGATGTGCTTTATATGAATTGGTTATGTTGAAACGACCATTTTAACATGATAACATCCAAATTATTTTTGAAATGATATAGAATAAGCCTTATGATATGGATTAATCTGTTGATTAAGATCTCCAATTGCTAATTGAGAAGACTTTATAGAAGGATCCCAATAACAGGCCAACCGTTGAAGACTTAGCAGCTATTCCGTGTATTGAGGAAAAAATTAATTAATTTTATAAAGACCATCCAAATGAAAGTATTAAATAATCAATTATTGTTAGCCAATTTAATATCAGTCAAACGATTGTAATTGGGCCCTTAATTATAACCTGAAACAACTGAATAAGTACAGGATGAAAATTATATTGCTATTTCTGCAGATATGATAGAAAAAATATAATTAAGAAAAGTGATTTATGGATTCGTCAATTAAATGTAAAATATTTAGTAAGTTTAGTGAATATATTGGTGTATTAGGTCAGGACATTTTTAGTTATCTTTAAAACACTTGCAAGAATTAATTGGAAATCCAATAGATTGGCTAACATTTACTTGAATCTTAATTAATAATACCATTAGAATCTCAAAAAGATTTAACTCCTAATTAATATTATTCTTTCCCAATTTTCCTATAATTTATAGCTGCAAACAATTACTAAAAATATACAGGAAATTCTTCAGATCTCATGGAAATTCTAGACAAATTGTTTAAGAAATTTAAAGAATTTCAAAAGAAATTTGTTGATAAAAATACCATCAAGGAGGACATTCTAGAATAAGGATTTAAGGAGTATTTTTAATTAACTCATTTAACAACTGAATTATAAAAATCAACAATGATTGATTATTCATAAGAAAAGAAATTAGCAGCCTATGTTAATATTTTCTAATTGATGAGATTTCATCAGTAATAATATATATATTAAAACCAATAGATCTTTAACCGAATACTTTGTTAATAAACTCTAAAAGAAAGGAGTCAAAGAAGAACCTAAGTCCATACTAAAAACCATTATTGGTTCTATCTTACCACCACATCCAAAAAAAGTAGATTTCGCATATTCTATAAACAAATTAATCACTACCCTACCTCAAATTAAACATGGAATGTTGAGAAAAAATAAACCCGCTCCGAATTTTCATTAATTACCTAATAATGACCCTAGAATCCTTACTCTTGATACAAGAGGGTTGATTTTCATTTTTACTGAAGAATACTAGGATGCTTCTATTGGCTTGACTTCTGAATTGCAATACTTAGAGGAAAAGAGTGTTTAATAATACATCTAATGTTACATAAAACAATTTATCCTCAAGTATGTCTGTCTTGATGTTATTGAATAAGAAATTATTATCCATCCATTATGTTAAAGTATCGATTATTTATTAATTGTTAGCTTATCTTAGTGATTTCGGATCAGAAAAATAGTTGTTTTAATGGTTACTAGAGAGAATGGATGATGGATACAATAAAGAAAAACTCTTAAATTAATATGACTAACAGGATTTCTATATAAGATTCAAGAATCCGAATGATTCGACAAAGTAACTTAAAAATTGAATCGATTAAAAATTAAAATAAATATTTACACTACACATTTTAGTTTACTTGAATTTCAACATGTTGCTAACTCAAATTTCTAAATAATCTCAATATATTAAATCTCAATTGACATTATAAATTAATTTAATTGCTATATACAGAAATTTATATGAATAAAAACATCACAATTTTAAAAATGAAGCATGAATGAAATTATTCCTATAGATGATGCTCAATCTACGTCCAGCTTCATAGGGATTCAGTATTAATAATTATCTAATATACGGAATCTTTAATTCGACCTAGTTCACATCCAATTTCCTAGATATAGAGTTAGTTTAGCTGAAGATTCTAATCCGAAATACTTCATTGTATAAATATATAGTTATGAAGAGCATCTTATGCTTCATAAATGCCCCCTTATAAAGTAATTAATATTTGATATACTCGGAATCGTTATTTTTATTGACCTTCATAATTTCCTGATTGCTTGGTATTTCTTATTTACTTTGGTAGTTCAAATACAAAGAACTGCCTAACTTATAGACTTGAACTTGTTTGCCTCTTATATTTAAAGGGACATCAATAGTTTTGCAAGTGTCATATGAATGAATTCGCAATCTAATTGGTTACCACCTAAAAGACTATTAGATCTCTTGGCATGGAATATAACAAAGAAAATTGCAAGTTCTATCATTGAAATACACAAGTTCAGATAAAACTGTCTTAAAAGTGTCCAAAACAATTTGATTTTGGTTGATGTTCATCTACTTGATTATTTCCATCCATAACTTATTCTCAAATACACTGTTGGATTTACGTAATAACAACTTGTCAAATAACCAACATGACTTATTTAATTTATCTTCATTAAGTTCTTCGAGCAATTGATTCAGTTGTAGTGTCGATTATCTCTAAATGACACTAGCACTTGAGAAATTAGATGTTGCAGATCTTTTAAGTAGTTTTTTGGTTTGTGACATCTATTGAAGATAGAGTTAGGTTCTATTTCTAAAAGTTTCTGGAGCTTTTTTAATTAGAGAATAGATCTTTAAGATTTCATTCAACTTCCAAGGCCTGAAGAATTATTCAACAACTTCATGTGGTTATTCTGGGAAGATCGAATCTAAAAAGTATTAGTTCATAATTAGGAAATCTGATCTGTGAATTGTAAAATAAAATCTTCTGCATGTATTTTGGTTGTAGAGATAAATCTAGAAATAATTTTTGATTAAGGTAACTGTTATTATGAAATAGCTTTTATCTATTTTTTTAACTTATTTATAAACCACTCTTGAATATGATTTTTAACCAATCAACACATTGTTATCATGGTATTAATTTGATAAGAGGTATTGCTTACGTATTTAGTTTTTTGTGATAGGCATGAGCTCTAATTTGGAATAAGTCTAGGTTGTTTTTAGAATAAATTATTTACATAAAGTATAGGTCAATTTAATAGGATCTTATTAATCAATTTAAAATATAAAGAGATGAGATTTGCTCTTGTTTCCAGCTGGCATTATTCTCATTAACATTATTGAAGAGTGAATCTTTACACAAACAAAAACACATCCAATGGATTTAATTTTTGTTTAAATAAAATACTGTTTTGCTTGAGTAAGCTTATCTTGCATCAATAAGAATCTCGGATCTTTCGATTATGAAACCCGATTCTCATTTTAATACAACTTAAATCCCACTAATGTCTTTTTTAATTTAGTTTTATAATTTAAAATATGCCAACGCATGCATCCATCGATCTGAAATAGATGAGCCCATTTTTCTGTCTATTCGGAATTAAGTTTAAGGAATATTTTCTTATGATTGTTATAGTAAATTAATAGATGAGCCTTCGATTGGCCATTTCTAAAATCTTGATGCAATTTTTTTAGATCTGTTAGAATACGTAATTTCACTCCAATTGGTTTATAAATGAATTATTGTTATCTAATTAGAAATACTGAATTGTAATGAGGAAATAATGTGATATCTTTTGCATTGATTGTTTATTCGTTCGTTCTAGAAATGTGTTTGTTCATATCTTCATGAGATAAGATTAATCTATAAGGGAATTTAGGTTTCCTAGGTTATTCAGGGTCTTACAACATAAATTTTCCATTTGAATTTTTTAATAGATAACAACTGGGCAAATAATTCATGTATTCTACATAGTTATTGTTGTTTAAGATCCCAAGTATAAACACAATATCAATAAGTGGTTCCCTCTTTTGTTCTTCAATCAATTCAACACCATCTTCCTATTGACTATTACTCTCCTATGACATTTCTTTGAGTCCTTCCTCGATGAACTCAATTGATTGAATAACTTAATAAAGTCTTTTATTTACTCTGAGGATTTTATTTAATTTTTTTTGATATGAATTATCAGTCTCATCCTATTTGATTTAAATCCGACAATTAACAATTTGGAGCTTCGATTATAATATATTTTATAATTCTATTAAATCTATAATGTATCCAGTTCTTCCGACATTGTAATTGATCAATTCTTTCAATTGGATTTCTAATTGGTCTTCCCATAGATCCTTTCCAAAAATTTATTTTAATTACAATTTGTCAGTCAAGGTGAGATAATAAAATTGTTAATCAATTTTAACCACTTATGTCAGAATTAAATAATTCTCCAAGTGAATTGGCTTGTATTCCAATTTAACGTATTTCTTACTTGGTACTTCCTATCTAAAATGATATTGAGATTCTGTTAATAATTTCTTAATGTTTGGAGCTGGGCTAGGATGGTAGTCAATAGGAGGAGTGTTGAGTCTGAATTCTGGAAAGTACCTTTACAAGTAATCTTAGGTTTCTAAAGTAAATATGTCTATCAATTAAGGAGGTGCCTCTTAATGGGCAATGTTCTTCCAGTTTGATTTGCCTGGTTGTTTCAATTAGGGTTGAATGAGTGGAGTTTCTCCTCCCAATATTAATTATCGAGATTATAATTCATTACCTATGATAATGCCAGTATCCTTTAAGGAGATGTAGGGACTGCCTCGTTATGAATGCTGTTGAGATTCGTCATCTTAAGCAGGAGATGTGGCTTCTCTTATTATTGTTTGTTTCCTCTCCTGAGCAATAAATAGATGCCTATCTTTATTCCTTTTGCGATGTCTCTTTTGACTCAAAATTGGCTTGCTTCTCTAATGTTAAATTTCGCAGTCTAAATACTGAAAATAATTGCTAATTCTTTCTAACTTTTTATAATAAATCTAATTGTTATATTGTTAAATGGAGACTTGTTGATTCTAGGGAACTGACTTAAATTTATAGCCATTCATTGTTTTAATGTAACTCATTCTTTTGATCAGAAACAGAACCTTCGACAAAAGATATTAATAGAATTGCATATTATCTTGTAGCTCAATTCTTCTTTCTTTGGTAAACTCAATATTGATGCTTTATCTCTTTTAACCTGCCTATGAAACCCTACCCTTACTTACTCTGTAAAGTGTCTACTCTTTTCGGTTGTCCAGCCATTCACTGAATAAATCTTCTTGCATCAAGTATATGTTCAATAGTTAATCAAATAGATCCATCATGTCATCGTAAGTTTGTATATCTTTATAATGTTCAACTAGTGTGTCTATTATAAATCGAAATTGAATTTTTCTTGTGTGATTAGAGATTTCAATTGATCCAATTACTTAAAGGGTTGAATGTCTTTACAGATTAAAGAGAATATTTTATATCTATTCAAGATTAATTTATTGACAATCATCAGTTTTTGATGATTTGTGTAGGAATTGCCCTCTTATTCTGGGATTTTCAAGAGTCCATTTAGATGTTTCGAAATCTGTGAATAACTTATCGTAAAAATGAACAGGATACCATTCCATAGTATTTGATGATTAGAAAAACTTATAAATGATTTTACTAGCTTCGTTTTCAAGGAGTTTTTTTTCAACAATATCAATTAAAGTATTGGATCTATTTAACTGTTACTATTTATTGCTCATAATGACTCTACCGGGAGAATGCTAATGTTTTCTTTCCTACATTTCTATTTTCCTATTATGAGAGTATTAAACGTATTTTCTTAGTTTTCCTTTTATTCTCTCCACAGCCTCCAACAATTTTTCCATAGGATGAGTTTCTAAATATTTCGCTATAATCGAATCCTGGGGAGAAATTACTTTAATAGGTTCATCGCCTTCAAAGGATAAGACTTTGTTCTCCTCTTATTTAGTGATATCTTCATCGTTGTCATTGGTTAAATTTTTAGTACTGCCTATGGGTTTGATATTAAGGACGGTTGGTTAGATTTCAGGAGCTAAGATTTTTTTTTATGAAGGCCTTTCAATTTTTTGGGTGCTGGGAGTATTAGATATCTTCTTAACATCCATTTTAGAAGTAATGGTGTTTTTGGAGGGTTCTCTGATTTGGGGTCTAGTTGGAATGGTGAGTTAGATTTAGTAAGTGGATGTGGTTTGTCTGGAGGTGTGTTATTTATAGAATTCAATTCTTTTGTATGGTTTGACTTCATATTAGGGTCTAGTGATGAGCAATTCATTAGTGAGATTGGGAGGCAGTGTGTCATCTAATTCTTTGATGGCACTCTATTCCAGAGAAGGCATCTTATGATGAAATCTTTCAGTGTTTTTTTTGGATAGAAAGGAGGCACCTCTGGTAGGACTAGTCAACTTTGTGGTGCCTTAGGAACTAGTAGGTCTTTTGGAATGATCCTTAATAATGAATAAGGAGGACAAGGGGGTGGGTTTGATTAAAATAGTAGGTTTGTTGTTGGATGAAGAAGTGGTTAATTTATTTGATTTGTCGACCTTTTTGGAGGGTTTGGGAGCTCTAGCGGAGTCTACGTTGATAATGTAATTGTTGAATGAGGTGATTTTGGGACGAAAGGATTTAAGAATTTCTTCTCGAGGTGTAACTTATAGTTGTTAGGGTTGGTCGTCTTCGCATTCATCTTGACTCTATATTTCGATGTTGACAGAGATCTTGTCACTTAATTATTCGTATAGCTTTTTATATTCTTGAGTTCTCTTCTCGTGAATTCCAAGCAACTATTCCGAGAGATGAAACGATTGAAAATATAACTATGCTGCTTAACTGTCTTTATTTTGTTTATGATATATTTTGGCTTAGAATGAGAGTGCTTGTAATAGAATTAATTAAAACTTCTTTGAGAATTGTTTTTGAAGGTAAAATGTCAATCCGATTTCTTCCATCAGATTCAACAATTTCTCATTCAAGGACGCAACACTTGCTATTTTGCAAAGTCGGCCATTCTCTATTACATGATTCAGGATTTAGATTTAGGTCATGATGATGGGTTTTTGATTTGTTTTTTACAAAGGTAGTAATTGGATGAGTAGATTGTAGGCTTACTTATTATTGTGATCGCGCTCCATATACTCTGCATACAACATGTAAGTGAAGTACTTCACATCGAGCAATTCTTCGGATTGCAATCCAGCAGCCAATTCAGTTGCTCTTTAAAAGTATTTCTCCCCTGGCTAATTCTGTTTTATTTAATATTGACCTGTTTGATTGAGTGTCTCTATGAGAGTCACACACGCTTGAATTGTTTTCGGTGCATGCTGACCAAATTCAGACAGAGCATCCAAATAGGAACGCTCAAGTTGAAGGAGGGACATTTTCATTAATATTTTATTATAAAAATTCAATGATTAATCTTTTCCATTATTTTATCAGCCTCCGAAGGATAGTACTTATGAATAGCCTTTTCCACCAGATGCAAGGGCAACCAACTAGCAAGTACGAGCAATCCCACATTCATAACAAAATTGACTGTAATTTCACTCAAATTGATGACATCACGCATAAAGTATATGCAACACAAATATAAACTAATTGAGATGAACTAACTGACCAAAGTAATGAATTTGAAGGTCTTGAGCTCAGTAATTACATTCAGTAATTCTATCACTATCAGAGCTGTAAAAGTGACTGTTACAAGTTACAAAAAAGTGTTCTGAAAACACAAGAAGGATAAAGCCATAATCACAGTGCCTTAATAGATACTCTTCCATAACCAAATCAAGAAGGTCTTGGTTGTTACTTCCCTTCCTTTCTGCAAGGATTTGTAGAGTTCCGCGAATTCTAAAGCCTTGTTCTTGGTGATGTCTTCATCGAAGATCAAAGAGAACACTGGCAACACTGTGAATACAGTAGCATATCCAAGCATTAAATAGCCATTGTATATGGGTATGGCAATCCCATAGAATAAGAAACTGAAGATCGCCTGAATTACTGAGATCACTAATCCTCTATGCATAACAAACTAAGCCATCACTGAAGATCTCTTATAAGCCAATCTTCCATGCCACAACAGAAGAGTGGACAAGTCCTTAAATTTCATTATCGAAAAATCGCTGGCCAATGCTGCCTACTTCCCTTCCTTCCCAACTATTCCAATCCCTACATCTGCTGCCTATATCATAGATACATCATTTCCTCCATCACCTATGGCCAAGGTAACCTAATTCGTATTTTTCTTGATTGCTTCAACAACCTAAGCTTTTTGGGTAGGTGAACATCGACAACATATCACACAAGGTGCTCTACTAGTTACATACATAAATTAATCGAAATGATCATTAAAGGCAAGACTCAATGAAACTCCATCTATTACCAAGATTGAATTGTGTTTGGCTGAAAATTAATTCAAAAGGTTCTGAAGATTTAAAGAATCAGCTTCTTTGATAGTAAACATCTCTTATTGTGGAGTTTTGAGTCCAGCAGATATGGCTATACATTAGGCAGTTTCTACTTTATCCCCAGTCAACATCCAAATCTTAATACCTGCATTCCTCAGTTAATCAATACAATGATTAATATCTTCCTACAATAAATCTTCCACTCCAGATATTCCTAAAAATTCCATCCCTTATTCCAATTACTCCAAAGCATGGTTAACTTTGATTTCTCTATCATCCATAGATGACTTTGCCTCCTCATATTCAACTTGCCATTTCTTGAACTCCTCAGATGTTATATATTTCTATGTCATCACCAAAGTACGTAATCCCTCTCTGCTAAGCATTTCTGCCTCGTCCATAAGGAATCCTCTCTAAACCTCCGGTACTTTATTCTTGATGATTTAATCAGCCCCTTTGAGATAAAAGAAGTATCCATCGATTGAATCAGATTGAACAATAATTCCCATTCGTTTTCTTTCGCTGCTAAAAGGGAATTCGTAGACAATTTTAAAGTTTTCAACCTTATTAGGTGTTTAAATAACCATTTATTCAGCATTTCTCGAAATCAATTAAATACCCATTTATTCACTGATTTACACTAATGCTATTTCATCAGGACTACTAGCCTAAAACGATCTGATTCCATCCTCTATGATGGGAGTGACATTGTGACATAGAGACAAACATTAGATCAAATCTCTAAGCACTACATCTTTATTCCTTCTAGAATTTCTCTTCGTTTTCCCAGTTATGATATCATGCAAAGGAACAGGATTAGCTGAAAATTATCTCTTCAATATTTTATTAACAACATTCAAATCCTTGGTTGTATAGGTATTGCTTTCCAATGCTAATTTCTTGAATGTCATGCAATTCTAGGTCAGAGTACCTGTTTTATCACTGAGTATGTAATGCACTCTTCCCAATTCTTCAGGAATTTAGGAATTCCTTGCCATGGCTCCAGCTATATCTTTATCGGAATTGATCTTCATTGAAAATACCAATTTAGAGAAGTCAAGATTGACTCTCAAGGAGATCGGTATTATGCTTGACAATAACAACACATATCTAAAGAATTATAATAGGTTGATAAAGACATCATTATCAGGTGTAAGTATCAATATACCACCTGCTAAGATACACATGAAACCAAACAATACTTTAGACAAAAAGTTTAATTCCTTATCCAATCTGCCCATCTTAAATCTGCTCTTTCTTTAATTCATCGATGATCTGCACTCCCTACCTGTATAGATGACAACACATGTCACTTTCCCAGCTGCCACATATGTATTTGCCCATAAAGTATTATCAATTGATACAGACTCCTTGTCCTCCTCTATCTTAATCCTACCTTTAAAATCGTAGATATCCAATTTAGGAGCCTCCACTATCAAAGTGCTGCCAAAAAACTATCCCAATTAAGTTAATTTTAATGCACTCCTCAATTTCCAATCTGTCTCTCCATCCAATTGATCAGTCCTTATGAACACTGTCCCTGTCTTTTCTGAAGTCCTCAACAACACACAATCCGCTGGCACTCTTTGATTTGCATGCACTTCTATTACATCTCCAACTCGTAATTAGGATGATTTAATTGAAACCACATCATTCTATAAGATCTTACTATACAATTACGAATTAGCTTCCCTGTCTCTTAGAAATCGTTTGAAATCATCGTAGGCCTCTTTGATTAGAGTGAGAGTGAGGACCTTGAATAGAATCAATAATGCTTACAAACACAAGTGGAGCCACATAAGAAAATAGGAATCCCACTTTCAAGGGCTCTATGAATTGAGATAGAGTGATTAGGAGGAAAAACAAATTAAAGAAGTACCTAAATTGATCAAACAGCACAATAGGGATGAAGGTGATGATGCTATACTTTTGATTCTTGACAATATTTGGAATGGATTGAGGCTGTTTCTCTCCAGTGATCTCTATTATCCGTGCATCTTAACTAACTTTCTGTTTCCCAAAGATATCAATTGCCTTCAAAATTAGACTTCTTGTATCTGAATTGTAGATATGGCATACCTATTTTCTCGTTGAGACTATCGCACTCCTACTCCAGTTTGCGATCCAGGAATTTGTCATCATCGACTCGCTCGACCATCTCTATTAGTAAATTAGTGGAATGTGCCTACTTAAACATTATTAATTTAGTAATATAAAAATTATCAACTATCCACAAATGACAAACTTAATCTCTAGTATCCTTTGCCCACAATATCCTCCTCCTCCTCCACGTCTTGCTTGTTATACAAGTCCTTCGATTCAATCATCTCCTTCTCCTTTATTGTGGATAGAAAGGGCAACAAGATCAAAATGTACACACTAGTCATTGTTATCATCATCCACAGATTCTCAAACGAGGCCTCGTTTATATCTATGATAAATCAACTGATATTCATACTCAAAAAGTACATCAATATGCCTCCAATCTATCTGGCCACCAGTTAACCTAAATTGATTGTGGACATCAACAATGCATACATGGTGCCTTCTATTTTGGACGGACATATCTTGCATGCCAGAACCAAAATAGGAAGCATGTTCAATTCAGCCACCAATTGCATTAGCAATGTATCACATAATGAAAATGCTTCATCTTTTATTCCCAACTCCACATTCCTTCTAGTCACCTATAAAATCTGTAGGGCATTTACAACACTATACGTTAATGTCGTAACAAAGAACACAGATTTGAATGAATAGTTTTTTAGATATCTATTAAATATACTCACAGCTGTGATGTTTGCCAAAGCAAATAGAAACTTAATCTTACCCAAAAATTCAGCTGTGTAATGCAAATACACTGTTTAAAAATAAAACATTGCTGTCGATGTCGATGGTTGCAACATAAAGCAAAATATAAACACAATCGGCTTGTATATGGCTTTGATGTTCAAAAAACGATGCAATTCTTGTAATTACTTCTTAATATCAGTATCTTTATGCTAACCCTCATTTAAAAATAGAGAAGCTCCAGCAATTATCAATGGAAATATTGATGTTATCCTAAAAACTAAAATAGGCGCTCTCCTTACTTTATTGCTTCTGCAAGTATTTTAAGGAGTAACCACTAAGATAGCTAGTCATGAGGGTTCCGAAAGCTTTAAATCCAAAAAATAAACTGACGTTGTTGGTTGAACTATCATTGCCAGTCGAGATCTCAACCAATAGAGCCTCTTTATTGAAGAATAACAATACCTGCAACCACATTACAAAATGCTATACAAACCTGAATGCTCAACAAAATTGAGACTCCTGCAACCGCATCTTTTGTACCATATATGGAGAGAGCATAAAATAAAACAAATCCCATCAGACCAAATATGAACAGATAGCTCTTCCTGCGATAACTGCAAATCGGAAGCAAATCTGTACAGAGACCCCATACAGGTTTTATTACCCAAGGTATGCTGATGATGCCTTATATATATGTCATTTCTGTGGGGTTCATTCCATAATCCTCTTTCAACAAGTATGATATGGCCAATTCAGAGAGGTTTATTACTCCTTGAGAGAATGCCACCAAACATATAACAGCATACGTGGAGTGCGATTACTTGATCATATATATCAAATATTATATATTTTAATTTTGATAATAAAACGAATTTCAATCATAACCCTATTAATTGTACATTCTCTAAGTGGTCTCGAATTCCTCAGTTTCAACAGAATAGGGAAACACAAAACATTCAATATCGTCTAAGTAAATCTAAAGTAAAAGAAAAATTGTTTTTTCCTAATCCTTACAATCATACAAGTAATCAATTTGCTATACACTACACAAAGAAACAAAGTCAAATTTACTGTATATGAAAAACCTTTATAGATAATTATTAAGTAAGATGAATGAAATAAGTGCTGCAATAATATAGCATTGCAAAAGTAATATAGATAATTCATCTTTAAACAATTCAAATTTAAATGCAATAAACGGAAGCATACTCAAAATAAACAATATTACATTGAAAACAATCATAACGTTTCTCACATATAGGATTATATCAAAATGATACTAAATTTTCTAAAGATTATTTGACTAAGAACAGAAAATGTAACAAAGGCATGAATAAAATAGCGTTATGGTTGTTCAAAAACATTAGAAGCATTTAATTGATAGTTTGATTACTAATTTGGAACCATGATAGAATTGCTAAAATTGCACATCCTATAAAACGCTTACAATATTGAAAACCAAATAATGTGATTGTTCTTCTATTTTATTGATTTTATTTTTCATTGTTAGATAAGTAAAAGTATATATCTCTCTTTGATATTACCTGAAAATTAGTTCTTAATAATCACTCTATTTTGAGGCTCTTGAATTTTCTGTTATAATACTCTAGATATTGTTTAATACATACTGTAAGGAATGAGAACAAATCTAATTGAATTTGTCAGTATAACAATACGACTAATTATAATTTATCCATCCTCCAAATTCTACTTCTTAATATAACAAAGTCTTAACAAAGTCCCGCAAAGCAGTGGATTGCTGTTTAGATAGAGGGATCTACCTTCTTCCCATCCTACTTATTCTCTTATAAATCTAATTGTTAACAATAAATCAAACCTGACAACTATCCCTATCATGCATCTAAGTATCTTATAGATTAATCAAGAAGTGTAGTCTTCATTGCATAAATCAATAATTTCGATAACCTACATCATATTGTTAATCCACATAATTTTGAATCTAGTCACTTTTATCATCAAAGGTGAAATAACCGACTAGATGCCAATCCTAAATAAAGCCATCCATATTCGTATTCTATATCCGAAAAAGTAAAGTTTAAATACTTAATACACATGTAGCCAGTTACTATTTAATTAACACTATGCTTTAAGCATACAATCACCAGAATAACTTATACTTGAACATAAATTTATAATAATCATTTTATTTTATGTAATTATTAATCCTCACAATTTTGTTATATTCTATTTTATAAAATAACCATTTTCTATTGCATCCTCTCTGATTCATTATTTGAATCCTAATATATATATTAAAATTGATTTAGGACTGACTTCATATCTGAGCCTCTTTTCCTACTTGCTTACTGAATTAAAAATAAGGACAGTGGTGAAATTATGTTGCTTTCAATTCTTTAAACAAATAGATATACTGCACTACAATATCCAAGGGTTTCTGATGTTTGTATGTTTCATATGATTGATTGGAGTGGAGTGTATATAAAATTAGTTAAATTGTTGATACTTATTAAATAAATTGAGGATATGGTTATATATAAATTGTTTAGAAATAAATTAATTAAATAATGGGAGCAACTTGTTGTAAGACAAATTTGCAAACTCAAGATGGTATTAACAATAATCGATTTGATTTATAGAACTTTCAGTTCAATCAGCAGCTTTTGGAGATAATGACTAAGGATCTTAAAAGAGGGTTGTTAAGCAAACAACTGCTAGCAAACGTTAAGCATATATTCCAGCATAAACTTTCGGTTTAGGATTGAAACAAAACCTATCTGATGATGCAAAGGAAGTGTATGAGGAGCCAAAGAAAGTTTCAATGAAGGTATCAAAAGAATTGGAATAATTATTGGAGCGATAGAATTCTGACACTGATCGAAAGAAAATTCTTGAATAGCAATCTCTATAAAGTATGATGTGTCATGAGTTATCTTAGAAATGGATCAAAAGTTGCACATAAATGTTGATGTTTTTGTATAATTGAAGAAAGGTCAAATCTCAGATCATTACATTACTGGTAAGGTATTGGGAGAAGGTGCCTTTGGAAAAGTGTGGAAAGTGACTCACAAAAAGACCAAATTGGATCGTGCCATGAAATAATTAAAGAAGACTTCGATATTGAAGGAAGACAAAGAAAAATTGTTCTCGGAAATGAATATACTGAAGAATTTAGACCATCCACACATTGTAAAATTGTATGAATTATTCGAAGATGACAAGAATTACTATCTGGTAACCGAGTAAGTACTAAATTCATTGAGGATAGGTATTGTTCTGGGGGAGAACTATTTGATCGAATCAAGAGCTTGAACTTCTTTAGTGAAAAGAAGGCTGCAGAACTAATGAGACAAATCCTTAGTGCTGTTTGGTATTGTCACAACCAGAAGATCGTACACCGAGATCTCAAACCAGAGAACCTACTCTTCGTCTCCGATTCCCCTGATGCTGATCTTAAAGTAATCGACTTTGGAACTTCTAGAAAATTTGAAAATGGAAAGAGAATGACTAAGAGATTAGGCACTCCCTATTACATTGCACCTGAAGTCCTATTGGAGAATTACAATGAAAAATGCGATGTCTGGTCCTGTGGCATAATTCTGTACATTTTATTATGTGGATATCCTCCTTTCTCTGGTCGAAGTGAATCTGAGATTCTCAAGAGAGTTAAGGCAGCTCAATTAAAATTTGACCATGAAGATTGGGCTCACATTAGTTAGGATGCTCAAAATCTTATCAAGAATATGCTCAATCCCAACCCGGCTAAACGTCTAAGTGCTGAAGAAGCCTACAATGACAAATGGATTTAAAATAATGCACCTTCCAATGTCATTAACTAAAGAGCATTGCAAAATCTATAGTAATTTCATGCCAAAAGCAAATTCAAATAGGCAGTTCTGACCTTTATGGCTACTCAAATCATTACTCAACAAGAATAGGATGAATTAAATAAGACTTTTAAAGCTATTGACAAAAATGGAGATGGTAAATTATCAAGATAAGAGTTAATTGATGGTTATACTCAAGTTACTAATAATTAAGAATTAGCAATCATCTAGGTTGATCACATTATGGAGTTGGTTGATATCAATCGTTCAGGGGAAGTTGATTTCACTGGTAATACTATTCTCTATTTTTAGAATTTCTGATTGCTGCTATGAATTAAGAAAAGTTTCTGTCAGTTCAAAAAATGGAATAGGCATTCAAAGTTATTGATTTGGATGGTGATAATTATATTTCCAAAGCAGAATTACAAAATGTTATGGGTGATATTGATGATGAGGTATTTAAGTGTAATTTAACCAGATTTGGATACAAATTTTAAAGGAATGCGATAATGATAATGATGGCAAAATTTCATTAGAAGAATTCTCATCTTTGCTCCAATCTAAAGTTTTATGATTTCATAGAGATTGCTTCATAATTATTTTTATTATATTATTATTATTATTATTATTGTTGTGAAATGCAATCTCATTTTCTTTTTCTTGGCTCAGGCACAGTTGGATTCAAATCTGCTAATTTTTGTTTTATATAAATATTCCTTAATTAATTTGCATCTTCGTAAGGTCCAGATCTCTCAGGGCATTCCAAAAAAAACCAGAGAATCTATATTTTAATTTCATTTATCCTTACATTCTCAACTTTGCATACTCTCTTTGGTAGATCATCTTTCACACTCTTCTCCTTCAAACATGATACAAAGTTTTTTTCTAACCAATTGCATTCATTACTAAAATCTAAGCTTATTTATCATACACATCATTAAGTGGTGGGCGATATTTGACTTCCATTATATTTATATTAATATTAATTAAATTCAATTTAATCCACTATCATTTAGGTTTACTATTAATATCAATCGTAAAGCTATAACATAATTAATTAAAGAGATTTAAATAATAAAGGGAAATCAAATGAGACACTGATTAATCACATGTAATTGACAGTACTCCTAATAATTATTTATCGTTGGGAAAAATAAATCAATATATTTAGGATAATAAAAAGAAGTTATACCCATAGAATTGTTTAATAAAATAATTCAGATAAATTGGGTTAAGCAGTTAATAATTTAATTATTTTATTCTTCACCTATTGCCTTAGATAGGTGAATTACATACTCTCCATTTAAAGCTCTAGTAAATTGATAGGGAATTAATTAAAATGATAATTGTATATAAGAAAAGCTTAATTTTATTCTAATATTTTTATTATAAATGTACCAATAATATTTTGATGATTATTGTGAGAGATTATTTTCCTACAATTTCCTGAATTGGCCATATAGAGACTCTAAGCTTAAACCTTCGAAAATGGCTTCTATAGGATATATTTGTCATGAAGACTCTCTCTAATGCTTTTATTGTTAAAAGAAAATAATGATTGATGACTAGATACTACCTAGTGATGTCATTTTAGAGAGGGCTATCAATTAACATGACCAATACTGTCAAGCTATGGCAATCAAGTTTAAAATCACATAAGAATTTTTGCATTCGTATGGAATGGCATATTATGATGAATGTCTTGCATCTTGGAAAGACCCGATCGAATTGAAAAAGACTTATTTGGATAAGGTGCCTCAAAATCTTAACTTTTTGGTATAAAATCCAAAATAAGTCTTGGCAATATTTGGTTGGATAAAGTAGGACCAAATTTTATTGTGCAAATTTTGTGGGAGGAAATGTCAAATAGTAGAAGAAGAATTTGATGTATTTCAAGAACATAGATATTTTTGTAAATGGGCAAATGAAGGGAGAAATATCAAATACGGTTATCTGATTGTTTTATAATAATTAAGAGACCAAAGCACTCAGAACACTTAAGATGCAAAAGAAAGAGAAAATAATAATGTTGAACAAGATGTATTGAGAAAAACACTTGTTTCATAATGCGAGAATATCATATCTGTAAATCTATTAACCAATACAGAACTGTAAAAGGCTAAGGCATAAATATTAGCATGTTAAGATCAACTGACAAAACGAAAAAGATTTGATGTAAAAGAATCAGAGCGCGAAATGGAGGAATTTGAATTGGACATATAGAAGAAAGTAAAAGTGCAGAAAGAGCAAATTGAAGAAAGAAATAAAGAAAGAATGAGCATGATCAATAAATAAGATTCAGATGAGGAAGAAGAATAAGAATAGGAAGTAGATATGGCAGTGCACGATCAATAAGCCCAACATAATCATGTTTAAGAGAATAAAGAAAATACAAACAATTAATAATAACACAATTAAGTTGTAAATGGAGCAGATCAAAGAATTGAATAAGAGGACAATTAGAAATAGGAAACTAATAGAGAACAAAAGGAAAACTCAGAAAATTAAAATCAAGTTTAGGAGATTTAGGAAATTTAGAAGAGAGAAAAGTTAATTACTAACCATATTCAAGAAGAACAAATATAATAGTAGTAAATGATTGTTTAAAATTAAGAAGAACAAATAGAATAGTAAATTATTGCTTAAAGTAATAAATCAAAATAGAGTTCTCCTTAATTGCCTACTTAGTTATTGGTTGAATAAAGAGGTGATTAATATTCAAGTGAAAGAGGAGAACAAATTAATCAAGTTGTTCCATAAGATAAGGAAATTGAGAAAGTATAAGTATAATAATCAGAAGAAATAATTGAAAAGCAAGAGAAGGGAGAAAATAATCTTATAAATATTAACAATGTAGAATAATAACATAATTAAAATAATGATTCCTAGAAACATAATAATTAATAGACAATTTAAGATGAGAATTAACAAGATGCAGAGGAAAAAGAACAAAATCAATAATTGGTTTAAGATTAAGTTGAGCATAATGAGAAATCAATTGTTATTGAATAAAATCAATAGGCTCAAATTTAAAGTCAAGAAATAGAAATTGAATAAGAAAAGAAAGAACCTAATCCTAATGTTGAAGTATAGGAAGTTAATAAAGATAATGAATAAATTCAAGATTAAGAGATTAAAGAAGTGGAAATTTAAAATATTGTAATTTCTGATGAGAAAAATCAAAACTAAATAATAAGCGAATAATAGAAGGTTGATACAATAGAAAGAGAATTGGAATCTAAGTAATAAAATCAGGAAGAGAATATTTAATAAGAAGTTGAAGTAGATTAAGAGAAGAATTTAGAGAGTCCAAAAAATATAATGAAAACTTCATTTTAAAATGATGATAGCAATCTTAGAAATTAGGAGGATAATAAAATTATGACTATTATTAATTTAGAGGATCAAATTAAGTCTAGGTAATAGGAAAATTAAGAAATTGAATAAGAATAAGAAGAGCAAGATAATCCAAATGTCATTGAGGCGTAAGACAATGAGAATCTTGATAAAGATTGAATATAAAGATGTGATCACTCATTTTAATATATAAATGTTTAAATTTTATATTTCCAGTATCTTTAACTAAGTAATTAGTAAGTATTAAGGTGCATAATAATGGCGATATCTATAAATATCTAGCCATATTTCCTTTTTTTTAATTTAACTTATTTTTAAGGGTAATATAGTGTTTTTGTTTCCTAAAAAAATTGATGTTAAAAATGTACCCAAATTCTTAACTAATATATATTGGTGGACGAAATTTCGCGGTTATCTTAAATATAAAAATTATTTTAAAAAGTGCTATTTTCTTAGTTCGAATGGAACAGGATGAAGATGCAGGAGCCTTTTTGGATCAATAAAATATCTAAAGGATTTATGAGGAGCAATAAAAAATGGAAGCAAGATTTAAAGAAAGTGGCTGGTAATTGTTTTCTCGACCCGAGCCAAAAGTCAATTCTTAATAACCCATTCAGTTTATGCAACTAGAATGTGATTATTATACTTTAGGAGGATAGAGCATTATAAGAATGTTCGGTGTTACAGCTGAAGGTAATTCCATCCTATGTCATGTTTTTAATTTTTTATCTTTTTTTTATATGCAAGCACCAGTCGAATTGTTGTTAGAGCCTTAACACATCCAATAATTTTAAAAAGAATTGAATGTTTTATTAGCAAAGCAAAAAAATTTTGGTGGCAAAGAACCAATAGTAAAGATAGAAGTGTGTCAGAAAGAGTCAATAAGATACTACAAAGGAGATAATAAAAAATAAAATTATTTAAAAATATACGTGGTCCAACCAACTTTTGTTGCATAAATAAGAAACTTCTTAAAAAGTGATAATAGAATGGTGTGTGATATGGAGTTACCACAATTGACATTTGAATCAAACATACCATATGCATTAAGATTTATGATTGAATATGATATCGTAGGTATGGGTTGGATAGAGTTGAAGGATTACATAATAAGAGAGAATAAAAACAAAATATCATCTTGCTAGATAGAAGTGAATATAGATTGCTAATTTGTAAAAGCCATTCCTTTGGATGAAAAATCAGAGATTGCTCCCTTGCGAATTTTATCATTTGATATTGAGTGTGCAGCTGAGAAGGGATTTCCAAATGAGGAACATGATCCCATAATCTAGATTGCCTGTATTGTCAAAGTGCATAATCGAAATGAGGAATTAATCAGAGTTGTATTTACACTGGGTGATTGCGAGAAGATTCCAGGAGCCTGGGTTAAGTCCTTTTAGAAAGAAGAAGATTTACTAAATGAATTTTAAGTGTTCTTTTAAGGGTTAGACCCTGATATTATAATTGGTTATAATATTTAGAATTTTGATATACCTTACATATTGAATAGGGCCCAAAATTTGAAGTTGAAGAATTACGGTAAATTTGGTAGAATTCCAACAGACTAATCAACAATTAAGAATGGCAAATTCTTGAGTAAGGCTATGGGAATGAGAGAAACCAAAGACATTAACATTGAAGGGAGAATCCAATTGGATATGATGATTCACATGATGAAAGAACACAAACTGTCTTCATTTTCATTGAATAATGTTAGTTTTTAATTCTTAAAACAATAAAAAGAAGATGTGCATTATTCAATTATTTATACTCTTCAAAATAGTAATTAATTTCATTTTATAATCCTTTAGAAAACCCAGAGACAAGAAAAAGAATAGCAGTATATTGTCTAAAAGACGCTGAATTGCCAATATTATTGATGGATAAATTATGTTGTCTTTATAACTATGCGGAAATGGCAAGAGTCACAGGTGTACCAGTCAATTATCTATTTATGAGAGGTTAACAGATAAAGGTGGCATCTTAGTTATTGAGAAAAGCCAAACATTATGATTTCATAATCCCAACTGAACATTTCAAATCTACAGACTAGGAGTATTAAGGAGCATTCGTATTGGATCCAGTGAAGAACTTTTACAAGGTTCCAATTGCCACTCTTGACTTTGCCTCTTTGTATCCAAGTATCATGATGGCTCATAACATGTGTTACAGTACCTTGTTAAATACGTCTCCTTTTAAGGTAGGCTTAGCTGATGAGCAAGTTACAGTATCTCCAGAAACTAATGCTATATTTGTTAAGCCAAATGTTAGAAAAGGAATGCTTCCATTGATTCTTGAGGATCTTATTAATGCGAGAAAGAAAGCAAAGAATCAATTAGCATAAGAGACTGATCCTTTTAAGAAGGCAGTATTAGATGGTAGACAACTTGCCTTGAAAATATCAGCTAATTCAGTTTATGGATTCACTGGAGCTTAAGTTGGTCAACTGCCCTGTTTGGAAATATCAGCATCAATTACCAGTTTTGGTAGACAAATGATTCAATTTACAAGAGATACAGTTCTTGAACATTATAGTAAGAAAAATGGAGCTGAATTCGATGCAGAAGTTATTTATGGAGATACTGATTCAGTTATGGTCAAATTTGGTGATTATTCAGTTGAAAAAGCTATGGCTTTGGGAAGAGAGGCAGCAGCTTTGATCTCAAAAAAGTTCATTTAACCTATCAAACTTGAATTTGAAAAGGTCTATTACCCATATTTATTGATGAATAGAAAGAGATATGCTGGATAATTATGGACCAAGCCTGATAAACCAGATAAAATTGATACTAAAGGTATAGAGAGTGTTAGGAGAGATAATTGTTTTCTTATTCGAAAAATGGTTACAGAGATCCTGAACTTCCTTCTCATTAAACAAGATGAAAAATCAGCTGTTCAATACACAAAAGAATAGATCAGAAATTTGTATTTAAATAAAGTTGACATCTCTGAATTGGTTATCACTAAATCCCTTAATAGCAAAAAGGAGGATAAGGATAATAATAATAATAATAATAATAATAATAATAAAGAAAAAAAGAAAAATCAAAATGAAGATGATGGAAATAAATTAACTAAAAATTATAAACAAAAATAAGCACATGTTGTTGTTGCTGAAAAAATGCAGAATAGAGATGCATCCAATGCTCCATCTGCCGGTGATAGAATTGCTTACATCATCATTTAAGGAGCTAAAGGAACTAAAACTTATGAAAATGCAGAAGATCCAGTAGAAGTCTTGGAAAAAGATTTCCCTATTGATTTTGATTACTATGTCAATAATCAAATCAAAAAACCTATCATGAGATTATTTGAATTTGTTATACCAAATCCAGAGAGCATCTTTGTAGGTGATCACACCATGTCAAGATATATACCAAAAGTAAATATCAATTCTGCCTTGGGAAAATTTGTATAGAAAAAAACAGCCTGTTTGAACTGCAAGAAAGTTATCAAAGATAATGAAGCTTTATGCAATTTTTGTTTGGATAAGACATTAGAAATGATGACTAAATCTTCAATTGTAATTTTATTATTAATTTCTAGAAACTTTAAGAACTGTAAATCAATTATCACAAATATTGGACAACCTGTTAGAGTTGCCAAGGATCTTTATTAGGAGATATCTTATGTAGTAATCGAGATTGCGAAATTTATTATAAAAGAATCAAGGTTCAACGTGATCTTAAGGAATAATGGGATGAAATTGATAAATTATATGCTTAACAATAATGAACTCCAAATTTTCAAATATTACATTGACTATATATATATGAATTTATTCATATTTTTCTTATTTTTATATACTAATAAATAGTATGTTAATTTAATATATCTACTCATATTATTACATTAAAGTGTCATTGAAAATACACTTCTGATTATATTAATTTATTTTGATATAAAAATTAATAGAAATAAAATTAATCTAAATATATATAACTATTATTCATTATCTTTTATTGATAATTTGTTAAATTAAATTAATCATAAATCAAGGCTATATCTAATTAATAATCAATTCATAATTTTGCAAATATATCCTCAAGCATTCTATCCTAAGTTGAAACCTCCAAAGATTTGAATGCTAGTAATTAGTACATTTATTTTTTCAACTATTATTTCTCCTTTGCCATCTTCAAAATCTAATTTTTCACACCCACATCGCATATCCAACCTTGTAATACTATATTTAAGTCATATATCTCTGCTAATTATAAATGTTGTAGGAGGAAGAATGCACTTTCCTCAGTAATTTTACTACCATTCATTCCAAGACCGGTTAAGTCCAAGTGAAGTTTTTCTAATTCCAAAGTGAATATCTTTTCAATCAAGTACTAGAGATCTTCATTATAAAATAATTCTAATGATTTATTATAATCATTTCCCCAACTAATATTATAATTAAAAATTAGAAGTACTCTGCCAAATTCAAAGTTAAATTTTTTAAATTCTCCAACTTTTCTATGAAATCACCCATAGCCACAAATGAATGTCCTGTAATGTTTTGATTTCTATATCCTAATCTTGAAATCTTGTCAATCATACTTGTTAAGATTTAGCTCCAATTCCTAAATTTATTGTGGAAGGCTCTTAAATAATTAGACTACCCCAATGTTTGATATCTTGCAACCCTTGTGTCCCCACTATTGAAGATTTAACCTGAGGATCTTTAGATTTGTAAAGGCCTTTCCCAAATGAATGAAAGCAACGTCAGAGATGTTATAATTTTGATTTCCCCAATTACTTAAGGAGAGTTCCAATAAGTTTGTAGGTGCTAAATTGCCGAAATATTAGAAACATTAATCAGTAATTAAAGTGCAAGATCTTGGCCTTGACATTATTATATATTTTACTAAAACAAGTCTAAATTGATTTAAATATCATCCAAGTTTTAGATGGCTTAGCAAAGTCTTCTGACTCTTTCATCAGTCCAGAAATACTCAATATTCATTATTACATGAGATGTTATATTAAGGTTAGTTAACTTTTCATCGTCGACATTATATAAATTCATAATGATATAAAATAATAAATGAAATAATGTATGTTCGCAAATTCTAATGCAATCCCTTCTAAATTTATGATCAATTCTTACTCGTATTTAAATAATTAATCTGGTTCATCTTCAATTATAGATATCTCATATTTTAACTGCAAGTTTCAACTATTCTGGATAGAAATAGTAAAGAGAATGCCTAGTTGTTAATCTGTTTATAAAAATTCTCTTAGATATCCTTATGATGATTATTGATAGGATTAGCAATAAATAAATAAATAGATTTAAAACATCTTATTTGATAGATCAAATACCATGAACTTTAATGTTATCTTATAACGCTATTCCTTCTTCCACTAAAAACTTGGCAATTTGTTATCTATTATCTCCGGTCAATCTAATTGTTACTTAATCTCCATAATCTTCATCCTTTGAAATAATACCACCTGTACAATTAAATTACTATAACTAGTTATTTCATTTACTTTTTTCCAAAATCTAATAATTTTATTTAAATCGAATTCATCTGGGATGCCAACAATAATTGTTTAGGTTTTTCTAGCACTTCTCTTTTTCAAATGAATATCTATTATTAATTATCATTCTTACGAATCACAAAGTTGAAGTTAACCATTTCGTCGAATTCATTTTAATTATCAAATTGGTTGTCAGTCATTCAATATAAATTTAAACTAATTTATTTATTAAAACAAAAAATTAATAATTATTCATATAGAAATAGATATAACTTTCACAATTAACCATTTTCCCATCTCCTTGCAAACAAGATGGGATCATTAAATTATTTAAGATTATCATTGATCACATCTTGAATTATCAATAGATCCTTTGAATTCAATTGTTTATTCACTTGTTCTAAGTTCTAATAGAGTTATTTCGAAAATCCCTTTGTGAACTATTCTAAATCATTATTGAAGTATTGATTAAATTTTCTATCCTGATTGGTATAAAAAACAGGAACCACCTTTAGATAATATTGTTCGAAGCTTTCAATCCATTGAAAGAGAGTCTCTTGAAAATTGAGAGGACAAAACTTTTTAATGGCATTGGCCTTCAAAGCCAACAATTTCCTCAATAAAAAAAAACACTTTTATTTCTCCTCAGTATTAATCTAATCAAAATTTTTGAGAACCTAATTTAAGAACACCAAAAACTTGTAAGTGGGTAATATTGTAGCCGATAAAGATTCGCTATTTTGATTTAATGTTGGTTTGTCTTTAATCTTCATCTTCTTTTCAGAATCTTGGAACTTACTCACTGAAGTCGAAGTTCTTACTTTCTATTATGAGATGGTATTATTCTAATTAAAAGGCCTATTAGTATTGCTATAGGTATTTTAATCTAATAAATTTTAGTAAGATGAAACAGTCTTAAGTTATCTTTTAGGAGAATCTATCAATTTTTTTTTCTTAGAAGTATAACAAATCGGCGATAGTTTGTTATCTTTAGTATCAATTAATGCATTTTCAATATTGCCAAATAGAGTATTAGCAATGGTATATTCATTCTAAACTTAACGATTGGAAGAGTAAGAGTTTTTGACTGTTTCATTTGTACTACTAGATTTTGCGTTTTATTATAAATCACTATTTTCAGAAATCTTAGGCTTTTCTAATTTTTGTATGTAATTTGATTAGACAATTGGAATTTGAATTTAAACTTTTCGTTTTGAAGATTTTGTATTTTCTTTTATTTTATTGTCTGTTTATTATTATGAACAAAATCCTTTAGCCAACTCTTTAAATTCTTGATCATACAAATTTATTTTATGCTATATTTGATAATGTCTACATGAGTTAGGTTCTATCTATTATTCAATCTCTTCATTTGGTAATGTTTTCAGAGGTTTTGAGAATTAATTAGGGCTGTGATAATCCTCATGAGCACTCGATCTCCTCAAAATCTTACATACTATATTCTGATGTGAGGTGCATTGCAATTTCTTTTAACTTTATAATTGAGTTAGTATCTATTCTATGGAAAGTCTTTTTTGAGGATCTATCTCCAACATTCCAATCAGAATATATTAGATATTTTTAGGCAGGTTTCTTTCATTTCTAATTTTTGCATACACCTCCTACTGTCTATTCCTTATATCTTCTTCTTTTTTTTAATTAAATGGCAATTCTTTAAATATCATCAAGTAAAGAACTACTCCTAACGACCATATGTCAGATTTTTCAGAATACTGATTTAACTGAACAGTTTCTGGTGCCATATATACTGGAGTTCCTACATGAAACTTCTTAATTATGCTCTCGAAATCATTTTCTACAATCGCAAATCCAAAATCTGACAATTTATATATGCCATTCAATCTTAAAATGTTTGCAGGCTTTATATCTCTATGTATTATTTCTAAATTATATAGGAATGCAGTTACTTTGATCATGAAGGGCCTTCACTCCTCTCGATATTTGAGTAAATATATCAATAATCTCTTTTATTGTTAAGTTAGTTGATCTTAAAATATTGGCTAAATCCCCATCACAACAGAATTCGCATATGATATAGGTGTTGTTTCTTGTCTGAAAGGCCTCATACACTTTCATTAGATTCTCATGGTTTAATTACTTGATTATGCTTATCTCATTTTTTAGCAAACTCTATGAGATTGGAGTAACTAAAGTTTAAAGGTTTATAACTTTTATCGCTACAACCTATCCTGTATCATTATGAATCCCCTTATACACCTTAGAAGAATAGCCCTCCCCTAAGATATCATTTAGAAGGTAAGAATATTTATAAACAGACTTTTGTATTTGCTATTTAGCTTCAATCATTTTTATGATTAAATTTAAACTTAAAAAAATTATTTTGATGTTAGAGTTTAAGAATGGTAATCAAAAAAACTCCAAAGTTCCAAATGATACGTTGGTACTTTATTAAAACTAAATTATCGATTTTAGATTTTCATAATTCTATTTTTAATAGCAAATTTCATGCATCCTTTCAGACAATTAATTTTACTTAAATTTAAATGATTATAATTTTAAATAGATTCTTCTAATATTATAAATATAACTATAATAAAGATATTAAAATATATCAAATTTTTTTCTTTCCACCAGATTTTTAAGGCTGCTCAGTCTTTTTATTCGATTTAGCTTTTGCTTTGCTATTATTTGGATGAATTATTTTTGTTGTTTTACCAAAGAAATTTTCCAGTCTACTTTAAAAACCTGCGGGATCTTTTTTAGCTATTCTTTTTAATCCATTATCTATTCTAGACTCTGCAAATCCTTTTTCTTCAATAAGAAACTTCTTAAGATTATCTACATCAGGCTTGTTCCAAGTTAACTTGAGTTATATTGTAATTTTACTTAAAGTTCATCTCCCTTTTATACTAATGGAGTAATGAACAACTCTCGACTGTCTTAATACAAAAATTTTGAAGGCACTGTGTATTTAGGATTTTAATTATTTTTTTCTCTTTCTGCATTTACTTTCTGAACGTGCTCTAAAATTCCCTCAATGCTTTTATATTCTTTAATGAGTTTATATGCTGTTCCAGGTCCAATACCTTCGATTTTTTCAGTATAATCGCATCCACACTAAAAATGAATAAAATTAAGTTTTACTAAAATGCATAGATCTACAAATTATTCATATGTTAATTCTAATTCTTTGATCATATCATCATAAATGATTTCATAAATAGGTTCCTTTTTTGTATTAAACCCTCTCAATAAAACTGGAGTTCTGAATGTCAAAGCATCCATATCCTCAGTTGCTGTAGCGTATATTTTTCCTGCTCTACATAATTCCGCACATTAAGCTTCTGCTTCACATGGGGCTATAATAACAGGACATCCCATTAATTATAGCATTTTGATTGCATCTTCTTTCATAATACTAGATATAGTTGTTGTTCTTTGATTTTGAAGTAAAGCCTATTGCATGTCACCCTATTCGAGAGCCAATTCAGTTTTAACTTTAGCCTCCTCTTTTAATTTTTTTCTTCTTGCCAATTCACCACTTTTTAATAAAGGTGGTTTTCCATCAAATACCCAAACAGGTTTAATTCCATTCTCAAGAAACTGCAATGTTCTATTAAATAATCCAACTAGATGTCCAGTTCTATTACCTTCTTTATCTGTCAACTCTATAATTTGTGTTAATCCTGCAGATTGTGTTTAAATTAAAAACTAATACATAGCCATAGATGCATCACAACCGATAGTTCTACATGTAAATGATTGTTATTACCTGCCAGCAAAGTAGTCAAGCATCAAAGTCCTAAAACAATTAGGTGCTTTTTCCTTCAGAAATTACATAAGCTGATGAATTCCCATATTAATTATTTAATTAATCAAGCGGCAAAGTTAAATACGATTATATATATATATATTTTTGGGATAATCATCATTTTTATGTGTCAACAAAGACATAATTTTTATTTAATTTTTCAATATCCTTCTCCAATTAGGCTAACTCCTTCTCACATTGCTCTTTCCTATAATGGAATAAAGATTAATGATTACTTTCTCTTCAATCCAACAGTATCAATCATCCTAATATGTGTAATTGATTAGTATTCTTTGTTAACTGATTCCCATTTCTTTTTTAATCCCTTTTTTAATTGTTCGACTTCTTCTTGAGTCATCAAATATTTTTGTTTATCCATTTCTTCAGCCTCACTTATGTGCATATTTCTAATAATTTCATATTCACTAGAAATGCTTTATTATATTTTTGTAAGATAGTCAGGTACCTTACCATAGTCCTTTTTTTCAGTCCATTGTTTATCATCCACTATTTGCTTTGGAGCACTTAGAATATTTTCAACTGCATTCGTCACTATATAATTTTTATTTGATTTAAGGCCATGAATAGGCTTTTCATCTTTTTTAGGTACTGGAGGTCTGACTGAAGGAGGGTATTTATATTGTTTGACTATTTTATAATTACAAAACAATACCTTCAGGCAGTTGGTTTGATCCCATTGTTCCAGTATTTTTTAACCTGAACATAGTAGAATCAGGTTTGTATGATCCTATAAAATTTGAATGTTAAATTACCCTTAGGTCTACCGAGAGAATTCGATTATCCTTTATGACTGTGTGGTCCCCGAACTAAATCAAATTCTCCATTGATATTATTAACCTGAATAAATAATACAACTACTTTAGGTCGACTAGTTGTATGGTTATTGAATGTGCTGCCAGTTGGTGTCAATCCACTTGGATATGCCGATCTATACATCGGTTCTTTAGGAGGAGGTACATATTCCTTAGGAATCAAGTTATATATGCTTTCCTGTTACATAATTATAATATATTTAATAATAAATACCATATATTATTTTAATCATTAAAGATTTACTTCTAATTTCTAAACAAGATCATTATATTAATCAATATTATCCATTTTCCCTGAGTATTTGAGTTCACCATGCTAATGATTTTCTATTAACCCATTTACACCTCTAAATCTTTGTAATTAATTTTTCATAAGATGACATGAATATACTATATTAAAAGGATGGGAAATTAGAAAGACAATTAATCCCCTAATGTAAATTTCCTTCTTCCTATTATTTTATGTCAAAAAATTTGATTTGTAACTTCTTTTGAATGAGAACTTTTCATTAAATTATCTTATAAATTAATTTAATCCTGAATGACTTTAAAAATAATCTTAATTTTCCTATCAGATTAAAATAGTAATGTAAAAAAAAAAAATATTTATATTTTCTTCCCCTTTTGCAGTTTCTGGATTTTCCTTCTAAATTAATATAATATTAGGCTTTCTATTTATTATCTAATAAAAATGTAGAATTAATAATTTAGAAGTGTGTAGTCTATAATAATCTTCTAATGTATTCTATTTAATATATCGCTTTCGATCGACTACCAATATTCTTAAATATTAAATGTAAACTATATTTTCAATTAATTCCTACATAATCATTCATTAAATTAACTTTCTCTTTGTTTTCACGTAAACATAAATTTTTAGAAGTGGTAAAGCCTTTAAAATTTGAATGAAATCGTTCAATATAGACAAATTATTAATATGCAATAACCATTATATAAAATTGGGGATATGAAGGTATGATTATGGGTTTTCATAAATCTTAATTACGGTTAGCCTGCGAATCTAATGAACTTTTCAATCTGGTTTGAATCTCTCTTTCCAAAATCAGAGTTTAGTTTATAAGTATTTTCTTATTGGAATGTAATTTTCCTTATAATTCAATATTCTATTCACTCAATTACATCTCCTATTATTAAACTTTTCTTCTTTGTCTTGATGGTATTATAGTTTGATACACTTCCTTGGATCAATAATTATATTATTTATTAAAAGATTGAAGCAAAAATAATATTCTTGACTCAGAATACCTCCTCAACAGATCATTAATTCTGTAATACAGAACATCATATTTGGCTATAAGATCATCATACAAAATTAAATAAATAATTGTGAAATTCTATTTAATACAGCTTATTCAATTTATAATAAATTATGGTATTAGCAGATCACATTTATTCTGGTCTACATTTCCATAGCAATATAAGTAAGGATAAAAATATTGTGTATTTTTGATATAGATTATTAAATCAGTTTTATATATATAAATAAAATATTATGGGCTCGTGTAATTAATGCGTATAGAAGCAAGAGTTACAGAAATCAGGCAGAAATCAATATCTCGTTGTTCATTAATCGCCATACAATCATCAAATGGCCATCAGAATCCAATCCGCATATAGATCATATATAACTCGATAAAAATTCAAGTAAATTAAGATATTGTATTTGAAGTTAAAAATTAGCAGAGAGGAGAGCAAGGAATTAGATAATATGCAACTCAACATAAGATTTCTTAATTGAGTATCATACCAGCTCTTATTCTCCAAAAATTAATTAGTTTGATTGTTCAAATGTATATTCTAGCATTCAAAACAATCAAAAACATTCAGCTCTCTCAATTTTCAATCGTCAATAAAGTCTTAAATTACAACCAAAAGAATCCGATTCTTTCGATTTTGAAGAATTGGACTAATATGACTAAACTCCATAAAACAAACTGCTTTAATCTCCTAATAAAAGCCTAAGATCTCTCCTAAATTAAAAAGAGAAAATAAACTCATTTAAATTTCGTTGTGTTTTGAGTTTGGAAATACTGGAGACAAATGATAAAATTAAATTATAATAAAAAAATAAGAGATAAAAGTATGATACTATCAAATTGGTTGGTGGTAATACCTACTATGGGGAATGGTTAGATTCATTACCAGATGGCAAAGGAAAGTACACATTTTCTGATTCCTCCTATTATTCAGGAGATTTCGTGAAGGGCCAATTCCATGGTAAAGGAGAGTTTAAAAGTAAGGAAGGCACCTGCTATCGTGGATAATGGAAGTTAAATCAAATGCATGGTGAAGGTCTATACAATTATAATAATGGCTGCAAATATGAAGGTACGTATAAAATTAATTAGCAAAAGGTAGTTGGGAAAAGGATCTCCCGAATGGATAAGGCATAGAATGGTATGCTAATGGTTCTGTTTACGTCGGTACTTTCTTAAATGGGGAAAAACATGGCAAAGGAAAATTAACATTTATTGCTGGGGAGATCTATGAAGGGGAATTTCAATTTGACAACTTCAATGGATAAGGAACATATGTAAATAATTAGATTTGAGTTTTAATTTAGAAATGGCAAGATGGCAGAGTATACCAAGGGGAGTGGGTGAATGGTAAAATGAATGGGAAGGGACTCTTGAATTGGCCTGATGGTCGTTTCTATAAGGGCTAATATTTGAATGATCAAAAACATGGCTTTGGAATATTTTCTTATTCTGATGGTCGTAAATATGTTGGTCAATGGAAGTTGGGACTATAACATGGAAAAGGAGAGTTCCATAAGGGAGATGAGTCATAAAAGATTACCAAAGGAATTTGGAAACAAGGGCAATTAGTTAAATTGCTCTGATCTTAACTGCTATAATTTTATTTTTTTTCTTTTTTTATATAAATGAGTAGCGATTTACTTATTCAATAATCTCAAGTTTTCTACTTGTTAAGAGAAGGACTATGGAAATCAACATAGGTGTTGTGTCATAAGGTAATTTAAGATCAATATATGTAGTTTTATCAAAGAACTCAAGATCCCTTCTTTCAATTTTGGAGGGCGTTCTGCTATTTCAAAAGTGGAAGTTTGAATGAAGCAATCAATGAGTTAACGCTAATTAGAAATAAAAGGGAATTTCAATTTGCGACTTCAGCAGCACTCATCTACTATTCATAGCAATAACGTGGTGTTGACAGGGTATAGGAGAAATTTTAATTCTATAGGAAATAATTGAAACTTGCAGACAGATGTAGAGTGAAGGGAGAAAGACTCCGAATGATCGAGCATTTTAGAGTGCCATTTATTTCTATTTATTCGTAGACGAAGGTAGAAAGGCAAAGGAAATTTTGGAATTATTATCAGAAGGACAACCAATAAGTTAAATCACTTTAGGGTGGTATAGGTTGTTACAGAAGGAAGAGTAATTTACTCCAGATAAAATCCTCGATTACTTTTAGAGTATTGGTGGTATTTAAGCTTATATTATCATTAGGGTAATTCAATTAAAAGCCCATCGAATATTTGCTCGGTTTGGCGAAGGCTTCAGAAATAAATAAGAAGTACCCAATCACCTTGGACGCCTTAAATGAATTAATGATAGTTTGGAGAGATTTTCCATACACAGATGTTGAGAAGTTGCGATTTTGTATATTCATTTAAGATTGGGAATAATTTTAGGATCTAGCTAATAAACTACTCTATGATGATCCAACCAACATATTTGGATTGAAAGCTATAGCCTTTTATAATTTGGCAAGGAAAGGTGATGTAAGAGAATCATTAGAGAAAATTGAAGAATTATTTAATGCCATCTAAAAACAAGAAGAAGACAATGTCTCATTAGTTTTGAATTGTTGTTAATTGCTATCCAGAGTTTCAGGGAGAAATCAATAAATTCTCTAATTGACAATGAGTTAAATCTAGAAGACTCGAAAGATTGCCCCATTATTAGGCGATTTGTGTTTAGAATTAGCTTAAGAAACTTTGATGTTGGAAGAATATGATAAGGCTTATGGATTTTTCTAAGAGGCTGCTGCTTTAGATGAAGGTAGAATGGAATCCTTAGCAGGGATGATTTAATGCAAAATATTATAAGGAGTCATTGATGATGCAGAAAAATAATTGGAATTCGTTTAGGAAGTCTAAGTATCTGTTGGTAGGACCACAGAGATTGCATTTTTATAGGCCCTATTAGAAAGCAAAAAGTCTGAAGGCACTGACTCTCCCATTGCCTAGTAATTTATTGAAGAAACACTTAAACTTCATCTAACTTAGAGCAAGCAGTTGCTGCCTGGATATGAATTTTACATAAAGTTTAACCCAGATTTCACATTTACCATAGCTTAGATGTATCTAAGAAATCTATCCACTAATTTAATGTTAGCAGGTAAGGAATTACCAACTTCAGGTATTGGAAAAGGAACCAAATTATTAGAAAGTATTGCAAGATAAGCACCTGGATTAACTAATGTTTAGTTATTATTATCTACTGGTAAAATGGCATTAGGAGATCCATAGGAAGCATTAAAAACTATTAATAGAGTGTTAGAATTAGATCCTAAGAATGAAGATGGATACATATTGCATGCATTGATTTCTATTAAAACTAAATAGATCAACTTAGCAGCAAACTCTTTAAATTAAGCCATATCTAATAATTTTGCGATTAGAGAGAATCCCTTATTTATGTTAGTTAAAGGAGAGGTTGAGTATAGAACTGAAGATTACAAGAATGCCTAAATTACACTGGAAGCAGCTTATGAATTAGTTGCAGGAAAAATATAAGAATAAAAATAAAGTTAAGTCAAAAATTGTGTAATTTACTGAAAAGGATAAATGCCAAGTTTTTGTATTGTTAGCTAAGGTGTATGCAATTAATAAGAAAGAAACTGAAGCCAAAAAGATTATGTAAAAGGCTATCTAGGAATATGCAGGCAGTCCTCATGAAAGCACAATTATGATGGCTAACAGTGAAATAGCAATAGAGAGTGGAGACATAAAGAAGGCTATTAATATACTTAAGGCTGTTTAAAGTGGATAACCAAATTTTGTTAATTCAAGAATTATTTTAGCAGATGTCTATTTAAAGTATTTGAAGGATCGAAGAAATTATACAAGGTGTTATGCTGAAATCATTGAGGCAGAACCTACAGCAGAAAATTATAAATTGATTGGGGAAGCATTTATGAAAATTAATGAGCCTCAAGAAGCTGTTTTAAGTTATTAAAAGGCTGCTGAATTGAATCCAGAAGATGAAGAAATAACAAGAATTATTGGTAATGCTCTTACAATGACATATGATTATCAGAAAGCAGTTAATTATTATGAGGCAGCTTTGTAGAAGACTCCAGGAAGATAAGATTTATTAGTTGATTTAGGTAGATTATATTTGAGAATGAATAATATCAAAAAAGCAGAATAAGTGCTAGTTTGGGAGAAGTTTGTAAGTGATGATTATGCAGCACCAACATTGACAACTTTGAGAGCAAATGCTTAAGGTTTTCTTTTGATTGCAAGGATGGTTACTAAATTATAATAAGCCACGTTTAATTAAGCCTAAAATGCTGAAAAAGAGAAGATCTAATAGTAATTGATGGCTGAATCTCAAAAATTAATCGAAAAAATAAGAAAGGCATTTGAATTGGCAGTCTAAACATAAAAAGATGTTATTGAGAAAAGTAAATAAGAAGCTGCTAATGTAAATAAGGAAAAGGAACAATTGGGATTAATATTTTTAGAGTAAGCCAGGTACTTCTTTTATAATGAGAGAAATTACAAGGCAACTTTAGATTGTATAGATGATGGTGTTAAATTCATACCTACAAATGAAAGCTTGATTTAGTTATAGGCTGAAACATTCTATCAAAGTGGTGACAAGATTTCATGCGAATAAAAATTAAAGATATTATAAAAATTGAATCCTAAAAATGATTATGCTTCCATGATGTTATCAGAATTAGTATTACAATAGGATGATAGTGAGAAATCAATTTAATAATTCGTTCAAACCTTACAAGAGAAACCAAATTCTTTTGGAACCTTATCTAAAGTAATAGATTGGTATAGAAAATAAAACAGATTGGATGAAGTCTTAAAACCATAATTGATAATTGTGCTAAGGCTACATAAAACTAAAATGAACCAGGGTTATGTTTTTGCAGAGGCTTGTATTATAAATATAAAAATCTACCCAAAGAGGCGTTGATATAATTTAATTATGCCAAGAAACATTAATAATATGCTGAAGACAGTTTGACTTATATGATCGATTTGTATTTGAATCCTGATTAAGATCTTTATTACTCAATCACAGATGAATAACCAAAACCAGTTGCAGTAGAGAATCTAAAGGCTTGTGATTAATTACTTAAGGAACTGTAAAATAGAGGAAGTATGTCAAGGTAATTATAATTGTTATTATCTGTAGATATCTAGTTATGTAGGCATATGTACTTTAGTTGTCAGGAATTCAAAAATCCATTGAAATGGCTAGTACTATTTTGGCACAGATTCTAAAAAGCAATAAAGAATGGGTTCCAGCAATGTTGAGTTTGGCTATCAATAAATTCTTAAGCAAAAAACAAACAGAGGGTAAAACTATTTTGAAATTGCTATGGGCAAAGCAAGCTGATACAAGTGGTTGGGAAAGAGATGAATTAGAAAGGGCTTGGTTATTACATGCAGACGCATTTATATCTATTCAAAAATACGATTAATCTGAAGAAATATTAAGAAAATGCTTGAAATAAAATAAATGTTGTGCCAAAGCAGAAGAATTAATGGGTTTGATAAAGGAAAAGGAGTAATCATATATAGATGCCTCTAATTCATATGAAAAAGCATTTAAGTTGACAAATCAAAGGAATCCCATTATGGGTTATAGATTGGCATTTAACTATTTAAAAGCAAAAGTATGAATTAAGTATATAAACCTAGCGTTTTGTTGATGCAATCAATATTTGCAAATTGATTCTACAAATTAACCCAGCATTCCCTAAATTATAATCTGAAATCCTGAACAAAGCAATTCAAGCCTTAAAGTCTTGAAAAATTAAATAGTATTATAATCAATTTAAGTTATTATAACATTAAAATATACTCAAAATCATTATATTTTTTTGATTGTTTGTTCAAGACTGAGATCTCATAACCTTAGATAATTAAATTAATATGTTTATAATGGATATCAGTAATAGACAAATACAAATATTCAAAAATGTCTTTATTTTAAGAGAATACGTTATAAATTAATTTAATAATACAATAGAAATTGATAAACTGAATGATTTTACTCATAAAAACAATTCTTCTTCTCTTTTAATCAAATTGCTTGTTAAATCAATAAGATTTAAGACTTTATTTACATTGTCCCCCCACTCCTATAACACATCATTTTCGTTCTTCTTTAACTAATAATCAACTATTCCTTATATTCTATCAATCTTGCATTTAAGTAACTAATATGAATTAAAACAATACTTTTTAATCCATCATTATGCATATTTCTTCCTCTAATTCCTCAGTACTAATGGCAATTAACTCTGTTATTCTATTAAGATAGACAGAATCATAATAGATTTAGAAAATTCTTAAATTATGGTGAATTAGTTATCTTCTAAAGTCTAAATAAATTATACTTAATAATTACCTTTGTATCTTTATTGGTTATTCTCAATAGACTCATCAAAAATCTCAGCTGCTTGGATATTATGAGTTTATGGTTCAGTGCTAATCAATTCAGTTCCCAAAAATGCTTAAATTAATTGTTATAGGTTAGGCAATGCTTCAAGACCATATTTATATGTTGTTGCAATGGACTACAATTATTTTTACTAATTAATATTGTTTAATGCTATACTTTTTCCTCAGAATATTGGCTCAATATTGTATAAAGAGCATAATTTTCTAGAACAGTGTTGTAATCAATTTTGAAATTGAAATCAACTTTTGTGGTTTCTAATTATCTATTTTTATGCAATGATTCCAATATTTTAGAATAGGCATGAGCTGTTTCTTGATAGTTATTTTCGTGTCTATAATAAATGACTAAGAATGAATAATAAATGATTTTGAGATCTGCAATATTGTCCTCTTCAATATTTTTAGGTTCAATTTTCTTGGAGATTATGAATAGTCTAACATAATCCAATTTCTTAATCATAATTTTCATATGATATAGGATGAATTCCAATTTTTCTCTTTTGTCCATAGAGCCATAGGTTTCCACTTAGACTTCTTATAATATTTTTGCAGCATCAGCAATTTGATTATCATCTTCTTTGTATTGAGTGAGCATCAATACACAACGAGCATACTCAACTTCTAAGTAAATCTTCTTTTCACATACTTTCATAATGGCATCTATCATTTCCAATTTTTAATTAATTGGAAGTGTCTTTAATTCAATCATAGCCATTTAAACAAGTTCAATTTATGCTTTTTTTGGTTATCCCCTCTTTTTACTAAGTGATACTATCAATTCATTAAATTTTGAGTATTATTTTGTATCAAAACACAATCTAGCAATTTGTTTGGTCACTTTAAGTGTTTCAACTAAATTATTGGCTAGACGAGCTGTCTTCTCTTTGTTTAGGAGATCATCTATTTGTTTGTCGAACTCATTCTCTTCAATGATCATTTGGATTTAAATTTAATTTAATGAATACCAATCTGAATTATTTTAATAATGATTTACGAAGGCAAATAGTCTATTTTCAGCCATTAAGATTAGTATGCTCTGATTAGAATGGTGAACTCTGAAGATGACACAACCACAAAGAAACATGAGGAGGGTAAAACTACATTCACACTAAAGATGGCAAAGTACTTATCAACTTCTGGAATTGGAGATTATTTGGATGGAATTAATGTGCTATTGAGCTTCCTTTTAACGGTTTTACATCTAATTGATTGTTCTTTTTGGGATTAAGGAGGAAACTAAGATGTTGGCGAGGGATAAGCAATAATTACAGTAATTTCAATGATATAAAAGTTGTTAGATTCCAGAATTGATATGTTATATCTATTTCCTTCTTGATTTCGTAATCAATTTCTACCTGTCAGAAAATAAGTTGTTCTTTACATTTTAAACGACATCATTAGTGGAATACGTTTCAATATTTCCATCATTGCTTGCTAGATTAAATATAATCACTGGATACAAGTATATCTACATGTTGAGAGTGCTACGATTCTTATTGTGTTACAAATTGGATAAGGTACTACAGAGACTGTCAATGGAAGGTATTTAATTGGTTCAATTTAGAGTGTTTAGGTTGGCATACAAACCGATTGTAACTGTCATGTCAATAATAATGATAAACTCTTCAGTACTTTACGTAGTTGAACAAGATTACTCAATAGTTGAATACATTTATTTTATGGTTGTGACTATTTCAACCGTTGGATTTGGTGATGTCTACCCGACAACAATCTATGGAAGATTTTCAATTATTGTTGCAATTTTGATAATGTTTTTGGTCTTGCCAACTCAAGTTGAAATGTTGACCAGAGTCTACAGTTTACGAAGTTAATACGCAAGGAACAAGTACATTTCAAAGAAAGAATCAGAACACCTCCTTTTGCTTGGGTCATCCTAAGTTGAAGGATTTAAAACATTTTTAAATGAGCTTTATCATACTGATCACGGAATGAATGATATCAATACTGTCATACTCTAACCCTCAGCACCGACTGAAGAAATGACTCTCCAATTGAAATAGCCAGCTCTCTAATCAAAAGTAATATATTTAGAGGGACACCCATTATAAAATAAAGATCTAGAAAGATGTAGTTCAAAAGACTGTAATTGTGTAATTGTTTTAGCGAATAAAACAAGTAGAACACCTAAGAGAGATGATTACCGTAAATATCATTCATGCATTTGCTGTGAAATAATTTGCTAAGAAACAGAAATCCAGAAAAGGGGCTCGAGTGTGTTTGCAAGTACTGCAACCTTCTAGCAAAGATCTATATTTTAATTCGCTTGGGGGTCATGAAACTGATTAAGTTATTTGTGTTGATGAACTTAAACTGTATCTATTAGGAAAAACTTGCTTATGTCCTGGAATAAATACACTAATTTCATTTCTAATTTAATCATCCAAACCATCCTATGATATTACAAAGTATGACAAAGATAAGAGTGAATGGATAGATGACTATTTATGTGGAATGTAAAATGAAATCTATAGAGTACCATTAGAGTCTCTGGCATTTGTTGGCCTGACATTTAGTTAAGTAATTTAGGGTTTTTAACAACATAGATTTCTTCAGCCATTTATAAAGAGTTGAACATTATTCTATTCGCTCTTGAGGTAGAACTAGAATCAGGCACCAGTGTGTTTGTAAACCCAGTTGAATACCTATTCGAGGATTACTTGCATTACGGTTATGTGATAGCTAGTGAAATGCCCAACATTGATGAGATTCAATAGATCAAATTCCCTGAATACATTCAAAGGAATTACTGCTTTCCCAATCAGCAGAGGTAATAAACCAACAAGAATGCACTCCAATAAGAAGCTGAATACTTGAAGGAAATACTGAGTGAGGGTCTCAAAGATGATTCTTCTAAACACCCTGCCTATTATTAAGTCAAGCCTTAAACTATAACTACTGGACTCCCTAAAGTAGGAGACCAAGAGAAATTCGAAAATCACTTCATTGTGTGTGGAGTGGTCACCGATATGAAATACCTTATGATGCCACTCAGAGCCAGATCTTTAAAAAATATTTAACCGATTGTAATACTGAATTAGGATCTGATACCAACTGAAATACAACTTTAAATTAACAAATTCCCAAAAGTGTATTTCCAATAGGGATCTCCACTTAATACTGAAGATTTGAAAAAGGCCTGCATTCAAAAGGCTTCGGCTTTAGTTATCCTACAAAAGTCAGCTGATTAGGAAGATGGATTATCGAATATCGTTGATGCTGATACAATCTTTATATATAAGACAGTGAAGTTATTAAACTAGAACATAAACATAATAACTGAATTGGCTTCCATTTCAACTATTTCTTTCTTATAGATCTCTAGGAATAATTATGTTCAAAAATATGATTGGTCTGTGAGTGAACCGTTTGCCTCTGGAGAAATTTACATTTCCACCATGCTTGATACATTAATATGCCAAGCCTTTTACAACCCATTTATCACTAGCATTTTTGATTAGATGATTCTAGGAAGTGCTTCAGTAAACAAAAAGGTAATCAGATCATCAATATCCTTTCTAGCACAAAAAACTCTACTAAGCCAATAAATTACAGCAAAGCAACTTATTTCTAATTAACATCCCTCCAAAGTATTAAGAGAAGACCTTTGGAGAACTATTTGAGATTTTACTTACTGAACAAAAGATGATCCCCATCGGACTTTACAGAGGAGAGAAGGTTAAAAACAACAATAAGCCTTATGTGTTTCTTAAACCACCCATGGATGTAGTTGTATCATGCAAGGATAGATTGTATGTTTTGAGTGGGAAACAACCAAAAGAGCAAGAGAATGTAGTTGAAGACGAAAACAATTTTGGATAAGCAGCTGCACCCTAATAATACAATATCAAGTCTAAACTATAGGGAGAGGAGGGCAGAGTTGATATTGAGTTTTCAAGAGAGCTAATGAAATTTAATGACAAATCGTAGAGCTTTGTAAATGAGTTGAAAAAGATAAACAGTAGAGTCTTTAATTAAGGATTGATTCATGATTGTATTTTATAATATGTATTTAGAATTCGTTAAAAATGTACGAGATTTGTTAAAAGAAGAATTAGCCAATCTAAATCCAACAACTTGATATGTTATAACAATCACTAATATATATAAAGTATTTAAATCATTTTTAAACTTTTGTTAAAATAGAGTATATGGCATTAATATGACATAGTGTCTATTTCTACAAACTTTTGATTATGAACTCTCTTGAATAGCCAAATTACTCAATTTAAGAAATGACTCTCAAATCTAAATTGGAATTCTACACTGAAACTTTATTCGATTTTAGGTTTAACTCTTTAAGCCAAGGATGATTCAGGATCTCTGTTAAGGTTATTCTTAATTTCGGATTCACATTTAGTATTGATTTTATAAGATCTAATAAAGTATTAAATTAAGAATTACCAACGGCGTCATTGGATAAATTATATTTCTTCATCTCCATAAAATTAAGAAGACCATTTTAAATATTGTGATTTAATTCATTCATATTATTTCCTTTAAATGGCACTTTTCCAACAAGCAATATATAAAGCAAAACTCCTGAACTCCAAATGTCACTTGCGAATCCCTCATACCCTGTTTTGTTGGAGATCACTTCTGGTGCCAAATAAGCAGGAGTTCCACATTATTCCAATATCTTCTATCCCTTTATAATCTGTCTGCTCACTCCAAAATCACAGATCTTTATTGAGTCTCCCTAAAGCAGTATATTATCTAATTTGATATCTCTATGTAATATGTTATGACTTTGAAGTATCTACAAGGCCAATATTAATTGACCAAATAGATTTTTGGCTTACCCCTCGGGGATTGGCTTCTCCTTTGTCCACTTCATCAAATCTCCTCCTTCCACATATTCCATAATAATGTAAATCTGCTTTTTTGTTTCGAAGACTTCAAAAAGAGAGGCAAACTACTAGTATTGGGACAGTATTTTCATCAAAGTAATTTCCTTAAAATAGAAACATGAGTAATTACTAATAACAATCTTTTTTTAGCACTTTCTGTTTTGAGTGTAGATTTTTCAATTATCTTCATGGCCACCTTTGCTCCTGTTAATATTTGGATACCCAAACACACCTTTGCAAATGCTCCTTTGCCTATCACATAGCAGAGCTACCTTACTAAGGTTAGAGATGCGATACCTTATAAAAATCGGGTGTTGTTATTGGAATGCGTTTCTTTGTCTTGGTGGTGTATGCAATCCTGTTGGCAAGAATTATTCTTTCCTTCATTATATCTTCAGTGGTTGGAAACTGAATCTCAGGTAATTGTAGCATGAAATCTTGGCAATCCAATAGTTCAGTCTCCATTCTACCAAAATCAGGTAGCAATTTTGGAAAGCTCTCCTCTTTGCTAATTTGGCTGTTTGATCGTGACTTTTAAGTTGTTTGTTAACTTCTGGATGTCGCTTTGTTTCCAAGGTCAATTTTCACTTTTCCCAATTTTGACACAGGTTTTGAATTGGACATAGAGACTGACTCTGAATTCTTGGTGGGTACTGGCAACCTAATGATTTATATATTACTATTCTACTTAATGGCTGGACATAATTTGCTTACTGATCTCGAACGGTCTGTTGAATTCTTGGAAACTTAATTTGAGATACTCCTGGTTCGAGTGTTAGTAGATTAAGTGTTAAAATTGATGCATTTGACAGAGATATGTTTTTTCAGTTGATTCATTTTATAACAGATAAATTTTAATTATTCTAAATTGAGCAACTCATACAATCCCAAATAACACCAACAAAAAATAAAGAACTCTAAATGTAAATTGTTGTTTAAAGAGATTTATATATATGAATTGGCTTTAAATGTGTATACTTTGGTAAGTATAAAATTACATTATTACATTATGAATATAAAAAATCACATGTCTAAGAATTCTTGTAAGGATAGTCTTCCATCTTTGTCTTTATCATATGCATTTATAAGAAGCATTGCCTCATGATGAGTGTATCTAAGCCCACTTTCATAAAGATATTATTGTAACTAAATTGAATATCAAATTACATACATCTGATACTCCAATAAAATTATCTCTTGTGATACTGTCAATTTTTGTGAATAACTAAATGTCAGCATTTAATTTCACTGGAATTTATTACAATAAAGTTAGTAGTTCAATCAATAATTTTATTGTTTAATTGCTAAATAGCTAACTGATCTTCTTCTGATTGCCACCAATGCTTGGTTATCTCGTATTGAGTATTTCTGCAAAATTAACAGAGTAGGGCTAAAGAAGATATAAAAAGTCATGATAACTTAATTAGTTACTGTTGAATCTACTAAATATATGCACACTCTATCCAGATTTCTAATTAAGTAGAGTATCTATTTCCTCTACTCCTATGGATCCTTTGCCATAAACATCCAAAGCATGAAATGCATCCAATGTATTAAATTCCTTTTACAAAGCTAGTTATTGTTTAACCTTTTCTATTTTGATTTCTTTGTCTAACAAATATTCTATAATTTCATATGGTGATTTTGGTTTTATTTTTGATAAATTGTTGACATTCTTTTTATTTGTTTATACTTCTTTAATCATTTTCTTCTCGGTTTCTCCTTCTTATTTCTTTTAGGCTATTTTCCCTCTAATTTCTTGTTTCTAGGTTTCATAATTCGCTACTTTTTTAGTTGATTTTTATTTTTCCATTAAATTCCCCTTTTTAGGAGATACATTCATAACCTTTGGTGTATTCTTTGTAGATCCCTTCCTCTCTGTTGTTTTAATAGCATTTTGTATCTACACTTTCTTTTTAGGAGTTGCAAATGTGGAAGATGATTCCTTCTAATTTTTCGATTTAATTTATTAATTTAGGATAAGTACCCAATTTTTTAACAATAATAAATCAATTTAGCCATCTCCATAAAAGTCTAATCTCTTTATTATGGCATCAATCTCATCTTAGTAAACAAACAATCTTTCCTTTTTAAATAAGCATTCAATATCCTCTCTAGTTCCATTGGCTAATTTATCCAATGATTTGGGTGGCAGTAAATTATTCATTAGGACAATTTCTAAGCTAATATGTTTGGCTATTTCCTTTAAGCATTCGTTTGATTATTAGGTTTTTTAATCTGAATGCGAAATATAATCTCTTAACAGTTGATTTGTTGGAAGTAGAAATCTGAGGAAGTCTACATATTTAAATTCTGGTTTGTAAAATAATATGCCACATTCCTTAAGAGTGTGCAATTATCCAAATCTATGTAGAAAAACCTGTATTGTCTAAGCTGTAATATAACCCTAAATTGTAATTATTATAATACATCATCATGTAGGTCAATTTATTTAAAAGCCTAATAAGGATGAAAGGAAGGGATTTTTGTTAAAAATTGCCTACTTATTTCAATGGTTCTTTCAATTTTAGCACATTCCATCATAAAATCCAATAATTCCATTAAAACAGACAAAATTAATATTAGAGACAAACAAAACCAAAGTAAACTCAATTAAATTCAAATAGGCATTTTAAATAATGATAAATCACATGAAATCAGAAACTAAATGAATTAGGAGACTAAGAAAACCAATGTAGTGGCGATGATAATTTTAACATAAAAATATATTCATAAAAATTTGATTTATAAAGAAATGAAAAGAAACAACAGTTCTTTTGCCTAATAAGAAACTGTTTACAACCTTTCAAAACCCAATTCGATGCAAGAAATCAATTGTAAGACATTATAACTAAATAAGCATCGATCTGCATAAGCTAGAGTTATTAATAAAACAGTTCATTGAATTAGTTATATGCAAATAGATTCTTAGGTGAATGGAACGAAGATTTGTATACGGTATCAAGAAAATATGTTCCCACTTACACTAATGGTTTGAATTTATATACTACATATTGCACTCCCTAGAATCCGATTGCCACCATTGTAATCATCCATGGATACGGCGATCATTCAGGAAGATACTTCCATGTATTATAAAAGAAAGATGAAAATAGGTGGCAGATGAATATGCTAAATCAGGCTTCTAAGTTATTCTTTATGACTAGAGAGGATTTGGAAATTCTGGAGGCATTAGAAGTCACGGTCATATTAAATAGATGCACCAAGATCTTGAATGCATATTATTGACAATTGAAAGATCCTAGCCAATCTTTTTACAGTGTTAATCATTAGGAGCTGCAGTTGGTTTGAGTTTTTGCATTTCGAATCCCTCCTTGATCCTATAAGGAGTCATTGTTGTTAATCCTTATCTGCAATTTGCTCAAAAGTATGGAGTTCTGAAAAAGGCACTGCTAACGTTGATGAATAAGATCATTCCTGTAAAATACTTATAAATTATAGGGATTAATGGTCAATTCCTACATTGATTTTGGTCATTGTAGCAAGAACAACAATGTAATCAAAACAGTAGCTGAGGATAGTCTAGTTTAGCCATTTATGAGTATTGGAATGGCTTATAATATATTGCAATTAGAATAATACATCCTACCTAATGTATCATAGTAAGATTCTTGATAAATAAATTTTAGATTTGCTTAGCCTCTATTAATTTTACATGGCAAGGAGGATAAGGTGGCAAGTCATATGAATTCTGTAGAACTTTATAGACTGGCTGGATCAAAAGATAAAACTTTAAAGTTGTTTGATAAAGGATTTCATGAATTACAAAATGATGTTGAATTTGAAAGAGTCAAAAACATTATAACTACATGGTGTTAGAAATAGGTCAATAAAGATAAAAGAATAAGTATTCTTTATAAATCATTTATGTTAAGGTTACTTTAGAGAGTTGAATCATGGTTTGGTTGCAAGACAGAACAATAGTACAAAAATGATTATTTTGTAATGGATATTGATATATTTCATGTTGAGAAAGTAATAATTACTTCAATAATTAGTAAAATGAAAAATCTAGGAAGAATAGCTAGATTTATTTGTATATTAGCATTAATGATTGCTTCACTTATTGTTCATATAAGATGGTGATTATTATTTATATTTATTATAATATGAAATTGCTCTTTTTTAGCTATTTTTATTTAATAGTTATTAAATATAAGTATAATTCATATCCATTCCTTATAATTATGTAGTTGTATTCAATCTATTATATATAATTGGAGATGAATTAATCAATTTATAAATTCAGTATATTATAAAAATGATAACAAAAAATAAAATGATTTATTCATCAACCATAAGCCTATTCAGAAAATCGAAATTATTCAAAAAGGATGATGAGTTAGATTTATCAAATTTCAATCAAATTTTTTAGTTTCAATTAGAGAATTTTGTAATTCTATTAGTCTTGTTGTTTTTTATTATACTAAATCGAAAGAATTTATTGAAATACACAATAATTTATTCGTTATTCATATAGTTTAGATCTCAAACAATGTTCATTATTTAATTCTTATCACTAAATTCAACTAGAATTAAATAATTATTCCCTTTGAATTTATTTGATATTGAATTTTTCGTAGAGCTATTTAAGTCAGTTATAGTTCTACATTCATTTATAATAATAAATTGATTCTATCCTAATTTATAGTTTTTATTGAAGTTCTATATAATAATAAGATGATTTCAAAATAAACATCTCAGTCTATAAAATTAACTTGATAATATCTATAAGAATAATTAATATAAATATAAAAATGTAAGAAAAGAAAAGAAATATCATAATACAAGAGATTTGTCACTAAACATACTTTAATAATAACTAGCTGATCATTCCCATTTAAGAACAAAAACCAATGACAACATGTATTGAAATTGTTTAAAGAAGATTAATAAAATCCATATCAAGAATAAGGGGAGCTAGTTCAATAGCAGAATATAGGCTAAAATACAATTGAGTAACTTAAAAATACTCAACAAAATTTATAATATCCAATATAACCATAGACTCAAATCCAGAGAAAAGATGTTCCAAATCAAGTAGATCAAGATTTCTAGGCCATTAATCCATATGCTTAATAAAAGGAAGTCAATTTTAAGCCATAAGTAAATCAATTAATAACCTAGGAATAAAGAAAATATAAAGATGATGTAAAAATCTATTACAATCAATTAAACTATAAACAATACTAGCCTTTGAAAGGCAACATTGATCAAAATCAATAATAGAAATAACAATTTCAAAAAACAACAGTCCAATAAACATAGATTTAGACAGAATAATATAAGGCTCAATAATAACAAAAATAATTTACATATACTTAGGTTGTTGAATAGAATTAATAATAATTAAATCTTGGAGATTCTAATTTAAAATCTCCTAATAAAAAGCATATTAAAATTTAATAACACAATTAGGAATTACACTAAATAAGGATTGTAAATGAGGAGAGGGACTAATTTCTAAAACACTTTATGACACAAATAAAGAATACTTTATAAAACTATGGAGGAATTCAAATCGTTAAATAAAGTTCAGAAGAAAGAAAAAGGGGTAATAAATCATCTAGAGAAGCTGGTTAATAAACACAATTTAATAGAAATCAAGGACAATAAAATCAACCTTATCAGGAAGTTTAATAACCAAAAAAACCAAAAATAGTGGAAATATAATCAAATATCCAACTTTAAAACTCAATTTTAAGAAAAGATTAAAATGAAAGGCTTCTATTTACATAGTAATAGTAATTTTATTAATAATAATTTTAATAAAATTCTCCATAATAAAAAAGTAAATAAAGAATTTAAATTAAGGAAGTTAAAATTTAAGAACCAAAACATAATGAAGGTAAATTTAATTATGATTTTGAAAGACATCTAACCAGACAGGAAGTAACCAAATGCTTAAAAGGGTTATTATGATTCAAAAAGCCATAACCATATAAAAAACACTCAATAAAAAGTTCAACATTAATAAGTAAATAGGCGAGATCATTAATACATTAAGTAATTATTTATTATAATCGATAGTCAAACATAAGTCCAAATTTAATAATAAAACTATCAGAATGATGGAAGGCACAGGGCATTGAGTGACTTATAACAAAGAAGAAGAATTGAGTACAGACCTGGTATGGTGATTACTGATGACCTTGTGAATTAGATGACTCCAGAAGAAATTTATGAATATTTTACTTAATTGGATTTAGAAAACTAGTTGGGATTAAAAAGCAAGATCATTGTTTTAGAAAATAAAAGAGTCTAAATAAATACTGCAGATAGTTGTGCCATATGTTTAGAAGATATCTAACCTTAGAAAGAGGCCGTTGATATCAAATTAGATTGCAATCATTAATTTCATTACGTTTGCATTAAACAATGGTTATAGAAATCTAAATTCTGCCCAGTTTGCAAAAAATAAGTAGATTGCGGAACCAACTAAAATATTTAATGATAATAAAACATATAAAATGATATTTATTATTTGCATGACGTACATTTATTTTAGAAATAAGTATTCTTTTGAAAAAAAAAAATAAATATAATATAAATTTGAAATTGGATATGTAATAGATTTCTCCAGAAGTTGAGCAATACCTACAAGAAGCAGTCAAACCACTCCTTGAGAGAATCGAGGAATTAAAATAAAAGGATTAGTAGAATGAAGATCAGATCAAATTTCTGACAGGAGAAATCAGCCAACTCAAAGCATTGGTTTCAACTTTCAAGCCAGCCGAGGAGAAAAGTATTGTGATTTAAATTATAATTAGAATAAGTTAAGTAATAATAGAAGTAAGAAATGAATGGTAATAATAATGGTAAAAATGATTATATCTGGAAAATTAGATCATAAAAAGCCTGAACGCCCTTAAACTGCAGTTTAACAAAAGAATGATTAAAACAAATAAAAGGAACCAAAGCCATAAACTGGAAACAAGAATTTAAGCCAAAGTGCATTAGTAGATAATACAACTAAGAATGAAGCGGAAAACAGTATATTGATTATTCAAAATTAGCTGCTCCAAAATCCCAAAGATAATCTGAAGAAAAACAACCTAAAATTGCAAAATAACAATAGTAGTAGCCACCTTAACCTAAACCAAAACCAGCTAAGCAGCCAGAATAAAAGGACTAACAAGAAACAAAAACTTCAAATTAAGGTATAATTTTTAATATTCAATTTAGATTAACCATAAAAATAAGCAAATCCCTAGAAAGATGACAAGTAAGCAGACAAAATTAAACAAAATAAATAACCTCAACCTTCTTAACCTCCATAATCAGACAAACAAAAAGAATAATCTAAAAAGAATGAAAAACCTTAAGATTAAAAATAAAACGGAGTTTAAAAAAGTACTAATTCCAAATAACCTGAAAAAAAAGTGGATAATAAACAAGATGATAAAAAAATAGTTAAAAAAGGTTCTAAGCCTGTAAATTAATCTGGAAATCACCATTAAACTGATGAATAATAATAATAATAGAAAGCGTAAGTATCTTAAGAATAACCTCCTGCAGAAAAATAAATCAAAGAAAACCATTCTGAATAGAATGAACAGTAATAAGATCACCATTAAGAAATAGTTAATAATTAATAAGAAGCTGTTTAGAATTAAGTAGAAGAAGCTGTTTAGAATTAAGCAGAAGAAGCTATTTAGCATTAAGCAGAAGAAGTTCTTTAGCATTAAGCAGAAGAAGCTGTTTAGAATTCAGTCGAAGAAAATCAATTTTAGCATAATGGCAATTAAGAAAAATAAGAGGATGAAAATTTATTAACTGATAATCACTAAGATGATAATAATTAAAAAAGTGAATAAGTATAGTAGAGTCAATAGGAGGATATGTTTTGAGTTTATTAAATATCATCATAGAGAATAACATATAATTATAAATATTATTTATATTCAAATCTAATCATAAACAATTCTGATAATCAGGATACACAGAACTTTTATAAATTAAGAATTCCAAATGAAAGTTAAAATTGAGTGATTTGATAAAATTACTTGTAGTTATTTTAAAAAATCATTAATTCATGTGGTGTTAAATTTATATTAATGGCAATTACCATAAGTTTGGTATTCATTAAAAATTGATTAGAAATATATACTGAGATTTTTAATTAATCTTCATTATTTTTAATTACATTATATGTTTAGAGGCAATTATAATAGATAATCCCTTAAGCCATAAGTGGTCACCTTTTAACACGTATTAGATTAAGTGAATGCACTTGATCATAGAGCCCTCAGTGTATTAATTTTTATTATATTATAGCTTTTGCATAAAATGGTGAATCCATCTTAGATGAATATTTTTGCAACTGCTTCTCTTGTCTCTTTATTTGCAGGACTTATTCGAGAGATCCCTTGTGAACTATTAGATGAAAAGGTAAATCAATATATTTAGATAGAATCTCAATTGGAGTTTGTTACATATGTTTTTAAACGATGTTGAGAAATTTTTGGAAAACTTAAGAAAATTTAAGGAGTTTATTAATAAAAATCAAATAACATCTAAAAACATGCAAATTGCTAATTATTGGATACAAAAATACAATGAAATATAACAGGAGTAAAATCATGTCATAAATTTAGTAATTAATATTCAGTTTCATATGCATTTGTATAAATTACTTAAATGATCATTAAACTTGACAAACAACTCAATTAAAGATAGCCTTCAAGTCCTGCAAGGTCATTGTCTGCATCACCAAGCCCAAAACTGAATGATAATGATGATATCGATGAAATTGATGAACTTAAAACATAACCGGAAAGAATGAGTGTACGAGAGCCTCCAAAACCAAATGGATTAAAACTTTAATTAGTCCCTAATAAACCTATGTAATAAACACCAGCACATAAACACACATAAAGCCAGCAAATCAAATAAGTAGCACCAATTCATGCCCCAGTAGTGCAAAAAAAGAAATGACGATAAATAAAATGATTATATATCGAAAAAAATAACCTTACACCCTTTCATAATTTAATTTAATACTTGTGTTTTTCTATGTTAATCTTTTAATTCTTTATATTAAGTTTAATTAATTGAAGAGGGATGAGATCAAACTATATAGAATTGATTTGAGAATCTTAGTTAGTTTAAGAATTATTTAAAAATTTGTAATTTTGATTAAACATGGTTTTGAATTACATGTAAGTATATTATTTAACTAGAGAAAATAGAAATCGTAAAAATTCGTAAATATATTATATTATTTAAAATAAATTATAATGCTGCCACATAATCAAATAGAGTAAGGAAATGATTTCAGAACAAGACGTATGATCCACAATACATTCATATAGGAATCAAGTTTCTTATTTTCTTGAGCATCTCAGCTATGATCATGTGCTCCGTAACTTATACTGAGGATTCAGAAGTTCATATTAATAGTTTGAATTAATGTCTAAATGTTTCTGGAGACTAAGGCCTGCTTAATTATATCTGTATAAATAATTCTGAAAATAGAAAATTCCACAAATAAGCCTTCAGCTGAATGCTATTTATACCAATTCTTTTCATTTTTTACTGAAAAGCATTATAAAGGACTGCTCAACAGAACTTATACACATTTCCATGTGTATTAGTACAACCAATAAAAACCAGATTTTAACATAAGCGTACTGTTTTCTACAAGTACCTACCTTGATGATCCTCAGCAATAGTTTTGGTTTTATCTGAATGTTCCTGAATACGTTAAAACCTTCAATACTCCTTTAACTTTAAAGGTGCAAAACAATGATACTACAGGTATTATTATAAATATGAGTGATAGGGTGTTAAAATGAATTAATTATGGAATTAAAGAACATAACTAATAATATGAATATAAGTTTTGCTGAATAATTGGTTATGGATGTGAGAGTAGAAATGCAATGTCAGAATTTTCATTAAATGTTTTTAGGAACAGTTAAAGATGATACAGAGGAGGTTGAGAGTTAAGTGATAACCTATTCATTTTTGAATAGTGCTGTTTGCTTATGTTGTATGATTTATGGGTTGAGAATACTTCGAGCACTGATTGAAGGGTTGGATAACCCTGAAGAATATAGCATGTTTTCTATAGGCTTTGTTATGGTTCAGGATTTATACTTGTGCTTTTTGAATTTCTTTTAGGCAATGCAATCAGAAACTTTTTTTTAATATTTTATAACTCCATCATTTCTACAATTTCTATTGTTTTCAATATTTGAAATGAGAATATTGATGATATTATGGAAGAACACAGTTGGAAATGATTAAAGTTTTAGGAATCATGTTATCAAATTTTACTTAATTTTGTACTTGAGTATGTTCAGCACTATGTATTTGATCTATGAGTATATTGTATCATCATGGCTTTTATTTTTTTTAAGCTTATACATAGTACCATAGATTACTCATGCTGCTTAAAGAGGATAATTTGTAAGATTCAACTCTAAATTGATTTGTGGATTCTTATTGCCGCGATTAATCTATTATGCTTACTTTAGATTATATTGGAACAATTTATTCTCTCTCAAGCCAATGCCAATATCCATCATTTGCATTCTTGTGAGTGTTGCAATATAGATTGGAGTGCATATATTATAAAATGAATGGGGTCCACAATTTTTCTTGCCTAAGATTTGTTTTCCTTCAAAATATAACTACTATTACAAGATTCCAACTTCCTTTGACCTCGAGGAAGGACCATCTTCAGAATATGCAGTAAAATGATTAAATAATATTAGCATTTATTTAATGAAGAGTGTTCGATTTGTATGGGAGTGCTTCATTAGGTGCCCACAATAAGATTAACTAACGAAGAGGAACGAAATTATATGATAAAAGAAGCCATAAAGAAATAGAAAAATCATTATATGAAAACTCCATGTGTATAAAGAAATGTAATTATTAAAGGATCACAAATTTCATGTACTTTGTCTAGTCAAATGGATGTCAATCAAACTATCATGTCCTAGTTGTAGATAATCATTGTCACCTTTATGAAATTATAATTATATATTTATAAATCAATCTATAGAATTATGCAACAATTGATTGACTTTGATTCTTTGGCCTAAATAATTTTATTATTAATTTAGATAAAACATATTATCTCTAGGGGCTATATATTTATTTAAATTACTTTTATTTTTAAGCTAAGGTATCAGAGAGAAGGGTATATCATCAATCCTATGAACAGAGGAACTCCTTTGTATTTTTTTAAATTATCTGATAATTGGTTTTTGGTGGTGAAAACTCTATAAGGTTGTTTTCTAGAGATTTAATTCTGAACTAGAAGCATGACTTTGCTGATTTAGTGATTGTTATAGTTGTAAAGTTTATCCAAATTAAGATTGCTACGAAACAGTTATTTGAGAAGTATTGGGTCTGATTTACTGTGATTTGGTTTATTCTGATTTTCGATCTATTTGCCTTGTTTTGATCAAACGGAAACCATGTTATTATTTTAAAGAATGTTATTGAACCAGCATTTTTTGTTTTGTTTTCTAAAGTAAAATGAACGGATCAAAAGTTGAATCTATATGATTTATAGTGGTTGAATTCGAATAGTTTAATGGATATTGATCTTGTCGTTTCTTAACTTTAAGATGCTTTTATTTGAAGTATTATTAAATGAATGTTGGCATCTTTTGATAAGACAAATTACCGAATAGAGCTCCAAATTGATCCTCATTAGTTTGACTTTGTTAATCTTGACAAGTAGAAGTTTATTTAGATAGAACTTTAAAGGAAATTGTTTTTTTAATATCCTAATTGAGCATCTAATCTTTATTGGTATTTTACCAATTCTTCTCTAATTCTTGGCATTTTTATTTATAAATCTCATCTCTCAAAATACTTTTCTCCTTAAACATTTTAGAAACAAATTGAAAAACTTATGGAGATATGTTTTTAAGTTGTTACATAGATATCATTAAAAGAGATACAGATTTAGACATTACTTTAACATTGTAAAGAGCTTTTTCTTATTGAGTAAATTCCTCTCCCAAAACACCTTGATCATTTAATTAACATAAAACAATTTCATTAAACCAGAATTTTCTAGGCAATACTTATTTTTCATAATGAGAAAGAGCTTTCTAATAGTTTTTACTTAAACTCAAAACTCCATATTGTAAAATAAATAAGGCATTTCCAGGTTCATCCATTTTTTATATCAAGTCTGTATGTGCAAACTTGACCTCCTGGAAATGTCTGATCAATTATTCTTATATTTTAGGAGCAATTTTTTCTAGAATAGGTAGATTGGCTATTATTGATTTTTTCCTTTGTTTATACAAAACACCATGAATAGAGCTAAATTTTTTGTATAAATATATGGGTAAGGCAAAACAATGAGTATCTTGCTAAATTGAATAGGAAATAATGAATACTTTAACTTCAAAACCTAAATCTCCATCATACCACATTTCAGGTAGAATTTATATATTGTCTTCTAATTGGAGCAATCCTTTAATTACATAGAATGCAAATTTATTATTTTGTTAGATTACCTGACCAGTTTCAAAATAGACATATCCTATTGTTTTGCACAACTATATGAGTAATTAATTAATACATCTTTCAAGACCTCATAGGGAGCTTGAAATTAAGGTAATTGACTTAGATAATCTTAAATAGCAGAGATGTCTTCTTGAGATTTGTTTAATTTAGTCAATTTTGGAATTAAATGCATAATAATATATATTTCATGGCAATCTAATAATTTTATCTGAATTAAGGATAAATGGTTTGACAGATTCGGCCTTAATGTGGTTTCCATTGTGTAAAATAATCTACAATTTGATAATCATATCGTTTCCATCAAGAGCAAGTTCAGAGAAATAAGCATAATTAGATCTTACATTTCCAATCCATTGCTTGTCACTATATTGTAATAAAAATGATTTACTTAAAGACTCTAATAGTTTTAAGGAGTGGTTCCAATTCTCCTAAGTCAAATTAAATATATAAATCATAGAGATTTGTAACGCTCTCCTTCAACTAAATATTCTTGATGTATTTGGTTGGGTCTTTGAAATCTACTTTGGTAGTCTTCATTTACTCAATGTAGTTATCATCATAAATGGCTAAGCCACCAATAAGCCCATCGACTGCTTACTATTGTTAAGAAATATTCTCAATTTTAAGATAAACAGATTTCAAACTTTAACCTGGATTTTCAATTGTGTATTAAGCAATATCCCAACCTTAGTTTGTAAGTATCTTTGTTGGTTTAAATTACTATAAGATCTTGTCTCCAAATTTTAAAACTAAACTCATTGATAAAATCTTCTTATCGAAATTCTTTATGTTGATACTAGCAGTTATATTCCCTTAAGGATCAATCCTGGTCTTAAATAATTTGATGAGAAAGCTCTTTTGAATTTGCAAATCACCTTTGATCTTGATACAACTGCTTCCATTCCATGCATCACTAAAGCAGATACTACTTTCCCAATTATCTTGAATGTCTTGACTCACGATCTTTTTCGTGGGATAAGATAAGGAATAATCAAAATCGTTCAAATTATCATAGTATCCCTTATAATGTGTAAACTTTTGACCATCAATATAATATGCTTCTCCAACTGCATTATTATAGTAGGTCTGTAGAGGGAATTCTTCATAAGTTCTTGGTTTAATCATCCTCAATAAATCCTTGTTACTGTCATAACTAATATAAACCATAGATTCGCCAGTGAATTAAGTACCATAATTGCCACCCCATAATTCCACATCTTTTCCTACCTCTATAAATTTGACATATTATGTATCATCAGTAGTTTTGATACTTAAAGTATGTTCTCTCCATTTATCATCAGCAACATTAACATTTTCAGCATTAAATTGAATTTCTTTCTTGTTCACCTTTGTAGAGAATGAATCAATACTAGCAATACATTTATTTTATCTATCATATAACTCGATACCAATCAGCTAACCAAATAACACTATTAATTACATATAAATCATCAAATTTAGGTCCAGTTCCTTTGACTCTTGCATTGAATTGTATAATACCTCCCTTGTTAGAAGACACTAAGTTCAACTAAATTGTATAAGTCCTTATACACCAATCAAAGGATGTAATTGCAATTTCCTCTCCATTTTCCTGCACAACTTTCCATCCAGATCCCCCATTAGATGTAATTACCCATTGATTTTTATGTTTATCAAACAGTGATACTGTATTCTTCCCTTGCCATAATGAATTATCATTTTGAATAAACTATGATCGACTATCATTCGAGGTTTCGTAAGTCCAAGCCTAACCAAAAATGGCTGTGGCTAATTATGCTTTCTTAATCTCCTTCAATGCAACATAACTATCGAATTATCCACCTCCATATTATCCTCTGCCCCAAATGTCAATTCCTACAAAAACATTATTCTTCTGACTTCCAGCATTCTTCTCTGTGTTGGCCAATTTATTCAAATTCCAATGATAATCACTGAAAAAGTAATTACAAGCTTAGAAGTATTTCATATTGTCTTCATTCAATTCAGATTACCATTTCAAAACCCCCTCAGCATTATGACTATCATAATACATCAACATAGCTCCTATTGATTACAATTTATCACTCAATTCTTTGATAAATTGAATAAACAATTCTACATTATCCACATTTGTTTCTATATTCAATAGATAACCATCAAATTTATAGAACTAACAAATTTGCACTAGTTTATCCACATACTTTAAGTCTAATATTTACTTAGTCAATGTATTATCATCTCCTTCTGTTATTATGGTTCCTAATATCTTTGTGCCGAATTAATGACAAATGTTAATGTAGGGCATGCTTGGAATCGTAATAAAATTATGTGAAAAATAAACAAAAATGTCACAATGGGTCATATAATAAAAGCGATAACTATTTTATCTCAATGGATTTCCAAAGCACCAAATGTCTTCCTTGTATCCCCCTTACATATCATGACATACTAAGAGAGGTTGATTTGTTGTTCTGTTAATTTTCTTCAGTTATTAAATTGGAAGTATTGCATATTCTTCATTAGGTTTCCAATTATCCAGCTCCTCTATTGATAATAAAGGTTTGCTAAATGGCAATTTATATTTAATTGATTCAATATAATCCAAGTCATCCACAATATTCTTCTATGTCTTTATCTCACCTTCTATTTGTGTTTTCAATTCGATTTCTTTTACAAACCTAATCTATAAGTTTCTTGTAATCCCTGTAAAGGCATTCAAATTACTCCTACTTCCTAAAAATAATCCCATCTTATTGGATGTGTAGGTAAATCTCTAAGCGAGCTTTTGACTTTGAATAGTAAAATTTGTAATCAAAGTAATCTCGTCATGGAAGGATATAAATATTGGATACAATTTGTATAAAATGATTTATTGAATTGGAAATTTGTAGGTATTATCCAAATATTGAATAATAATCTCTCTTTATTTCAATGTTATTTTGATTAAGGGATTTCCAAGGTTATCCTGAATATCGAGTAATTCGATGATATTTTATTCCTGCTCTGCTAAAATTATTTAAAATTAAACTATCCCAACATCAGAGGGTGCTAATTATGTTAAATTAAAGCGAATGTGTTCAGGTATCAATTGCAACTACCCATCCCTTTTGAGTCCTGAATTTAGAAAATAAGAGCTCATAATTTTCAATTAATTTTAATGTGAAAATTATCACTAAAACCTTATATACTTCAAATTATTATCTAATTATTCTCAATCTATTTTCAAATTAAGAATAACAATAAGAAGATATATTATCTTGATTAGAATATGGAGTAAATAAAAATAATTTAGAATCCATTTCAATAACCAGCTTGAGAATTTTAGTAATTGCTTAATGAATTAAAATAAAACTTAAATTGATAAGATTGCACTTAGTTATAGATAAAACCTTCACATTAAATTTATTCTTTAATCCAAGTTATATCATATCTAATTATAATCATTATATGTAAATATAATGTGATATTCTAACGGTAATGTTATATCTTCAGATTTATTCACTTTATTTTATATAACCATTCTAAACACTTAATTTTTGTATACTTATTCAAATGATTTTGTATTTTTTTTATATTAACACATAAATTGGGTCAGCTAATTAATATTAATTTATAAACTAAAATGAAAATATCTAATTGGGGTCTTAAAAAATTTCAACTTGTTAGAAAATTATTAATTGGAGAAAAATGAATAAAATAAATTTCTTAAGCATTTTAAAAGACAGTAAATTTAGAATAGAAATAAAAATAAAATAGACCTAAACCAAAATTAGAATATAATATAATTGGATTAAATTAAAAACAAGCACCTTTTCAATTTCATTAGAGATCTAATATTTTAAATATCGTCCATATGAATTTCTTAAAAAAAATATAATTAGTTTTAAATAAATGTTAATATTAGTCAATTTTCAAAGCAATCTAATTCTTATTCCAGATTGTTCTTCTCATTATTGCTATTATATAAATTATCCTACATCATTTGACAAAACTACTCAAAATCAATTGTTTTCTGTTCCTCATTTTACATTATTTCCTAAAATAAAGAAATTAATTTTGATTGAGATAATTGTCTTCCTTCTCTCTCAAAGGCTTTCCTTACGTCCTCTATAGTAATAAAATTTTGATTGTTGCTATCAAAGTATTTGAATAGATTCCATAATCTTTCTTTGTTTAAAAAACTCTTGCAATTCACTAAGGCACTCAAAAATGAAGTGTATGTAATTTATGTATCTTAGGTGATATCATCACTAGAAGGATTGATATTATTAAATTTTTTAATCATTTAAACAAGTTCTTCTTCGCTTTTCTTAAATCCGAGATTTGCCATTATTTATAAAAGTTCTTAAATAGAGATAGTACCATTGCAATCCTTATCATATGTAGTGAAAACTTCCTTTAACTAAGATATTTGACTTTAAGTAAGTTAGTTAATTAATATTTTAAGTGTCTCTTTTTTTAATTTGGATGAATTGGCATAAGTATGCAACAATCTTAATATTTTTTAATGATCACTATTGGTTAATTATTATTAATGAGAACTTAATTTCATATTTTTAAACCATTGATGCTCTAATGCTTTTTCACACGTGATTCTCTTCTTAGGTTACTTTACTAATAAGCTCTTAATCAAATTCTTAGCCTCAGAAGACACGCGATCAAAAGCAGTAAATGAGAAATCAACCTCAGAATGCTTGATTTTAACTTCCAACTTATCTAATTACTTAGCTTAGAATGGAGGATTCCCACAGAGCAATACATGCATGATACAGCCTAAAGACCATTCATCACATTAGAAAGAATAACTAAATTACATTTATTATTACTCTCCAGATAGGATTTCTGGTGCAACATATATTGGAGTTCCTACCTTACTATTCATTCTCTAAAGCTTTTAATTTATATTTCTAAACTTCTTGCTCAATCCGAAATCTATTACCTTAATTGGAGCATCTTTATCCTTTGAGGCAAAAAGAATATTTTCTGGTTTCAAATCTCTATGAGCTATTCCCATTGAATGAAGATAATTTATTGCTGAAAACAATTGTTGCATTATAACTTTCGATTCAGATTCTCCAATATAACCTAGAATTGAAAATAATATTGTTGAAAATACCTTTTTCCACTATCCTTTCTAATAATTCTCCTCCACTACAATATTCCATAACAAAGTGATAATACATGTCATCTTCATACTCTTCAAATACTTTAATGATATTTGGATGATCCAATTGTGTAAGGATGTCTAACTCTCTGAGTACAAGGTAGAATTATTCTCGCATTCGATACTACTTGGACCATCGTGTTTACTTTATGAATAGTCTTTATTGCAAATTCTTTTGAATCTCTGACACTGTAACCCACTTTTACAGTACCAAAACTTCCTGATCCTAAAACCTTTCCAAATCGGTAAAACTATCTAATGTTTTGTTTAGCAAATCTTTTTATTTCACTTAAATGCTGCTTGGCATGCCTACTTGGTTGCTGTTTCCCAGAACAAATCCCCATTTAATGATAATATAATTAATAAATAAATAATTTTAATATGTTTGCTCTCAGGAAAAAATCTGTGATATCCAAAATACTTAACTAACAAAATATATATACAAAAGTTCAATCAAGAAATAATTTATATTATCACAAGATTTTTTAAATTAAGGTTTAAGTACTGAATTTTATAAAATAATTATAATACTATAGACCTTAGTTTATTCTTAGTTTTAGTAATTTCTATTTTTAAAAGATTGACTATGAGTATTATTTCACTTCTCATTAATGTGCATAGTCAATTCAAAATATAAAAATGCTGTAACTTTATTAAATGGTTATATTATAAATATCTCTGTTTATAATAACTGTTCATTTCAATAATTAGAAAAAAATAATTTTCTATTAGATGAATATCTAACCTAAAACCTATATGGCTAAATAAAATATAGTGTTTAAATAGAAAAATTCAATATTTTATTATCTTTTGTTGTTTTTCTTAAATAAAAATTAAAACAAAATCATTTTGTATCCTAAAATTTGAGGTTTCTTAATAAATTAACATATAATCTAAGTCATTAATTCTAAAATCCAAAAAAATCCAAAGGTTTAATGAATAAGCTCGTTTATTCTTTCTGTATAAATAGAAATCATAAGGAATGAAAATTCATAATTATCAAAAAAAAATTTACTTGCATTATTTATATCAAAAGTATTCATGCTCCTATAAAAATTGTTTCAATGTATTGCTTCACTTTCTGACTTTATATAAACATTAAAATATTTAAAATATTTCATTTTCTTTATAAACTGTTTCATTTTAAGGTGTCAGTATTTCATTTAACTAATTTATCAACTTTATTCTTTCCAATATTTGATTAATTCTTCTTTTTCACAATTCGAGCTATATTATTATCCCAAAAAGATTTTTGATTTATGTAAAAAAAGATCTACCCAATAACATTTGAAATTATTAGGTCGAATTATGATTTTATTTTAGTATTCTTTCAACTATTTTCCATCTCTGATATTTTAATTAATAGAAATTATATCTTTTCATACGCATAGAACATTTTTTTATAATTCTAGACAAAAATAGAACAAATTTTGGTACTTAAAATTAGCTCATTTTTTAAATTCTGCTATTTCAAAAATAGAATAGAAAATCAGAAAATTTGCATTACTCAAATTTTGACAAAGCAACAACTCTGATTTCATAGGAGACGTAATTAAAAGTAGAAAATGAATCTAAAAAGTATAAAGATTAAAAAATAAATATCAAAATTTATCAAAAAATAAATAATGAATTATTCTTATTTTATTTTTAATTCTAACCTGTTTTACTATTCTTTATTCTCATTTTTACATTTTTTTGAATGCTTTTAAGGACAATTTACTTTATGATTATTGCTATTTGATTCTAATTTTAACTAAAGCTTATTATGTTAATTAAAATAATATGTTAATGTGTTGTAATGCAAAAAGAATAAAAACGGGTGAATCTCCGCATAGATCTAAATCAAAACCGAAGCAAAGAAACAGTGAAATATGCCCTAAGTTTACCAAGGAACGATGGATAGAGATTATGAAAGGATCGTCAGAGGATTAAGGCTATTCTGAATTAAGTTATAATCTGAGACATAATTTTCCCCAAGATCTAAGATGTCAAGTTTGGTTTTGGCTGACTGAGAAAGCTAGAATCAAAAATGTCTTATATTAAAAACTGTAATATGAGACGCCATCAGAACAATACATACTTAAAGATTTGAATGGAAGTTTTCGATAAAAAGGCAATTCAAAACGATTCTCTGGTTCATCTGATTCAAGCTAATCAGATAAAAATTCAGAGCAGGAAAAAGTTGATTAGGAGAAATTAGATAAATTAAAAAGGATTTTAATTGCTTATTCTAATTTAGATAAGGAAGTCAAATACGTAAAGGGAATGAATTTCATAGCATCTTCAATTCTAGAACAATAGGTACAAGAGGAACTAAGCTTTATTATTTTAAACCACATTTTAAATATCTAAAACTATAGAAAAGGTATTGTACTACCTTATTATTTTAGTATTTTTAATGGATATGACAATTCTTGATATTATTGAAAAGCGGATTTAGTTCGAAGTTCCTTTAATTTATTATAAAATGTAAGAATTAAAAGTCAAACCACAAGATTGTTTTGACTCCTATATATTTTCCTTGTTTTAGCTTGTCAGGAAGGAATTGGCACTTCGAATTATTGATATTTTCTTGTATGAAAAAGAATGTAAAATAAATTAAATACAAAAAAAGCAATTTTGTAGACTGTTATCATTTAATTACTAAAAATGCAATAAGTTGAAATTTTGAGATGTCAAGATCAAGATGAGATGATAAACTATATAAGAAATGATCTTATAGAAGATGCCCTAGATAAATTAGATGATGGAAAGGATTATCTATCTTAGTTGCTTTCAATCCATTTGTGAATTTGCTAGATAAATGAAAATATACTCATAGCAAAATTTATATAAAAATTATTTTCAATTAAGTAATATTCACCTAGGTAAATTAAACAAGGTTTTAAGTTCCTATTTTATTTTTAGTTCAAAAATTGCATTGTCTGATATATTCAGAAATAGTTTATAAAGAGATTTAATAAATGCTCTTAGCTTTATATTTAAGAATTACAATGAAAATAATCATTTTGAATTAGAGATCTTCGAAAAAATAAAAAAATAAAAATGTCAGTTTTATATAATTAAAACTTATCCAGATGCCTATTAATTTCAAAAAGGAAATGTGATTATGTCCTTTCTTTCTTAAATCTCGATTTGGTTTCTGCATAAAAGGGCAAGAACAATATCAGAATGGTAAAGTAGATCAAAATTAGTTTAATTTTAAGAGATTCGAAAAGTGAAGCCTTATTTTATAAGTTAAATGTATTACCATTTATTGTTGATAAATTATAAGAAGTTTATTAAAAATTAGGTTTCTTAAATCTTCTAAAATCATAAGCAATAATAACTCGTAACTTTCTTATTAGTTATTGTTTTGTTGTTTAAATGCTGTTCTCATTCAAGTATTCTATCTTGTGACATAAATTATTATATTCTAGATATTAGCATATTAGAAAAAAATAATGTGAAATTTTTATCCATTAAGGTAATATTGAAAAATTTGATTTAAACTATTAATGAGAACGTTTTAACTCATAATTATACAATAATTTATAATTAATATTGTATTAAATCGCATATAAAATATTATATGATCAAAACATACAACTTTCATATGTTGGTATCATATATTTAATATTAATATATGCATCTTCTCCTCCATTTTTTTCAAGTGTTTCTAACGTTTCTTGTATAAGATCAGATAGATTTTCATTTTTTCTTTGTGAATAATCAATTTTGTCTCCAATGTTTACTAAAATAAATAATAATTGAATATACGTCTTTTATTCTTATACATATTCATAACTGGTAATATTTATCTATAATAAGGAACTAAGGCTTCTCCTATCATTTATCCACTTTTGACTAATTTCTATATTTTCTTTAAGGTAATGCACATAATATCGTGATTCTTTGTTGCTAAGGCTTCTATTAAAGAATTTATAATTGATTAAATGTACTTTTAATAGGAATGATTAATTGTGGTAACACTGATAAGATCTTAGTTTCTCCTTTTTATAATAATTCTTCACATCCATTGACAGCTAAGAATTTGTAAGGATCTTCAGTTTCTCTCAGTCCTTCAAAGAAGATTGGAAGATATAAATGATAATCTAAACATTCAGGTTCGCATTTCCAAACGATCTTCCTGACAGCTCCACTAAAATTAACTGCAATTGGAAGATCTCCTCGATCATAATATTTTTTAAATAGGGTCTATTCAATCATAGGTAAGGCTTGAAAGATTCCTGATTTTGGAACTTTTTAAGGAGCTTGAGCTTTTTTGGGAGCTAAAGATGAAGACACTAATTAATTATATAACTTATAAATGATTACTTCCACCTGTTCCTGCAAATTTGTTACTAATGTTCAATAAATTTGAACAGAATTTACCTGGTGATCTCTAAGGAGAATGTCCTTATATTGGTTTTATTCTTTTGTTAGTTACTTATTATTATTACATTCTTATATTTATTTTATATTTAATTATTTATGTTTTATTTATAATTTATCATTTTAAACTCTTTTCATCAGTTATTATTGTTGGCTTTAAGTAGACAGCAATATTTATTTCCTTGATTTTAAAACCATCCTCTTATTTCTTTACTTTGGAGACTAAAAGTTTAATAATTGTAAATATATCTATCTCATATAAAAGTTTACTTATAAATAGTAGATAAAGAAAAAATGCTTTTAATTTAATTCTTTTTTAGATTATTTAATAATTTCTCCCATTATTGGATTTTTAATTCCTATCTAATATTCAATTTGGTTTTGAAGTCTTTAACACTTCGCCTAGTAATTGATACAAGGCTTTAATAATATAGTCAAGATTAAATTTTTAATAAACATATATTACAACAGGATGGAAGCAAGCTCTAATTTACTTGACATGCTTTTAAGATTGATTTAAGAAATATCTGAGGATGCTCGAGTGATGGCATCAATAAATTAATAAGTGAATGCTAATTAAAAATACTATGATGTTGAATTCATTTAATTTAACAATCCCTTAGGTAAATGGGATTTCAAGTGATAGCAATGAAAAAACACAATAAACCTAGGTAGGATGAAGAAAACAAAATTTTAGAGTATCTTTCAAAAATAACTCCATTAAATCTTCCTGAAAGAATATATATTTATAAATTTTGTTAAACTATAATAAAATTATCCAAACCAGATGCAAATAGTAAGATTTAATTAAAAGATACAAAAGATCTACTATTAATGTTTAAATCATATTTCATGGCCGAGAATAATGTAGAAATATTATAATAAATACAATAACTAATGATAGATTAAGAATTTAAAGTATATTATTTTATCTCTATAGCGGATGGCTTCAGCCTTAGTCTTAATAAAATTTTAGTAAACAAATCTCGTGAAGATTTTCATAATTTAATCCAAACTACATCTACAATTGTTATATCAAAAATAAAAGCAAAGCTATCTTAGCAATAACAATACTAAAAGTAAAGAGTTATTGATTAGCAAAAATTAGCCTATTTATAGGAATCAGAATTAAATGAAAGTCCTAAAACTAAGTTATGGATACAGAGGAAATGCAGTAAATAATGAGAATAATAAAACTCTATAGTTTCCATAAAAGCCAACAATCATTATCAGATCTGCTTCGATGATAGATAACTTACTGGTAGAGTAATCTTAGTACTAATCTTATCAACAACAATTAATGCAATAACACTAATAAATGTATATTAATCAAAAAAGAGAATTGAAATTACAATTAAGAGCTAAATAAAAAAAGTTAAAAAAGAGACTTCATTCTAATTACAAGTTGATTATGTAGATAGACTTTGATCATATTTGGGCTATGCATATTATTTTGAAAAAAAATTTATCAAGCATTCTGATAAATATTGTAATTTATAAATATATATAGTTTTACATAGGGGTAGATTTTACATTTGGAGTTAATTGAAGTTATTTAATTAATTTATTAGATAAACTATAAATAACTATCAATTGAAAAGAATAGAATGCATTTAAGCAGATAGATTGACAAATGAGTAAATTTAATTGGTACATCGAGTTTATAATACTGCTTGTTAATCGCCACGTAAGTTACCATAATTAACAAATGCATAATTGAAATCATAAAGCCCATAAATCATAAAACAAAATTAGTTTGTCTCAAATTTATCTTTTTTGCCATAACTATAATTTAGAAATTAGCAACAATTATAAGCCTATTCGTAAATTCCATTTAAACTCATATCATATTATGATCCAAATAAAGATTTTACAATATCAACTTAGAGGTCTAATAAATCATTAAATTTATCATAAGATTTGATTGGCCAGAAAAAATCTGAGCATAATTCTGAAATAATACTCTCCAAATGATTTATTGAGTAATTTTTAATATTAATATATTCTCGTAAATAAATAACTTTAAAATTATTTATGAGATAATAACAAGCTCATATTTAGACTCTCTAAACCATGGCGACCAGACTAAGCTCAAAAATTTCAAATAGAAGGTCAGTATTGAACGATAGCTAACAAATCTATAATCAACAATTAAATATCTCAGTTAATCAATCCTTCAACACCCCAACATTAATAACTAATCAATAATCATTTATAATTTCACAACCAACAAATCAAAGCATGAGAGACACCATTAAAAGCGTTCGATGTACTTCTCCATCCTTAAGAATACAAACTGAGAGAGAAGAAGTAGAAGATAAAAAATAATAATAATTTATTGATGCCACAATGAGATTGTTAGCTCAAAACGAGAAATTAGAAAAATTGGTTTGTGAATAAAATGAAATGTTAGCAAACTATAAGTAAGAGAAGTAGGAATTAGAATTTACAGTAAAGAGATTATCCCAAGAGATTACATTTCTAAAAGATACAAATTAAAAGAGAGTATTGGCATTAGAAAGAGAGTTAAAGTAAGTTAGTGGAAAATCGTAACATTAACCAAAAAGATTTCTTCGATGAATTTTATAAGATTGTGAATTCTTAATTCTATTGTATTATTTCTTCATACTCTATTTTGGCAGTTCTTAGTGTAATTTTAAGTTAATATTACTTAAAAATTAAACAGAAGGAAATTAGTCAAATTTTATAATAATTTTTCTAAAAATATTATATTTTTGTCTTTTTTGATTAAATCTCCATTAAGATGTACTTTTATGATAAAAATACTTCTGGTTTTGTGATTTTCATGACACCCAATTATGAGATTTCCATGCTGTTTCTATCAATATTTTAAGCTAGAAAATTACAGTCATTGAGAGTTTCAATAATAATTTAAAAGCTAGATATTTTATTGAAAAGTATATCAAATTTCAATCCTGAAGTTCATTTCGATGTGATTTTAAATATTAAAGTGATTCAAATTAATCACTTGTAAAGAACAGATCAAAATAATAACTAGGCTTGAAAATACAAATATTTGTTGAAAGTATTAAAATAACAGTTTCTATGTAAATATAATTGAAAAAAATTTTAATTTTTCTAGTCATTGTAGAACAAAATAGTTAACCAAAAAGAAATGTACCTAAAACGATATTTTTAGGTTTGTATATTTAAAAAATTTTATGATTATATATAATACAAATTTGATGATGTAATTTATTGAATATTAACAATAGATTCTTGCTTTTAACACTTTCAGCTGCTCTAAAACTTGATTGTAAAGATTAATGCGATGGAGATCATTACTGCTATTTGGGATAATGTTATTCATGTTCCTATTTTAGAAAATAATGTATATTATTATAATTATTCAAAGGGGAAGCAAAAATTCCTGATTTTGGAGTTCTTATTGGTAAAGGTAACGGAGTTCCTGCATATTCATGCCAAAATGACACACAACATCTTCATGAGCTTGAACATTTTCTTCAGCCAAATGAGACAGGGTTTAACTAAACAGTCTTTATAGGAATGAAGTATAGATATTTTAAACCTAGATATCAATGTGTTCATTTTGCTAGATACTATTGGATTCAAAAATTCGGATCAGCGTTTCCTGGTATTGATACAGCTGATGAAATATTTGACTTAACTTATGCAATTGATTATAAGAATGGAAAATATAGAAACTTAACTAAGTTCTATAATGGAATGTCCACCAGTATAAGAGCGGGTGATTTACTAATTTGGAATAAAAGTTATCCTTATTACCCATACGGTCATGTGGCTGTGGTTTTAGATGTTTAGTTAGGAGCTGAGGAACCATACATTACTATAGGTGAAGAAAATTATGATGATATATGGGACTCTAATTAATATGCAAGAAAGCTAAAAGCCTCAACAAGTAATTTTGGGCTCGTGTATGTCATAAATGAAAGAGAAATAACAGGACTTTCTCCTTAAGAAAAATGTAAGGATTATAACGGAAGTGCAAATGATGTCATTGTTGGTTGGGTCAGGTTAAATGATTGAGAATTATATTTTATATCACGTTTTCATTCAATATAATACATATGGGTGTTATGTTAAAAGGAATTTGCCAATGAATTTTTGATATTCTGGATACAATACATTGTTAAAGACATTATCAATCTCCAAAATTTTATTATATTAAATTAATTTCGAGAATTATTTAATAAACTTTTATTGAATGAACTATTAACCTATCTAGAAGTACACAATTGGAACTATAAACTTATATATTACAATAATACAGTAATGTATTTTGAAAAAAAGAATATTAGTAAATATTAAAAATATTCCTAAATTTCTTCCTACATCAAATTATTTGGTGGAAAAAGAATAAGTATTCTAAATTCTTTCAAGAATAAGTTAGCCCTAAATAAAGTCAAGTGCTGGCAAAGCAAAATAAAATTATGAAATTTTTATATAATTATGCAATTCCAAATCAAATTCTCCAGAAGGAGAATTAGCTTAGAAAAGCATGAATTAAGAAAAACAAAAGAAAGCAAAATCCAGCTTGCCTTCCATTCTCAATCCGTAGCTTTTGTCTTGATGGGGTTTCCGTGAATGAGCACTTGGATGTGAAATTGCTTCGCAATGTGTTGTCCCTTTTGGAGGATTTTGACGCCCGCAACCTTCTTTGTCACTTATTCTGTTTCGCTGGGAGGAGTTTTGGGAGAATCATTTTTTTTATATAGTTTTTTTGATTTATTATATTGGGATATGTGTTCAGACCATATGGCCTTACCCCAGGAGTAAGACATTTATAATTCTTGGCAAGCCTAAAAATGTAAACTTGAGCATAATACTTCTTTTAAAGACTTTTTCTCATACAAAACACGCGTGAGGAACATCACCTTCTCTTTCGGACTTGGACCAACTCTATTAGACTATTGTTTCTTCATTTATAGTTCAACTTAATATTTTAAATCAGCGAGAATGGGCATGAGTTTATGAAATTGTAGTAAATAATAAAGCTTAATACTCTTAGGCCAACATACTTTTATCTCTCGATAATACGTCAGCCAACAAAATTTAAATAGGCAATATCATTAATTATTTAGTATGTTATCATCATGATAACACAACAAAATTCTTTCTCACCTCAAATTAACTTATCTTACTAAAACTCTACTTTTTGATCTTAAGATAACTATGAAGGTTTATTTAGCAGTATGATTAAGAGGATAACTCTACTTAAAGCCCTCTCTTCAACTAAACTTTCAAAAATAATTGAAATTTTTAAGAGTAACTAAAAAGATTATACGAGATTTTAAGACAGAATTATTTAGTTTTGAAACATTATTCAACTCCTCCATAAGATTTTAATTTTAAGATTTATTCTCAACCCTACAATATTTAAACAAATATATGATAATATGTTCATATCTCCTAATTTAAATATGGAATTTACCTCCTTTAACATTGCATTCATCCAAATCAGCTTAAATCCAAAATCATCGAATTGATTGGAAGTGAAATTTAGAATAAAAATTAAATTAATTGAAACAGTTAATATATATAAATATAAATTATCATAGCCTTGTAATTAACTATTCAAAAGTGATATCTTATAAATATAATTATGTCTTGAAATTGGTAGAATTCTTTAAAGGAATATCTTGATCCTACATCAGATCCATTAAATAAGTTGTTAAGTAAACCAATTCTTTATCCAAGGCATTATCATAAAAAGGTATTATTGGAACACCGTTGTCCGATTAAAAGCAAAATGAGTACGAAGCATTATCAATTAATACCATATCTTTTATGTTTCTATTCCCTATTACTCTTAAATCTTTAACATGTAATCCATCTTAAATCACAACACAGCTATCTCTGAAAAACCTGTGATGGATTAACTTTTTATCTGGATCCAGATAGTTTAGTACCTTTTAAGCATAGCATTCGTGCGATGCTGTAAATACTATGATTTCATATTTTTATGATAGAATTTGAAGCATCTCTTTACAATAGGGTCTAATATTAATTCCAGCTTCCACTGTCTCACCAGTTGGAAACTTTATTGTTAAAGCAATATCGCTTGGATCATCGTTTGATTCTTAGCAATGAATCAAAGTTTCATCTAAATCAAAAACAATACTTTTTGCAACTAATTATATAAATAATTTATATATACATTTATTTGGAGGCAAGTTTACTATTTTCTGTTTTATATCTTCTAATTTAGGTTTTTGAGTTTCTTTACAAAACTATAAAGCGTGAAAGCTTTATTAAATATGATCTAAGTAAATTTCAGAGAAATATTGCTGTGTTTTGATGCTATTATTAAAAAGTTGCTTTATTTATGTTTCAAACTTTTTGTCTTTATGAAAAAATCTCGCAAAGGACATATAATATTAAAACTCTTAGAATGGTACTTACGGTCCTATGCTTATCTTTTACGTCGATGTAAATTTTCTATCCCCTGACAAATTTCTAAGTTTCGATTTTGATTCCCTATGACTTACTAATGATTCTGATACAATAGAATTTTCCTTCGATCTTCTTTAAGCATGCAAAGGGGAATTCATTCTTTTTCTTGTAGGTTTAGTATTTACTGAATTATTAACAGAATTAGAATTCTATTTTTAAGGGATAAAATTTGCTCCCCTTGAAATTCTTGTTACATACTTGTTTATTTAAGTTTAATTAACTTATAAATTGGTTGATTAAGAAAAAGCTGTATTTAGATTCTAATCTTACTCAGATAAAACTGCTAAGGATGCTTATGACAATAAGGTTTATTAAGTGGTTTAAAGAGATTAATTTTCTTTTGGTTATGAAACACTTATAACTATCTATGGATTTATTTGTTGTGTTGAAGTCTAATTCGATTGGTAAGTTTAATTGAAAAAAGATGTATTTTTGTATTTTGATATCAATTATTCTAGCTTTTAAGTAGCTTCTGGGTTTTCTACTTCTTTCTTGACTTGCTATTATTATGTTGATTCTTCAATAATTGATTACTACATTTCTTTTTTGCTATTACTTCTAGATTCTCGGGTTAATTTAACTGTCTTTTATTTAATACCCAAAGATGCAGCACTTTAACCGAATATTGTTCTTTATATTAATGATGCTTTTTTATTAGTTTTCTTTTCACTTTATTACTCTTAAATTCTTTAAGATTATAGAGGCTCAGTTGTAGAATTATCACTAACATCATAAAAAATTTTACTTTGGCTTTAGGGTCTCATTAGTTCGTTAAGATACTTCTTGTTTTTAATTTGGAATTGGTTAACATAGAGAAGAGGTGACCAGCTAAATTTTATTAAGGATAAAGTGTACCTTATAACTTGGTTGGCCGATTTGGTTTGTTTTACTCGATTTTGTTGAAGGCACTCTTTTTTGTGAATGTGATTTTTATGATGATTTTGGTCTCTAATTGACTAAGGCTTATAATAAAGAGCTTGAACTCTACTAATGGTTAAGATTAACTATTGACATGTTTGTGCGAAGCATTCCTTTATTTATTCAAATAATATTATCGTTAGAATATATATTAATTGTATAGAATATTAAAAAATAAATATTTATTGCAACTCATCAAGTAAATTAAGTTAAACTATCTATTTTACCTAATACGATGAGCATTAGATAAAAATGTGTTTGAAAAGCAGAAAAGTGTAAATGTACTTAATATAGTTTATAAAGGTTAAAGGGATATAGAATTGAAGATTTGAAGGATTCCAAATAACTGATATGATGATTTATGTAGAATTATTATCTAAAAGTATTAAGTTTATGAATTACTATATACATAATTAAATATAAAATAAATATAAGAATGCAATAATAATAAGTAACTAACAAAAGAATAAAACCAATATAAGGACATTCTCCTTAGAGATCACCAGGTAAATTCTGTTCAAATTTATTGAACATTAGTAACAAATTTGCAGGAACAGGTGGAAGTAATCATTTATAAGTCATATAATTAATTAGTGTCTTCATCTTTAGCTCCCAAAAAAGCTCAAGCTCCTTAAAAAGTTCCAAAATCAGGAATCTTTCAAGCCTTACCTATGATTGAATAGACCCTATTTAAAAAATATTATGATCGAGGAGATCTTCCAATTGCAGTTAATTTTAGTGGAGCTGTCAGGAAGATCGTTTGGAAATGCGAACCTGAATGTTTAGATTATCATTTATATCTTCCCAATCTTCTTTGAAGGACTGAGAGAAACTGAAGATCCTTACAAATTCTTAGCTGTCAATGGATGTGAAGAATTATTATAAAAAGGAGAAACTAAGATCTTATCAGTGTTACCACAATTAATCATTCCTATTAAAAGTACATTTAATCAATTATAAATTCTTTAATAGAAGCCTTAGCAACAAAGAATCACGATATTATGTGCATTACCTTAAAGAAAATATAGAAATTAGTCAAAAGTGGATAAATGATAGGAGAAGCCTTAGTTCCTTATTATAGATAAATATTACCAGTTATGAATATGTATAAGAATAAAAGACGTATATTCAATTATCATTTATTTTAGTAAACATTGGAGACAAAATTGATTATTCACAAAGAAAAAATGAAAATCTATCTGATCTTATACAAGAAACATTAGAAACACTTGAAAAAAATGGAGGAGAAGATGCATATATTAATATTAAATATATGATACCAACATATGAAAGTTGTATGTTTTGATCATAAATATATTTCAGATACGATAGTATAAATAATTAGATATTAAATTCTTCATTTATTTTACAATATTATATAAAGTTTCTTAACAAACAATAAGGAATACAATTATATCATCTCCATAAATAAATCAAATTTTCTTGAAATATTAAACATTATTTATTTCATGTTCTTTACTTGGAAATAAAAAAATTATTGAAAATCTAAAAGTAATTTTTTTTAGAATTAGCTACTAAATTATGGGCAAATTTGTTCACTATTTTTTAACATGGAGTACAGATATGATCTCCACATTTCTCCAAACAAGGATCCAAATGATGGCAAGGTCTTTGCTTTCTGCAGGGTTGATTGCATATATATTATTAAATGAATGACCACAACTTCTTTATTTCATGCAGATTTATTTACAAGCAAAGGTTTTTTTAAATTCTTCTCTCTCCCAACATTTAGAAATAGCAGTATGGCCACAATCTAATAATACATTAATTTCTTAATTGCATTGTTTTTGCTATTCTTAACAAATATCCTTGCTTTATAGAAAATGTTCACATAGTTTATTTTTGTTTAATTCTTAGCCATTATCTATATTAAGCAGGCAACTTTCATAACATTTTTTTTTTACACCGATCTCCATTCGACAGTATTTTATCACAAATGAGAGGACATTTGTCACTAAGTTAATCCTTTTCAAACAATAATATTCAACTTCATGTTGGCAGGATTGAAATTTTTGTTTTAATTATTTCATACATTTATAAGAATTTCCATTTATATTCTGATTTTGATTTGTCTAGTGTTCACATGAAACTCCTTATTTATCCTTAGACCCAGAGAAGAATCTACCAAGAAATTTTATTTAAAACATTAAATTTTATGTTATGATTTTTTTTTAAATTAATTTCAAAATGTCCTACATCAAATATGTTAATTAAATGAAATATTTATGCAAATGACACTTGATGTTTATGGAATTTTATCTTTAAATGAGTTTAATTTGGATTCCCCATAAAGTTATTCTGGAATTACTGTATAATATCTATTTCTAATATTCCATGTGGGTATATATTTTTAAATAATGATTGTTACTAATATTATATTAATAATGTAATTCATATTATAATCTCCAACCCAAAAAGTCATAGAACAAATAATTCGAGATCATAATTCAGACTTATTTAAGTTGATAATTGACAATTCATTTATGAATTATTGCAGAAATGCACATCCAATTGCTATAGAGTTTATATGTAAAAACGTAGATTAGTTGTTAAATATTTTATTTGCTGATTATAATTTAATTCCAAAAGAATAATTATAATAGTACAGTGAATAAATCAATAATATTTGGGAGATTATCGAATTGAATTTAGAACCTATTCTAAAATAAATAGAAGTTAATATTGCTTTAATATTTAGATTCATTGGTAAATCATTTTTGAATTACGTTGGAAATAATTCGTCCCTGATATCTAATGGGGTCTAGCTTACAAATTATTAAATCTCGTAAAAGAAAGAGACAATTCAATTCTCGAAGACTTATTAAAATCATAAGACTTTTTAATTTCCTTTTTACCATTTCTAAACATTCATAGTGTATCCTAAATGTTGATAGCTTTTTTTGAAATTGGATTCCACTAATCGTAAATTGATTTTTTGAGGGAAGGATTAAAGTTTTTCCAAAAATAAGATGTTTTTAGCATAATAAATTATACATACATTGTACATGAAATTATGACAAGAATTCTAATAGATTAATAAATGGAATACATCTTAAGAGGAGAATTCCTCAAAACAACATTTGAAGTTGTAGTTTAGGAAAATTATGATCCAATGTATAATATTATTTAAATATAGAATATAAAAAAATGCAGCTCATATAATTTCATTAATCTCAAATTATTACACAATGGATATGTAAAATATCAATGTTGAAGATCCAGATTGCTAGGATATAATAAGTCAATTTAAGCAAACCCCTTTTTTTGCCAATTTTGATGTCTCGAAAATTGGCTAAATATTCCAGAAAGCAGTTTCAAAGAATATTAAAGTCGGATTATTTATCATAAAACTTGTTGAAGTACGAGAAAGACTATTATTAGATAATAGATAATTTAGTTCGAATTACGGATTTGTAAATATGGGATTAAATAGCTGAGTCTAACATTATGGGATTAATTTTTTAATTGATGAATCAATTTGTAAATGCAGACATTTTCTCAATTTATGTGGAAAACATGGTCATATTTATTTTTGATAATGCCTTAAATGATTATCATCCATTTTGGGCATATTATCTCATTTCAAGATATAAGTTATAAAATAAAAACATAGGTCATCTATATAGATTAATATATTAATTCGATAAAAATTTAGAATAGAAACTTTCCAGGGATGAAGATACTTTGCCGTATATGGATACATTGAAATTGATTTAAAATGAATTGAAAACTTCTAAAATATGGAATACTTAAAAAAAATTAATTATAAATCAGGATGAAAGGAATGCCACTAGATTAGGAGAAGATATTGGCACTCCTAAAAAAGAAGAGTAGATAACAAAATTGCTAATTGAATAACAATTACTTTAGGAAGAAGAACAAGTGTCAAGAGGTAACTCTGCTCTAGATATAAGAAGTAAATAAAGCCATCATACAAATCCAAATTATTTATTTGAGAATATTTAATTAAATGTTTTTGATAACATAACTATAAGTAAGAACATTGGCGAATTTGATTGTCATTCCTAAAGTGAAGATAACGATAAGAACAGCAGCCAGATTCCTGAAGATCCTTCAGATAAACAAGACAATTAATTTGAATAAAGATTGAGCATTCAATCCAATAAAAATTTATTCTTAAGATCAAATAATAAGTTTATTGGAATGTCATCTTCTTTGTAATATGAAGAAAGAAAAGATAAGATTTTGAGTGGCTCTTTGTAAAATGTCTTTTCATCATTGACTTACAAAAGAGTAAGCTCACTTAAATTCTCTTAAGAATTTAGAAAAGAGAAGGTTGAGGAGTTTAAAATAGAAATTTTGAAAAATAAAAAAGTATTAAAATAACATGATAACAGTATTTTAAAAGTAGATGAAATTGATTAAGAAATGAATTTTATTCCAGAATTGCAAGAGCAGGATAAATCAGATTTATAATTACAAAAATAGTAAAATTCTTTAACTTAATTGAATAATCAAAATAAGTTCACATGAATGTAACAATAAATAATCAATATATATTAATTTATTCTAAATTTTCTAATTTTTCAATTAAATATGTTGACTAATAGTAGCACAGACTACATTCTCGAAAATACTTTAAAAGAAATCTTATCTGATGTAATAGTTTTATGTATAAATTAAGATGCTTCAATTACTTGAATAGAATATAAGATCAGAAGAGGAGTTGCACCACATATAAGAATAACTGTAGGATTATGAGAATTTGCATCAGTTAGCAGAAACGATGAAGTTTATCTTCTAAGCATTAAAAAAGAAATTTAAAGAGAATAATTATTAGTAGAAATTTTTCAAATGTGAACCAAAATCCCAAAATTATGAAAAATTAGAATAGGCAGTTCAAAAATATGAATAGGAAATAAGAATACACATTAGAGTATGATTAATTGGTATATAAATTTAGTTAGGCTTAACATGAGATGAAAATATTCATTGAAACAATTTAATAACAATTAGAAGAATCAGAATAAATAAGAAAAGAGTATCTTAAAGAAACAACCTAAATAATTTAGGTAATATATGATTTAAAATTAGAAATTAAAAAAAGAGAATTATAATTTGATCCAATAATTGAAGTATTATACTTAAACCAATAAATAATAAACTGCATTGAATTCCAGGAGGGATAGCGCATAAACTATAAATTAAACCTTATAAAAATAACCATCTAAATCTAATCATTTAGGTAATGAATCAGGGAAATAAGATTAACACAATAATAGCTAAATAATGAAACTGTAATAGACATAAAACAATAGTTTGAACGAATTATTAAAAAATAAAGAGTCTTAAAAATCGTTGACTTAGAGACCCCTTATATCAAAGTAATAATTCATGTTGATAGTTTTAGTCGAAATAAAAGCTATTCTGTAGGAATAAGCAAATAAAACTTAATAAATAGCAGTTTAATTTAAAAATTGATATTGGAATAAGCATCAAAAAGAAAGAGTTTGCATGCGGACAGTCATCGATCAAAAGGATGCTTAGATTAACAGAAATTATCTAACAATTGAAATATTAATCATAAATTTTATTATTATTAATGGAATAAGTAATTTAGAATGATAATTTAGTGTTGTTACAATAAAAAATATTAAGCTATCCAAAAACTAATGAGGATCTTAAAGTACTTCTATTCTTTAAATTAAGTCAATTGCATCAATAATAAAAGTCACATAAATTTTCAACAAACTAAATGAACTCTATCACCAACAATTATCTCAAGAAGGGTAAATAAAAGTAAATTGATATGATTTTGTTTAGCTCTGTAATTACATTGAACTTAAAAATTATTAACTTGGTGAGTAAGTTGATCCAAATTAGGAGTTTGTAGTTTAACTAATTCTAAAAGGTCAAATTGAAGTTTATTATTTGGAAGAAGGGTACATCTATAAACATGAAAAATACCTCAAAACCTTAAATCCATTATTTTATATAGAGGAGGACTTTTATGTTGATAAAATTAAATATTAGCAAAATCAACTGTTATACAAAGTCGCATTTAATGACTCAATTATACTATTGATTGACAAGAAAGAATGCGATGAAATTTATAACTATTATGGAGAGATATTTTTGTTTAAACATAGAACTTTAAGCAGAATAATACCAGGTTTGGGAGAATTGAATTCTAAACGGATACTGGAGGCTCTGGCCAATTAATTTGAAAATGTTATTATTCCTCATAGCACTTATATTACTGAGTATAAAATACATTAATTTATTTAAGGGAAGATCAAATAGGAGAACATCTCTTTTTTTTGGCATAGGGGCATGCTTCGTTTCAGAAGAACAAAGAACACGTCTTTAACGTAGAGGAGAGTGGTATTATTGGGGATGAATTGTTAATTGATCCAGATCAGGATTAAAATAGCGTTTAAACTTATTACTACACTGTAATTGCCAAGTCAGCATAAGTTTTGCTATATAAAATCAAACTTAAGATCTTCACACGTCTCTTCCCAAATACAATTATAAGACATATCATTGCGCAGCATAAATGTAAAAGTGGCAGTTTGATTTATAGAAAAATAATTGATCAGGCTCCTTGTAGGAAGTAAACCTATTGATCATAAAAAATGTAATACATCGCCAACTAATCTTATGAAGAAATCTAAATCCACATTGATTTTAACTAAGGAATCAATAAAAGCTTATGATAATGTAGACATTTTATTCCAATAATATTAAGTATAAAATCCTAAACCTATTAGGTACCCAAACATAGTAGAGTATTAAAATTTAATAACAATTTGAAAGAAAAGTTTAATAAAAAATACAAAAAGACAGAAAAAAAAATTACAATTAATGAATTTGTAAAGCAAACTAAATATAGCGATGAACCTTAAATGAAGTTATTGGAAAAAGTGGAGAATCCTTATAATTTTGCCTCAAATGTGAATACAGAAGGGTTTTTAAAGAAATATTATTCAAATCTAATTAGGATTGGATTAGTAAAGCCTCCTTTGAGAATAGCTCCTTAAAATCAGGAGGCGATTCAAAGATCAAGAGTAATTTCAGCAATGAAATTAATTGAGCACACTCATGATTAATTGAAACCAAAAAGAGCAACGAGCGCTGCCTTTGGAAAAGTAGATCCTTTACTCACAATCAATGCTTTAGTTTCTACAAAAGAGAGTGATATGAATGTAAGTGCTCAAAAGCATTTTGAGAAGAACAAAACTATGACAACCTTCTATCCAACACCTAGAACATAATCATAGCCTTAATTAGGTTATCACAACAATGTCACTCCTAGACATTCATCTGTAATGGAAACACCTAAATGCGATACTCCATAATCGAGATCAACAATGGCAAAATCAACACAGTTGCTTTTTAGACCTTATTCTGGGTTCATGGATCATACTTCACGTTTGTCCTAATAATCAGAAATCAATAAAAGATTAAAGAGGCCGAATCATCATATATTTTGAAAATATTTTGTAATAAAAATTTATTTATATTTTTACACAATGAATGACATATCACTAACACTCTTTATTTGCATGGGTTAGATAGTCCAACCCATATCTTTTTCCAAAGACGACTCCATAATATATTTACGAAACGATATTGGCTATATCAAGAGAAAAAACAATTAAGATCACAAAATATCCAATTTTGTATTTAGCCAATAAGATATAACCAATTTTAGCAAAAATAGATCCTCCAATAATCTTAATAATTATTATATTAATACAGCTAATCCAGTAAATAGAAGGATGGTTTGCCAGTCTAAGTAATGATTAGTCAGGAGAGTAATTAAATTATTTAATGAAATCATTAAATAAATGAATGCTGATGTAGCTGAAGCACATCTCGGGATTAATCCACTAAATAATAGAGTTGGAACCATTACAAATCCTGCTCCCATTCCTAAGAATCCTGATACAAATCCTGCTAAAAATCCACCAGCATAAATCTTAAAAAATTTACTGATTGGAGTAAAGTATCTTTCTTTTGGTAAAAAGTTAATTTAATTAAATTGTTTCTCTTATTTCGTTCCGAATTGCCAAATCAAATAATCGTATAAGACATTGGCTAGGATCAAGATAAATATCATAAAATCGTTTTACCATGTACAATCTTCAATTCCAACATAAGAGGGTTTGTTTGGATTTGTTGATCGCATTTATATAAATATCTAATTTAAATTACTCTTGTTTTACTTAATTTAATCCAAATGATCCTAAAATAAAGAGGATTGGCATCAAAGGTAATATATTTTCTGATTCTTGTTTAAAATGAGAATAAAGAGATTCGTTTGAATTTGCATCAGAGATTTTATATTCCTATAAGTTATCTTTACAATATATATACTTATTGTTCATGTATCCCTTCTATAGTCTGCAACTCTATTTTTGGATTTAGATTAGAATCATTTAAATTTTAAGTATTTTCTTTTTTAGATCCTTCGCTAATTTTGAGTTCTGCCTTTTTAGCATCCTTAGCTATTTTACGGAATTATTCTATATAATACCTTTTTACCAAAGAATAGGGGCGACTCCAAATAAAAACAATTCTTATAAAATGAGAGTGTATAATTAAGGTAGAAATGACGCTAAGGATGAGCCAAGATTGGTGGCAAATGGAACTGCAAGATTGAAGATTATAGCAATTCTATAATTTATGATTGGTCTTCTCTCATCCTCTGGATTTCTATTCATAATGAAATTTCTTACTTTTCAAACATTAATAGTGCTGTGTTGAGGAGTGTACCTCCAAACATAAAACAATATGCAATATGAGTTGCTTCACTTTATGAGTAATTAAGAATCATTTCCAAAAGTGGTCCTTTCAATACTCCCCCTTAAAATTGTAAAGACATATAAATACCTCCCATTCCTCCCAGAATTCCAATGCCAATTAAAACAGGTGTAAGAATATATGATATAATTATTCCTGCTTTTGGTGTAAATGGAGAATCATGCTAACATTAATAAGCTAATGTTGCTGCATTCTATTCACATTAACTAAATTAACCGCACGAATGAAAAAAGCCTGTTTAATTAGGTTGGCAAACTTCGGTCATTAAAAATATAATTAAGTTATATGTTTAATGAAAATTTAAATTGGATTTTGAGATCTAATATTTAAAATATTATTGTTAATATATTTTTTAGATGAATTTAGGTTGCAAATTAATTTTTATATTTCTATGAAATGTTATAGGATTAAGGATTTAAAACAGTAGGAGAATTGATTTTTAATGGTACGAAGGTATTTTCTTCTAATTTTATTTGACAAATTCTTATTGGATAAGTAAGGTGTATCATAATAGAATTTATATGAATAAGCATAATTAAGGCTAAGAGACTTAGAACTCAAGGGATTAGACAATTATGTTTATAATATATTTCTTATAATGGTTTTATAAATAATTATATGTTTAAACCAAAAAATTAGAGAGATCAATAATAACAGCCATTTTATTTGAGTTGGTTTACAAATTAGGGGTACTTTAAATTGATTGGTAATTCAACTTAGTGAAAACCTGAAACGTGGAGGTACAGCACCAAACCAATCTCGAAAGGATAAAATGCCTTTTAAGAGTCCATATTAACAACCTTTGATTGCTGTTGCACATAATGTTCCAAACCCATACTTAAAGACTATGTGAGTAGTATTTACAATAACATAGATCACAGCCAAAAAGTTATCAAAATAATATCTAGCAGATTTCGAAGATTTATGCAGGTCAATTTTAAGGCACAGTAAAAAGAAGAAGTCTTGAAAAAAGATATGATGAAGGTCCAAAGAGTGGCAGAGGATCATTCAAACCATCCAGGACATTCACTTAACAAATTTCAAGGCCCTTTCGCTTTTCAGAGTAGCAACAGAGTAGACCATAGACTCAATAAATGAATACTTTAGAACCAAGGTTAAATTGTGAGAATTTGGTAGTGGACAATAACGATGACGAGCAGCTGACTCCTCGAGAATAGGAGGAAATTGAAATAGTTGATATCGATAATAATGATGATTATTCAAATTAATCAGATGAAGCTGAAAGCGATGAACATTAAAACTTTTAATTGCATACTTAACAATAGGAAGAATAAGAAATTCAAAAAAACGCATCTTTTGTACACAAATAATCTGAAGAACCAATTGCAAGTATGAGAAAAGCAACCGCTAGTCTTAACAGGCCTTAAACATCTGAAGGTGTAAGAAGGAAAAGGTTCATGAATTCAGATAAAAATGAGTCTAAACATGCCTTTGAAACAAGGCAATCAGACTTCGGACTCTTAGATTACGAACCTAATGTTATCTAAGAAGATGATTCAGAAAATCAAGAAGTTATGCCAATAATATTGAATTAACTGAATTCTCCTAAAGTATCAATATTCGTTATTTTTTAATAAAGGAATTGCTCTCAATACGTTCTGGATAGAGGAGAAAGTAAACAGAATAGAATTAGATGGAAAATTTTGATAAAAATGAAAGACCCCCTTCCAGACATAAAACACCTCCAAAGGCAACCGGATTAGAATTGCCTATTTAATCAGGCAATTAGAATGCTAATAGGGATGGCATTGAAATCCCTATTAAGAATATGTATGCTCAAATCGATGAATTAGGTAATGACTTACTATTATTCAAGGCAATGCAAATAATATGGGTATTATAAAAAATAATGATGAATTTGATGATTTTGATCTGGGATTCATCAAGATGAATAACAAGGTCAATGTCAACAAATTTCAGCAAAGGGATGGATATCAAACCGATGATGGAAGTATTTAATTCTTATTAATTAAGAAAAATAAGTTTCTGAATAAAAACACCCCTAGTCTGCTAATTTAAAGTATAATGGATTGGGATTCCAAAATGTGTCATACTCTCCTCTTAATAATTAAATTACTTCTGCTCATGGTTTCAGAGCAAATGAAGAATAAATAGTTATCAAATATAATGCTAGCTCAGCTTTAAATAAGAACTATGGCAACTAAACAGTTAAGGTGCCATTTCAAACTTCGTTGGGTTAAGACTTTCTAAGATTATTTGCTAATGATTGAATTATCTAATATTTTTATTATAAATATACAGTTATTATACTTTAAATGTCAACAGCAGGCTATTTAAACAAATACAACAACAAAAAATAAAATGACACCAAATCCATAGTAAGTTAATAATCGAGTAAGAAAGTATCAATTTTATAATTTCAATTAGAGTACAACTACAGATGTAAAAACAAAAGAAGACATATTGAATAAAATGCAATAGAATGAAGAAAAGCATCGATAACTGATGATGGAAAATAATAAAAGGAGAAAGGAATAAGAAAAGAAACTCAAATAACAAGAAGAAGAAAAGTAAAAATAAGCAGCTGCATTGCTTGATTAAAGAAAGAAAACAAAGGAATAAGCTTATGTTAATTATTTAAGAAACAATACCAAATAAATCTTGGCTGACTATCAACCCAGGTAAACTGATTATCCTAAACAAAACCCAAAACCTCAATTAGAAAAAAAAGTATAAACAAATTACAATAATTTCGAAGCCCTTGATCTAGAAGTATCACAAGTGGCTAAAAACAAAAAGTTGCCTTAAGAATTTTAAAAACAATGGGAGGATTTCGAAGTCATGAAGAAAAGTGAACTTCTAGATAGTCTTGATTTAAGCACAGCTTAGAAATAAAAACCCGCTCCTAATCAAAGAAAACATGAATTACAGTAATTACTTGGATTACCAGAAGAAGGTAGTGATGATGAAGAGGATTTATGGAAAAATACTATGAAAAATGGATAATTGGCTAAATAAAACTCCAAGCCTCCTTTGTCAAAGCCTGCCTAATGGGCTGAATAAGCTATAACTTAAGCTGATGATGTCTTATCCAAAATGAGTTAAAAACAAGGAACCGAAAGAGATAAAAGAGAATTAACATCCTAAAAATCATAATAAGAACCACTTAATACTAAATAAAAGTAACTTTCTTCTTCTGTCCCCAAAAATGCCACTCCTAATAATAAAAATTCTGAGCAAATGAAGATATTGCAATAAAAGGAATAACAATTGCTAGGCTAACAAATGTTAATTCAAAAGCAATTGTAATAAAATACCATCGATACTAATTAGAATAGCAATAATAATACTAATCATTAAAACCCTCCTAGAAAGCCGCCATAAAATATTAGAATTACGCAAAAACAAATACACAAACAACCAAGTAGTGTTCAAGATGAGCAAAATCATATATAAGAATTTCTACGGGTATTGAATTGTAAATAATATTATGATAGGAGGATCTATAAAATATTAACGATTTGGAAATACAGCTTTAACTAGAACTATTGAATTTGAATAAAGAGAATAAACAAAAGATAGAGTCAGTGTAGTAAAAATATGGAGTAAGAAATTTATAAACCTCTAATCAAGTCAACAGAATAGTGTTTGTTTAAAATTAATATCCAAGTATTGTGTATAAATATGTTAGTAAAGTCATAAGAAGATTAGATTGAAGCATCTTTACTAAAATTAGATATGATGCTTTAACAACCTCCTCAAAAACCAATAGAATAGCAATAATTGTAGTTCACTAATTAACAATAAAAGTAATAAATACACTAAACAATTCCTTTATAATAAAATACATATTAACAATAAACATAATAATAATAAATAAATTAGTATGGCTAATAACAGCAACTAAATCCTTAGCAGTATTAGCAATTATTAGAATAATAAAATTTGCTCTAGTAACAATTAATAATGGCGTAAAAATAAATATAATAAATGCAGTAATAAACTCAATAATAGACATAAACTTTAAATTAACAATAAGGAGATTTTCCTCAATTTCCCTCATATGTACTTCACTAAGATCATTAATCATTTGTTTAAACATTTTCAAATGGAATACCATAATAATAATAATAATAATTTTAGTAATAATAAAAATAATAATAGTAATAATAATAATAATCATTTAATTCTAAACCAAGAAATGTAATTTCAAGTGATAATTAAAGTTTTTCAGTAGTTTCTTCTCAATAAAATGATAAATATACATTTGATTTAGATTTTGGTGCCCAAAAAAATCCTTAAAATACCTATACTTAATAGGCGCTAAAAAAGATGACCCAAAAGCAATCCTAAGTTAAATCGAGTCTTCCAATAGAGGAAGAAGAAGAGCCGGAGGAAGGGAAAATAGAGGTTAGATAGGATTTAAGAAATCTACTTTTTGATTGATATCCATAATTAGCAAATAAATTCTTTATTAAAATTAATTTAATGAATAGTAATCTTATCAACCTGTCTGCAGAGCTTTTATAGGCATAAGACATAAAGAGATATTTGATTAAAGATGTAATATTAGTTATCAAACCAAATAGTTCAATAGAACCACTCTGAAGTTAAGATATTTCGAATAAGGATATAATGACGGAAGACCAATCTCTTTGAATAAAGCTTATTTAGAGAGATAAGACGATGATGTTTACAATGAGGAACGAATGAGAAAGGCGAAGCCAATGTATAGATTGATGTTTGGGACAGAATTTCATATCAAAGAATTATCGAACAGATTGAAAGTATTGTTAAAGGACTTAGGAGTGCATGTGGCAGCTTAGGATACAAGAGGAATGAGTGGAAAAATAAACTTGGCATTTGTGGATCTCTTAGAGGGAATTTACATAATTTATAAACAGAGTGTAATGCAAGGAGAAGAAGGTTAAGCAGTATTTATGAAAAATGTGATCAACGTATTAGCTACATATAGAGGATATGATTTTATCATTATAGAGCCCAATCATAATGAGGTTTAACTTTAAATTCTCTATTCAACAATGTATGAAGTGGATAGTCAAATTGACAGAATTATGGCTTAAACACTTCATCAAGAAGATGATTAATCAAAGCAAATAATAGAATATGGAACATTTAATGAATTTTTAAAACATTATAAAGATGTCGTAAATATGGAACCAATAAATGTGGAATCCAATTGGGAAATCTAATTTTAAGAGGAATAGTAGTAGGAAAAATAACAAATCGAAGTAATTTAAGATAGAGAACATATCAATTATTTATCAGAATTTGACAAACAATTTCATAATGTGTTGGTGAAAGCATCACCAGAATATTGGTAATTATTGGTATTTGACTTACTAAAAGATTTATGTGATAAAACATTGTCTAATTAAATTTTGGAATGTAAATTTTACGATATATTAAAAAATGTAAAGGCAGCTTAATATCTGTTGATTTATAGAAAAGAAATAGTAAAATATTTGAGTGATAAGAAATTCTGGGAAGTTTAGAATCAACAATAGAAACCAAATCTGTAAAGTAATGGTACAGCCACTTCAAATCATTAATTACTCGCTAAAATTGGAATAGATGTCTAATAAGAAGGAATGTTGGGATTAAGAAAATAGGAATTTACAAATCAACAAAAAGTGTAAACTACATTCTAAGAAGGTTTAATAGAATTTGATCCAGAATAATACGCAAGAATGGAACAATCAACTTTGGTTAGATATTTTCCAACTTCTACAAGGACAGATAAATTAGAATATTTATACATAAGAATTGATCCATTACCAAAGAAACCAATTAAGGAGGATAAGTTGATTCCTATCAATGATCTTCCAGAATGGGCAAGGAAAGCATTTGATGGAACAACTAGTTTAAATGTTATTCAGTCATAAATATATCCTAAAGCATTTTTGACTGAAGAGAATCTATTGGTTTGTGCACCTACAGGAGCTGGTAAAACCAATATCGCATTGTTGGCAATCCTCCATGAGATATCTAAGAGAGTAGATGAAAAAGATAAAAGATTGAAAGATTAAGATTTTAAGATTGTTTATATATCTCCAATGAAAGCATTAGCTAGCGAAATTGTTGAAAAATTCTAGACAAAACTTAGATATTTGGGAGTTAAAGTTAAAGAGTTTACAGGAGATATGTAATTATCAAAGAAAGAATTGTAAGAAACCCATATTATATTGACAACACCTGAAAAATGGGATGTTATTACTAGAAAAACAAATCAAAATTAGTGAACAATTAAAAATTGTTAATTATTGATGAAGTTCATTTACTTAATGATGAAAGAGGTCCAATATTAGAATGTGTTGTTGCTCGTACTCTTTAATAAGTTTAAAGAGCTTAAAGACATATCAGATTGGTTGGTTTATCTGCAACTCTACCAAATTATTGGGATGTTGCTATATTTTTGGAATGTCATAAAGATAGTGTGTTCTTTTTTGATCATACATTCAGACCAGTACCATTATGTCAGAAATTCATAGGATGTAAAGAACCTGTTTAAGCACCTGCTAAGGGATAAAGAAGAAGAACTAAAAGAGATATTTAAAATGAATAAGCTTATGAATTAATGAGTGAAGTGGTGAAGCATAACAAGCAAGTACTCATTTTTGTTCATTCTCGTAAAGAGACTGTTAATTATGCTAAATGGATATTAGAAAGAGCATCTCGTTTAGGTGATAGACATATTATTGGAACAACTAAAATTAATTGTACTAAGTTAAATGATAATGAATTGAAAAAATTGTTGCCTTATGGATTGGCATTCCATCATGCTGGTATGTTAAGAGCAGATCGTAATTCGGTTGAAAGGTTGTTTTTAAGTGGAGATGCAAGAGTATTGATAGCTACAGCCACTTTAGCTTGGGGTGTTAACTTGCCTGCTTTTGCTGTTATTATTAAAGGAACAGACATCTTTGATGTTACTCGAGCAGACATGTAGAATTTATGTGTTTTAGATGTGTAATAAATGTTTGGTAGAGCTGGTAGACCTTAGTTTGATGATAAGGGAGAAGCAACTTTAATCACAGATTTCAATAATGTAGGTCATTATATGGGTATGCTCAACAATGCCAGTTATATTGAAAGCAAATTATTAACATTCTTAAGAGAAGCCTTAAATGCAGAAATAGTCTTGGGAAATATTACTAATTATACTGAAGCATATAATTGGATGTGTCATACATTCTTAAGCATTAGATTAAGAAGAAACCCATTACATTATGGTGTATAAAGAGCATATGATGATTTAGAATTAGATTGTGATACATTGGTGTAAGAAAAGATTGAGTCGGCATTGAAATAATTGGATGCTTTGAAATTAGTAAGGTATGACACCAGGAATCATTTGGTTACATCAACAGACTTAGGTAGAATAGCATCTCATTATTATATTAAATGTGAAACCATGAAGGTTCTATGTGATGAAATGGGTTTGTCATTCGACTAATAAGAGAAATAAAAATTCAATGATAAAAATTAATATCAATTGCTTAAGATCATAGCTAAGGCCAAAGAATTTGAGATGATTAGAGTCAGACCTGAAGAGACTAAAGAATTGTAGAAGATTTATGATGATGCTTGGGTATTTGATGAAGAACCTGATGTCAGAAGTGATTCATTTGATCATCCTGAAGGTGTTATAGAAACTTAGGAGAAAGTCATTGCCCTTATTAGTGGATATCTAGCAAAAGTGAATTTTGAAAATTATGCCTTAATTATGGATACCAATATTATTATTCAAAACACTATTAGATTATTGAGATGCATGTTGGATATGGCAATCAAGAAAAACTAAGCATGTATGGCTCTGGAATTACTGAAATTGTGCAAGATGATTGAGAATAGAATGTGTCCTAGATAAAATCCACTCTTTTAATTTAGTAAGGAAAGCTTTTCAGGGTGTAATACTAGAAAAATAATGAAATCTAAAGATGCCTACATGCCAAGAGCCTGGATAGGTGCTATGGCTGAATGCAGTCTACCTGCTTACTAGATGAAGGGTGAAGATGACATTGTCTTGGCTTAATAGTTATCAATACCTACCAATTTGGTTTCTCAATTCAAGGCATATGTAAATTACTTACCTGATTTGAATATTGAATACAAAGTTAAACCCATCTCATAAACTATTTTATAATTGGTAGTTTTAATAACGCCTTAATTTACATTCAATAGTAAATGGCACTTAAAAAATGAGCCTTTTTGGATATTTGCGTATGACTCTGAAGAATTATTACATTCAGAAGAGTTTTTAATGGAAATGGATACCATCATTAGAGGTAATACCATGTAAATTTCCTTTTATGTTCCATTTAATTCAAAATGTAAGGCTTACTATCTGACAATTCAAAGTGATCGATGGGTAATGCTAGATGAGGATTACACTACAGTTTAAATAGATCTATCAAATGCTTTTATGCAAGATGACTAGATAGATTTTACTGAGTTATTAGACTTACAACCTTTACCAATCAGTGCATTAAACAATACTGAATTTGAACAATTATACTAGTAGTATAAATACTTTAACCCTATCTAAACACAAGTGTTCTTTGGACTCTATAACACAGATGATAATATATTAATTGGAGCACCTACAGGTTCAGGTAAAACTATAATGGCAGAATTTGCTATGTTAAGAGTGTTTAAATAATCACCATAATTCAAAGTAGTTTACATAGCACCTTTGAAGGCAATTGCAAAAGAGAGATTAAAAGATTGGACCAAGAGATTGAAGGAAATCAATAAAAATGTACTTGAATTAACAGGAGATTATACTCCAGATTTACAAGCATTGTTGAAGGCTCATGTTCTCATAACAACTCCAGAAAAATGGGATGGTATCAGTAGAAGTTGGAATAATAGAGAATATGTGAGATAGACCTGTCTGTTAATTTTTGATGAAATCCATCTACTTGGATAAGATAGAGGATAAGTCTTAGAGGTTATAGTAAGTAGAATGAATTCATTAAGCTACGATACAAATAAAAAGACACGAATGATTGGGTTATCAACAGCAATGGCCAATGGATTAGATGTGAGTAATTGGTTCGGAGTCAAGAAGGGTAGATTTTATAATTTTAAACCCTCATGCAGACCTGTCCCTGTCACCATTCACTTTAATGGATTTCCAGAAAGAGCCTATTGTCCTAGAATGGCTACTATGAATAAACCAGCTTATCAAGATATTAAGAGATATAGTGATGGAAAACCAACTATCATTTTTGTGTCCTCTCGTAGACAAACTCGTCTAACTGCTTTGGATATTATTGCTTTGGCTATGCAAGAGGGAAATGAAAAGCAGTATATCTAAACCACTGAGTAGGAATTAGCTTAATTGTGTACCAAGATTGATGACACATAATTAAAATCAGTCTTGTAATATGGAATTGGAATTCATCATTCTGGACTTGATAAAAATGATAGAAATATAGTTGAAAATCTATTTGTTTAAGGGAAAATTCAATTATTAATAGCCACATCTACTTTGGCTTGGGGAGTGAACTTCCCTGCAAGATTAGTTATAGTAAAAGGTACTGAATTTTTCGATCCAAAATTAAAGAAATATGTAGATTTTCCAGTTACAGATTTATTGTAAATGATAGGAAGAGCTGGTAGACCTTAATATGATACTGTTGCTAGTGCTTGTGTCTATGTAGAATAAAGTAAAAAGAATTTCTATCGTAAATATCTAAATTCTCCTTTCCCAATCGAGTCAAGTTTGCTTCAAGGCATTTCAGATCATATTAATGCTGAAATCTCCTCTGGAGTGGTTAAAAACAACTAAACTTTTATCGATTGGATTACTTGGACATATTTCTTCAGAAGATTAGTCAAAAATCCTACATTCTACAATTGTCCAAGCACTAATAGTAAAGATATACAATACTATATGAATAACTTAGTTGCTAATACTATTAGTGATTTAGTAACATCAAAATGTATTACATAAGAAGATGGATAATACGAATCAACATTTTTGGGCAAGTTAGCTGCCTTTTATTATCTCAAACACACAACTTTAAAACATTTTGATGAACGAATTTAGAAGGAGAGTCGATTTGAAGATTTATTATACACTTTAGCATACTCTAGTGAATTCAATGAAGTACCTGTTAGACACAACGAAGAACATTTAAATGAAGCCTTATCTAAATTATGCAAATTGAAGTGTGATAAAAACAAAATGGACAATCCTAATGAAAAGGCTTACTTATTGATTTAAGCCCATATTTTCAGATTGAAATGTCCTATTAAAGATTTTGAGACAGATCAAAAACTTATTTTAGACTCATGTATCAGAATCATAAGTTGTATGATTGAAATATCTGCCAATAAGGGTTACCTTTAAACTACTCTTAATATTATCTATATGTTGTAGACGATTGTTTAGGGTTTTGTTAAAAATGAAGAATAAGTATTAATGAATTTGCCTTATTTGCACAAACTCAAACCAGAGGAATGCATTAATCGAGTCAGAACTATCAAGGAATTACTGTAATTTTTTAATGTAATTATTTAATTTAATACTTTTAGCTTAGAGAATTTGATATTTTCCTATAAAATAATGTTCATCAAAAAGAGAATATTGCAGAAATAATGAAAGCCATAAATGCATTACCTGATATCCAATTAGTTTATACTAAAACTGAAAACTAATTGAAAGTAAATCTCAAAAACGAAAGCAAACCTGACAATAAAGTTTATATTTAAAAGCTTAGTAAACAAAGAGAAGCTTCTTGGTGGTTGATCCTTGGAGATGAGGATCGAATTGTGTCCATGAAAAAAGTGTACTTGAGAAGCACCGCCAGCAAGGATATTGAAGTAGAAGATTGGAATAGAAATTACAGGTTGTATTTGATGTCAGATTCATATTTGGGATTGGATTAGATTATAGATATTAAATGAAAGGCTTATTTTTGTGTTTAGTAAATAATTATTATTATTATTAATTGAAATTAATGCCTATCATTCAACGACTCTAGAGACATTTAGAGGCTTGATATTACACTATAATTAATATTATTCAATGATAAATCATCAGGTTTGCTTGGTCTTTAATATTTTCACTGTTAACTTTTGCTCAGTCAATACGTATACTACTCCTCCCCATCCAGATAAGGAATCCCTATCACAACCACTCACTAAACTTTGTCCAATAACTTCTTCCAATTCTTCTGGACTCAAATCTGGCTTGAAGAAGGCCTCACATGCACCATAAATACTAAATATAATTATAAATTTTATACTAATTTCCTCCAGTTCCTCCAACCTAAAAGTCGTCCAAATCGGATTTGCATCCAATAGAATCGTATGTTGCTAAAATGGGTTTACCGTTTTCAAGGCCAGCCACTATTGGAGTTACAAAGAATGGTCCAAATCTGAAATGTTATTGAACATGTATACCTTCTTTCATATAATGAAGATGCAACTAAATTTGCAAATGTAGATGGTTTCATTTTTCTATTTTCTTTTAAATTATATAAGTTTATCTCCTTCTCCATCAAAGCGTAGCTAACTTAAACACTATTATTTACAATGTGTGAATGTCTGAATTGAGACCTGATAATGCTAATAAAATGTTGTCTTGAATCTTAAACACTTTTTGATAATTAGTTGTGATTGTTGACATTTGCTAACCGAATCTTCTATCGCAAGCCATAGCAATACAATTTTTTCCCTTCATTCCAACTATGGATCCACCATTATATTCAAAAATTCCAGACATTAGGATAATTAATTATATATATTATATAAATTTTAATATTAAAAACTCTTGCTTTATAAAACAATTGATGCTGTAATTTTTATAGCCATCCCATCTTAAATTCCCTACTTAAGCCAATCTAAATTGATAGGCGATCCTAATATTTATGTGATCTTTCGTCTCTATTTTTGGCGCTCATAAATTTGAGATTGGAAAATACAAGAATATTCTACTAATGGCTAATCTAGAGTTCAATGGTTTGATTTTGATGAAGGACAATATTTTTAATGATATTAAAATTTGTATAAAAAGCTTTAATAATTTTAATTTTTAAAGAATATGTACTCTAAATAGAAGGGGACAATCGATGTCTCTAATAAATAAGAACAGATAGTTCCTCTCAATATTAGAATGATGAAATAAATTAAGGTTTCAACTTGTGAAAAATAGGCTGTTTTAGAGAAAATCACCATTACTTACATTAATCTAATAACTCGTAAATCTAATTGTATTCAATAATAAAAAAAAGGAACAATTATTATTAATGATGATACAGGATATCTTAGTCTTAGCATGAATTTAATATAGGAATTCGACCAAAATTTATTTAATAGAATCAATTCGGACCATTCCAATTTACACTACTATAACTTTATTTTAAAAACTAGAGTATTTAAACACGAGGTTTTCTTTGACATACAGACTATACAACAAGTGAATTAATCTGCTATGATAACCTATTAAATCATAAAAATCCTTGCTTGGGCAAGATTATAGGAAGGATAGAAAATGTAGATCCATCCAAGAGCAGAGAACGAAGAAGATGAATAAATTCTAATTGAAGTTTCCAATTTGAATGAAGATGTAATAAATAAAATTATAATTTAGATTCTAACATTTTTGGGTTAAAACTTAAAATAAGGGAAAAGCTTAAATGAAATTGTAGATCATTTTAAGGCCTTGAATAATATTGAACCATAAGACATCAAGTAATTCTAAATTGTATAAATAGAAAATCTATTACACTCTTATTAAAAGATGGCAAAATAAAAAATGAAGGGGAAATATTCCATCAAGTCATCCATTTATGAATAACATTCTATTTTTTTATTTTTACAATATCCAACTTATTAACCAAAGATAATGTTGATTATACTTTTTTCTCTTTATTTACTATATGCTATAATATATAAGATCATATATGAGATATAAGAGATTTCAATTTGAATTCTATATAATCTCCAATATTTAGCCTTTTTATTCTTAGGTGATTAAAGTATCAAGTCTTTTTGTAAATAATAATCAATCGCCATTTCTTTAAAATAAAATATATATTTTAATGATAAATTTAACTGAATAATGCTTTATTAGGATTAGAGAAAAATGATAATTAATCAAAATAACTATGAGAAAGCTAAATTGAATCGACCAAGATCCATTTCGAATAATGCAATATCATTTAACTTAGAAATCTAATAGCAACAATTGAAGAATGATGTAGCTGCAAATTATCAAACATCAATTAGCGAAGTTAGGAAATTTAATTTGAATCAAAGAAATAACTCTTTTAATTAAGGAGTAGAAAATAATGCTAAAATCCTTAATCAGCAAAATGATTATGATTTTAATAGATTAATGAAAAATTTTCATTGCATGTAATACACAAATAAAAAAATAAAGGAAACCTTAAAATGTTCAACTCAAGATAAAAATAGAATGGTTTAAGCATAATCTCAAGAAAAACAAACAAAAACTTAACATAATTCATAAACAAGATAAGTAAAATAAGATGACAACGACATTTAAGAACTTCGGAGATTAAATAAAACCGAGACTATAAATAGTAATGATATAAAGAAACATGAAAATAATAGAATAAATACGTCTGATGTCAGAGAAAGAATGAAAAATTATCCTTAAAAATCATCAAGTCCTCAAATCATACATCCACCTAGGCCTAAGTCATCGATGGAGGATAAAAGCGTGACTATAATGTCATTATAGTTAAGGGATATGAAAGAAAACATATAATAAAAAGATATTTAAAAGATTTGTTATGAGATGGGTTATCATGTGGTAAAATTTGATCGAGATTATGATAAAATAAATAATATAGCTAATGGTCAAGGATGTTTATAGATAAGAGGAAATAGTAATGATAGTAAATTTATGAATTTATAAACAAATTTAAGCAAAAAAGGAATAAACTTAGGGGATTAAAATTAAAATCTAAAAGATTTTATTTCAAATAAGTATTTGCTAAAAAAATAAGAGTACTCTTAAATCGAGACTTAACCTGTTTTAAATTAGGATGAAAAATTGCTTAATAATTTTTTAAAATTTTAGAAAAGAAAGAAAGGATAATTTATTTGATCAAATATACTTTATATAAATTATCTTTTATTTTAATTCAAGTTCCTAGTTAACCTTAATGATTGACTCTTAGTTTCCAATTCAATTATAGTAGCGAAGAATGCTTTATTTTGTCTATTTATTTTTATAAGAGAAGATAGTTGAGGGTTTTACTTAGATTATTAAATTTATCAATAATGGGTGATTATTGGATTTATTAATAAAAATTATGTATTGATTATTTAATTTTAAAATGAATTAATAAAGTTTTGTGTAAGTAAACTTAGAACATGATTAAATAAAAAAAAGGGTCAACTCACTTAAATTTTAATTAAAGGACATCGATCAGAAGAACTTCATTATATAATAGAAATTAAAAGATTTGAGATAATTATCTCCTGATGCTAAAAAGTCGCCTATTGCATAATTACAAGAATAATTGGGTTTGGATAGAAAGCAAATAATGGAGTAATTCAAACCTATTATTGAGAAGGAAGGAGTATATGTTAGAAATGAACGATTAAAAACAGAATCATATTTGCAAAACTCAAGAAATGCTGAAATTTAACAGAAAAAAATCAAGGTTAAATAAATTGAAGATCAAGATTCTTAAGTCTTAAGGAGGAAGGCAGAGTTCTATGAAAAAAAGATCAATGAAATTAGGTAACGATAAGTGTAGGAAATGGAATTGAATAAATTAATAGTTCATAAGAAAGTAATGGAGATCAATAATTACAAGAGATATGAATAATAATTATTAGGAGAAATCACTCTGTATTATTTAGAGCTTATTTTAGGGCAAAATAAAAGGAGTAATCATTGAATAACAGATTCTGCTAGTTTGCTACTTCCTCTGATAATAGCATAATGTTGCCATTAATCTCAAAAACAAATAGTAGAATGAGTTAAAAAAGTTATTCTTAATAAAGATCTATTATGGGTAGTAATTCTGTTTAAAGATCTGAATAATAACTAAATAGATTTTAGAGAAGTGATACAAAGAATAATAATTCATTTATTGATTACGTAGAGAATAAAGGATTAAGAACTAAATTGATGAAGGAAGAGTAAAATGAATTCAATATTGGATGCCAGACAAGTTTTATACTGACTGATAAAAACTAATAAAGTGTTCAGCATTCATAAAACTTTGATACTTATTGCAGCAATAATTAAAATGAATCATTTGAGAAGATGTAAAAAAACAAATAAAAATAAAAAAGTAAAAAATGAAATGCATTTATTGTTTTAAAACTATTATGAACCTATTCTTATATACAAAAATTGATTTTCTTTCACCAGAGATTCCAAGTTGAGAAGAAGTTTTGCTCGTCATCTGAGATTAAACATAATAGGAAAATGCTCACACTTGTTAATTTCTCTGTTGTTATTATCTTATTGATTCGGAATTTGAAAAAAAAATTAAATTAATTAAAAGGATTCAATGGGCAAACAATATGCTAGAGAACCAGCAGTTGCTAAAAAATCAGCCAAGGCTAAAGCAAGTGATTTGAGAACACATTTTAAGAATACCTATGAAGTAGCTAGAGCATTGAAGGGATAAACTGTTGCTTAAGCACTCAAATATTTACAAGATGTCTTATAACATAAGAGATGTGTTCCATTCACCAGATTTAATGGAGGTGTTGGCAGAACAAGTTAAGCCAAGGAATTCGGCAGATCTTAAGGTAAATTAATAAAACAATTAATATTATAGGTAGATGGCCAGAAAAGAGTGTCAGAATTGTATTGTCACTTTTACAAAATTTGGCAGCTAATGCTTAAGTCAAGAATTTGAGCAATGAGAAACTTATCATCAATCATGTCTAAGTTAACAGAGCCTAAAAGGGTAGACGTAGAACATACAGAGCTCACGGAAGAATTAATCGTAAATAAATTTAATTAATAATATATAGCATTCTTATCATCAAATGCACACGTTGAAATATGGGCTGCTGAAAAAGATGAGAATGTCAAGAAGGAAGCAAATAATAAGGTTGTTGCTCGTTAATCAAGAAAATAAGTAGCTAAGAATAGATTGGCAATTGGTGCATGAGAATACATTAATATTAGTATAATATCTAAGTTATTTATGTTTTCAATATCCTTAACATTTTATTTTTGGAATTATGGTTTATACAATATATAACATATTTTAATTTGTTGCAAACATTATTAATGGAATTATATTAAAAGCCAATTTAATTCATTTTCAGCATTGAATAAAAGGCGATGAATAATTAATTTTTGAGATTTCTATGTATATGGATTGTATAATATATTGAATATATTAGAAATTAATTCGATAATATACTAAAGGGAAGTTTAATACTTAAATAATTCTATAGAGCTATTACTCGTATAACTCAACTCTTTTATTCAGAATCTAGGGCAGGGAAATCATGAGCATTCAATGTGTTTGGCTTGATGTTTTATTTTGGAGTCTTTTATAATACTGCTTTAGGAATCAATTGATATTGTTATTGTTACTGTGATTGTTATTATTGTTAATGTTGAACATCACTTTTTTACACATATTACTTAAATAATAGTTAAAAATTAATACATTATTTCCTCGATCTCTTTATCCTCCTCTTCTATCATGAGTTCTTCCTCCTCTATCATTTCTATCATGTCTTTCATTTCTATCACCTCTATCTTATCTATCTCCTCTATCCTATCTATCTCCTCTATCTTGTCTATCTCCCTTATCCTTATTCTGATACTTCTCTTCATGTCTATCATCATCTTTGTCATTTCTATAATATCCATAATTTCCTCTTCCTCTATTACCTCTAGCTCTAGACTTTTAGTAATGATGATCTTTTTCTTATTCATCATGTTAATCATTTCGTTTATATTCTTGTGGATCATATTCTTATTATTCTATTTTCTTAGTCATCATTTGACATTTTTTTGAATTTATTTATTTATGAAATTCATCCAAATAATCAACATTTTACATAATTACAGAATCAATTTGAAGTTCTACCTTCTTAGACATTAGAAAATCAAATATCTCAACTGCATAACCTTCTGTTTAAGATGTTAATATTAGCTTAACATATGTTTTGTCAGCTTAATAAATTTCTTCCTCATACACTAATTCCTCTTTTACAAAGCCAGACTTTTACAATGTGTCCTTAATTATTGACACTGAAATAGCTGGTATTTTAATTTATATTCTCTTTCTCTCTGTTGGGAAATAAGGACGTATGATTAACATTTGATGATCAAAATTCCATAATTATTTGTTGTATTTGTTCAGAATCTAAGTTTGGAAATATATTCTTTACATCAGTTAAGATCAAATGATATTTTTTACGAGTGTTTAATTCGTTTTAGACATATTAGCTTTTTATCGAATTTTCTCTCTACACCACGACATATTGTAGCAAATACCACTCTGGTTTCATTATATCAGTCTCGAATTTTCTGACCAAGTACTCGTTATTTAGCAAATTATCATATTTGAACAATTCAATCATCTAATATATTATACATCAATTAAATTTACAGCTTTCTCTAGTCTCTAATATTAGTCTTCTGGCTAAGATGATATTAACATATTTCATACCTTATCAGATAAAATTTCAGTAGCAATCATTAGTATACAACTATAGATGCTAATTATTTATTTATTTAATTTTCATCACAAAATAAGAAACTCAAATCAAATTAACATATAATAATTAATAGTAAATTACATCGTGCATTCAGAAGCGCTCATCAATCTTAAGTCCTTTGAATGAATTAGAGAATTAAGAAAGAAATTAAAATCTATATTTATTCTTAATTTCAACTAATCATACTTATTTTATTGATATTATTAAATTATTTGTAATAAAATCATTAATAATACCAAAATCAATAAATAATAGAACAATTTTCGCAAGCTTATTCATCATCATATTTTACTATGCCTGTAGATGAAGTTTATACTGTATGACATTTAACAAGCCTTAAATGACCACAAGGTAAGGTTATTGTTATTTCAACTTAACAAGGAATACAAGGTTAGGAACAGGAATTAGAACACGGAAAATAATGTTCGCATGCTCTTATTTTATCACATGGTTTTGAGCATTAAATACAGTTTTCAAAGAGTTACAATATTTTTTCATGCTCACTTTAACATAAATTTTCATACTCTTCAATTGGTAGCAGTTCTTTCAAGGCAACTTTTACATCTTCACACTAATATTAATATTGATGACCACATTTTAAAGTGAGAAGAATCTCATACTCACATGGAGTACATTCCTAATAACAATAATTATTGCATTAAAACTGATGACCACATTTCCTAGGTCTTGAACAAGGATATTTGCATTAAAAGTCTTGTATTTATTGAAAATTCTTAACATCTTTTATCAGGCCTTTAGCTAAATTTTCTGAGATTCGAAATACCAATTCCATGCCAATCCTAGAATTTAGAAAGGTAGGGGGCATTTTTAGATCATTAATTATATGATTTTTTATTTCAAAGCATTTCTTTTAAATACTATGCATTCCACAATGAAGTTAAATGGTAATATTATAAGCGCAAGGAGAACATTTTTGATAGCATAAATTTTTACATTAATCCCTATGTCCACAAGTCATACTTTTTATACATTTCTACTCACAAGGATAACAACGTTCCCTGCATTTTTTCTTACAAGTATGGCCACACGGAAGAACCTTATCACAATTATGTTAACATTCCTAATAAGCGCTATTTATTTCATAACATTTGAATTTATTTGTGTGCTTACATGATGAATGAAAATATATTTCTACATCCTCTTAGCAAATCACATCGGCGAGATCTTATCCGCATTGAATTAAAACCGTATGATTACATTCAGGTAAAATTTCATAGTAAGTAAAAGTGCAGATACACTAAGCTTGGCACCTTTATTAACATTTATGTCTGCATTTAAGTATTTTTTCACACATTTCTTGGCAATCATTTTGATTTTGAGTTCCTGGAAGATATTATTTCTTGCAAGTGTGATTATTACAAAAGCAGCCTCCATTAATATTTAAGAAGTAGCTTGATTGCTATATCTACTTTACTGTACCATGAATATGACATTTCAGAGGGATAAAATGTGTGAGGTAGTCTTCATCATATAGCTAAGTTATAAATTTAGAAAAAAAAGAATCATATAAAGTACTCTATCTTGAATAATAATCAAAATAACCGAATACATAAAGACCTAATTTTGCTCTTGAAAACGCAGTTTTAATTCTATTTTGGTATTTTCTTTTAAATAATTTTTTATGATTATTTAAAATAACTAATGAAATTATTACAATATCATTCTCTTATCCTAAATAATCATCAACTGACTCTACCCTAACCTAAGTTTAGTTCTCATTCCTAAATTTCTCCTTTATTAATTCTACTTACTATTAGTATTGTGATAATACAGTAATTTAAGACACTTTGTTTCCTGCTTAAATAAGATATTAAACCATTTAAACAATCATTTCAGCTTCTTAAACATTTTATTTTATATCTAAATCTAAATCTAATTGTTGATTATCAAAAATAAAAAAATCAGAATCTAAACCCTTAACTTCCTTTTTATTTGTGGTTTCATGAATATCTTAATGATCTTTAATATTTTACTGGTAGATTCTTTTCAAAAAATCAGCAATATTAGGTTTCATTCTCCTTTAAGTTGATAAAACAACAGATGGAATTTATTGATTTTATATATTTTTTAAAAAGTAGAAATTTGTTTAATCATAATTCTAAAATTATTCCTCTAAGTTGAAATAATCTCCAAATAAAACAACATATTCGAAATTATTTGTCAAAATAGTTACTAAATTAGATAATAAGATTTGTTCAGCTTCTTCAACAACCAATACTTTTGAATTCAATTATTTTAATATATGAGAATAGTATGCTGCATCAGTGACAGTTACTCCGATCACCTAATATTTATTCAATTTATATAAATCATTACTAGCTTCAAGATTTTATAAAGTTTAGGATACCTTTTTAAATTTTTTGTATGTTTTTTCAAATAAAAGACAATCTTCTTGATATTTGAGATACTTTAAATATTTAATTATCTCACATAAATCTTTATGGTTAAGTTACCAAATATTGAATGTATTGTCTTACAAACATTACTGAATCATTTCAATTCCTATAAAATTATAGTGTAAATTTGAGTGATTTTAGTTCTGCTAATTAAACTATTCTATAGGTGGAAGAGGTTCTTCATTTTGATTTGATTATTATTGGTCTTAATCTTATTGGTTATTTAATTACATATGCTGTGTACCAAAAACATTATTTAACTAAATTTATTTAGTAATTTTTTCATTTTGAAGTATAGCATGGTCACCAAAAATTTGACTTTGATAAAAAAGAATTTGATCATCATCTAAGGATTTTACATTAATCCAAAAATTTAGGAGCTCATCAACTTATGAAATATTCAAATCCCTTTCCTTACGAAAATCATTTATAAGTTTATCTCTTAGTTCAAGCCAAAATCTAGTAATATCCTGAGCATTGATAGTATATTCATATTAAATTAATCTATTAAAAATTGTCTTTAATTAGTATTTAAGTTCTTTAAATTCTTCCTAATCAAAGTCAAGATTTGATCTGCTTTAGAACATATAGGAATTAATTTTAGCAGATTTAGAATTTCCTCCTAGCCTAACTATTTGATCAGCTGGAATAAATTAAAGTAGACTCTCTAAGAAATAATCTAAGGTATGATTATTTTAGCAAACTATCAGAATAGGTTTATCAATTTACGATAATTTCTGATTTAAGATGCTTACAGCCCTAGTAGCCAAGTAAGTTTTTCCGGTTCCTGGAAGTCCTTAGATGAAGGCAACTTTTTCAAAAAGAATTAATTGCATGGCTTTCTCCTATTCAGCATCACAAGTTGATAGTAATTAAGGAAAGCATTTGGACAATAAGTAATTTTTATAGTAAAATGGTGTTTATAAACTCTAAAGTATTAAATTTGTCTTAGGCAAATAATGCATTTTCTTGATTGATTCTAAATTATAAATTTAAGCTTCAACTTATGCTGATGTCCTACAATCCATTAAAATAGTTTATTAAGAAAGTAAGTTTAAGAATTCCATTATTTAAGATTTAGGGCCTAAAAATCGAAATTCTAAATCAATTCTGTTTGATATTTCATAATCATCTTATTGTTTACTTCTATTGATGATTAAGCCAAAAAGCAATGGATGGCATTCAATATTTGTAATACAAATCAGAGAACCTATCTATAGTTTATTTGAATAATTCCAGTCTATTTAGTCGACTATTGTCCTTTTATCTAAGTGAAATTATTTCAAAGATATTTTCCATTTAATGTTAAGATTATTTATCTCAAATTATATTAATTTGATGTCCTGATATAGATCTATATTAGGAAGATATCTTCTATCAATACGTTTAATAAATCCCTTTTCAGATAAATAATTAATTTGTTATCTGATATAATAAATGTAGTCTTCTCTTAAAAAGTTGAATAGATAGTCCAAATAAGTTGCTGAGTCTTAATAATCTTCAATAGTTTATCCAAAAATTTAATTGTTTTCATTTAGATATTATAAGCATTCTAAAGGTTAGGGATAGGCTGGAATAGTTTTATATTATTATACTTATGTGCTTTTAAATATTAAATTTAGAAAATCATCAAATTTTTAAAATAGTTCTTTAAAGTTATAGTCACGATAATTAATTTCAATAATCTTTTGTAAAGTGAATATTAGAGAAATATTAGACTTTTGTAGAATATTTATATCAATATCTTTGAGGAGAAAGAATATTTAAAAGAGTTATTCAATTTAATACTCTAAATTATCAATTGAGTTAGCTTAAGTTATTAATAAATAGCATCTTTCTGAGATAATATTCTGAAGACTCTGAGATCGCACTATGTATTCTAAGTATTTCTTTTTATCCTAAGATGGATTGTCAGACTCACTGATAGTCTTTATCAAATAATAGTAATAATCAAATGATTAATGAATCGGAATCATATATTTCAATTTCTGTTTTATGTCTGAATCATTATCAAACCTACATTTGATTTCTTCAAAATCAAATTTCTTTATAAAACATTCTCTAATCAATAGACTGATCTACAAGTAATTAAAATTTTAGATACTTCATAATCCTAAAGGTCCAAATTTATCTCAGGTAACTAGTAATAATCTTCATTCGACATTTTACTTTTATAATTTGGATAAATGCCAATTAAATTAAAAATACAACTTAATGATAATCAATTAAAATAAAGTATTAACATCATTCTTATTTCAAATCTTCAGATTTCAGAATACCTATAATAAAAGAAAATAATAAAATGTAATTATAGGAAGGCATTATAAAATGATCAAAGAGAATAATTCTCATTGATTAAGTAAAGCTGAGATTGGATAGAACATCATATATATTATAGTAAATTAAATTTTTGTTTTGATAGAAGATTTATAAATAAAAAGTAGTAAATCTAGCAAAGTTGACAGCAGTATATATTGAAAATTTTTGTCTAAAATTTTATTTAAGATCAGAAAACATCATAAACAATATGGGTGTAGTATTAAATAGTATAAGTTTGATGCAGGTTAAATTAGAGCACACTAATATCTACAAAATAATTTTAAATATATATTTATATATTTTGATTTGATACTAATTTTGATTATTATTATTAAGTCATTTTTTCCTTGAGCTTCTCTCTCTATCAACTGTTAATGTGACTGGTTTTAATTAAACAGCCCTCACTATCACTTTCTGATCACTTTATTCTATGATTGTAGGCTTAAGTTCAACTGGTTTTATCTAATTTGCTTGAATCTATGGGACAGTAATTTATCTACAAATCTAAAACATTATATACATAGCACAAATTGTAGGTTACACTGCAGTAGGTTTGGGTTTTGGTTATTCAATCTCTTTCACTACCAGAGGAGGCACTTTGAGTGGACTTAGGGGCATTCCGATCTTTTACTCTAATTAGGATCTTGGATTGTATGATTCTTCTTCTAAAAACACCTTGACCTTCTCCTTAGTAGACTTCTTTTTAGCCTTTATTGTTATGTGAAGATCATTATATTTTTTGTTTTAGAAATAACTTATTATTATATAAATCCTATTTATTACCTAATTATTTTCTTCTTAATGTTTCCAGCAATCTCATAATCAGAGGTCTTAAAAATTCCATACTTCAATCCCTAATCTACACATATAATATTAATTAATACATGTGAACAGCTCCTCACTCCTGATGTTTTGTAAGGCTTCCAACTTTTCACTATTAAAATTTGCCGGCAAGAATCTCATAACAACAGTGATCTCATTTTTATTGACCTATTTGTCTATTTATTTGAGTTAAGCAAACTAGTTGATAATTAGATTAAATAATACCTCTATGTTGTCACCAAATGCTTTCCTGTATTTGTGAAATGAAGTCACTAGATTGTAATACACATACTACGCTCCTTTGTCTTCCTTCATTCGTATAATGATTGATAGCTTGCCTGCATAGCTGCCAAGCTAAACTCGTTTAAACTATATGAAGTGCTTATCCTTAAACCGCAATTCATAAAATTGTATACTATTCATCGAAAAATTCATTTAAGTCAAGGCTGTCTACGGCTTCCTCATCGACATCCAAAATTATTATAGTTTTTTATGATTCCCACTCTTGATCTACTCGATTGCTAATTATAGTTTATAATCTTACTTTTTCTAGAAGGGTTTTGGCTCCAATTTAATGGCTTGATTGCATTCCGAATCGATTACCATCGAGAGAACATCTTCAACACTTAATCGTTTTTATCGATTCTGTTCACACATAACACTGGATTCCCCTGAACTCTCGTCATAAGATGAGTCAGGTCTCAAATATCGTTGTTTCTCAATATTGTTTAGACTTTTTAATTGTGACCCCACACTCACTAATTTATTTCTACACATTTAAATAATATCGATACGCATTTTCAGATTGAATGGTGAATTCTGTCTAAAGCCCTTAGTTTAGAAATTGATTCCTTCGAAAATCAACCAATTATTTTGTAAGCTGATACATTATTATTATTTATATCAAAACTATTTTTAATAATCACCTTTCTACTCATTAAAATATTTCACATATCTTTATTTACACCTATCTATAACTCCCCTCAATAAAATAATCCTAATACGCAAGCAAGTTCCAATTCAGAATGCTATTCTTCATAGAAATATAGATGAAATCTCGATATCTATTATCTTTAACATTTTTTCATTTGAATAGTATATTTTTTCATTATTAAAATGTGTATGACTTTATTTTGTGTCATTAGGACAGAAATAAGATTTAATATAATCTTAATTTATACTAATTATAAATACATTTATCCAACTCAACTCTTTGATTTATCATCATTGATAGAATTGATAAAAATATAAAGGTTCAAACTAATTAAGATACATTTATTAATATATATATATATATTATTATTGTTTAATTTTTATAAATTCTCTATTCTAATTTGGTTAATGAAGAATCTATAATGAACACTATATTTAATGAAAACAACCCTTTCTAAGTTAATCTCAATGTTCTTATTATCTTGAAAGTCTAGGAATTTTTCAACTATAACTTAAATATTCAATAATATATATAAATTAAACATTTAAACAACAAAATAAAATTTTGGATTCAAATTTAAGAAATGTTAAAATGATATTCTATTTATGATTTATTATATTATCCTTATGAATATTATAATAGAACTATTTCTACTTTTTAAAGGTAATACAATCTGTTTACCATTCTGGTTTCTCAAATCTTTATACCTTCTTTGGATATATATCAAAATTGATTGCTATTTGTCATATTGTCATTTAGCTTCTCAATCTGTATATAAGATTATAACCTAATGTGTAATATTAGGAAGACTACCCAATAGTTTGTAATTCGAAAAAGATTAAGCATAAATTGTCAGAATGATGGAATTTCAATTAAAAATTATATATATTTAATTCATGTTGTAGAGATTTAGCAAGCAATATCAATTTAGTCAGATTGGAAGGATGAAATAAAGAAAAAGAAGTCATATAAAATATTTTAGTAAACCAATCATCGAGGTATGAATTATGAATTTTAATTAGGGTCAATATGGCGTAGTTCCGGCAAGGGCAGTACCTTCGCATATTCAAAGACCAAGCTATATAAGTATAAGAACAATTAAGCATAATAGGTGAGACAAAGCCTGTCTATGGGATATACGAAGGAGCACCTGTAGTTCATGGTTAAGATATGATCTAAAGTAAAAACATGATTTAAAATAAGAATTAAGAAAGGCAGCGTAAATCGCAGCAAAAACTGCTTATGTGGCTTCAAAATCAGTCAAACAGGGAATGACAACAGATGATTTGGATAAGATAGTTCACGAATTCATAATTTCACAAAATGCATATCCTTCACCAATAGGATTCATGGGTTTTCCTAAGAGTGTTTGCACATCAGTGAATGAAGTGTGTTGCCACGGGATACCTAATCTTAGACCTTTGGATGGTGGAGATTCCTTAAATATCGATGTGACTATATTTTATGATGGAGTGCATGGAGATACTAGTGTTATGGCATAGGTTCCTGAAATGAATCCAGAAATTACAAAATTAATAGATACAACTTAAAAAGTTATAAATTATTTGCACAATAGAATAGGCCCTTTATGAAGCGATTAAAATTTGTAAGCCAGGATAGAAGTTCAGTAAAATTGGAGATATCGTTGAAGAGGTAGCTGGAGATGAAGGATTTACAGTTTGCGAATTATTTACAGGACATGGCATAGGTGAATTGATGCATATGCCTCCTACAATCATCCATAATTGTAATTTTTAATATTAAATATATCTAGTTAATGATTATCCGGGAGTGATGGTCCCAGGAAATGTATTTACGATAGAACCTATCCTCTTGATGCGTCATGATCAATATTTAATGTGGAAGGATAATTTTACTGTTGTTTCTCCAGATAATCCTAGTGGTATTGTAAACTTATAAACTGTAGCTCAATGGGAACATATGGTTTTAATAACTGAAAATGGGTATGAGGTTTTGACAAAGAGAGAAGATGAGACTGGTATATGACTTATATTTTAATAATTATTTTAATGAAAGTGTCCCTATAAGATTTCGGTTTTCATCAACCCAACGCTCCTGAAGTTAATACGCCTAGGTCTTTGGAGGCTTGCAGAAGAGAAGGAATTAGTCCCAATGAGATTGTTAAAGTTTCATTCGAGGAGTATTAGAAAAAATATAGACTATCGAATTTGGATGCGAAAGGAATAGAGACGTATTATAAACATTTTGAAGAGAAGAGGGAAGAAAAATACAGAGATCTTATTAAATAAAGACATATAGTTTTGGAAGATGAAAAGACTGGTAAAATATTGTAACAATTATGTTTAGGTTTGTGGAGTCCGGATGGATTGGGAAAGAGTAAAATGATTTCCAAATATTCCTAATAAGATGCTTCCTCTTTGATTGAGAAGGAAAAGCAACAGATTGAGAAGATCAAGAAGAAATAGCAAAAGGAGATTGAAAATATGCTGGAGTTTGAATTGAAAATATAAGAAATAAAGGAATAAAATGAAAAGAAGATGCAGGAGGAGAGGACGAAGTAGAAATAGAGAGAATTGGAATTGGAAAGGAAAAGGGCCTAATAGGAAGAAATCAAGAGACAAAAGGAGTTGCAGAAGTAATAAAAAAAAGAACAAGAAGAAGAGGCATTGAAGGAAAGAATGAAATTACTTGAATCTAAGGAACAAGAACGCATTAAATAAGAGGAATTAAAACAAAAATTAAGAGATGAAGAAAACAAAAGAAAAGAGGATGAAAAGAAGGCATAGTAAGAAAAACTAAGAAAATTAAATGAGGAAAACATTAGATTATAATTGGAAGCATTAGAAAAAAGAAAAAAGGAAATGGATGAGAAGGCTGAGTAGAGGAAGAAAATGATGGAAGAACAAAAAGAAAAGAAAAAGCAAGAGGCGGAAAAGGCAAGAATTGAAAATGAAGAAAGGATTAAATAAGCTAAAGAAAGAAATGAATAAGAAGTTCTAAGAGTCAAAGAAGATGTTGAAAAAAAATTATAAATTAGTGAATAAAAAAGGTTATAGTTTGAGGAAGAAAAGAGAAAAAAATTAGAATAATAAAAAATAGAAGCTGAATAGCATGCAGAAATTATAAGGAAAGTCATTGAATAAAATGAATAAATGGAATTAGAGAAAAAAAAGGAGTACTTAAAAAAAATAGATGAGGCTGAAGAAAGAAGAAAATAATTAGAAAAAGAATAAGAAAGAGAGAAGGAAAAGAGGAGGTAAGAAGATCATGAAAAAGAATAATAAAGACATCAAGTATTATTGTAAAATGAGCAAAGATAAAAAGAGAGAATTGAAGAATTCTTGAAAAAATTTTAAGATAAGGATGAGAATTTATAAAAAATTCAATTTGAAAGATCTATTTTAATTACGGATAAAAGAAATCAAGACACATTAAAGAGAATTGATAAAAGAGATAATGTTGAAAGAATTATGAAGAAATAAGAATATGATAGAATGAAATTATAAGAAAAACTAAATGAGAAGATGGAAAGAGCAGATAAAATATAAGAAGATTTAGAGTAATTGTTATTATAAAGATAAAATATGAGAAGGGAAATAGATAAACAAAAACGAGATCTTTTATTGAAACTAGAGAAAATTAGAGAAGGAAAGATTCCTCAATCTGAAATCTAAAAATAGTTTGGAATTACATCAACTGATTTAAAGTCATAAACTCATGAGGAATAGAACTTTGCTAGAAAATCCCAATCTTAATCAATTAATAAAAATAATAAAAAATTAATGACTTTGACTAAACCTTTCAGTACTATTAGATCATCCAAAGGCTAAGATAAACTACCTGAAATTAATTCATCGTCTCCATAATTAAAAGAAACTTTGAACAATCCGCTAAATACTAAATCTGTTGAATCAGCCTAGTAATTATTATAATAGTAACCATAATGTAAATAATTTATTAATATATCTAAGCCCAAAAAAAATCTCCAAAAAGAGCTAAAAAACAGGATATAGTCAAATAAAAACCAACTGAACCACCAAGTCCAGAAGTGCTATTTGAACTAAATTAAATTATTTAGAGATAAAACCAGGAGATTATGAGAGTTTTCATGGAGGAATAAGCAAATGAAAATAGAAGAGATGATAAATTGAGAAATTGTAAATCTGAAAACAGAGCTAAATTGGAAAAGTTATAGAGTTTAGAAAGATAGAAAGCTTAATAAAGAATTCAAAAGCTATAGGAGCAACACTAATACGAATAGTATCAATTTAAGCTAGCTCACAATCTTATTGGTTGATTTAATTATATTAAATTTTTTAGTGGGAAATGTAAATAAATTCCTTTTTTTTTAATTAAATTATTACTTTCAATATTTAAAAACTTAATCTGATTGGTTTAAGAATTAAAGACTGTTCAAAATACCTTAGAGAAGCATAATTTTATTTCCTTTTAGATTGTAGTATGGCTTTGATAATTTTGAGATACAAAAAACGAAATTAGTAGAATAAACATAATTATTGAAATTTATATTTTCTCTAACTTTGTTTTTTACTCATTAATAAATCTTTTTCTTTAATAATAGTAACTAATTCTTATAAAATAAATTTGAGTAGCAATCTTCAAATCGAATAGTTTAAAATTGGGTAAATATTAAGCTTTTTTCACATTTATCTTATTCAACTTACATTATTTCATAATTCTTAAAATAAATTATCAATAAATCAGATCAATTTATGATATTAAATTAATTATATGGGTAGTGCTTGTTCAGGTCTTTAGACTACATCTTAACAAAAGTAAAATAATTAAACTGCAGGAAATGAGCACAATTCAATTTAAAGGGCAGTTTTTGAGCATCCAAAACAAGTTCTGGATTCTATAAGTTCAATTTCCTCGTGTTCTGATAAATAAACTTCTCGTCCTCAACGAACTGTGGGTTAAATTAAAACACAAGATTGGATTTCCTTAAATAAGAGTGATAAATATGACACTACAAGAAGAGTTTATAGTAGTTTGAACCAAAACAGCTTAAGCCCACTCAAAAAGGATCATAATAACACTTTCTCGGATTTGTCTGTAGAATTGATAGCTGCGGATCAAGTGAAATTAATGATACCTAGTAAAATTAGAAAGTCATCAAGCAGAAGAAGAGTAACTTCCAAGGTTGATTTGTTAAATAAAGTAAAATAAATGAAGTACAATGAAAAATTCAAAAGAAGAAAAACTTGAAGATAATATTTTTGTATTTTATAATAATTCAATCTCTCTAAATAAAATGATGTGTTATTTATTGCTACACCTTTTTTTATCTGATCAATCCGAAGTATAGCTCTGGATAAACAATTAAACCTAACCCAAAGAAACTGATGAAACCAGTTTAAATGGGTCTTGACTTGATTCCTTTGACTGCTACACCAATAGCCAAATTAGCAACTGATAGTCCAACCAAAAGATTAAATCTCGACTCAGGCTGTAAGTTGGTCACAATGTCTGTCTTAAGTCCTTAACTGGATCAATAAAATTACTTGTTAATTCCTCCCCAAATTCATTCAGAGGTTGATTAATTAAATCAAAATAACCCATAATTAATAATAATAATACAAAGTTTACCATAAAATCAGTCTCTAATTAATACTTGGGTTATATTTTTGATCAAAATGCATGAAGGCAAATTGAAAATAATTTTAGATTGATTTTTCCTACCTCCCTGTGCTTGTATATTAATCATGAGTTTTTAATCAAACCATTCAGAATTTAATCATAAAAGTTAATTATTTATTTATTAACGGAAAACATGAATAAAACAAGAACAAGTTTTGCTACTTTAAGAACTAAAACTCAAATTAATTAAGCTAGCCAAGGAACACTTCCTTGCCCATCACATCCTTCTTTTAACATCTCCCACGTTTGTTTATGTACAACTTGTACATTATCAATTTCATTTTGTTCTGAATGTCTCTTTGAAACTTAGCATTAACAACATTTGGCTAAGCACAAAGAACACATTATTGGATGGAATGACTTAATGATTCTGTGTAGAAGGTAAAGTGTATCAGGTAGATTGGGAGACGAGCCATAAAAAGAATTGAATCAAATAGTACTTTCCACCCAGGCTCATCAAGCAAGCTAATTAAGACCTATATCAAAAATTAGGAATAATTGATTAACAATGATTTTGATGGATTAATAACTAAATTTACAGAAATGATTAATAAAGTTAAAGCTGAATTTATGGCTCCATATAAAAACTATTTGCAAGATCTAATGGATATGGGAACTATATTAGAAAAATTAGTGTCTGACTATTATTTAGAGAAAAATAAGGATTACAATAATGATTATGATAATTTCTTAAGTGAAGTTAGCAAGTTATAAGATCAGCAAACTTCTAATAAGAAAACTGATTAAAATCAATTTAATCTTAGAAAATTAATGTAGAATATAATACCTCTGGTCAGCAAGGCAAATGGTTAATTTTAGAGAGCACTGTAATAATAAAATTTGAATGTAGAGGAGGGAGAATCTCAAAAGTCAGGATATTCATTATTCAGTAATATGGCATTGAAGCAAAGTGATAATTAAGTCTTAAATGATTTGGTGAATGACTATAAAGTATTGTTAAACAGTAGACCTTGTTATAAAAATTAAGGATTAGCCTAATAAACATACAATGGAATGTAGGAGTTAATAGATAAATGCTATCACTCTTTGACTTAAGTAGACTTTATGTCTCCTGGCTACAAAAGTTAAATGATTAAAATGAACAAAGAAAATATCAGTTTAAAGCAATAGCTGGCCTCTCCAAAAGGCACTAAATACTTGGAAACTATCATTAAGGAATAGAGCACTAAAACATTAAAATAGTTAACTAAATTAGAGGAAGATGAGGCACGAAGTTAAGAGAAATGCAATTAAAGCATAGATTGAGATAAACAACTTAATTAATTATATCAGATCCACTAGCATCAATCTCATTTGTGAAGACAATCAAAACAACTCATAAATAGGGTATTAATTGTATGGTCTAATTGGATGATGATTTTATTGCTACAGGATCAAATGATAGGACAGTCAAAATATATAGATATAGAGTTTATGAACTATTTAAGGAAATACAATTTAAGAGTGATGTGACATCATTGGCTGTTTAAGTAAGAAAGGACGGTTCTTCTTTTTTAATCGTTGGTTTATTTAAGGATATTTGTATTTTGAATCAAGGATTCGAAGTACTTAAGTCAATTGATAGAATTCATAATGGTTAAATAAATTCTATTGTTTGTTTAGAAGATGCAACTACAATATTCAGTTGTGCACAAGGTGATAATAGATTACTATAATGGAATACTTAAAATGATCAATAAAAAAAATACTTCGAGCATAGAGATTCTATTACATGTATGACATTACTTGGAGATCAATATATTGCATCAGGTGGAAAGGATAGAAACATAAAAGTGTACAAATAGACATACACAAATAACGTGTTTGAAAAATTGTAATTGTCTATGAGTTTGTCAGATGCCCATCCAACTGAAGTCACTAGTTTAGCTTATGGTGGAGGAAGCATTCTTTATAGTAGTAGTGCTTCAGGGGAATTAAAGGTTTGGGACTTCATGGATGGAACTATGATTAAACAAGTTAAAAACTATGCTGGATGGTGTTTCAGAATAATCAACTTCTAATTAGAAGAGGAATAGAATCCATAATAGAAGACTTAACTGTAAACTTCAATTCCATTATGTGGATCACCAAGAAGAAAGAAATAGCCATCAAATGAATATGAATGCATTAAAAACAGCTTCATTGGTACTGTGAGTTTTGATGGCACTTTCAAAATATTCAATGGCAAAGCTTTGTTAAATGATAAGTAATAACATTTAATTAAACTATTAGTCCATAACCTATGATCACAACTCAACTGAAATCTTTACACGATTGCCATCCATTTGGAGGTGTATTGGCCATTAGAGATAGTATCACTGATAAGATTGACATTTTGAGTAGTGGAAACAAGAATGATAGCAATATCTAGTTGTATAGTTTAGCATAATCCTGAGTCATTTTATATTATATACTAAGTTTACACAATTTTAATTAAATTTATGAGAAAGATATTATCCTCTGCAATTGCAATCACTCTTAGACGCACTCCATTAGTGGTTCCATAACGTACATAGCGTATAGCAGCTACTTTAATCTCTCTTCCATTAATAAGATATGGCTTTTATGTATAAGATCCAAATAGATTAGACTCTTAATCTTAATGATGCCTATGAAGTTTCAATTGAGGATAATCTCAATGAAGGTGAAATGAGAGAAGTCTAAGTGGGTCCAAAGAAGGAAGATGCTGTTTTAGTATGCAAAGTGGATGGACAGATCTATTGTGTTTCTAATTCATGTCCACATGTAGGAGCTCCCCTTTCTGCTGGATTCTTGGTTGGTGATAAGGTCAAATGCCCATTTCATAATGCCAGTTTTTCAGTTAAAGATGGTGTGCATGAGGAAGGACCTATGTTTAGAGGGTTATAAACATTCCCTGTCAAACAAGAAAATGGATAATTAGTTATAAGAGTAGAGAAATAATTATTAAATGCTCCAAGAACATTGAATATGGTAACAAAAGGAGATGATCCTACACATGTTGTGATTGTTGGAGGAGGGTATGATTATTGATTAAATATGTCAGAGTATCTGGTTAGAGTGCAGCTGAGACACTTCGTTAGGCTGGATTCAGAGGAAAGATTACTATTATTACAGCTGAAGATTCATTACCTTATGATAGAACACCTATGAGCAAGATGACATTTTTGGTTAAATAATAGGGTTTGTAAATAAGACCCCAATAATTTTATGAATAGTATGGAATAGATGTATTGACCAATACTACAGTTGAATCGATAGATATTAACAATTAAGATGTTGTAGTAGGAAAGGAGAAAATTCATTATGATAAATTATTGTTGGCCACAGGTGGTACTGCTCGAAGACCTCAATTAGATGGAGTCAATTTAGGAAATGTTCATACTTTGAGATAATTTAATGATTTAGAATCTATAAGAGACAAGGCAAAGACAGCAAAAAACATAGTTGTTGTTGGTGCTTCATTTATTGGTATGGAGACAGCTTCAGCTATCAAAAAGGAATTTAAAGATCAAGTCAATATCACAGTTGTGGATAGCACTACAGTACCATTTGAAAGAGTTCTTGGTAAAGAAGTTGGAGGATCTTTATAGAAATTACATGAAGCTAATGGAGTTGAATTTGAATTGAATGCTGGAGTCAAAAGAATTGGAGGAGTAGGTTAAGTATAAAGAGTTGATTTACTTAATGGAAAATCATTATAGGCTGACTTAGTCATTTTGGGAACTGGAATTCAGCCAAATAACAAATTGGTTAAAGATCAATTAAAAATATCTCCAAATGGTGGTATTGAAACAGATGTGTTCTTGAAAGCTGCCAAGAATGTTTATGCATCAGGAGATATCTCAAGTTATCCATATTGGGCTACTGGAGAACATGTCAGAATTGAACATCAAAATGAAGCTGTAAGATAAGGGTAACATAATTGATTAATAAAATTAGATATGTTGCTGCTTTGAATATTTTAGGTAAACCAACACCTTTGACAGATGTACCATTCTTTTGGACAAGATAATGGGATAGAACATTAGCTTATAGTGGAGTTGGCTAAGGATTTGATGAAGTTATTGTGGATGGAGACTTAACTCAATAGAAATTCGTTGCTTATTACGCTAGAAAAGGACGTGTTGTAGCTTCTGCTAGTATGAACACTCCAAATGTATTAAATATTTAAATCATTTTTAGGCTTAAATGATTATATCAGAAGCATTAAGATTGAATGTTATGCCAAGTGTTGAAGATTTGAAGGAGAAGAAAGTCAGTTTAGATGATATTAAGAAGATTGTCTTAAGCAAAGGATCATCTTGCCATTGCAAACGTGCTGGATAGTGTTAGGCATAATTGTGAGTATGAGGCTAATAAATAAATCGAAATTAATTAAAATAATAATAAAACGTGTTAATGAGACACATCATTCTCTTGTTGAATGCATGAATTGCTTTGCTGCTAATATTGATGTTTAGATCTCATACATAGATGCCCCCTTGATCAACATACATTGGTGTAGTGATACAGTCTTGGCACTCACATCCAAAGGATCTGTATATAGAAGTGATGATCGCGGTAGACAATGGATTAAAATGTCAGAGATATTTCATAGAAAAGCACTCATATAACTTGAAGATTCAGATGAGAGAATCGGAATTGTAAATAATTTGGTTGCAAGTCCTGTTGATAAATAATTAGTATTATTTACAGGAACAGATCAAATAGCTTGGATTTCCCTTGATTGTGGTAAAACAATAACAGCTGTTAATGCTGGAAAATAGTTGCGAGAATATTAATTCCATCCACTTGAAAAAGATTGGATTATTGCTTCAGCTTGGAAATAATGTGGATCAGATGAGTTGTTAGCAGGAACGCCTTGTGTTTCTTATAAGGAACTTCTCTTGAGTTAAGACACTGGAATTACATGGCATTCAATTGCGACTTATGTAAATCAATTTACTTGGGGGTATCAAAAACAAAGAAATGGCTAAATATACTCCTAAGGAACGAATTCTAGCATCATTCGAACCATAAGGCAAAGGACATCAATCTATAAGTAGTTGGAATATGGATTACAATTTATATTATAGTGATGACTTTTTCCAAACTAGAACTCTGAGTGTTCCGGCAGGTTCTAGATTTATGCTCACTGAGTCTTTCTTATTTGTTGCTAAAGTCACATCCTAAGCAACATAAGAAGTCAGTCTATATGTCAGTGGCACTGAATTAGGATAGTATAAATATAGTGTAATTGATGCAGATTCAAAACTATTAGAACATTCCTATAGCATATTAGATACGTCAGAAAATCAAGTGTTTATGGTTGTCAATCATCTCAAACCATCTTCCCCTTTGGGAGTTATTTATATTAGTGATTCTACTGGTACTAGATACTCTAGATCTTTGGAGAATGTGTCAAGATTAGAAAACAGTGCTGAGTTTTACAGAGTGTAAGGATTGGAAGGCATTTATTTAGCTAACGTTTATGCTGAAGATCAAGCTAAGATTTACACCAATTAAGTATTTGAATCTATGGAAGAAGGTTTTTATGCTTAACAAAATGGATTCAAAGATGAAGATCTTAAAAAATACAAACAAACCAGGATTACTTTCGATAAAGGAGGATAATGGGTCCCTTTGAAGGTATTATATTGATTTTCTATTTTTATTAGCCTCCAACAGTTGATGCTGATGGAAAACCAATCAATTGCAATAAGTGCTAATTACATTTGCATCTTAGTTAAGCATTTTATTAATTCGCACCTATTTACACTGAAACCAATTCCATAGGTATTATTGTCGCAACAGGTTCTATTGGAAAGTACTTAAGTTATAGATAGGATTAAGTTAATACTTATCTGAGTAGAGATGGAGGGTTGACTTGGATTGAAATCAAAAAAGGATCATATATATATGAAATTAGTAATCATGGAGGATTGATTGTTATGGCTAGAGATCAAGAAACTACTAATCAGATTGTCTATTCTTGGAATGGTGGTATGGAATGGACTCCATTCAATATTTTGGATTAGAAGGCAGAAATTTAAAATATCATCACTGAACCTTAAAATAAAGGATCTAGATTTATTGCTTATGGAGCTATTTAATTAGAATCCAATGGTATCAGAACTGAGTAGGGTTTATTGGCAACTATTGATCTGGATGAATTACATCAAAGAAATTGTATTGGATAAGACAAAGCAGGTGAAATTGGAAGTGATTATGAATTGTGGACACCTTCTGGCCTTGTCAATCCAGAGTGTCTGTTTGGTAAAAAGGTTACTTATATGAGAAAAAGAAGAGAAGCTGCTTGTTACAATCCAGAATAATTGGAAAGAATTATGAGTGTTACTCCATGTTAATGCTCTTAAGAAGATTATGAATGCGATCTAGGATTTGTTATGACTAATTAATAATGTACTCCAATCAATGGTACTTTAAATATTGATCCACCTGCTGAATGTGATGGATATTATACGGTGTCTAGTGGATATAGAAAGATTGCAGGAGATATTTGTGAAGGGGGTGTTGAGCATATTTCAATGAGATTCACTTGTCCCAATAATAAGAATTGGATATTTGATTGGTTGGTCATCGGTGGAATATTATTTGGATTATATTGGCTTTACAATAATCAAGAGAAGGTGAAGGAATATTTTGCCAGAACGGAAATGCGTGAAATCCCATAGTCCAAATAAGAGGTATTCTATTATCATTAGTAGTTAGATGTTGATCCAATAGATTTAACAAAGACAACCAAAATAATAATAATAATAATAACAATAACAATAACAATATTAGCCAATTGATTTAGAATAGAATGAATAATAAGATTAAAAGTTTGATGAAGATTTGATTGAAAGAGATGATGATGTATAAATATAAGATGAAACAGCTCATGAGTTGATTTGAATATTTGGTTATAAATTAATTTAATGACTATTAATGGGTTATTGATACCTAGCAAATTTATTCTAGTTTCCTGCCATTTCATCACCTCCTTGATGGCTTATTATGGAGCTGTATCTAACTCCTCATCTATTAGAAAGAAAACATCTTGGCTAATTTTCAAACCAAGACATATGACACCAATTCTGATGAGTACACCTCAGCGTATAACTCCATCATTTCGTGCATTCTCCTGGGATTGATTGGCCTTGGCATTGAGATGATATTCATTATTACTGGAATTACAATGTTTTATGATACCAGCAACTTTTTGAGTAAGAGTTATCTCCCTTCAATTAGTTATATGTTTGCACGCGGTTGGCATCATAATTTACAGCGAGTTTATTATAGGAGCATGGCCCTACTATGAATTGTGGTATTATTGGGCGGCATTTATGTAATATATTCAAAATAAAGTCTCAGTTTGTTACCAGTTCTATTGGAAATAGTGGCGACCTGCTTTGGGAATATACTTTACGGGACAGCCTTCAAAAGAAGATTATCAAGAAAAGGAAATTGATTGAATATGATTATTAAATATCTTGAAAACAAATTAATATGTCTCATAAATATTTAAATGTAAAATCAATAACATCTCATCAGAGAAATATATCTAAAAGATAGATCCAACACTTTCCTAAGACAATAATGGGTGTCAGTATTTGATACACTCTTACCTTTACCAAAAACAACTCTCATTGTTGATATAATATAGGAAATCGACACACTAAAAATTATAAAAGAATTATTGTCTAAAAACCATAATATCACTGTGATCTCAGACACAAGTGAGGCTAATTACAATTGGTGTAATTTGGTCAACCAAAACTTCGAAGTTATTGTCGCAGATTTGCGAGCAGAGACTAAATTGAATTCGTATTAGTACATTGGCATAAAATGGGTATATATATTGGTATTTATGTTAGTTATTAACGACAAAATCCTAATTGGTCATAATATCAAATGACATAATATATGAACAATTAATTAATTGTTTTAGCATTGCTTATGATAACCTTATTGAAATTCCTTACTTGTAAACTTAATAGGATGAATTGTTCTTAAGCATATCTTATGATTAAAAACTGACGTATGTTTTGTAATAGATAAAAAACTCAAATCCAGAGGTTGATAGGGATATTGTGGTTTATTGTGAATCCTTATACTAAATGGATTAAATATTTCAAGCAATCTATTTTCATAATTAATTATCAGAATCAGAGGAATTTGAAGTACATTAAATCCTACCATTCTAATCATATTACGAACAATTTGGTTAGCAATTGATGGAAATGGTGTATCCATCACAGAAGGGAAAAAGAAAAGTGTTTTTGGCATTACATTATTAATAATTACGAAAGTATTTGTAAAATGTTCAACAAAAAATATCATTAATCATTCATATGGGTTATTAGACTACAGTCAAGACATTCTTGGAAGAAATCAATGCCATAGTTTATAAATAGTACAATCTCAGTAGACATGATATCATCATTCGTAACAGAATAAGTTATTTTCCTAAAATCCTTTATTTATTTGGATTCAACGAGTTCAATGATTTATAAGGGAGCATAAATTGATTTTTGATGAAGAATTCACTTTCAATCCCCAAAATATCAAATTCTATGCTTAACAATTTAATGTCTAAATTGATTAATTGTAGAATGTAGTTTAAACAGAATATAGTTCTTTGTAAAACTATATCCCAATGATATATTATGAACCATTATTGGAGGCAGAAAATGAGACCTTTCATTATTACAGCAGTGTTGTCTCCACTCTTTTGACAGATGGAGAAATACTATCAGAAGGCAATGTGGAAAGTAAAAAGAATCCCTTTAAGAGTTTCCAAATTCATCAACAAAGGGAATCAATAATTAGATCAAATCATTATTGGTCAAAGATGGGAGATATTACTTCATGGATTTAATTAATAAATAAATTTATCATTTTTATTGAAGATATCAATTCCAAAGATGATGAAAAAGAATAAGATAATTCAAAAAATGAATTAATAAAATGGTGTAGACTATAAAATATCAATATACCTAAAATGATATTAATTTTAGCTTATAATGAATACATAATAGATTTAACTTAAAAATATGTACTAATATCTCATTATTTAGGTCTCCGAATATTCAGTCATTAATAAATGTTGTTCACTTGATTAATTAAAATTGAATAGAACCGTCTCCTTAAAGAAACAATAATCAATGCCAGAACATTCTGAAGACATACAAGCCTGTTTATTAAGGCTATTTTATAAAGGCTTAAGTATCTTTAGTGGACATAAGAGTGCTGGTTACTTTAATTATGTTGCCAATTAGAAATTTAAATTATGCTATAACAATTTAATGGCTATCATTGGAGATTTTCCTCTGACTTGCATAGTTATGGCTTTTTTGTAAAAGAATCAATAATATGAAATTAAATATTCTACTAAAATAGATGACATTATGATACCGTAATTGGCACCAAAAGCATTTGTCAAAGAACATAAACTATAATTCATATAGCGATAATCCTTGCATTTGAATGAAATAACCTTTAATGGCATTGGCCAAGTTCTGTTTAATGAATTATGGAAACATCAATCAGGTCCTTAATTATCTTAGGATTGCATCTTGCAACCTAATATTGAGATGAATTGTATTACTGTCTTGTATGATCCCAATGTGGCCAAAAAGGAGATCATAGAATAGGAGTTGAATGGAAAAATTAAAGATTTGTAGAACTTTTACAGAAATTAAGTAAAAGAAATACCATATGAAAATGATTCTAAATTTATTATGCAAGCGTATCAATATATAATAATCATAATAGTGGTGGAAGTATGAAGGACTGGATTGAAAAAAGTGCATATAAGACTTTCTTCATAGAAGGCTTGCCTTTAGATATCACTCAGGAATTGCTTTAAGAATTCTTATAAGATGTGGTCATTTCAGAAATGAAGTTGTATAAGGAGGGTGATAAAATAACAGCCAGAATATCTCTATAAGATCATGATGATTTACTTTTTTGTTTGGAGAATATCAAAGAATACAAGGATAACTAATTGAAGGTTTATACTCAACAGGATCAATTTGAACATAATGAAGAAAAATTACTATTCAATGAGCAATACAAAATAATAATAACCTGGAATTTACATTTAAACAAAGGTACTGCTATTATTAAATTGAATTCTCCACATCTATTTAATGCAGAAGACTTTGAAACAATCTAACATCTGACATATAAAATGAATCTTAAAAGTGTTTACGAGGATGAGTAAACAGTATTAGCAGATTTAAAATAACAACATAAAGATATTGATATAAAATCAGTCACAATAGATAAATAATTAAGATATGAAAATAATGGAGATCTCTAATTAGAAATACAAAAATTATTATCTAATATTCCTCAAGATAAATATAAAATTGACTCGATTACAAAATAAAATTGTAAAAGAATTTTGTCTCTTATAGTTTATGACAGAAATATTATGGAATAATTTATCAACTTACATAATCAGATTAAATAATTTAGAGGATTGAAGGTTTAATTAAATGTTAAGCCTTTTTACTATCATGATTATGAAGGACCAATCGAAATGAAATAAATAGTTGAGGAAATTTTCGATGAGAAGAAACTTAAACTTGGTTAATATACTATTACAAGTGATGATGAATTCAAAAGAGTAAAAGTTACTATTGAATGTTGGAACAAATAGGATCATGAGTAATTGAACAAAGAAATATAGGATGCATTCACTCCAAAAATAATTAAGTCCTCATAAGATTTTGATATCACAGTTATATTTAGTTAATCTGGTACAAGATTCCTTAAAACCTAAGAAGAATCTTTATAAATTCTAATTCGATAGGATTTTATTAATAATCAATTATTTGTAAATAGTTCTTAAGTCAAATACAATCAATTAGCCAAGGCAATTAAAGAATTCGTTTCAGATTGTTCTAAAAGTATAATTTAGATTCCAAAGAATTGTATAAGATTAATAATGGGAAATGATTCTTAAGGACTTAATGAAATAAAGAAGAACTTCGACTTAAAGAGTGTTAAATTCAATAGTATTTCAGGTGAATTACAATTATTTGGTGATTAGAAGAATCTTGATGCTGCCATCATTTCAATTAGTGAAATTATATCTTCTCAATAATAATAAGATAAACCTATCAATGCATTAACTTGTAACTATTGCTTTGATAATATGAAAAATGGATATATGCTCCAAGGTTGTGGACATAAGTTTTGTCTTTAGTGTATAATGTTCAGCATTCAAAATTCATTGGGAGACATGACTTAATTGCCAATTAAATGTCCCTAATGTAATCAAGGTATACTTTTGGCTGATTTACACATTTTAATTGATGAGCCTAGTTGGGAAAAGTTAATAAAATTATCCATCAACAAATGTAATTAATTTAATATATATAAAATTAGATTTACAAGACCATGCAGCATAGATAGCTTTCTGTTTGACTCCAAATTGTCCAATAATTCATTTCCAAAAGATTCCAAGATATACCTGTAAGAAATGTAAGAAACAGTATTGTAATTCATGCAGAGTATTATTTTATCATTTAATTTTAGGCTCCATATCATTTTGGATAAACTTGTAGAGAATTCAAAGCTGGTAATGAAGATTCCATTAATATATATATGAAGAAGAATGATGTAAGAAGATGTCCTCATTGCAAAATATTGATTCAAAGAATTGATGGTTGTTATAGAGTTACTTGTACAGGATGCAAAAAAAGTATTTGCTGGAAAAATAAAGCAGATGGCACACCATGTATGGCTTTATTTGAAACATCTTCGGAATGTTATTCACATTTAACCAAAGAACATGGTGGATATTGGTGATATGAACAAAAATATATATATATTTATAGATCAATTTATTTATTTTGAGCTTCCTGTTTATTTTACTTGGAGTAATTAATATTTCTTCCCCAGGACTGCCTTTTCTTCTTCTGGATAAGGCTCAAAGATTTTTCTTATTCTTGGCCTTTATCCAAGATTACTTTATTTAGATGCTCCGATTACTCTCAAAGTTTCACTATAATGATGTATCAATAATTAGACTTGAAATAGAAAATTGTGGACTTCCTCAGCCAAATCATAGCAACTCAAACAGAATTCACCCATCTCGAATAGACCAGTCATAAAGCAATGTAAAGTATTTGACTTTGCTTATAAAGTCTGTAATTCAGCCAAGACATTCTAGTTTAGTAACTCTTACTTGTCCAAAGTGTCTTCAAATTGTTAGGCAATTTTAATATATCGGATCTTGAGCTTAATGAACTTTCTATTCCCTTTGAAAAAGTATTCGTATAGCTTTTTGAGGTTTCGTTGTATTGCTTTTGGATAATCACTCATTTCTATATTCTTTTGGATTATGACATGTAGTTATTTATTAAGATCATTAAATTATTCATCCAAGACTTAATGTTCCTGAATTGTTTTTGGATATTTAAAGTATTTAATTTATTGGAACATATTTAAAAATAATGTCTATTGCTCCTTAGATTCATACTATCTGAACTCAGTATTCTATTGTCTTACTAAAAACCTATAATTCATCTTATTCAAATAATTGGTAATCTTGTCAATATTAATTAGACTGTTCTTTATAACTTATGTTATGTCAAACATCAGCTTAGAAGAGAGGAAGTCAATCATATCTTCAACCAGCTACTAAGCTTTATAGAATTAATCCAAAATCTGCAGATTATCCATAATTCCTTAGAGTTCTTCTGAATGTTGAATACTGAATTTGTTTAACATATTTCTGTACTCTTCTATCGCAGTTTGAGCACAATTCTTAAATAATCCCTTCTATAGGAAAGTCAAGTTTTGCTAATTTTAGAATTTAGTGTAAAAGTCCTCATTATAAATAACATTTAATTCATTTGTGTTAAAAATCTTAAGACTAGTTATTTCATTGAACTTTATTGTAACTGATTTGTACCAATCAACTACCTTGTCTTCTAATTCTTCGATCACATCGTTGTTTTATTTTGGAGCATCTTGAATCAAATTTATCATATTTTTTTCATACTTATGATAATCTAATAAGAATTATTGATTAATATTATTTTATTTTTCTATGATTTCCAAAGCCAATCTCAATTTCTTGTTTACGATATCAACTAAGACTGATAAGGTAGGTTAGTTAAAATTGAACTTATATTTCTAAATCTAATTTTTTATGAAATTGAAAATACTTAGTATAATCTCATCTTCGTATTTCTGAACTCAGCAATCAAAGTCTCTAATTCTTTGAGGGGTAGATCTTTTAAGACAGGAACATCATTCTAGTTTAAATCACTCAACACTCCTGCCAATGATCCAATACTCATTTATTAGATATCTTCTAGCTTTGATTCATCCATTTTATTTAATATATAAATATATTAATAGTCTTAAAATTTACTTTATTGATTAATAAACATTTAAAAACACGAATAATCCTATAATCAAGTTTATTATCAAATTATATAAATAATTAATAGAATAGATTGTCCTCATTCATGTAACCTCTACGTTATTATTGTTATTAAAAATATTACACTTTGGCATGAAGAACAAAAAGATTTGAAATGCTAAGTGAATTACTTATTTTTATCACTCTGCTTAAATTAATTGGCATACTTAAAATTAAAGTAATCATCTTCAAACATAGATCTATTAATTATTCTCATATTAATTTATTATTCATAAATATATTAATCATTTTGATTATCAACTTTTATATTTGTAAAGTACTTCAACTTGTGTTTTTATATAATTTATTTGATTATAATTGAAATAATACTTCTCAAAGACAAATAATCGAAAATAAAAATAATCATAGGGTTTTTATCTATAATATCATTATTTCCTATAACATTTAAAGGGTCTTAAAGTTTAAATGCCAATAAAACTTACAGTCTAAACCTATGACATAAATGAAATACTCAAGATTATAAGTCCACATTTTCATTAAAATAAATTTAATTGATAATTTATATGTCAAAAAATAATACAACTATCAACCTTACTATAAATTAATTGAAAGATTAATGGAAAAAAAGCTGTAAGAATGAGATTGTGCCTCAATTTGTACGTCAACCATCAATAAATCAAATAAGAATTTCCAAAAATAATAGATCTTCAAATTATGGCACTTCCCCTATTAAGTTATCAACTGAATAAATTTAAGCACCTAAAACCTTGAAGCAAGACAATTTTTCATTAGAATCCACAATTTCAATCAGTAGTTAAATTTTTAAAGTCGATTCACACATTGAGAGCAAGTAGATTTAACCAACTCCTTAAATAAAAATGATTATGAACTAAGAACATTCTCATATTAACGTTACGACAATAATGAAAATAGAAGATGAATCAAATTCTAAAGAATAAATATAAATTAGTAATGTGTAAACAGGGTTGTCATAATTTCGTATTATAAACATCTCAAATGATATCGAAAATCCTATTAACTGCTTGGATTTATAGTTTCAGCCCGTAGTTTTTCAGAGCTCTATCTAATAGCACACATTTTAGAAAAAAGCCGAAAGCAACAAAATAACACATAAAATGTATATGATGTAAAAATTAAATAAATTCAAAAAGGATGAAATGAACAAGAAAATAATTAAACACGATCCTTTGAAGCAATCATCTTCATTAAAACCTGAATTATAACTGAAAATAGTGGCTTCATAATCATTAACTTAGATTAAGAAGAATCCAATTCAATAGGAGAAAGTGTAAGATCAACAAGAAAATAAATTAGATTACGAGTTCTAAAAATCAACAATGTCAAATGAAATTTACAGTTTTGTCAGTGCAGTTGTTTAACCAAAAATCTAAAATTTCAGACAACCATTATAGTAAGATTAGGATAACTAAAGCGTGTAAAAATTGAATTTCCAAACAGAAGCTACCCATGAGATTAAATAGTATTTCGTTCAAACTTTTCCTACTCCTCCCCTAAAGTTGTAAAGACTGAAAATGGAAACTGTAAATATGTAATAAAATTCTCTGGATGAAAATAATAAATTGTTAAAAGATCAACCAACTAAAGAAAGTATTTAAACAAAAACTTAACCAATGAAATTAAAATAAGATTTGCTTAAAAAGGATTAAATTCCTTTATTTTAATTGTTCATTCTGATTGGAGATGGAAAGATAAATGAAAAAAAAGTGAAATGGGGAGATTAAATTCCAATCAAGAATTGTCCTTTATCCACTCTTAATTCTAATGCTATGAAATCTGATTAAATTGATTCAAGTGTTGTTAAAGTTTGCCTATCTCAAAATATACTTTAAGATCGTAAGATAAATTTAGACGATTAAAGTAAATAGACTTTTTAAACCAAATCAATTAAGCTTTCTTTTTTGATAAAGGATTATGATGATAAAGCAAATTAAGCTATCAAGTGTATGATAATTCCTTTACAATTTAATGAGAACTTATTGAAAGTGAATTATGAGATCGTATAACCTAAAGAAAAACCTCAATATCCAACCCTTCTTCAAATGAATAGAATGAAGATTGAAAAGATAAAGGAGTTAATAACTGAAGGGAAAACTTCAAGAACAGCTTTTAAAATCAAGTAATTCTAAAAACATGATTCTAATGGAATTCAAATTAGATAAGTTACGGAAACAAATGGTTCTGAAAAAAAATATGTATAGCATGGAAGTTTAATTTTGGAAGAATCAAAGGAAATTTAGGTTTCATAAAGATGCTCTAGTATTGATAAAGCAACATCAAAGATTAAAACCAGTAAAAACTAATTTTCAATTCTAAATAGATTCTAAAAAATAAAATATTTAGGAAGGGGTAATGTTAGTGATGCTTATTCAGTGTTTGATTAGTAAACAGGCATGGCTCTAGCTTTGAAAACAATCTAAAAGTCATTAATTTAAAGTAAAGGTATCAGTACATTGATATCTAATGAAATTAAAACACAAATGGTGTTGAATCACCCTAATATTTTGAAATGCTATGGGATAATAGGTGACAACAAATAGGTAAAATATAAGATATATTATAGATTGCTTTAATCTTGGAATTGAGTGATTATACATTATACAATTTGATTCGACAAAAAACAATTAATAGAAAAGAAATGATTGATATTTTACATTAGGTAATAGGTGCTGTTAACCATTTGCATAAAAATGGTATAATCCATAGGGATATAAAGCCGGAGAATATATTAATTTCATAAAACGTAATCAAATTGGCTGACTTGGGTATTTCAATAAGGGCATACTCTTGCTCATAATATTGTGGTACTCAAGGATATATGGCCCCAGAAATCAAATTACATGAAAAATACACTTCGAAAGTAGATTGTTACAGCATAGGTGTTTTGATATATGAAATGCTCTATAAAAAATTGCCTTTGCAAACTTTATACCCAATAAAAAATGCTAAGAATGATTTATTGATTGATTTGATGAATAATTTAATAGAGCCAAATCAAGATTTAAGATACTCTTGTTCTTAAGCTCTAGATCATGAAATTTTTAACTAGCTGATTTACCCGTAATTAATATAAACCTCAATACTAAACAATCTTAAGAAATTACTGTGATATAAAATAATTATTTATTTACATATAGATTAAATTACAATTGTGAAATTAATATTATATTCAAAAAAGATTACATATCTAAAATTAATAATAATAAAACAATAATAACAACAATATTCATTAAATAAAAGACCAATCGGATATCCTTTGATTAGATTGAGGTTGATCACCAAATTTCATCTAAATAAATAGAATAGATTTTACATCAATCGTTTCTCTAACCCATTATTTTGTATTATCCTTTTCAATGAATGGACCATCTTACACTTTATTATAGATATCGTCCCAATTGATACTTTTGAAAAAGGAATGCTTCTTTAATTCTTCAGCATCTGCCTTAGCTCCTAATCTTTAAGAGGGATCTCTGACTAACAGAGATCTAATCAAATCCTTAGCTTCTTCACTCATCGTTTTTGGAATTCTAAGAACTCCTTTTTTGATATTCTCAAATAACATTTCTCTGTCTTAATTATAATATGGTGGCATTCCAACGATCATTTCATAAAGAAGGACTCCTACAAGATACCAATCAACTGTTCTTGAATGGCCTCTCTTCATCAGAACTTCAGGTGCAAGATAAGCTATGGAACCGCAAAAACTTTTAGTAATATTGTCATAAACTCCTTCCTTTGATAATCCAAAATCAGTTAATTTAGCATGTCCTTTACTATCCAATACCACATTGTCTGGTTTCAGATCCCTAAAGATGATACAGTTTTTGTGCAATGATTCCAAGGCCAAAATCACTTCGCATATATAAAATCTGGCCACTTCTTCAGTAAGCTTAACTTGTTTGGTTAATAATTATCCTAGATCACCTCCTGGACAATAATCAAGAACCATAAACAACTTTGATGAATTTTGAAAGGCTGCATGCAATCTAACAATAAAAGGATGTTTCATAACACTGAGAACATTCTTCTCTGTTTGAGCATATCTAGTTAGATTTTTAGTCAAAACCCTCTCTTTACAAAGTGTTTTGATGGCATACTATTCTCCATCCTATTTTCTTGAGGCGAAGTATACTTCTCCAAAGCTGCCCTTCCCAAGTAATTTATGAAATATATAACCATCCGGGGAAGAAGCCTAGTAATTTAGAGCATAAATACATTCACACTAACATCCACAAATTAAGATATAGGTTATGGAGTGCTAACTTGTTTGTCCTTTTAATTCATCTACTACTACTGTTGTTACTGTTTCAAGATCTCCATTTTGGATAATTCATTGACTTTACCTAGTAGTCTTTCAATATGATCAGCTCTCGAGTTTCTTACTACTTATCCTCCAATCAAAGATCTCGATTGATAGCCTTCAGTATTAGGAACATACTTTTCGAGAAGCTTCCTCACTTCTGGGGACATGGTCACATCATAAGGAGACTTTTATTGGCAATTCTTCAAAGTGGCTAATATGAATTATCATTATGAAATTGTACCATCTGCCCCGTTAATCAACAAAAATTCCACAATTTAAACAAATCCTATTTCGGAACTTATGTGCAAAGGAGAATTTAAATCAGAATCTTGGCAATTCAAATCCACTTTATATTGCACTAGAAGTTTTACGATTTCTAGACTTCTTCTCAAACATGCTAGATGCAATGGAGTCCTCTTCATTAATGTACATAAATTAGGATTAGCTTTAGAATCTAGCAATAGTTTAACTATTCCCACTCTTCTATTATTCACAGCATGATGTAGTGCTGTCCAATCATCCAAGCCTTTACAATCAATATTTATCAATCCAATAAATTCCTGATAATCCTCTCCAACTAAACTGGAATTGTATGACCGATTTTATTATTAAACTTATTATTTTAACTCAATTTAATCTTTCAGCAAATTAGAAACAACTTCTTCTTCTCCTTTTTCACAAGCATCATACAATTTTTCATTTATTTCTTCCATTCTGTTCCAAAAGGTCTTCCACCTTTCTTTTTTCTAATTTAAAGGCTTGTATTGCTTAATTTCAATATCTAATTCACCAAAATTGTTAACACTATACGTATCTCCTGTATCTAAATTTTTTATAAATTAGCATGGGTCAACATCTTCGTCATCAATATTTTTTTACATTTTAATATAATTATAAATGCAAGGAAGGAGTAAGCTGAATTACTTAAATTAAATCTGATATATAGTTTAATAATTTTAAAGAGAGTTGTATACAATTCAATCACCATCATCTCGATTACTTAAATTACATATTTCATTTAGAAATGATTTAGGAATTTATAGAATAGCATTACAGATTATTTAAATTGTCTGTTCAGAGAATTGAATAAAGGAGATACATCAGATTATCTCTATATCGAAACAACATATGTGCAGATATATTGTTCTCAGAACTTAACAAATTTCTAAACATTATAGCATTCCTGGCATATATTAACAAAATACAAAGTTACATTTCAAGGAATTCGCTTACTTTGCATTTAGATTAAGTTAGCATCAAAATGTGATATGGGTTCAACTGGATTTCCAAAAATGGCTTAATCTGAAATTCAATTCAGATCCATCAAAATATTTGAAGATTAACCCTTCTTAATTCATAATAATAAAACAAAGCAGTATTGTATTAGATGTAAGTGAAATGAATTGAATACCTAAATCTAAATTACAAAATAAATGATTGAAGAATAATAAGTTGTAAAATAGATAATTGCAATTTTAGTCAAATATTAACCTCATAAATTGAATTAGTCTATAATAATATTAACTGTTCTATTCGAAATAAAATGGAGTAGCATTTAGTATTCTATATGCAAGAATTAAACTTTAACTATCATTATTTATTACTTTCAAATAATCAATCTATAAAATAATTACATTACTAACAAACCAACTTTATTAGATGCAAATTTAGAAATTAAGAGTTCTACTATTAATCACCTAACTAATTAATTTAGAGAAGATAGTTAAAAATAAATCTTCATAAAATCAACCAATATCACTTATATTTGATATATCAGAAAATTATGATATTCGTTTTGTGTTCTTATTTGGAGAAAAAGCAGAAATTATTGAAGAATGGGGGTGAATATAATATATAAACCAAATTATTTAAATATATACATAAACATGTAAACATTAAAAGAATATATTCCAATCGTATTGACCAAGGATCACTTAAGCAAAAGAGAAGCCAATTTGGAAGTGGCTGAAGAGAAGTTTACGGTAAGGTGTATTTATATTCTCGAGGTGAAAGAATAAGAAACTAAATCTCCTAAGATCAGCTTTCATATAAATAGTTCCAGATCTACATCTATTTAGAATACAGTCCCTTATTGTGTTAAGGCAACCGTGTTTCCCAATATCCTTTCGAGAACAAAGCTAGATATAATCAGATATAGACATTCTGAATAGTTATAGTTAGACTCTGATAAAATAACAACTTAAAAGGATCGTAAAAAGTTATCAGAATTAAAAATCAGATCCAAAGAAAAGGATAAATCGAATTCTAAAATGCATACCTAATTTACTAAGAGTCCTACTCAAAAACCAATTATAACATAGCTTACTTCTTTAATTAAAGATAATTTCAGTGTTTCTGAAAGAACGAGTTCATTCAAATTTCGAAGTTTAAGTCCTGAAATTGAAGGGTAACTTTGGTAGAAGAATAACAAGGTGAATAGAATTAATAAGGCTTATGAAATTCAGAAGGAAATTCACCATTTAGAAAGGTTCAAAACTTGCTGGAAAACCGATGAAATCCAGCAAATTTTACAGTAGAAAATAGTTTAAATTGGTTTGAATACAAAGAAAGGTTTGAAATAGATTTTTATATTGATTTTTCTACCACATTAAAGTCTTCATTTGAAGAGTTCTTAAACTGAAGTTAAATAAATGTAACTTAATTTTAATTTATAGAACTAATAACTTAGAATTAAGTATTTTCCCCTTTTTTATTCCTATTTATGAGAAAATAATAAATGAGAAGGAATTGACAGATAATTTTAGATAATGGATTTCCTATTTTTTAGACATTCTGCACTTTCGAAATCACATGAATTTCACAAAAGTATTCTCTTTAGATAGTGTTGAAATAACTCAGTTAAATTAATTACCTTAATATGATAAATTTTTGTATATTTAACTACAAGTAAAGTAATACGTAATATTAGGGATAATTTGATTTATGGATTCTATTGAATTAACAACTCAAACTTTCAGGTGAATTTTAATTAGATAAATACCCAAAATTAGCCATAAAATTATTCGACTTAAAATCCAAGGAGGAAGTTTCAAGATTCTTCAAGAAGAGAGAAAATTTACTACCATTCTATTTTCGTCATTAACAACAAGAGAGTTAGACCTCAATTCCATCATAATATTTGATTGAAGTTGAAAACGATCTCAGAGAACCAGATGAGTAGATGTTTGAATAGTCGATAATTTAAATGAATGAACAAGAATAAGATACATATTTAAAATTGTTGTAGCAATACATTCAATCAAATAAATCAAAGTATTCCAGTAAATTAAAGAATTTAGAAGAAATGATGAGGTAGAGACTGGAAAAGATAAAAGCAAGGAAAAGATATTCAATTCAAATAAAACTTCAAGCAGTAAACATTATCATTAAATTTAGAAAAAATTTTTAGGCTATAAAGAGGAAGAACTAATCTAGCAGAAATTAATGTTAGAAGATGAAAAATCTATTTAAGAAATACAAGAAGAAGCTTTCGACCAGATAATGCCATAGACTACACATATTTTCAAAAAAAAATAGAAATAGAATATTCCTATAGAAGATCCGTTTTAATCCTTCCAAACCAAAGATAATGAAAAATTTAAAGAGATTACACAATTAATTAATATTGAAAAGATTATATTGGAGAAGAATTTATCAAGATAAGATATCTACTATTATTTATCTCTTTTTAAGGCTTTAATGGACTCTGATACAACCACCAGAATAAAAGATGTCAAATATCCTACATTGTTTATAAGTGTAGATCAATTAAAAAGAGGAATTGCTTTTATAGCTTTATATAAGAATACTGTCAATACAAAAAAGTTAGCTGAAGTCTACAATCGAAATTATCAATACTGTGAGTTTTTGGAATTTTTAGACATTTTCACTACTCAATATAAATACAGAGTGTCAGAGGAAGAATTGAAGGATATAGATGAGGAGGATTCATTAAAGATTTCAAGAAAACAATCAGTTTTTGGAAGATAGCAATCTTTAAAATACTAAATTGATTAAAATTGATTCAATTTTATAATAATCATATGATAACATTTATATTAAATGTCAATAGAATTTAATTATTTTAATTTGCTCAGAGATCTATTATAATCTATTATAGAAATTGTCATTGAGTATAATTGTTTTAGACATGAATAAATATGAATCTTAGTTTTAGTATGATATAATCAGATTTATAAGGAGAGTATTGACTATCTGCATTCCATTTCATCAATAATTTAGGATTAATCAGCTTCTTCGCCTTGCATCCAAGGATGAGACTGAATTTCAGGGATCTTTAATAAATATTAGTTTATTAATTACTGATAATCTCCGATTTGGATTAAAGGCCAAAAGTTTAACGATGATATCCTTCAATTAAGCTGAAAATTCAAACTAATGTTTCTCCCAAAACTTTCCTATTTGTTGTCTTCATTATTAATTAAATAATACCTGTATATCAACTAATAATTTGGATCACTCTTTATGTTAGCATTGTGAAATGGACTCGATCCAGCACAAATTTAAAATAAGATAACTCCTAGCTAAAACAAATCTGCCTCTACTGGATGATATGGCTATCGAAGATATATCTCTGGAGCCGCAGTCTAAGGCGTTCCAACATAACTACAATCATGAAATACTAAATTACTCATTCACTTTTATTCTCCTTCCTTGTTCATCCAAATATTGAACAGCAAATCCAAAGTCGCAAATCTTCAACTTGTATTGATCGTCTAATAATATGTTTTCTAATTTTAAATCTCTATGAGCAACACCCATCTTGTGAATCTTATCAATTACTATTAATAGTATTTTTGAACTATTACTGAATATCATCTATTTAAAGAAGCTTCTGGCTATGCTCTCTTCCAATCGGGATTATTATAAGTATTGGAGTAAGTTTCCATACTTCGCATAATCCATCATTATGCACCCTCTAAGTTCACTTTCTCTTATTCTAATGACCCCAGAAATGTGACTCAACTTGTTCATTATACGAATCTCATTCTCATATAGTTAATCTTGTTTGGCCTTATACACTTTCAGTGCCATCAATTCTCCAGATCTTGAAACTAATTGGACACTAATTCTCAATTAAAAGCAATACTCTGCCGAAAATCCACATCCTATCTTGCTTATTATACTGTATTCTTCCTCCTTTGACGTTTAAGACATTTGATAATATAATTTATAATAATAGAAGATTAGGATTAATCGCTCAAATATTAATCAACATACAATAAACCTAGTAATTACCTTGTATTTTTAATTCATTTTTCTCCCTATTCCATATTTCAATTAACCCTACTAATTGCGATGGTGGATCTCAACTTCCAAAACTACTCAGAAATGCTAAAGGTTTATAATTAAATTTATTCTTAATTCCTTAAATCTATTAGCTGTCATCATATGCTTGTAATCCAAAGGGTTTATATTATGTGTAATTATTGATAATTGTTATCCATTGATCGCGTGGTGTAGGGGTTATCACGCGTCCCTAACAAGGACGAGGCCGCCAGTTCGAGACTGGCCGTGATCATGTTTTTTTTAATATATATTTTGTAATTTAAAAAATTAGTATTAAATTGAGCTGAATGATTGCCTATTGGTATAAATCTAAAGATGTTTATAATTATCTGTTTTGAAATTAACTTATTTTAATGAATGAATATCTCATGCAAAATTAAGCAACTCAACTTCAAATTTCAATGTGGCATTTTTGGGGATCACTGGTGGGTAACCTTATGCGCCATAAGCATAATCAGGTGGACAAGTGATTATAGCCTTCTCTCCTATTGACAACTTTGCTACACCTTCATCCCATCCCTTAATAACTTATCCTGCGCCAAGGGTAAATATAAAAGGCTTTCCTCTATTTCTTGAAGAGTCAAATACAGATCCGTCAAGTAAGGTTCCTACATAATGCACGTGAACTTTTTGGCTAAATTTTAGTCAAAACTTTACCCTTTTTAAGGAAATGATTTTCCATCTCCTGGAGTTATTGTTTCAACTTTAAATCCTTGCATTAATTTTTTTAAATTTTTATATAAAATATACTTTATTTAAGTTAATTAATATACTTAAACTCATTTTCTAATCTTATAAAAAATCAATTCAATACTAGAAAGAATCCTGATTAATTGGAATAGCATTATAATCATTCACCCCCACGTTGCTTTTCTAATTTTAGGCCTCCAAATCTTGAATCTCCTCTTGTATCTGTTAATACTTCGAATTTAAATTCATGACCTATTGTCTTACAGATTAAAGCTGTTAATCCTATTATTTTGTAACCTCAGTAGCTGGATCATACTGATACATTAGATTATTCAACTTATTTTTTAAAATTACAACTGAATTAGATTTTAGTCTTACAATATGTTCCAATTAACAAACTTCTCTCTACAATTATTCTATCTGAAATATTAGTGAAATTAAATTTATACTTTTATGCTATCATCCTTTTTTGATTCTTATTTTTACTGCTGCATTTAGCCAATCTTACCCCATAATTCATATAAGTATTCTTCTAATTCATATACTCGATGTTTCCAATATAACTCTAATTCCTCCTATGACAAAACTACTTTCTTCTCCTTCACCTATGATTTATTATATATCTCTTATAGAGATTAAGGAACCGATGTAGTTGGAGAATATTATGTTTAATATGCATAGGCCTTTTTTAGTTATTCATACTCATCCTTTTTCTCATATAAAGCCTATTGTAATTGATTATAAGCCAAATTAGATTACTGAATTTCTTCAGTTTAATTTTGTAATTTTTCTGCTAACTCTTTTTATTTTAATTGTAAATCTTATTAAATTAGCTAAGATTACTACAGCTCCCTACTCATCTTCAAGTCATAGGAAGATTGTTAGACAATAGGTATTTGTTGTTAAATGTAAGACTGTTGTGGAATCACATATTATTGATGAACAAGAATTGGAGATTATTGCTTGGAGATAATCTAATTTTAATTCAGAACTGGGGACACTTGGGTCAGTGGATTTTAGGATGTTATTATTCTCGGTGTAGCTGTTGAAATTATTGAAGGAGTAACCAATTATGACATGGATGGGGATATAGCAGTTGTTTCTATGATTTTTCTTGAAACTATTCTCTCAGGTGACACATACACAACTAAGATAACTTCAATTGATACCTCTTCCCCTTACGGCCTACTCATTGATATGATGAGTTTATTAAAACGTGCAAGTATCAGATTAAATGGAATGTTCTCCTGATTAACAATAGGGACATTGTGGTTCAAATTGATCAGAATAATACGTGATTACTCCAATTGGTTAAGGCTATGTCTACATAAATTTATTTATGAGTAATTTAATATAATTTTTATCAAATGCAGGCTTAATTGTTTGATTATTTTTTATTCATTTGATTATCCAATAATTCAAATATTTCTAAAATTCTATTCAGTTATGCACAAACGAATTAAGAAAATTGAATCTAATTTATTTAGTTGAAGGTATTCCTCAAACCTTAAACTAAATTATTTTGACTGTTTAAAAATATTAAAATAAAAATGAACTTCTAAAATTCGATAATAAAATCAATGTTTGATATCAAATAAAGTTGAAACGCTTTCCTTTTTTTAGACCCTATAAATAGCTTCAGCCAATAAAGGAGCTAACTACTAGTTAAATCAATTACCAACGGATAATCTACATATTTTGTCTCCCAAGACCTCCTCTTATGGTTTTGAAGGAATTGTGTTAGTAACTATGATCTAATCTAGAAAAGGAGCACCGAGATGTGCGAATGCTTTACCAGAGAACAACGCATGAGTTGCAAATGCAAAGACTCTTTTGGCTCCTTGTTCTTTGAGTACCCTGGCAGCCTCAGAGAGTGTACCCTTAAAGAATAATATCTAAATTTACTGCAGTATCGATTATGTCATCCACTATAATGCAATCTTTTCCTTTGACTTAACCAACTAAGTTCATGGATGCTATTTTTCCTGGCCCTTCTCTTTACTTGATAATCATAGCCAAATGAGATTGCATTCCTGGATGATGCTAGTCAAATTATTCTTAAAATTTCTTTGCTCTATAAACACCACCTGCATCTGGGGAGACAATTGCAACATCCTTAAATTCATATTTCTTCTAGAGTGATAAGTAATTCTGAGCAACTAAATTTGCTTCAAGATTATCTACTGGCACTCTAGGTCCAAAGAACCCTTGAATTTATCCGCAATGTAAATCAACTGATATAAGTCTATCTACTCCAACTGTTTCTAAGAGTCTAGCAACATCTGCTGCTGATATCGGAACTCTTGGTGCACATTTCCTATCCTGAAACAAATCAAATTATATATACTTGTCTTGCGTATCCATAATATGGAACCACAACTATAATTTTTCTGGCTGATGCTCTTCTTAAGGCAGAGACTAATAACAATAATTCCATCAAATTATCATTAACGGGAGGAGATGTCGATTGTATGATAAAAACATCCTTTCCTCTAATATTATCAAGAACCTGTGTCAGATAAAGTATATACTTAAATTTGACATTCTCCATCTGCAAATCTTCCAATAGTGACACTGCCTAATTTAATATTCAAATATTCAGCTATCTCTAATATTCAATTATAAGGATATTTACCTTCAGCTAACTCTTTATTAGAATTTCCCGACAAGATGATAGTATTTTTACTAAGTTTAATGTGACAATTCATACTAAAAATCATCTTCAGGTACTAATGCTCTTTTGAATGCTCGATTCAAATTATCGCCATATTGTTTGATGTTTGGGTTCACTTATAGGCTTAGCTTCTATCGATAACAAATTGTTGATAATAATCCAACTAGCATAAACTATTTGCCATAATTTCTGAAGATATTTTAATGTCGAAATGTGCTGAAAAGTTTTGTAAACATAAAAAATAGATATTTTTTAATGAATAATATGTGACTTTTATATAATTCATAAGATGTCACCTTTATGGATACAATTAAAGCATATTAGATAATAAATTTAGAGTATTAAGAGTATTATTTTCAATTATAAAACAACGCAATTATAAATAAAAATATCATGTTATGATAGGCTAATCAATGTTAGTCTATTTAGGTGAATTAAATAGTCGAAATGATTAAACAAAAGTTTCATTAGACTATTAATCAATTAAACTTATATATTCTTTCAAAAAAGTTTAAATTTATACATTGAAAAAATAGTGTTATTCAGTTCATAGGTATTTTGCACATGAATACTGAGGTCTTTTCTGACAAAATCAAAATTTATGGATTATCAATAATGGATTGGTTATGGATAGAAAGGATAAGATTATTGGGTTAATCATTTTATTTATATTAGTTTTATACTCATCAATAATAGGAGTAAAAAAAATGGAATGACAGCATTTTAGAAGATCCAAAATATAGGATTAATAATTATTTGTTTACCTATTGAGGTTATAATAAAAATAATTCTAATATGGAAAGAATCAAAACAAGTCCTGATAGTTAAGTTATGCCAATACTATAAAATAAATAAAGTTGTAATATCATTATCATTAACAATATAATTACATGTATAAACTTATTTTATATTATTATTACTCATATATTCAATCAGTTGATTAAGCAAGAAATTGTTAAGAATTTCCATATCTACTTTATTAATGAAGATGAGGTGGAATTTCAATGTAACCTTCTAATTTAGTTATGTTTAGGAGATGAAAATGCCTGATGTTTTAGTAATCCCCAATCGACTTAATTATAGCAGTGAAAATAAACTCACTACCTCTTTCCAATTTCTCAATCTCAGAAGCTAAAAGAATCTATAATCAAATTACACAATTCAGTGGCTATTTCACTATCTGCAGTCAATAACAAATCAGGATGAAATTCACTCTCAGCAGGGTCCATTTTCACCAAAATATTAACAGAGTGATGCAAGAATTTCATCAAAGATTATTGGTTATCCTCTACTCTTATTGCATATCCTAAATGTAATTAATAATTTGATTGTACCTTTCCAATCTACTATTGTTCTGTCGATGTATTTTTAATAACAAATTTATTAATTTTAGAGATTTTGAAATATTTTCTCTTTTGAGCATTTCTCTAAATAATCAGTCCAAGTGTCAGAAATAGTGATATTTGGATTGTAATGTTGATGATAATCCATCCATTATTAAGTTGGCATTTCAATTATTCTATACCACAAAACTCCTAATGTTAAGATTAATAACAAAGTGCCAATAACTATTCTTTTAGTCAAAATAACTCCGAACTCTCCAATTTTGAATGACATCATCTTTAAGAATATATTAATACTCATACTGAATCCTTCACACCTAGCACATGAAACACTTTTCCATCTCCACCAATTTCTTCATTGCATGCAGAACATCTAGGCTCATTTTATCATAATTACTTATGAATTAAGGTTCTTGTGATTATCATAATTACTGGTATTAGTAACAGACTTGGCATAAGTCCAAAAATCAGCAAAACTAAAAAACACGTAATATAGCTTATATAGCCATTCTTAAAAGTAACTGTTGAAACTGTTGAATTTGAGCAAAAAGGACACTTGATTTATTTAGGTCTACATCATAATTTAAGTTTACTAATCTCCCAACACTAATTCATTACTAGCAATCATATTTTAATGTTTATTTAATTTTTTATATAATTGATTAAATTATCTAATTGGATGTAAGAGCATGGTGAAACAGTTAATAAATAAATTATAAATATTCAATTTAATCTTTTTAACATTGATATTGTGTGTTACTCTGTTAAAATTGAAATGGGTAGTGTAATTAAAGCCAATCTCGTTCTAATTAACTTATTATTAGTTTTAATTATTATAACAATATAATATATTGCATATGACAGTCCAACTAATACTCCAACTACACCATAATACAGATATATATAACTCAGATTTTCATCCAATATCCCATAAATACTAATATAAATGATATCCAAAAAGGTGTTCGTACCATCATTAGTATCTAAAAAGTGAGCAAATACTGCATTTCTGAACTCTTTCATGTCTATTTATTCTCTACACAATTCAGTATCTGGCTAAAATTACTTATACTCAATTTCATAATCAAAAAATTAACTGAATAACGTATCCAGTCTGCTTATTACTCCAACAATACCTTTATTAACATACTCCTTATTATCATCCTAAGGCAAAATAGGTGATCCGAAAGTTTAAGTAAACTTATCAATTCCAAATTCTTCTATATTGCACATAGGAATTTCATCACTAAGTTCTGCACAAAAATCATCTTGATAAAGTGTAAATAATAATTGTTTATCCTCATCCTTGATTTTGTTTGATTATAAAATACTCTCATAGATAGAGGTTAAATTTTCGGAATAAATCTTACTTAAATCACTGAATAATTCAACAATATCATTTGTTTATAAGAATGAATTTATAGTTGAGTTATCATATACATTCATCTTTATTAATGCATCATACACTAGCTGCTAAGTCTTTAGTATTTAGGCACATGCCATCAGAGTGTCTAACTTTTAAGTAAACTTAATATAATTTCCAGTAAGGGCCTAAGAAGGACCCAAATCTGAAATTTATTAGGAAAAAAGTAGAAATCCTCCAAAAAACATTAGGGCTATTATTATAAATACAATGAGCAGCATAACAGTATAAGATATCAAACTTATTTGTGTATTATATATTCTTGAACTTAAGACGACATTAATATTTCTCTTTTAGGATTATGACTTTTTAATATTATTTTCTTATTGATGATTCTTATTCTTATTTTAATTTACATCAAAATGATTTTTTAAAGCTAAGTCTTTGATAATTCTAGACTATTAATTCAATAATTCGAAGTTTAATGTGTTAAGAGATTAATAATTTAAGGCATAATAGTTTTATTTCTTCCAACTGTATTTCCCACTTTATTATGTTAATGTTTCTTTGACCAAAGACGCTCTTGCTATAGATTCATTTGCATCACTTTCTTAAAGTCTTCCAGTCAAAAGCATTAATTACTAACTATAATTTTGTATTTGTTTCCAAAAATATAGCTCAACTAATAAAATGATACCTATGCAAATTATTTCAATAATAACTTAGGTCTACATTTCATCAACCCTATCATTAGTTTAAGACAAAAAAACAACATTCAAAGAGTCAATTAACTCTGAAGACATTAAGTAGATTTGATTTAGATTATATCTTAATAAAAATAATTAATCCAAATATTCCCTAGTTAATATTGTAGGAAAGTCTTTTATCTCAATTTATACTATTTTTACAACTCTATCCAAGGTTCCTTCAATTAAATTAATAAAATAAGGAAACTTCACTTCCTCTGTTTCTCCCTTTAAAAAAGTGAATTTTTGTAAAGATAACATACCTTTTTCCTCTACTTAAATAAATCCCAAATACATATTATTTATTTCATCATATAAATCGGTCGTAGTGTTATATAAATCACTAAATGTTTATTCCTTCATAAATTAACTAGTATCAATAATATCTAAAGTTCCCACAATTAAACTCCATGTAAATGAAATAGCTTCCAAATAACTTCTGTTTAATATAAATGGACCATTAATATCATTAATAGTCAAAGATGTATCCTAATTACTAATGGTTATGAGTACTAGATGGACTGTTATCAAGATGATTATTATAATAAAAACAGTTAGACTAGAGATAGATATAAATTTAAGTCCTTAAGTAAGATGAGTAGTGCTTTAAAACTTTTTAATAATTTAGATAGCAGAGTTCCCAGAAGTTGCTGATGTCATACTTGATTTAGATTTTAAAGCTTCCACATCTTCTTCTTCATGGTTCTTTCCCTTTAGTTTATTTTTCTTCATTATTTCTAAAATGTCATTTTTTTTATCCTTCTCATTGTCACTACTTGATTTACCAATTTACTATTTTTATTATTTAAGTGATTCATCGATATCAAATTCCTCATCAGGTTCATATTATATGTTTTTTTCCTTTTACATAATGGCACTAGCACTGTTTAGTTAAATTCCCAAGACATTAAAATCCTAATCCAATTTTACAATCTCTTCTAATTCTCCCTCCTTCTAATTTGGATTAATAAAATGAGCTCTTTATGATAATGGACCATAACTCATACTATCTCTAGCCGAATCTAAATTGAATAAACCAAAATCTTGATCTTATTTTTGCTTTTTCGAGGGTCCCATCCTTTCCAAGAGATCAGTTACCCCACAGCCAATGTCTTTATTTACTGGCACAATCTCAGAATATGGTTATTCCGATTAAACAAACCCAGAGACATTTGCTTTGGTTTGTTCTTCCTCCTATGTTGTGTCTAGTATTTAAAATATAATTACTATGATTATTATTTTAAAGTGAATAGAATTTACTATCATTGGTTTATTGATTTTAATTTTCAGAGACTGATTTTCCTATTAGATCTTTCTTCCTTACATCTAAGATTTCCAATATGAAATATGACCTGTGATAGTCTTCTTTACCAATATTTTTTAAATTAAGAGAAAACTTGATCAGAAATTTCTCGGCAGGTTTTTCCTTATAGGTATATAAATATATTCATACTTCTATGCTTTCTAAATATTATTAGATTTCGTTTTAATATTGTTTATTTAATAAAGGTATACCATTGTATTAACCAGGCTTGATAGATTCTTCAGATTATTTTCTATTTGATTCAATCTAAACTAGATGATCTTACTCTTTTTCTTATAAATCATTTTATTAAATAGAGATAGTTCCGATCTTTTTTGATAATGATCCTTCAGACAATTAAGCCTTTTTTTGAATGATCGATTTTTCAAAATGACTGCTTTTTGGCATACATATACTTAGTGATTAAAAATGCTAAATTAATTCTATTATATTATCTCGAACCATAAATATACAAGAATCTTCAATTAATAACCCTTCATAATCTGATTTCACTAGTTAATTTTTGTATGAATCAATGATCTTAATTAATTGTGGAAGAAACATATAAATATAGCATTGATTAGTTAATCTTTATAAAGTAAATTTTTCATTTGAATTTTAAAAGTAGGTTTAAAAGAAATTTTAGGTGCTACCCCATATTTTACCATCATCCCCAAAAATTACAAAATCTATTCCTCGTTTAACTTAGGACAGACAACCCATTATCACATAATCATCTAAAATTAGAAAATTATTGTCAATTTTTAATTGTTATGCTACCAAATAACCAAATTTGTCAGAACTAAATACAACATTATAAGATTAAAATAGCTTTGACTTTGCTTATTGCAAATAATCTTCTAATAAATTGTCATGTATTGCAGATAAAAAGGGAGGCATTAATTAATTAATATATTATATTTGTTAGAATTCTTTATCATCATAGCCAAAATATTGAGATAAACCTCTTTTATCTTAATTAATAATCTAACCTAAATTCCTGACTAAGCTTAACATTATTAAGGCTACTTTGTCTTCAACTAATGTAAAATTTGTGATAACATCTGAAGATAATGTATGTTCAATATTGAATATTTCTTATATTAAAAATTCACATTAAGCTGAATTGTAATAGTCATTCATTATGGAACTGTAAAAAATAGACGCAATTTTTAATTCTAATACATTACAATTAGTTCCTAAATGCCCTATGTTTTCAATATCAAAGGATAATTTGGACAATAACTCTCTTTAAAGTTATTGCACCTTCTTACTTAAATTAATTGCCTCATTTTAAAATTCTTAAATTGTATTGTACCCTTTGATTAATTATTCCCAAAAGTAGATTTTAGCATCCATTAACTTAATAATGTTAGGAATGTAGAGTTCTTCAAAAACTATTGATTTACTAATATGAACAATATCCAAGGACTATTTTTCTTATTCTCTATTTTGGGACTAAAAAACATTGGCTTATTGCTGTTTTTGAACAGTCTGCTGTAAATTGTTATTGATTTGCTTCTTCATAAATTTAAAGTAGTAGGATTATTGTTATTGATAAAAAATATCGTACTTTCTAAACTCAACTAAACTAAGTAATGGTTTCTTGCAATAATGAGACAGAAAGTTGGTGTATATTAGTTACATATCTTCAAAAGCTACTTTACCATTTTATTTGGCTAATTTCAACTGTCTTTACAAAAATTAAATAATAAACTTCCTTGATGACATATCTTAGAAAAAGCTATTGTCTATGTGTTTGTCACCTGATATGTGATTTACTAAATAGGCATAATAATAAAACATTTTTTTCTACCTCACAGTCTTTTTGATATCTTGAGATAATTCATAAATCCTTTAGATAATATCAATTGTTCTACTTGAGGATAGAAGCTTATACTGAGATTGGTGATATATTTTCCTTTCAAAAAGAACTTCAGAAAAATAAAATGCAAAGGATGCCGCTAACATCACACTTTCAAGTATCATATTTTATTGCAATATTGTATTCTCTGATAACACATTTAATGTGATTAGGATTGATATAGAGAATAGTATAAAGTATAATTTGAAATTAAATTCATTGTTTGGAGGATAAAAGGCGTTTAGGAAAAAGCTCTCAATCATTTATAGTAAGATTAAACAATTTATGAGAATAAAAAACAGGTACACATTAAAACTTGTTGTTTCAAGTAAATAAACTGCAAACATTATTGCTCTTATAAAAACATATAGCATTTAATTAAATGAATATTTACTCTGCAATATTGAAAAGGGTCTAAATGAGAAGGATCTAAAAAGATAAACACCAATGTATTATGACAATATAGTCAATATCGATCCGGCTAAACCAATAAAAAATAATGAATGTTGGGAACATTTTCCATCCTAAAATGAGTTGAACTTTGCACAAAATATCCCATTTCCATAATACAAAAGGAATAAATTGCCTATTGAAAAATTTATGTGAAGAAAATAAAAATTTACAACTCTTAACATAAAGTGTAATATACCATTAGTAAATTCGGTATTTGATGAAATCTTTCTGAATATTGTTAAAATAGAAATAAATATAATAATTGCTGACTGAAATGCAAAAAATGCACTCGCAATTAATGAATGGATGATTTTTTGTTCATGCTAAATAGGCAGAATTAATAAGCAATTTATCACTTATTTAAAGTATTTAAATACTGGATCATAGTCATAATTCCAATAATTCCACCCATCATTTGGAAATAATAGCGCTAAAAATTATAATGAACAAATTAAAAGTTGAACTTTAAAATATCTATCTGATAACTATGAAGGACTTTTGTAAAAAGCAATTTCACTTAAGACATCAATCAATAGGTATCCCATTCAAAGGTTAAATCAATATTAATAATTATCACTTTTATCTATTTATAATCAATATGTAATCGTAGTAAAAACATAGTATTTATGAAGAAAATAATTAATTTAACATAAGACTATTAGAATTTTCTAGAGATAAGTTACTATTGTATTTTAAAGATAAAACATAAAAACGAATGGGAAATTTATTCAAAATAGATAGATTTTTTAATTTAAATATTAGAGTAATTAAAATTCTCATGTTTGATATGAATATTTATTTATCGTAATCATTATTTACCCTAGAATGCTGTTAGGGGCTTGTAGAATATATAGTTGTGCTACTAGTATTTAACCTTGTAATATCTCTATTGTTATGATTATCAACATTTTTTCACAAAACTGAAATTACATGTTATCAAGAAACATCTCTAATTCAAGCTTAGCATTTAGCACACCATATAAATTCTCAATGTATAACTTCTGAATGGGAATCAAATTTAAAATATTACTCATGTTTTTCAGGATAAAAAATTGATTTTCCTTATTAATCAGACTTGAGCAGGGAATCTTGTTAATTATTAAGATCAGGAATCAAAGCCAAAGCTTGATATTTCTAAAATAATAAAATTCTTAAAGTTTCATAAATGAATCCTAAACCAAAAGTTTTCCTCCAATTTCAATTAAAACAGACTTTGAAAATGTTTTGACTCTATCTAATATATCAGCTGGCATGTGATTTTGCCCATCTACTGTATATATTTCAGGGTTTCTTAAAGCTGTGCGCAATAATGTGCTCTATTTTCATTGGAATATTGATCTACTTACAAATACCCTTGATTAGATGTTTATCAAATAATTGTTTAATTATGCTATCAACTCAGAATTTACTTTTCAAGAGAATAGGCTAATAAAATTCGATCATATGAGTTCAACAGCTCCTCATTTCTCTCATAATTATATAAAAGATATCTTAAATGAGTTTTAGATAAGACGGTTTCATAGTATTAGGCAATCTTCTATTAGATATTCATAAGAACAAGAAGTTATTTTATTTATCAAAATCATCTTATCCATTTATAATTTAATAAAGTTTACCAATAAAAATTTAATATAAAAATAAACTGTTTTATGAAGAAATTAAATACTGCTAAAAAGTCAAACTACAAATATTTTAATGATCCGGCTGGGCTTTTTTAAGCATATTTTACATAGCTCTAGTTTGTTTGAACACTCATAACAACAAAATCTATGGCCGCATTCCAAAAAGACCTAATATTAATAATCATTTATATACAGAATTGATATCTTTAGATGAACAAATTTAACACAAATTGAATTCTTACTCCTCTCTTAATCTTTATCCTAATTCATTTACTTAATTTTTCAAAATACTAATTAAGCCATTTTCTTTTGGAACAATTGTTGATTAAATTTCTAATTGTGAAATACTAGATAAGTCACTAAATCTATGATCAAATACTTAAATTGAGTACCTTTTAATGATAAAGAATATTAAAATTACATATCATTATTTTTTTTAGTTCCATCGTTCCCACCAATTAAGTAAATGTTTGTTTCATATGAACACAATTGATGAAATGTTCTTGCAGAAGGAGTGTTGCCAGCTGTTTCTATAAATTTCCATTCTTTTAATTCACAATTAAACTCATAGAGATCGTTGTATCGAGTCATTGCTGCATCAACTCCCCCAAATATGTAAATACTGTATCCAATTATGGTGCTGCTATGCCTATAACGAGAAGGGGGTTTATTCCTAACTTTTTCTAAATACCAATAGTTGGATGCAAATGAATAAGTATACTATAATTTTTAATAATAATTTTACAAGCTCATCTAAAGTCTTAAAGCCATCCCAACCACCAAAAACATACATTTGATTTTTATATACTTCTGCAGTATGGCCAAATCTAGGGGATGGGATTTATCCATGAGTTTGCAATTTAACCCACTAATTGTTTTGGATATCAAAGCAATGCAAGTCATTAAATCTATTACTGCCATCAGCTCCTCCAAATACATATAATTTTTCATTATTTATTACAAGTGACATATCAACTCTGGGTTAAATTTCTCTAGTTGTTCTTATCTAATTCCATTATCTTAGTTTTGTATCGAAAACATATAAATCATTAAAGTATTCTCCTCTTCTATTAGTATATCCTCCAAAATAATAAATGTCATGTTAATGAGCCACTCCTTTACAGCCTGATCTTGGCGAGGGAAGGATTCCTTTGGGGGCTATTTATTCCCATTGTTTCTTGAATATATTGTAACAATGCATATCATTTACTATGGTAGTTTCATCAGATCCACAAAATAAAAACAGATTTTCCTAGCATTGTACTACTGAATGACCTGTTCTAGGAGTAAACTTCCTAATGTTCATTTATATGTTTACATTTCCTGGTTAGATTCAATCTTCCACTCGTAATATTTTCCTAATTCCAAAAACGAAGTTCCTTCCTCTATATTTTGAACTTCTAATGGAATGTCCTACAAAAATTCCTCTCTCTCTACTGTATGACTACGATAACTCATTAATGATGATTGAGGTTAGAGATCGACCAAGTTGGCCATCTTAACTTAATCTAAAACTTAATATTTACTTGAGAAAAATTAAGAATCGAGAGATCCTGATAGTTTAAACCTCCAATAACTAAAATATCCTCTCGAGATTAATGTAACAAACAGAGCATAGTATGTTGTACACGAGGATATGGATGTCTACTTACTTTAGGCAGTTCAATCCATTTCAATGTTACTATATTTAGAGCATAGAAATTATCGTTGCATCTTTTTCCATCGAATGTACACCCTCCAAATATTATTAAATACTCTTTCATAGCTAATGCTGCTTAATGTCTAAATATTGGCAAGGGGTTTTTTATTTCCAATCTTATCCAGGTTCTTAAATCGACTAACAGCCAGACATCGTCTAATATTAGTTATCCATCACTTCCTCCAGTTACAATTATAGTGTCCTCATAAACCGTGCATTAATGGCCAAATCTATGGGCAGGCTCAAATTCTATTTAATTCCATCTAATGCAATACACTTTTTTTTTACTTATCACTTCCTATTGAGTACGTTTTACAATCATTAAAAATCTTTTTCTGAGTCCTTCCCCCAATTATTAATATCTAACCTCTATACATGCACATACTGTGTTCAACTCTTCCTGTTGGAGCACTTTTTATTTAACGGAATTTCAATTGTACAACATCAATTTCCAAAAATTCATCAAGCAAAATCGTCCCCTCGATATCTATGCTTCCTCCATAACAATATATTTTTCCTTAATTCATTACAAATTAACTATTATATCTATTGTTCATATTCAATTGTCACCTAGCCTTAAATGGAATTCCATTGTATAATCTCCGCCATTTAAAATCAATTAGACTTAAACTATACAAATCATTCTATTTGTAATTATCAACTATTAAATATAAATTATCCTCATAAAATGTGCATGGATTTGTAATTTTATTTGGTAATGTTCCTTATAAACGCTGAATCTCCCACTTTAATGCAATTTATGACATTATTTGATTATAATTTATATAATAAACTTTTGATAATTTTTTATCAAACTCCTCTAAAATAGAGAAAGATTATATATTTATAACAATAGTTAACTGAAATATCAAGAATCAAACGGTTCATCATAATCATACTCTACTTTTTGATTATCATCATATATAGTATTCACGGACACAGTTTCTAAATTCTGGTCTATTGTTGCTTTTGCTTCTACTTCGCTACCTCCCTAAAATAATAAAAACATCTATTACTTATTTTAATGTAGATAAAAAATTTTCCACTTCTACTTATTACCCTGATAGTATTTAATTCTTGTAAAAATCTATTTCATTATTTGCAACATTCAATTTATTATTAAGATCATCTATTTAATTTAATAAATAATCTCTGCCTTCAATTAAATTTTTAATTTCCTTTTATAATTCCTAAATTTATTTCGATATTTCTCCTTTTTCAATTTCAAATTTTTCTTATTCTCCTGAAATTTCTATTTTTAATTTATTTTATTGTTCTAATTATGACTATAACTCTTTTTTTTGGATATTTAATTAAGCTAACTTTTTATCTAATTCATTATTATCAAATTAAAACTATTTGAACTTTTCTTCTAAGCCTTAAATCTCTTAAGCTTTATTTTATTTAAAACTCTCTAAATTTTATTCTTCTTCTTTTAACTATTATTTTAATTGATCAATTTAATCTTAAATTGTCTTTTTTTCATCTTAAAATTTTATTACCTCTTACTTGAGACTATTCTATTCGTTTTCAATTTTCTATTTATTTTCTTATTAAACAATTAGTTGTTATTGTAGTTTTTGTAAATTACTTTCTTCTAATTAAATTTATTCTGTCAATTGAAATAGCTTATTCTTTTCTCCCAAGATTTATTCTTTGATTAATTATAGTTCATCAGATATTTTAGTTTTCTCTTAAAGAATGGTATTTAATTTTAGGTCAGTTTCTTTAACGTTTTGCTCTATACCTATTAATTTTTATTGCTCTTCCTATTGTTTTTCTTTAAATTATTAACTTAATTTATTTTCTTAAATTTCTTAAGCTAATTGCTATTATTCAATTAATTTTTTTTGTAAGTCTAATTGTTATTACTTTAATTCAGATTCCTAATTTAATTGTGCTTACCTTTGAAGTTCAATTTCTAAACTCTTTTATTGTAATTCTTAATTCATTTTAATCTATTCCAATTTTTACTTTTCAAGTTTGAGCCTATCCTCCTACAATTAATTCTCATCTTTTTGTCTATTTAATTTTTAAATCTTAATTTCCTCTTGAAGTTAGAGTTCCTCTCTTTACTTCTTCTAAACTTCTTTTTATCTCTTTTTATTTTCTTACTCCTATAATAGATTGAATTGTTCCTTTTGTTTCTTCAGAAATTCTTATTATGAAACACCAATCTAAGGTTTACTTTTGGACATTTAAGATGAAATACTTTTTTAAGGGGAGAGCATTTCTTGACTTGAAAAAATACTTCCAAATGTTTTTGTGCTTTATGATTATTGCAACTTTTAATTTTTTTAGGCTTAAACCAATACAAAATGAAGCAGAGGTTTATTTTTGTCCTCAATATTTATTTGTAATCTTTTGGATATTGCATCTCTATTAATTTCTTCCCTAAGATTAGCTTCGCTAATATTTGATTATAGATGAATACCTTGAGAAAATAGAATTTGTGTAACTCATTTCATAAAATTTAAGAAATTCTTTTATAAGTTCAAGCAACTCTCTACCTGTTTCTAATTCTTTTATTGACTGAACTTTTTTATTTTCGCTAAAAAATGGAGAGATTTTTTCATTATTGTCGTGGGAATCAACCACATTAAAAACTGAAGCTCTAATCGATGCTCTTATTTTTGCCAATTAACCATTGGCTTCCAAAGTCTACATTATCAAACCTTTCAGCTCTGCTAATTCCTATTGCATTGTTTGATTAAACTTTATTTTATTAAATAGCAATAAAAATTTAATTTAGAATCTTTATGCATAAATCGTAGAACTTCTTGATAACAATTATTCTATAAAATTCCATAAATTTAAAAATTATCCAATAATTAATAATGTAAACTACTTTCGTTATTTTCTCATAGAAAGTTAAAAACGCAACTTTAATAATTAATGAAAATATGAATAAATGAGCTTAACTAAAGAGAAAATTCAGATTCTGTTTTAAAGGCAAATCTTTATCTAGTTCAAACTTAAAATTTTGTAAATGATGAACTATTAATATAATAAATATCTCAGAAAAAATAAAGTCCTTAATCTTCAAAAATTAAAAATATTTAATAAACAAAAAGTATTATAATTTGATAAGAGAAATATATATGTTTCCCTAACTTTTTTCTTAAAATTCTGCATCTTTATAATGAGAATGCCCAAAAAAGATTAATATGGATACTTGTCTGATCGAAATGAATCTATATTTTCAGATTGAATACTTTAATCTTTGTTTCCATATACTTTAAAATATAGAATATTAGCTACAAATTCTTTACGCAATTAATATGGTGGATATATATTGAATAGAGCAAAACAAATAAACTTAAATATAGTACCCATTTAAAATAAGCTTGAATTTAGAAATTATAATATACAATAATCTATAATCTATATCATGATAATATTCAAGTATCTCATCTTTGTATAAATATTTTCACTCAATATTATTCATTTTATTTTTTTTCTTATTGTAATAAGCAATATTGCTTGAAATATTATTATAATATTAAATTTATTATTAATGGAGGAATGGACAGAAGATTAGATTTACAAGATTATACTAAAAATTAGCGAAGAGCAGTCTGATAGTTTTTTAAATACGGTAGAAGACCATCCAAAGTTTGACGGAAATAACAGTACATCATACAACTAAAGTAGTTAATTAAATCTTGATGATTGGAATATAAGAAAAGGAAGAGGCGATAAAAGAAGTTATACATCTGATCAGTATATATTCTATTTAACAAGATATTTTATTCTCTAGATTAAATTCAATGAAGGTTGAGAATGAAGATCAAATCTCGTAATATGAACATAAGATTATGGTAATGAATTAAGAGTATGAATAATGTTTGTCACATATTAAAGAATTAGAGGTTATAATTTATTTATCTTTAGAATGTAAATGAAAACTAAAACGAACAAAACGAAAAGCTTTTTGATTAAATTTAACGTATTGAAGATGAGTTATCTAATGGAAGATTAAAATACACGCAAATAGTAAATGAACTTGAAAAAAAGAATGCATAATTGAAAGTAATAATTTACGAACCTTTAGGAATGCATTACATCTATCTAAAATAATGAGTAAATTAATAATTAGATGAGAAAAAAAAATTAAGATTTAGAGGAATAAATTAATCGATAGAAAAACGACATTCATTAGAAAGATGCTCAAATCGGGAAATTGATATCTAAAATAAAGGATTAAGATGATAAAATATAATTGAAGGATTAAGAAATTAAAAGTAAATTTTTATAATATAAAATAGATTTTATTAAAGAAAATGATAAGTAGCAATACGCACCTATAGAATAATAATAATCTTAACATGATTCCATAAAAAAGGAAAAAAAAAGAACTATCAATTATATGACAAGAAATAAGAGCAATACAGTTCTTTTAAGATCAGAAACTTTACACTCAAGAAGTTAAAGTCATTATATTGGTTAATTTGATCTTGAATAATTCAAAGATTAATGTGCTGCATCAGTTAAATCTTAAAATACTGAAAGCGAAGATGATTAAACTGATAAAAAGACATTAAAATAGGAAAATGATGAGTAATAGGAGCTTGAAAAATTGATTGTTGAATTAAAGAGTAAGCTTGAAGCATAAACAAATCAATTGTAGGTTGTTGAGAATGAAAAGAAATAATGTGAAGCCTAAATTATAGCATTATCATCTGAGATTAATGTGTTTAAGATTAAAGAAAAAAAAATGACATTATAGTAAAAGTAATAGGAAAAAAAATTGACAGAATTGTAATCTGGTAAAACCTAGATCTATTATAGAAAAAAATAAATTTTAAACTGAATAAGAGTAATTGGAATCGAGAATGTAAGAAATTGAAAATAAACACCAATAAAAAATGAAATTAATGACTTCTGAAAATGATTAATTAGTAAATTTTAATTTTAATTAGAAAAAACGATTATCATTAAATCTAGGAAAAGTGGAAATTTAACAGGAAAAAGATAAAGACATTATGAAAATAAAAAAAGAATACGATGATATGATTATGGAAATGCAAAAGTAAAATATGGATATGCAGTAAAAACATCAATTTATATAGCTTTTTAAATGAAGAACTTATAGAAGAAAACAATAAAATTAATGAACAAATAAAAGAAATAAGCTAAAAATAATTAAGTAAATATTATAAATTAATTAGTATAAAAGATGATATTGTAGAGATTTAATAATTAGAAAAGTAGCTGGAAGTTATGGAAAATGAACTAATCGCTTAAAAATAAAGTAACATATAATAGTAATAATAGTGAATTTAATTGTAAGCTAAAATCAATTTGAGTAAAGAATATAATAAATATGTGAAAATATTGTTTTTAATAATAATGATTAAAAATCTTAAGTTTTTAATGATGAATAAATTAAGAGAACAAATAAGTAATTAGTTGATTTAAATGAGAAAAAAGAATAAAACTCAATACTAAATGAAGGTTATAAAGAATTTAAAAGTAAACAGTAATTTGAAATAATTCAAGAATTAGAATAGAAAAATCATCAATTATAATAAGAATTATAAGAAAAGGAAGAATAAAAATTAAAAGAAATAGAAATAATTAAAGTTGAAATAGGATAAGGTCTCCATCATTTGCAAGAAAAGAATCAATAAATCGAATAGTAAACAGCAACTATTCAAGAATTAGAATAGAAAAATC